AACAGATTAATTTCGAAGTTAATTTCTACGTCACGTTCGAAGATTGTAAACTGTTGGAAATTTCAAAATCCGTGAAACGCTTGGAAACGAGGGGACAACCGGCGACGCAGTCGTGTAAAGCGGGTTGCATACTGCAAGGCGCTCCCCGCGTATCTGTAATCTGAGAACTCTGCTGTGCTCGAAAGTCGATTGTATTTCCTATGGAATATTAACAACGTTTTGATCGTTAAGGCGTTTATCTTCGTTATCTGTAATATTGCCCACAATTATCGATGATCTGGCATTTTATCGCCTCCAACGTCGTCGAAGCTTCGATCACGACGCCAGTATTTAACCGATCGGGTGAACGGTAACATTAGCGGCCACTTAACCGGGAAGAGTTCATAATGGACGTCCTCTCCATTCTCTTCGCGGCGATTCAATTATATTCGAGCGTCTCGGTCCCGTCGGTTACGCAAGTCGACATAGAAATCATAATTGTCGCTCGGGGTTCTTCGAGCATTCTCACGGGACGCGATCTCGTTAAAAAAAAGTCGATAAGAATGTATACAATTCGTTGGAAGTTGGCGATTACACGATTCTCATATAAAAAAAAAAGTCCTTGCAAGGTGTCATCACTCCCCAAGAGATTCTCTCGATTATTTATTTATGAATTCGAAGAGCTTGCAAATATTCTGTATGGAAGCTCGATCACAAATTCTGAATAATTCTAAAAAATAGAAGAATGAATAGAATAGAATGAGTTTAGGAAAATCTAGATCTTGAATTACACACAGGTCGACTGAAGAGTAATTGTTAGGGACTAGAAACTGAAATAAAATTTATACAGCAGAAATAGAAACCGCGCGTTACGAAAGTGAAACTGTATTTTAACTCCGGTTACGCATATGTATCACTCGTGTATTTTATTCCAGCGAAGCGAGTTTCTTGGAATTCTTGCGCTTTTAAATAATAAAAGGCGCGCGGAATTCGTCGTATGATCGAACACCAGCGAGGAAAGTATCGTTCGAAAAATTGGGGCGATACTTTCGCACGTCCTGTCCGATTTCCGCGTCGTCGAAATCGCCGTTTCATCCGCGAGATCTTTCTTCGATCCTATCGATGCCAAAAAAAAAAGAGTCTCGTTTCGAGCCTCGCGATGACTTGTAACTCGGAGAACCAGAAGAACTCCGGCGACGACGCCATTTTATTCGTCGTTGATTCGCGAAGATTATTTTTCAACGACCCGCTGCTTAGTTTAAAAGCCAATAAAGAAAGGTAGAGTTTATTTCCGTTAATTTGCAATTTCTGATGTGGCTATTCTTCGCGAAATGAATCACTCGATGATTCCTTCGTCGAAGGACGAAACTGCGATCTGGCTGCAACAATGAAGAATGCAATTAGTCGAGGACTAATTCGCTGATTACGCAACCAACGAGTCGGATAAGATTCACGAGGAAATTTACCATATTAATTATATTGGAATAATATTACTAGGATCGGGGGAGGGGATGATAGCAAACAATCGCGTTGTTCTAAATCGATAACTTGTTCGAGGATAACGATTCGCGTAATTGTCGATTTTTACCGTCCTCGGCGAACCTATTTGCGCGATAAGACTGCAAACATTACGTCCTCGTTCGTTGAACGAAAGAAAAATTGAAAAGAGTACACGCTTCGCGTTATACACTTCCATCGTTATTGTTCGTCGCTATCGTAATACGAGGAACACGCAGTATCGGATAATTTATAAATTATATTATTCTAAATATAAGTTGTATAGATTTTATAGATTATCCGATGCTACGGTAGTCTGCCTTTTTAAATTTATATCGCGTAGAGAGTATTCTTGAAGAGGACTCGAAAGAATGAAAATGAAAAATGTAGATCTTCGAAACGTTGTATCGAAAGTCAAACAATATAAAAAATAACTAGCTTAAAATGGAAATTATTAGACAAAGAGACCGGAAACTTTGTTTCTTGATAAACAATTTCAGATTCAGTGCGACACCGGTTGTTTGTTCTCACTGTTTTCTTAATAAAGCAGAAATAGGAAACGCGTACAAAGTCGAGTCGCGTTTGACGTTCCTAAAACCATGGTTCAGCGACGCGTTTCAGGAGTTTCTTTCGATAAATATTTATCGAACATAAATCTATTGGATGATTTGCATAGAATGACGCCGGTTTCTCGTGTCATTACCGTCGATTCCGTTCGTTTGAATCGAATTTGAATCGAGGTCGGGCCTCGCCGAGATCTTCCGCGAAACGCATAGTATCGCGAACCATAAACGCTATACGTCACGCGCGTACCAATAAAGCTTTATCAGAGGACAAGTACATTTTTAACCGGGGGCATTACGTAAAACAAGCGAAATTTTCCGTCAACTACGATAAAGTCCGTTTTCTGATCCTCCGGTGCAACCGATGCTGATATATTATTATTTTTAGACCTATCGACGATGGAATATAATGCCATTGTCGCGTAAAAAAATAAATTTAACGTTATTCTGTCGGTTGGGAGCGCGGAACTCGAGAGGAAAACTATTGGTGAAATTTTAATCGCGAAATTAAAGGTCGATCGCGCAATCTACACTGATTTCAGTTAATCCTACCACGGATGATGTGTTATTACACTTTGCAGCAAAACATTTGGTATTTTTAACTGATTCTAGGAGAACTGATAATGATAACAGATTGCACAGTCGTGATAAACGTTCTTTTATCAATAATTTTTAAAACAATAGGAAAATCGTATATTGAAATAGACTAATCCTAGTACTTGTGCAGGTTAATAATACGTATCGTCAGGCATGGCTTGCATAGTAATATTTGCATTGCACGACGATAGAAACCTTCGTTCGATGGTTATTTTATTTATGGTTGATAATTAGCAGCATAAATTTGTAAATTTACGAATGGTGGATCGATTCTTTTGAACTGATCCATGTAAACGTATCTCAGATAAAACAGATTTAATCGAACAATCATTAGAAAGTCTAAGATTATCCTTGCAACGTATTGTAAATAAATTTATTTTGTTACATTCACTAAGCGATAATGTTTGACTATGTAAATCCACATCTGTAGTCCCTTGCATATTACATCTTTGTACTAAAGGGTTTAATACCCGTTAGTAAATGAATAGTAATAATAAATGTAAATTGTGAATTTGTGGATGTCGCGTTAACGTTTGCAAAGTCGTGGAAAAATGTTGTAATTCGAGGATGGTTCGGCGAATGAACGCCACGGGCGTTCGAAAGACGTCTGACGATTTTAGAAAATGTAGGTTCCCTCGCAAAAGTTATCCCCCACTAAAAGGAAGCCGTAGAGCAGTGCGGCGTATGTGGGGTACGTAGCGTCGCGTATCAGACCGCTTTGGCAAAAGGCTCAGTCGCGAGCGGTGCAAGCCTGCGATTACACACACACACGGTGTGTGCGGTGATTTCGCCGGTTCCGTCGTCCATCGATTCGCGTTTTCCGCGATAACCAGTCGAACAGGCCGAAACACGACTCGACGCATCGTTAAAAAACGGTACAATACGCGCGACTCTGACAAAATAACTTCTCACGAGCTCCCCAACAAGCATCAGTGACAAAAGTGAATTCAAAGTGTTTTAAAACAGAATCACAGAACGATCTTTGTCTCTCGACGAGGGAGCACGGAATCTCGACGAACCGATAGGTCGATAGTGCGTATCGATACTTCCCCGATCGTTCGATCATCGAACCGGGAAGATTGAAATCGAATTCGATCGAAGGTGTTCGTCGATATTTCCCCGTTAGAAAGCGATCGAGTTGTCGAATTCTTGTTAAGATAGATAAAATAGATAATAGAATCTAATCTGAACAGTCGATTCTAAGCTACGTTTCGATTGCACGCGTAAACACTTATGGTTCCGGTTCCCGGTGGCTCTCGATCTTCTTTTTACGTCCAGCGTTTCGCGCGACGGTCTTAGCTTGGCTGTACGTCGATAAAACACACGGTCGCGTTGGGAAAACGTTAATTGGCTTCGATAATGGCGGAAGGACACGCGGAGAAACGCGCGCGAAGCCATGCGAAGAATCTTCGACCAGGTTAAAACGTTTCCGTTCCGAGTGTTCCGACGCGTTCGCGGCCGTACTCGCGCGTACGTGATCTCGATCGTTCGATCGACGGTGCATCGTTACGAAATGTGCGCTCGAAACGTTTTACGTAAGCGGAGACAGTTAAATCGAAAAAATTATCGAACCGAGTACTCGATCGCGATTTTGCATACGTGTAAAGAGTAAACGCGTTCGGTTATTACTTAAGCTACGTGCATTCACTTTTGTTCGCGGTACTGGAAAGTTGCAAAATTAACTGTGGAAAATGGAATTTTGCGCCGCGGTTTTGTTGCACGGTATCTGTACGTTGTTTATCGCGGTTCGCACGCTCGCGTATCAGTTCGGAAAAAAAAGTTGAATCGAATAAGTAGGAAGGGCCTCGGATCAATGTTGCCAGTTGGACGTGTTTTTCGAGACTCGATGCAAGCGGTTTGCAGAGAGATATACTGCGGATAATTGCTCGTTTTTCTCGTCATATCGTAAAACAGAACGGTTTGGGTTCGGTAGTTTTAGCTAAAAATTCGATTCGATCTTATTCGACGACGTTACAGTCGACTAGATTCGATCTTACGGTATTCGAGGGTTTGTAAAACGCTGAATTTAAATGTCTCGGATCAGGAACAAGTTTTCTAGGCTTTCGTTGCATCGAAACCTTAGCGAAAGTCGCCGATCGCTGGGCTCAAACGGCCGTCAAAGCGTTAAGAATCGCATTTCTCCGGAAGACGCTTCTGTCAATAGAGAACGTCATCGAATATCACGTTGTAAAAATCGTCTTTCGCTAATTTGTCCATACATGGAGCGATTCTGGTACCTGGAGACAGTCTATAGCTCTGTTCTCGAGCAAAAATAAATCGTAGAGAACAATTTTACACAAAAACAAACGAGATTTTTTTTTAATAAAAGAATTAACAATTAAGGTATTAATAATTCGAAAATTTTAACAAGTTTTCCTCTCTCCGAACGAAGATCCACGGCAATAACAGTCGATCGTTATCGATTACTATCGAGTAGTCGAGAGATTAATGCGATTTAATTCGATAATTAATCGTTTACGTATCGAGCGTTGCGCAACCGAGGTAATTACGATTTCAAGTAGTCGAGCGAACATTGGCGCGAAAAATAGAAGACTGCAATTATACACGGTACTCGAAGAAGAAAAATGGCGACTTTATTGCCGGTTACCGAAACCTGAAATAGCAAACGTTCTCGTTAGCGTGTTTCTATTGGACGTAGAGACGCGAGTAAACAAATTCGATATAAACGACGCGATCCGGTCCGAGGTTATGTAATCTCTTCATCGAGGAGATCGATCTCGAAAGTTTTTTAACGTATCCGCGAACGACGATGATTGTAAGCCGTTCGATAATTCGTTCCCTCGAACCGGCAAGTATTTCGCGAAAAGATCGTTTCGAGACGAGTTTCAAAGTTCAGAGGATCCTTCGCCGCGGCGACTATTCAAATTAGAGTTTAAAGGCCGTTCTCACTGGCGCGCGCGTGAATTTATTTACACTATAAAACGATCCCGAGCGACGCTGTAAAGCCTTATAGCGTTTCTAATTAAATATCGCGGCGTAACAGAGCTCGTTATAGACTTTCCTGGATACTAGAAGTCTCCGTGTATTTTACGCAATTCTTTTTCTGCAACTCAAGTCGCAATCATCTTGAATGAAACTCGATTCGCAAAAGAAAATTCCGCGAATGCAAAGAACTCGATGACTCGTGCAATAAATATTGGAGTATAAAAAAAGAAAAAGAACATCGACGAGTAGTTCCAAAGCCTCTACTTAGTGTTATTAAGGAAGAAAGTAACCAAATCGATAACGAAACGGTCGATCGAAGTGATGATTTCCGCGAATCGAATCTCTGGCGTGATTTATTTTTTTTTTTTCTCCGTAATAATCAGAAATTGCCGGCAGTTAATCGCTCGTTGGAGGATGCTTGTTGAAATCTTCCGGTATTAACCGATCATGAGAAAACGAGAAAGTTAGGAAGTGTATCTTCTAAACTGGCGTTCCCAGGCGGGATCGTCGAGATTTCTGTGTACCCAAATGCTAAATGCTCTCGCATAACTTCGTAGAAACTTCGCCGGAGAAGAGAGAAAAGAAAAAGAAAAAGAATCCGAGGACACGCGGTCACGAACGATAAAAAGGTTTCATTAACATAATAAACGCGAGAGGACGACTCGTATTGAAATAAGAACGACGGATGATCGAACTCGAAGGGAACTCGTTGAAATTTCACAGCCGGCGAAACATCGAGGGGACGCGTTGAAAATGACTGGGAATCGAAGAAACGAGATCGTTGTCGAGGCAACATGCCATTTGCTATAATAAAGACGCATCATCCTGAAAAGTGGAAAGTGTGAAACGTTTGCTGGTTGCTCGTTGGTGAACGATACGATGTGAAACGCGTGATAAATGTTGCTGGAACTCGTCGCTGAGATGCTGGCGTTGATCGGCGGCCTGATCGTCGCCTATTTCGTCTACGTTCTGATCACCAGAAAATATGGTAAATATCCTCGCGAGGATTCCCAGTTTTATATCGATTCGAAAGCTTCGATCTGTGCCTGATCGAAAAGGCTGACAATTAATTGGGAAACATAATAATTAGCAGTAAAAAACTATGGTAAATATCGTCACAAAGATTGTCAATTTTATATCGATTTAAAAGATTGAAATATAATAATTAGCGGTAAAAAACTATGGTAAATATCGTCACAAAGATTGTCAATTTTATATCGATTTAAAAGATTGAAACATAATAATTAGCGGTAAAAAACTATGGTAAATATCGTCACAAGGATTGTCAATTTTATATCGATTTAAAAGATTGAAACATAGTAATTAGCGGTAAAAAACTATGGCAAATATCGTCACAAAGATTGTCAATTTTATATCGATTTAAAAGATTGAAACATAGTAATTAGCGGTAAAAAACTATGGTAAATATCGTCACAAAGATTGTCAATTTTATATCGATTTAAAAGAATGAAACATAATAATTAGCGGTAAAAAACTATGGTAAATATCGTCACAAAGATTGTCAATTTTATATCGATTTAAAACATTGAAACATAGTAATTAGCGGTAAAAAACTATGGTAAATATCGTCACAAAGATTGCCAATTTTATATCGATTTAAAAGATTGAAACATAATAATTAGCGGTAAAAAACTATGGTAAATATCGTCACAAAGATTGTCAATTTTATATCGATTTAAAAGACTGAAACATAATAATTAGCGGTAAAAAACTATGGCAAATATCGTCACAAAGATTGTCAATTTTATATCGATTTAAAAGATTGACTTTTTGTTTACTCAAAAAGGCTGACAGTTAAAAAATAAAAATTAGTAATAATATCGCTCGGTTTTAAATCACCAAAGGGATTTTAAATCTGAGAAATTGAGCTTGTCGGGCTGTTTCTAACGATGATCATCAGGTGGGTTACAAAATGACGATCCAGATTTCGCGTGAAAGCATCGCAGTCGGCACAGATTCGTCGCGGTTATTGTAAATTGTCACCAGCAAACTATTCGAACGTCCCTGGCACGGTTCGCGAGCAATCTGTCACAAGAAGATCCACAGCATCTCCTTTTACGGTTTCGCGGGACACTCCGGTAATAATAGTTCTTCTTTCGCGAACCAACAAAAACGTCTCTCCCGGGAGAGAAATTCTCCTATTGTTACCATCCACTATTATCTCGAGACTTTGCTATTCGCTACGTAAATAATTTTATAGTTTTTCGTTTCGTAGCTCGAGTGTACCAGCCTAGAAAGTTTGTTTAGACTAGATTGTTTACAGCGAACGTGGATTTTGTTATTTTTGTTCCTTATCCGCGTCGACACGGTGCGTCGAGTCGTTAGTGTAAAGTTTCTTGCTGATTTTTCGCTCGAGACAATCGCTGCATTATTTGTCAATCGATTCGATCGTTCGATTGTAATCGAGGCGAAAGAATAACGACGCAGCTGCCGTCTCGATAACACCGACTCGTTCGATAGGGTCGCGAGATTATCGCGAATCGTTCGTATCACACGAGTCGTACGATTCTTGTAATTTTTCGTGACCCCTTTTTCCTTTCTTTGCCAGCCAAACCATCGATTTGTTTTGGAAATCGTTCGATCGATTTCAATTCGAGCAAAAACACCAAACATTTCGTACGTCCCTCGATTCGGTTATATTATACAGATGCACTGTACCGTAAAAAGAATTCCTATCGTATCGCTATCTTATCATTGAGGAAAGAAGCTTATCAACAGCGGAAAGCAGGTATGTCCGATCGCGAAACTTTTTCCGAGAAAGTCGTCGAAGTCATCGTACTTGATTCTTACGATTAAAGAAACGAACAATACGATACGAATAGCGTAATGTACCGGATTATCCCGCGATGAGTAACGCTACCGACGAGGAAGCAATTGTCTCGTTTAAAAATAAATAGAAATCTCTAATAATTTTCCAAACCTTTTAAAAACCTGTTGAATTACCACTTTTCTGTTATCGATACTGTATACTCGATAGATACGATAAACGAATCGTAGAAAATAAAGAACCTATCTATAGTTTATTCTCGAAGTCGATTTTCTGAAAATAAAGGAATAAATTTTTTTTTTTTCGAGCTTATATTTATTTCTCCATGCACGTGCACCTCCCGGTCGATTATGCCACTCGTGGAGCGATACTGTGTATAAAATTATCAAGTTTACGCGAGTCTAAAGTCCCTGGGGACAGGCGATATCGCCCCCGCGATATCGTTCCCTGAAATATTAAATTAATCGCTCGGGGAACACGATTTTCTCGCGTGAACCATCCCGTGGATGTCCACTCGTCAATTTGATGGAGAGAAACCTTTCCTAACGGCGATTACACGTGCACCACGATAATCACTATAATTTCGTTACATCAGAACGCGCCAGAATCCCATTCGTTGCTCGATAAAAATAAATTCGCCGCTTTCAGAGACAATTGCAGCCAGAAAGAATACTCGACAAACGATTTCCTCGATCCAGGAATTTAATTTGTAATGATTTTCCGAAAATTGGTAAAACGAAACAGCATCCGCGATCCGCGAGTTTCGTCGATTATAAATATTTATAATCGATCGTCGGCGCGATAGTCTTCGAGCCTCGCGATTTCAAGTACGAATCCATTAAAACCGGAGTTTTTCTTAAGCGTTTTTAATTGCGAGAAGCAAACGCGCCGCGCGTTTACGTCAGTTTATGAATATCCGACTCGGCTCGATCGAAAGTAAGAAAACTACGAAGGACGTTCGACGACTGACGCGCGATTTTATAAAAAATGACCGACAGATACCGTCAAAGACACGTGTTTTTGCTTAATTATTCATCAGCGTAATTAAGCACGCGATATTTACGGGCAAATATAGTTTTAATTAATTGCTACATCGTTGCCGTTGATAAAATTATATTTACTGGGTCATTTACGAACCGATAATGCAGTGAAAAAAAATTGAGAAGCGGTGTGAAATGGTTCCTTAAATTATTTCCACGTATATGCGAAATAGAGACGCTCGAAGCTGCTAATAATAATAATTCTGAATAGTATTAGCACAAATTACTAGGAGTATTTTACTAGAGACGATAATACGTCATAAAATCGATAAAGGAAATCCGTGAAAATGTATTTAAAATTGAAATCGCTTCGTTTAAAATCGTCGAGGTTGGAATAAATTAGTGGCTTTCCAATCTGAAGAATATTTATTATATATTTTTTATTTAAACGGAACGAGATCGAAGAGATTTAATGGGAATTAATTGAGGCTCGAGAGACAAATGTTTAAACTGATTAAAATGCGTCGATGCGTTTTGGCGCGATTAATCAATTACTCGCGAGATAACCGAGCGTACGAAGACAGGTAACAGGAAATAAATGTAGGCGGCCTTCACCTTCTATCGAGAGATCAGGGTTAGAAAGTCCCATTGGCTGATTCGATCTATGTTTAAATACACCGACATCGGCGAAAAGTTGTCTTTCTAATAAAAGAAGAAGAATACGAATCCGACGCGCGTTCTAAATTTAGCGGAACTCCGACGCCCGTAAAAACAGCTGGAATTTAAATGCAATTAGCAAAAACGATCGATCGAACTAATCGACTATAAACCACTAACGATCGATCGTTGTAAAAAATACCCGCGCGTCTATCTGTTCAATTTAAAAGCCATTACGCGTGATTCGCATTAACGATAATCACGGGGAGACGTACAACATTTTAGTTAACGATATTCGAATCTCTCAATTTTTTAATGTTTTTTAAATAAATTTGTTCAGCCTCGGTCAACGTCGTCTGCTGTTAAAAAATCACACGCTGAACGTTCGGTACATTGTTGGAATTTCTCCCGACAGCCATAAGCGTCGGAGTTCCAAGAAACCTCGATCTTAAAACCTATTGCTCGCGGCCATCGGGCATTTAAGACACCTAACTCGTCGAGGAACCAACGTCCACGTATATCGGAAATCTCGTAGTTTCCCGCGTAAAGAGTCCAGCTGGTCGTTCTCTTTGAATTTCACCCATCGATCGCGCACGTTTGGGGACGAGAAATCGGAGGGGAAAAAGAAGAACGAGGAATCGCTGACAAGGCCGGGACGGTGAAATTGCCCGTGTGTGCGTTCTCGAGACCAAACGAGCGGATCATCGCGCGATCCATTACCGATACGGGGATCCTTGTCTCGAAGAAAGTGCGCCTTCGACTCCCGGTTTTCCTGTCGCCTCGCACTCGTTAACCCTTTCACGGAATTTGCCTCCGCACCAGGTTTCTCTTCGACGACTGAAATTTTTTTCGACGGACAGTACATTTTCTTAATTTAACCGGAATTGAATCAATATTCGTAAGTTTATCATCAAAAATATTTCTCTTCGATGACTGAAATTATTTTCGAGGGACAATACATTCTGGTCAAATTTCTTTTCGACGGACAGTACATTTTCTTAATTTAACCGGAATTGAATCAATATTCGTAAGTTTATCATCAAAAATATTTCTCTTCGACGACTGAAATTATTTTCGAGGGACAATACATTCTGGTCAAATTTCTTTTCGACGGACAGTACATTTTCTTAATTTAACCGGAATTGAATCAATATTCGTAAGTTTATCATCAAAAATATTTCTCTTCGATGACTGAAATTATTTTCGACGGACAATACATTTTGGTCAAATTTCTTTTCGACGGACAGTACATTTTCTTAATTTAACCGGAATTGAATCAATATTCGTAAGTTTATCATCAAAAATATTTCTCTTCGATGACTGAAATTATTTTCGACGGACAATACATTTTGGTCAAATTTCTTTTCGACGGACAGTACATTTTCTTAATTTAACCGGAATTGAATCAATATTCGTAAGTTTATCATCAAAAATATTTCTCTTCGATGACTGAAATTATTTTCGAGGGACAATACATTCTGGTCAAATTTCTTTTCGACGGACAGTACATTTTTTTAATTTAAACGGAATTGAATGAATATTCATAAATCTATCATCAAATCTATCAAGCTCATTTTGTCCAGAGCTGATTTGTTGATGATTTTGCAGACAAATCCAGCACGGACTCGTCGACGATGGCTCACACGGCGCTCCGGGAGATCGTCGAGCGAGCTGTGGAGGAGGCACGTAAGCTGCCTGGTCTCGGAAGTTCCGGTGAGACCGGAAGACAGCTGGAGGCGAGGAACATCACCGAGCACAGTTACGAGGATCTCCTCGCCACCGCCATACTTAACAAGGTTAAAGAATTAATTTTCCGCCGGAGACGGCGCGTCTCGATCGCGCGATCCCGCCGTAGGATAAATCGATGAGCGATACGTTGGATTTTCTAGGTCATCGAGAAATTCCAAAAGGAACAGGTGGACGGTAATAGCAACGTTCTCCACGGGAAACCGGTGTCGGCGATCAAGTGTAAGTGCGAGCGTCCCCTCCGATAATCGCGCGTCGACGGATTCGAGCGCAATTTAGAAAACGGGCCGACGGTGATTTCACGATGTCGTTCCTTTTTTTTTTACAGGCGAAAGCGAGACAGGAGTGGACGAAGGCGTCGAGGAGGGCTGCAGCAGCCTGGAGCCCTTGTCCCAGGACGACTGCAACAGCGATTCCAGCGCATCTTGCTCCAGACACGTTAGAAACCAACCGGAGCCATTATCTCTGACGGTGGGTGGTCCTGTTGGAAGGTCGAAAAATTCTCACACGCAATTTCACCACGCTCTCTACGTTCTTAATAATTTTTTAAACCACCGTTGGTTGTTAGAAACATTAAACTGTACCTGTTTATAATCAACGACACTTTCAATATTGTTTCTGATTCTTGTACAATTGTAAATAGCGCTACTTTAATTTGAAATATTGTAAAATAATATATTATAATATGTTTCGTCTTTGGACTAAGATCAATCCAAGTAAACGAAGTCATAGTGCAATTTTGTAGATTTATAGATTGTCCGTTATAGATTAATCGACAGAATCGAAATCATTGCCTCACAAAAAAGATATTGAACAGGTGTAGTCGATTCCTATTTTCCACGATTTATGGACGAAAGGTGTACGTTTTATCGTTCCAGATAGAAGAACGGATAGAGGAAGTGACTACCACGTACGCGTCGGACGAGGATCCCAGAGATAATGATGTCTTGGCCATTAGGAACACTCATCGTGTGCCATTTCCGGAACTCGGGATGGACATCATCGATCGTAAGTGTTATCGACTTCGCCGCGACGAGTCGCGATTAATTACGAACGTTCTCTCGGAAATATTGTTCACCTAATTCGCTTACTTGCATCCTTGATACCGCAGCTGTTCGACGATTATGCCACAAACCGAGCGTGAAATGAACATTCTCGATACCTCTTCCTGAACCGCGTTTATGGATTATAATTTAAGGCTCGTGCAAATAAATCATACTATTTTTATTGTTTAATTTATGGAAATATTAACTGCACACCAGGCTGCTCTAAAATTAAAAATAGTCGATTCAGTGGCGTCGTAGATATAAAAATATCCTTAGACACGCAAACTTTTCGCTGACAACGGAACACCGTTCCCGAGCAGTACATCGTTCGATTGAGACTTCGCCATTAATCGACGTCTAACAGTACAAATTGAATTTGGTGAACCTGCGTTGTCTTTCGTCTAAATAAAACAATAATTTCGCGGTTTAATAGTGGTAATAGTGTTTGAAACCAGAGATATTTAATTAAATCGTTCTTCTGGGTTTAATTTATATGCAAAAAATTTGATTGCAGCTTCGCAGGAGTCGGAGGATGATAGCCAAGACGAGCCAGACACGCCTACGGCGCACATAGGGCTGGTCTCGCCGATCGAATCCTGGGAAGAGAACTGGCTGTTCCAGAAGAAGCGAGTCCAGACTCAGGCGGACCCAGTCGCCATGTTGGTCCCAAATCCTAGCGGCGATTTCAAAGCGATGATCGGCGACAAAGACGCGGAGGACACTTCGGACTTATCCGAGTGCTCCTCGGCGCAGTCCGACGAGGAGATCGAAAAGGAGCTCTTGGAGGCCATAAACAACGTGGTGCCGAGGTCTCCGAAGGAAACGACGCTGGGAAATGGCTTGGACGAGTGCCCGGAGACATCCAGCGACGCTTCGACGAAAGAAAATTGCTCGAAGACGCTTTCCAACGGTTTCCAAGACTCGGTGAAGCCTGACTCTCGAGTTCCAGCGGACACGCGCGCCGGGGACAACGAAATAGCTCGTACGGAGGATTTTGAAAGCGATCTAGAGATCGACGAAGAAGGCGAACGGTCAGAGACGCGCGACGTTGAGGAAGAAATCGAAATCTCGGAGAAAGTTCACGGAAAACTAGTTCCAGAGTCGGGGAGCGCGATCGAGATGGAACAACGGACGTCCAAAGATACGGAAAACGCGAACGTAAGGAATTCGAGCGATTTTATCGAGAATGATTCATTGAGTTCCTTGCCGGAGGAAAGCGTTCCAGACGTGCCAAAGACGCCCATGTCCACGCCAAGAAGGTCTTCCGTGACGGAAGTGTGCCTCGAGGACGCGGACGATTCATCAGTGGCCATCTTCGACGAAGAACACGTTCTGAATTCCTTGGAACACGCCAAGAAGAAGCTGATGGCTGTCGATGACGACACCGTGGAAACGTTCAAGGAGATCGTGTTCGATCAGCAAAGAGGAGGCGACTTTCATGGTAAATTTCTTTCGAATGCAATCGCTAATGACGATTTCTTATCTATTGAATATTTACGCCAGCTGTTGCTGTTGCAGCCGAGGATATTCAACAAGAAAGCGAGTATACGGAGCATTACGATATCGCGATTCAACGACACTTGGACAGCCTGACGAAAACGGAGACTTCCGGCGCGGAAAACGGGACGATGGACGAGTCGGAAAACACCTTGGCCGAGACCAAGGACAGGTGAATGCAATATTTTCTTTATAATTTTTTTTTATATTCGATCGAACGTTCAATGGAACGTGAATCTTTTTATTAAACCTCGAGAAAGGGACTTCGAGTTGTACGTTGTTTTCTATCGATAGTTTCGAAGCCACGTTCGTTACGTAACGTCAACTCTAACGATCCTCGAAGAACCCCAAAAAGGGTCTTTCTTTTTGCCTTGATGGTATTGTAATCGAATCTCAACATTCCACTGTGCAGCAGGTGCCGAAAAGCTGTGGCTGTAGCCAAGGCTGAATCGGCTTCCCAAACGTCCCTGCGGAACAAGAAATCTGAAGAAGACGTTCGATTGGCGACTCCTCCGCGACCAGGTGATTAAACACTCCCCTTCTTCATCCACCTTTCAATTCAAGTTATTCAATTTGTATTTGTATTCTTTAAATCGATGTACAGGCACGATCGCTGAACGCGAGCACAAGAAGTGGGAGAATGCTCCGCCCATCGAGAACAATCCTTACAGCGAGGAGAATATTCAAAAGAGGTTGTGGGAGAGACAGTACACGAGAAGATCGTCCGACATTCCTGGGTAAAATACACTAATTTAATGACAATTCGATAAATGCGAAAATCATTTGGAACATACGATTCTACTGTACAGAATTCACGCCGAATTGCCGAAAAGCAACGGGACGGATTTGGAAGTCGTTCTAGCCCCTCAGGAACCGGATATTAAAAGGTAACGCCATTGCTCTTTACCTTTGAATAAGACAGAAATGAACGTAACCTTTTATATATTTATATTTATATTGTATAGTAACTTAACTCTTCCATAAAACTCGTGTTAAAATGTATACGAAGTTATCCTTTAAAGAATGTTTAATACAAGTTCCTCTGGCGGGTCCAGATTTTCGTCATTGAACGAGGTGCTATTGTATCGTTAATTAATTTCTGAAGTGAATTTCTGGCGTGTCCAGGTTTGGCAGGGACTACTACATCAACGAGTCGAAATCGTCGAGCCTCGAGAAGGGACGAAGATCGGCCGCGTCGACGTCTAGCAGGCCCAGCAGCTCGTTGTCCCAACGATCGAGCTCGACAGGTGCCGACCAGGAACAACAGGTGAGTTTCCAGCTCGAAAAGTTCGAGGAGGCTTCTCTGCGCGGCAGCATTTCTAGATGGACCTATCGCGATCCGTACTCCAGTCCGCACTTCGCGATCAACCCTCTTCTCCGCATGGAATTCGACGATAGCGCGACACCGGAAACCAATATCTCTGTAGAAAGTAGTATAGATCCTAGAAACGAGATTCGAGACTCGATCACGGAGAACGGAGAAGAGAAAGAGGAAACGGAGCAGCTAGATAGATCTATGAACGCTTCCAAGATGGTGGCTAGACAAGCCCCGGAGAATGTGCCGTTCGTGTTGAACGAACCCGGCGGAAAGGTGGCTTACAATCCTCTTTACGAGCCTGAGATAACGAATCCAGACCGCGATTCGGGGACTTATTCCATCGACGTCCAGGATCTGGAAACCAACAAGATCAAAGAAGATCCTTGCAAGAGATTGTGGAGCAACGACTGGTACGACAACGAGAAGGATAATCAGATCGTTTCGTCCAATGGGAGGAAGTATTGGAGCTTCAATGGTCACAAGTACCACACGTTTGGAGGGATAAAGAGCTGCAGTTCGAAATTCACCGACGATTCCGACGACGAGAAGGGAAAAACGGAGGTGCCCGATGAATCCTCCGGTTTCGAGTTCGCGGACTTTGGTAAGATGAAGTTTCAAACGTTCGGGGGCATAAAGAGGAGTCGGAAGATCGACGGGAAGGGTCTGACAACGTACAGGAGGGTGAAACTGAGATCGTCTTCGAGGAGGAACGCCAGAAGCGCGAGGAACGTTGAAAACGATAAGCAAAATGGTGAGATAAACGAGAATTTTAATTCACTGTCTATCGGACGTTCTGATAAATCCTTGGACGACGTCAGACCGGCGGAGTCTTCGTCGACTCGATCGTCTTCCGACGACGATTGGCAAGACGAGGACGTCCACGTGCCTGACAGAACGATCCTGACAAAGTTCCTCAAGGATGCCTCGAACAAGGCCAAAACGCGACAGAGCACGGACGATTCCGTGTATTCTCTGAACACGTCCAGGAGGAAAGCGTACAGCTACGGTCCTAGGAAGTCAAAGTCTTCGAGCAAGCATCGTTTCTCCGGGAACGATAGCCTCAAGCTGGAACCGCCTATCGTGCCGGAAGTCGTCGAAAGAACCTTCGAGACTTTGAAAGATCTTCGAGGCAAGGGCAAAAAGAAGAAACGTAAAGCCGTGGAGAAAGACCTGATATGGGGAGTGAAAAGTCTGAGCTGCGTCACCATGTGGTGACCGTAGATTAAATTAACTATGGGTGCTATTGCTTGGTTCGACGAAATCGTTAAGCAATCTCGACAAGCTTCGCTTCTTATTAGAACCGATTTGTGGGGTCCTCTTTGATCGAATACACGAAGAATTTTTTATGTAAATATTATAAATAAGAGGAGTACTAACGCAATAATCTTTTCCCTTTACTAACGAGTATGCTTGTCGCTGTAAAAGTGTATGTAGTCTTTTAATTTGTACAGTCCATACCTGGTTTTCTCTGCTATTCTATTTTCTGTAATTTTTTTTTTTTCTTTCCTCTTCCTATATTTTGTAAATTGTACAAAGCTGAAAAGAAAACGGACAATGTAGCAATATAAGTGAAAAAAAAAATATATATATATTTCCTTGTTTGTAATTCCTCTTTCCTATCAGAGATTAAGATTTATATCTGAGATTAAAGAATGGAACAATGATGCAAGGAGTGAATGTATAATAGTTGTTATATAAGTTAGACGAGGAGTGTATAATCTGTGTAATTTTTAGAATTAGAAATGGTTAATTAACGGTTCTCATAAAGCCAAGGTAAAGCTCGATATATGGCATATATTTTTTAAATTAACAATTTTTATTTATCAACTTCAATATGTAGAAATATAATGCTAGAAAAGGGTGCGGAATTATTGGGGAAATAAAAGTAAGTAGATGTATGATACGCTAATTTAAATTAGAGAGTACATGACACATTTTTTATTTTAACTTTTGTAATATAAAAAAAATCATTATGTCTGTATTCCTCTTACGTACGATCGCACAATAAATTGTTCATGTATTTAATCGAAAAAGACACTGTCGAAGAGACGTTCTAATAAAAGTTAAGCTTGTCGAGACTGTGCCAGACAATTAAATTAATTTCTTGCTCAAAGGAGGGACCAACTAATAATTAGTTAATAATTTTAAGAGTACGCCATATTGTCAACGAAGTTCCTGATGAAAGTTCCAAAACCCGATTTAACAACGAAGGACTAAAAATAAAAATAGAATTAATGTACGCCACACTGTGTAATTATTTTAAATATATTATTTATAAATAATTGGACTTTACTTGAAGCGCATGAGACTCTAGGGGTGCAGGTTCCCACTTCGATCCTCGTTTCAATTATCTGTTAATGCATCGACGAGGGTCGCCGACAACCCTTCATCCGAGCACTGTAAATAAATTTCTTTGACTCTTTCTTGTAGATACTTAGATGCACGAGTAATCATCGACCCTTGTACGAACGAAAACAAAAGTCGATTCTAATCTGTATACAGGAAGCCCCGGAACGAGTGCGATCGAACAAAGAACAATTCTACGTGGAAAAAACAAGTCGAAAAACACGCCAAGAATAAAAATTCTTATCTCGATAAAACTGTCGACGATTAATTACAACGATTAATAATTTGATTGTTGTATGCGTCAGTGCCCCGTTGCTTATCTCCTATTCGAATAAATATTTTGCTCGTTATACTTTGGGTAGAAAGTAGAAACAGTGAGCAATGAACAGTCGCGACGATCAAATCGTATTTAATTATTTCGTAAACGATTTTAATCCACATTTTCGATTTATTTCTCTGCGTAAAATTGCTTCTTGGCTGTTTTGGAGCATTCTGTATACCGTACACGTAGATCATAGAACGAACGCTGTCGAAACCGTTCTGTGCGAATTGCACGTGCATGAACTCTGCAAAAGTCGAGCCTTGTAATCGGTAAGTACCGTTTACGTGCGTTTATTCGATGCATGGTGGGCAATGAACAATGGTGCATGATGGAAATCACGTTTTTCGTTTTATCGAGCAAACAGGATTAAATTTAATCCGTGGAACATTGGACCATTGGATAATTATATATCGAAGCAAGCCAGATATCAATTCCGACACACTGTACGTCGCATTAAAGTTAAAATCAAACGTATACTCGAAAGAACGGAACAGAATTCTTGGTAACCGTGGAAAAACGCTCTCATCGTTCGAGAAAAGGTGTTTCGATACTAACAGCATCCGCGATCGCCATCTTCTTGTATCTGACACGCATGAAACGCTGCACCGCGCTTTAACCAGCACCAAACTAATCGCTGTGAAACCCTTATTAACAATCCCTGAGGTCCAATCGAAAAATGGTCTGATCGTGGCAGCGATCGATGCTCGGTCTTTGATTTTAATTAAACCGTTTTTTTGTTCCAGGAGGACACCCCGTACAAGGAGGCAGAGTTCCTCCTGAACCGTAGCAACGACGTGAAGTCCAAGGTGGCGAAGTGGCAGAGGAACAACAGCCTGGAGACCAAATATCAGTCGTCTGTTCGACACACCGAGGCTCCCAACGATACCGAGACGCAGAAAATTGACGAGAAATACTCGAATACGAGGAAGACCGACTGCCCCAACACCTGGGAGGACCAACGGATGGAGGAGATCCTGGAGAACGAGAGAAAGAACAGCAAGAACGAGATCAACGCTAAACTGAACAACCAAGAGAATTACGACAGCCCGATCATCGAGACCAGGAAGCCAAATTCCGACGAGAATCAAAGGAAGATCAAGAGGATCGACCTGAAAGCGTACGGGTTCGAGAACGCGTTCCGTTCGAACGATAAGACGTCGAAGTCTGCTCCAAGAGTGGTGAACAAGTTGGATCTGAAGTCGTTCGGCTACGACGGCGGTATCAGACGAACCCAGTCCAATATTCACCTGAACAGCATCGTGAACGAGAACGATTGCAAGCCCAGGATCGTCAGAGTGACGAACAAGTCGAACCTGAGCCGCCATAACGGATACGACGCCGTGGAAGCTCGAAACTCGGGGAACAACAACATGACGCAGAGCACGGAGGCTCTGCACGAGCTCGAGAACGGTTACAACAATTTTAAAGTAGGTTTGAAGTCGGCCAAGTCGGTGCCGAACTTGGCCAGGTACTACTCGAACGCCAGCAGCAACCAGGAGGATGAAGAAGTCGAGAGGTACAGCCAGAACTCGTACGAGTCCGGAGCCATCAAGAACGGTACCGTCAGAAACATCGCTAGCAGTTACAGTCTGGATAAGTGTAGCATAAAGAACAGCGACACTTCCGTCGACGAGTCTGAGAACGACACGGACAACTCCTACGAGAGAGAACGGACTGGTCGATCGATGACCAACGGGGAGAAGAGAACTGCAAACGAGGATGGGTCGGAGAGCAAGGTTCTGCCTATGCCATCCGTGAGGAGACTCGCTGAGGCGTTCAGCAAGAAGCCAGAGCCTGAGTCTGCACCTGTTTCGAAGGTATTTGTTCGTACCAAAGAAATTAGAACGATGGAAGCAAGTATAAATAGGCATTTATATTTGTTAAATTTTGTTACAAGTTTTGTTAGTAGACTGCGGAATGAGAGCTTTGTAGAGGGTTGTTTAAATCCCTAAATATATTGATTCGTATCTTGCTTCAAGTATTCCTTATATTTTTGCACATTGAGTGCACTCTGTAGTTTTTTGGGAATTAAAATTTCCCATGAATGCATAAACATCCGCAGTCTGTTCATTAAGAATTACGAACGCCTAATTTTGTCTAATTTGCAGATAAACAAACCGAGCAACGCGAGCAAAGACAGGTCATCGACCCCGGAGGTGCAAATAGTGGAAACGCCGAGGCAGATGCACAGTTTGACAGCCAGATCGCTCTCGAAACAGTTTCGAGAGGGTCTCAGGCAAATCCCGAACAAGGTTGCTTCTCCCCCGGCCAGCCACGTGGCCATGGAACAGCCCAATATACCGGAAACCCAAACGGAAGTGGTACCAGCGAAGAGCGACGACCCGACCAGCGATACGAAAGTGATTTTGCCCGGCAAATTGAAGTCGAATATAATATTCTGGGAACAGATGCAGAGGAAAAGCTGAATTCTCTCGCGCAGAGAGAGATTGTAACTAATTTTAAATCGCGAGAAAATATCTAAACCTAGAGTGAAGCTAAGCTTAGGATCGAAGAATTATAAGGAAATCCGTGTGATTTTAATTTACGTAAATGTTACGCATCCTCCATTGTTTCATCGTGTAAACGTTGGCCTGGAAAATCGATCGAGCAGCTTAACGAAGCGTGTTAAACGGGTTGCCATCCTTGCTCAGTTTAAGAATGCACAACATCGTTCGAACGGGAATCAATCGACCGAAACGAATAACAGGCTCAACGAACCAATGGATTTTCGTCCTCTTGTGCATCTTCGAAGGTAAAAAGCAATCGTATTCGCGACGGGGAACGTCGGTGCGATTGCGCTCGTGCCAAATGATATTTAACGATCAGCCAAAGAAAAGTATTTTCGAAATGTACGAGATAATAATCATCACCGAAATTTCGACGAATCGTAAAAAAAAAATTGTTTCTTTTTTCTTTTTCGAGAAAATTTTTATTCTACGCGCGTCTTCGCGATCGACTGTACATATACGTCGCTTGATTCGTTCCGAATCGTTACGTGTATATAAAGGAAAACATGAACGGTAACCGCGAAGTTTATAATCCATATAAATTTACGTAAACTTCTATCGTGAAATTTATAACGATTTATATAAATTTCATTCGAGTTGAACGCGCGTCGTTCCCGTATATTATTTATTATTTATTGATATCAAAAATTTATATACCGATGTACATAATGAACTGTTATGGAAATTTGGTGGTCAGCGAGAGAGACATTACGTTTTATAAAATACCAAAATTTGTATCGACTTGATCATACGTCGCCTGTACGCTAAGACCGTGCTATAACGATATTATATAAATATATTGTTTATTATTAGAAAAATCACGAGACGTATTGCGCGTTTATTTCGCCGTTAGAAAACTAACGGGTACAGTCGAGGATCAAGGATTATCGAGAACAAAGTCACGGTGGCCCATAAATCCGCTCTTTATTCGAACGTTTAACGAACACACGAGTATTAATCACAAAATAATTAATTGCGAAGCGCGATTACACTTTCGGAAAATTAACTTCCAAATACATTTCGATGAGCTTGATATTAGGAACAGGAAACGCTCAGTAATATATGCACCTAGTTTTGTGAATCGGTATGTACTCCACGTCGGCGGCGTGTTTGCGTCGATAGTCCCACAAAAAGTGATCTATCATTATAGAGTTGATATCATTTTTCTGTATTCCTGGCACCGGGCACAGCTCCAGCAAATGTCTCATTCTGTCCTTGACTCGTTCGACGGCTTCTATCGAACAACCGCGAATTTCGATCTCGTCGTCGGTGCCATTTTCCAACTCTACGTCTGCAAACATAAAAAAAACATTACGCTGATGCAACTGGAGATAAAGAATCGATTTAGAAGCTTACCATTTGTGAGCCGCCATAGCAACAGACTGTCGTACCGTATCGCGTTAAAGTGCCGAAGAACTTGAGGAACACGGTAATCGGCGAACATCGTGATGCAATCTATATCGTGGAATTTACCTATTCCTTCCCCCTTGAAGCAAACCCATATGTCTCCTATCAATATTTGAGCCCTCTTGTAAAAACTTACTGAAAGGAAATCACTCGGTTAATGTATTTTATCTTCTCGGAATTAAGGGGCCATTCTACCTTGTAAACATGAAAAATACGTGTTTCTTTGTGATTTTTTTTTGCGGGTTATTAAAGAGCGATTAATTCCGGATTTTGTAGATACATTTATTATATATTTAGCTATATTTACGAATTTTTGCAACGCATAATATCTATTGATTACGCTGTTTTTGTTGATCATCAAACAACAGTTTTTACGAACGTCACCCGACTGCGTGCGTGATATCTTGCGAACAAGTTATTCGAAATCCTAAAACCAACGATATTCTTAATATAGACGAGTGTGGTTATAGCATGAACTAGGATCTTTTCAAAAAAAATAAAAAATGGCAAAATGGCAGCTATTTTACGAAAAAATACTGAATATTTTCATATATTCGGTTGTTTTTTTGTTAATAAAAGAAAAAGTATTGCATATATCGCAATTATCCTAGTTCATGCTATAGGGAGACCAGTTCTGAAGATACTGTATAAATTTGATGTTGATATCTTGAATAGTTTTTTAGTTATCACGCAAGCAGTGCCGAAAAATGTAGTTTTCGAGAAAAACAGCTTTATAGTTTCACGTCCAGTTGTTATACCTGCGCGCGGTACATTTCAGCAGGCTATAACTTCGTTAGTTTTCCGAATTTCAATTTGATATTTGGTAGACATATTTTCGAGGCTACATACTAAAGGAAAATGCAAAAAAAAAAAAATATCGATTTTTTTAATCCCACAAGGTAGAAAGGCCCCTCAAGGGTTGCGTCGCGCCCTAACCTCTGTACGTTTTGTAGTCCGCCTCGTCTTGGTACGATTCGAATTCGTTCACGATAAGTTTCAGCAACTTTTCGGCCGAGCCAGAACATAACTCGATACATTCCGTGAAAGTACCTACGATCGTAGGAAATTTTATAATCGTGCCTTACAAGTCGTAATCGATCTTGGAAAATTTGGTCCCAATCGGTCCCGTTGTCCATCGTGTGAACTTTTTACTCGTGGAAATTTTCTACACCTCGCATCGGTTCCTTGTCTCTTATTTTTTTATTTATTTTTGCTCGTTCGAGTTAATAGGGATCGACGAAGTTTTACACCAGACTCTGGCCACATCTTACCTCGGTATTTTTCTAACAAAATCTTGCCGGCGTCTCGCAAGGACTTAACTCTTTCGTCTAATAATGGAATGCTAGTTTGATTGTCGCTACGAAAGATCCGTTCGGCGTCGTGTCTCGTTATGTGAGAGTAATAATTAGGGTCGACGATAGGCACTCCTTCCTGCTCGGTGAAAATAAAAAAAAAAGAAAAAGACGATTACGTAAACACGGAATATCGAAACAAATGAAGTTAGACATGTTTCCGTGAAATCTTCATGTGACAGCTGTATAGAAAATGTTATTAATCGTCGAAATTTGTCAAGAATCTCACCGATCAATAAAATGATATCAACGTGCGACAAACATACCACCGATATAATCAGTCTGAAAAGGCCCACGTTAGTATTCGTTGATCGAAAGATAGATTAACCTCTTCAGGGACGATTCTTTTCTTTTTTCTTTTTCTGGGTCTATTTATTATTGACAGTAAAAAGAAACTAAACGTCCGCATATGTGGCCAAGGCACAGTGTGTCGCGTAAATGGGAATTCAGAACAAAAATCATAGCTTCTAAACTAGTAAATTTTCGAATTTCGTATTCTTGATTTCCGTCGTATTTCTGGCATCATTTTCCACAATAAATTAGTAATAGATTTGTAAAAATGATGGATAGTGTTATAATCTACGTTTCTTTATTAACATTTTGGGATATAAAATAACAATTCGACTTTAGTCCGTTGCTGGACACACTGCGCAGGAGCGTGAAGAGGTTAGTTCTATTTTCGTTTTTCACGTAAGCTCAGAGGTTTGGAGAAGCTTTTCGAGTCGATCCCTAAACCGGAAGGTGCGATACCAAATTTCGGTCTGCCAAAATGGAAGGTGATGCCGTTAGAATCGAAGATACCGATGGTACCCGGGCCGGAAGGCGCTTACAATTTCACGCGACGTAAAGTTGGGAAGGAATTATGGATCCCCGCGAAGGACGCGGAATTTAACTTGAGCGATCCGTACTCGTACGAAATGGAGCTGACGTACGATTCCCTCCACGATAGACACTTGGTCCCTTACTTCTCTAGGCCGAATAATATCAAACATTTGATCAAAGCCGGACTTGTCACGAGGAGTTTAGACGCGAAGTGCTCGTTGCGCGATTACAATATGTACAGAAAGTATTTACGGAGACTGCACTGCGACAGTATAAAAAAAGAGTTAAACAGAAGATCGAAATGGTCCACCGAGGAAAGGGCTATTCAATACGCCCAGGAACAGGCGGAAAAGGAAGTGAAAAGGTAATGTAACAAGTGTTTTTGTTACCTAACCTAAAACATTAGATGCGTTGTTTACATGTGTTGTTGTCAGACTTACAGAGAGAGAAAAGTTAATGAAATTGAGGACGGCGATCATCAGGAGTCAAAAGATTGCAGAGAAGCTCAAACTTCAAAGGCAGAAAGAGAAACAGGAAAAGATAGAGGAAAGGTTGCACGCGTTGTTACTGAGGAAACAAGAAGCTCAGAACTTGCAACGAGTCGAGAGTAAGAAACGCGCCGAGCAAATTCAACAGAAACAAAAAGCAGCAGCAGATCGCGAACGGCACAAAATAATACAGACGCTGTTAGAATGGAGACGAAAGGAACAGATACGTAAGAGAACTAGGGATACGCGACTGGCGCACGAACGGGAAGAGAAACGAAAAATGGTGGAACAAAAGTGTGTATCGAGGTAACGAGATAAATTTAAGTTAAACGATTAAATGTTTGTCGCGATGCATCAGGTGGGAGGAAAGGCAAGAATTTCAGAGAGGACAGATCGAGAAAGAGCAGTTTTTGCTGCAATGTATAGAGGATCGACGTAAAGACTTCATAGAAGCGTATAATAATAAAGTAAATAGGGAAGCAAAGAGAATGGAAAGTACGTGTTAAGGAATATTTAAGAATTTACCAGAGTACATGTTAAAATTTGATTCGCAGAACTCTTACAAGACGTGAAAATGTTCCTAAGGTGTTATTTGGCTAGGCGGTACGCGGGTAGGGAACGAATTTGCTGTAAGAAAGATTTTGACGATGACGACGATATGGTATTCTATCTGAACATTCGATGCACAAGTATTTTTTAATAAAAATCCATTTAATTGATTGAAATTAATGCCGTGAATCGTGTAGGATCCAATATCATTTGTGAAACCTGATAAAAAAGGTCGTGCGTCTAAGCTTAGGCATACTTATACGAGTCCAATCAAACATGATAAAGATAAGGATAAAAGAGCTTCTAAAGTGTTTCAACAAGATGATAAAGTATGTAATCAAATATAGATAACTTGATAGGAATTTCATCCTTTGGAGCAGTGTTTTCCAAACCACAGGGCATTGTTCCATGGGGGAGGGGATGCCTTCTAAAATGTTTGGAAATCATTGCTTCAAAAAATGCACTGATCTAACAAGAAAATATCACAGAGAAAGAAAAGAAAACTAAAAGCGAGTAAGGGTACAAAAACTAAAGCAAAGAAGGTAGCAAACGAAGTAGAAGGAGAAATAAAAATAAAAGATCTTAGGGTAAAGAAAAAGAAACGATTTGCTGTTGGCAAAGGTGGTAAAAGAAAAAGGGCGGGCAGAAGGAGAAGAAGACGGTTGAAGAAGAAATTGGAGGAAGAAGAGAAATCTGAATTTGAAGGACTAGGAGAATCTATGTCTACCATGAAAACAGAAACCTCCGATGTGACAAGATCTTCTACACCTACAGAAAAGTGCAGATGTCAAGTAATTAAAGACACCATGAAGGCTACTACAACATAACATCATCGAACAATGCAAAAAGTAATTGATTTAGTAATTCCTTAGGTATACTTAATTCTGTGGTTGAGTCCTTTGTTAATATTATATAAATATTGTTACTCACATCCACAGCCCTCTTAATAGCAGCACACAACGCAAAATATCCAGTTTGGCCGTCTACAGTCCACTTGGAGGAATCCTTCTTACTCCAAAATGAGTAATTTAATGTGTCTAAAACAAATATCCAATCAACAGCTTTTGGATCGTCCGGAGAAGGATGAAATTGCTCCTGAGAATAAATGTTCACGTTCACGTTCGAATTCTTTAGCCTTTCGAAAATCTGTAAACAAGAGATTGAGAATAAAATAGAATTTTGGTCGTTAAACCATAATTAAATGTTGTACATTAAAATGTTCTTAAACAATAAATAAATGAATATTCTTTAACATTTCCTTCAAAATACAGATATGGTAAGATACAACAATTACGTACGAAGTGTGCAAGATCTTCGATGCCACGTTCCTCAATGAAAACATTCTTAGACATGCTTGCTATCAATTTCGCAGATTCCTTCGGCATCAGAGTCATCGTTGGATGAATATCACAGTTTGTATAGTTACTAATTAAAAACTAATCTTAAAGCAAATCTCAGCCGAGTTTGGCTTTGCGAACCGTCAATACAAGCAGCACGATGGCAGTGTGGCCAGAGTTGGTATAATTCCATGCATTGGAGTCACCAGTAACGACGAATTTCCTATAGCACCTTATGATCGATATACTTCTAAATCTTACAAAAATTTACAGAGTACGATTTGCGCGTAAGTTAAAGAAGGCGTGACCCACCGGTGGTACACGATTTGCACCGCCATCTACGGCAAAACGCCCAAGTTTGTCATGGAATAGTTCGTTATTTCAACGATAGATGGCGGTGCGAATCGTGTACCACCGATGGGTCACGCTTTCTGTACTCGTGCACAGGGACCACTTTATATTTTCGGTAATGAATTTTTTTCTCGAAAGTGCGTAGGATTTCGTGGATATGTCTATTCACCAAAAATGATTGTAATTTACCCCCGCAACGGGGAGTAATTTTTTCAGAACGATTTGAGGAGTATTACCTGTAGAAGATATGTAGAGACACCTCTGTCGGAAGTTCCGTCGGATCGCCCCATAATCAAGCCGTCAGTCACGTGATTCTTGATCCATACCATGGATTCCATGGCGCGTTAGCAACGACATGGTTGTAAACAAATATGGCTGTGAATGTCAAAATTTATTGAATCGTTTTTCTGATCGTCTCTTAATTATGTGCACAGATGACCAACTTGATATGACTGTACTAGTGTTTCAGAAATTTGTAATACGTCCATGTAAGGTAAGCACTCTGAATACCGAAATCACGTAGTTGATACTAAAAGTATCGCATCTCAACCATAACGCACAGCAGCACATGTGCACTACGAGTGTTTATCTTCGATGATGCACAACGATGAGAGAATGTGCAAATTTAGTAACGCAAGTCGTGACAATAGAGCTCGAGTATAATCGAGTTTAACGGAATACGTAGTATTTAATATTTCTATCTTCATTTTCATATTAAAACTAAAGTACTGTTTTCTACCGATGTATAATATAATTTTACACGTACATTTCTTTATGCATTCATTAATACTTTGACAAATTATTACCCTTACTTTCCTGATACTTAAATATAACTCCTTAAATACGCAAATTTAAATACTACAAATGTATCACGTATTTGGAGTACAGGTAAAGGCGAAACATATATTATTAGTTGATAAAGTTGATAGTCAAAGTATAAAGTGTCGTATCACTTTATTTAATCAATCATAACATTTAATAATACATAATTTAACTGATATTCTGTGTTTAAGTTTTTACATAAGGACATGCGTTTCTTATTTTACGATACACTCGATTGTAGGTAATACCTAATTTTATTATCATAGGCAACTATTTTCTGTAAAGTTTGATAAGATTCGAAACTTCAACGCTTCATTTGTAATTTACATACGTAACACAAATTACAATGTTCAAATAATATGCACATTTATATTTACATATAAAATTTCAATTATTGCAATATTTAGTATACTAATATCTTGTATCATATCCCTGCACGTCAACTTTCTTTTTTCATAACTAATAAAACAGTTTTTTGGTGGGTCTTATATTTAAAATTGTTTTTCGTGTGTTTTGCTCCAAAAATTCCTTTCAAAAATTGTATCGAATGACATGGTTAAATAAAAATGTTTGAATTACGATGTAACTTACAAAATATGAATAATATTACAAACATGTTTCGAATCCTACAGTCTGAAAAGTCAAATGGTAGTGTGCTTCGTCGCATTCATTCATTCAAATAACATATGTACATAATACCCCCTCAACGTAAAGTGAACAGATTAAGGCTCCAGCGGGCTATAGGCTACGTTCTACAATGTACAATGCATTATGTACTTTGTTAGTTTCCGTTTCCGCGTACATGTCTGGTTGTGTAATGTGTGGTAAGCGATAGCACCAAAAGATTTTCCAACATCATTATTTGATACAAATGATCCATACAACTACAATATCATTAACACAGAAATTAATCAGTTGCAATGATTAACATATATTTTATTCGGTATTATTAAACTTTGCAACGTATCTGCCATAATAGACATACTTATCGTAAAACAATACATCTTAACAAAAATGTATAAATTTATACTTTTATGAAATATAAAATTGGACAAAAATAGTAGGCCTTGCCCACCAATATTTTATTACGAGTTAAGTTCTCCTTTATATATTTTGTGTATCGAATGGTATGAACACGTAATGGCATTGCGTACCAGATTGTGAATCCAAAGATAGACATACCTATTCCATTTGATATTAGATATTTTGACATCACCTGTGGCCCCAGCATGCTATTGCATTTGTACATAGCATGAAACCAGTACGGTAATATTCATTTCAAGATATACGAGATGTGTTATTGTGCTTTTTAGGTGTTACAAGGCTTAAGTGTTAGAAAAAATTGTTATTATTGTGCAACTAACGAATTGAAATTTTAATCGTCACTGATTCAAGTATTTTTTAACTCGATGATTTTATTAGGCTGACTGAACATGCACATGTTAGACAGCAATTATCCTTTCCACTGTGTAACATTTCTCATTATGCTATACTTTGACTGTTAACACCATGATATCGATATATAATTTAAAAGAAGGAAAAATTATTCAACCTTTTTAATATAAAGCTTCTACTCCAAAACGTGAACACAATAAATTGCATGGTACAGAATTTACAGAGTAGATTCGATACATTCATCCAAATTATCAATAAGACAATAATCCACGTAATTAATCGTAATGGATAGATTCGGTAAATGCAACTCATCGGAAATGTCGTTCACGTTAAAAATTAATTATTGCACGAGATCGTGAAAATATTAATTACATAATTTATACCTGTTCAATACTAACAGTATAGATTACTATCTAATTGATAAACTTTGAATGAATCCATTAAATGCATTAATGAATTCCAATATTCCACTCCAGATTTCTAATTCATATTTGATTTTGGCTATTAATTACAGATTCGACGTAGTTTGATTCACTAAATATAATTCTAATTAAAATACTTACAAAAAGTAAGACCAAGGATCCCCGTTACCCCAACAGTGTAAATTTATTAAATGCTAATAATTTTATAAGCAAATGTAACACCCATCTATTAATTAATGATTAACGTATAAATTAATATTATGTCTCGAATACTGTAAAACAATGGATATTGTTTTCATAATATAGATGAGTGTTTCTAACCAGCATGTAAATCCTATTATATATGAAATCAGTGTTTTAGCAAAATATTTGCCGACGAATTCATTAAAAATATAATACGAGGAAGTAAATATAGTTTACCGAGCAGTTAGAAATCGTTAATATAGAACTTATAAAAATGAGTAGAAAAACAATAATATTTTAATGAAAATGTCTATTTTTCCTTAAGCAATCGATGACTACTAAGATGTTTCTTTTTCTTTTATTGCTTTAGTCCTTGCAATAAGATACGTAATAAGGGGTCCAGAGGAACCTTGAGTGGCATGCATGAGTTTCAGTCAAACATTTTTAACCAAACTTTATATAGCATTGTTACATTTGCTCCCATGCACATCACACCTCCAGACTTCACCCATGCAGCAAAATGCGCTTTTTAATTATTTCTCTTAATATTATATAAAAAAATCTAGTTCTATTGACTTTTAAGCTCTTTGCCAATACTGTACGATACAATTTTGTTCCAGTCAATTTTCGTTCGCATAACGGGTAATTGCCTTCGTAAGGCCTTGAAGGTTGTGTCAGACATTGTTTGATAGTTTTCCGAAATAGCAGTCTGATAGTCATTTTCTGAATCCTCAACAAGTCGTATTAACTCCTTTGCTGTTTGTTTTTCGTTAGAGATTGGTAAGCTTTCTTTTACTTCTTTGCTACTGACCAGCTGTACATTTCCATCTTCGTAGTAATGAACTTGTACTTTAAGGCTACCTCTTAATTCCACATTACCGGAACTTGGACTAAAACTAACAGTCCATACGGAACGCCAACGACCGTTCCAAAAATTTTTAGGTTGAAATTGATGATCCTCTATGCAAGCCGTTAATGTAATGTTTCCTACGCAAACAGAAACATTGTTTGTCGTTAGAAAGAGATCATAAAATTTACAGCTACACGAAAAATCAATAATACCTCCTTGGCTCTTTCCAAAAACCGAACATGCACCGTGTCTATAATGACTTTGAGTATAAGTCGTTATTTCATCTTGAAAAGCTGACCTCCAAGGTTCAGCTACAGGATCTGGTTCGTACGGTTCGTAATCTTGGGCCTCCTTTCTAAGATGATCGTATTTAAAACTTTGCTTACTGCGGGCATCGTAAAACCTTTGCCCGCCTAAATCATTGTGTTCTGTTATAACTGCGGGATATTCGCTTCCTTCGATCTAATGCCAAATATAGAACAAATCAACAAATATAACACAAAATTCTCAGATCGTATTCAGATTATTGGGAAGAATTTATTCGTGAGATGCCTTTATAGCAAATCAATATCTAACCTTAATTGAATTCAACCGAATCGGTTGTAAAATACTTACTGCCTCGAAATTACAGAACGTAACTTTAACTAAACAAAATTAGCAATCGATCATTGACATTTTCTGTTAAAAAACCATCACGAAATGTAACTAAAATTAACCCTACAGCGGGTTACGATCACAATCGAAATTTTAAGAGGATCCTCACATAGTAACTGCCGTGTACTGACGTGATATTTTATGTAAACAATCACACCAACCAGATGAACATTATCGCGCTCCAGTTTCACTATAAAGTCAACGTCACCTGTCGAAATCCCGGGCGCGTGTTGCCCGATTAGGAACACTACTAGACGTTGAAATTTGATCCCGCGCGTTCCTGGGATACCACGATCCTCTATTACCACAAATGCCCAACGGCACCGCGAATACTATCATAAAAAATCGTAGAAGATCGTCAGAAAAGGTCGATGATGTACCTTAACAGGCGTGAGCTGATCCTTGTTGTATTGAGCAAATGCTCCGGACGCACCCTCCTTCAACAGGTTGTCGTTGTTCAACAAGACCCTCACATCATTGAAAACCTCGTTGAATTCGCCTGGTGGCGAATGCAGTATAAAGTCCGAAACTATTCGTACTTTTTCTTGATCAGGAATCACATCTCCATCCGCCGCCATCTTACCTTTCCACTGGCACGCACACTCCGCGATGTCAAACCAAGGTTAGTGCAGTGCAGGTTGTACCGGCGTATCGAAGCACTGCCCCATATACCCGGTGACGCATCGCAAACGGGACACGTAACTCGTGATCGACTCCATTAAACATATTTCTTTTCGTTTTCACGGAATTCGTATATCTTACAAGTACACGTTACACGTAACATAATTATTTCGTAAATAATTGGCTAGTTCCGTATCTTCCGACGAATGCTATAAATAGACGCTCACATAATTACAGTTAGACGTCTTTTTATACTTTAGTTTATCCCTTTCGGGATACGATATCGTTTGATATTGTATCATTGTACGCTTGCACTTAATAAAATAGCTTATTTAAGTATATACTAGGTTTGTTACGAACAGTCGTGCACGACTTGTGATTCGAACGACTCGACGTTTCATAATTTCGTTTCATTTTAAGAAATTATTAAAAAATAGGTCTCGTACACGGAAACACGATGACAAATTCGAGATGAATCTCGATTAGGATTATCGGCCACGAGACAACTGCAGCAGTGTTGGGCGAATCTTGGCGAGCCATAACCCTTGAATAGCATTCGTGGTAGCTCGTGCACGTTCCCAGTCAGGCGTGGTTCTGGTGTAGCCAGATATCGCCGTTTTATCAGGATATTTCTGTCCGTTCGTGTCATGTTCCGGTCCGCAGCGGAGAATCATACTTTCGATCGAAAGTTCGTCGCCGGGTATCTCGTTTGCCCGCCAAAATTTAAACGGCTCTCGAAATGAGAGTAAAAGGGGTTCGAGTTCGAGTAACCACGTACCGCGCATTCGCGCCCAAGATACGTGAACTTCCATATATGGCAATGTAACAGTCCTCGCCATTTCGAAATTTAAGCGCTTCAAATACTTTTAATTATACTTATTTTCCTGTAATCGTACACGAACTCGAATGGTCGAGAGTTGAAAATTACTAACGAGATGGTAAAATTAATTAAAAGTCGCTCGATACGCACCAAACTAACGTGGTCTGATTTCATTCAACAGTAACGCCTAACGTAGCGGGATTTTGGAAATATGGCGGACGATCCAAATCGGGACATTTTGCCTGTGAGAGAAGGCTCCTGCGCCGATACTTGTCGTAGTAGCATAGGTCTGTATTCCATGGCGAAATTAATAAAAAACATTACTTCGGACGAACGAAGTTTTACTACGTTGCTTTCCATGCGTGTACTATTTTTACTTTAAACAAATTTAAGATCCCAGGGAGCGGCATTTCGTGTACAAGCTCGATCGTTACCAGCTGGAGGACAAGTATTTACGACTGCTCGAGGAAGCGAGTAACTTGAAGAAACTGTCGAACTGTCAGGAGGATAAGATCAAACGATTGGCAACGAAGCTGATGAGAGTGACTGCCAATCCGAGGGCATGCACCGTTGCTTTTGACGTTTACGAGGATAAGAATAAAATAATCGCCCTTGAACTCGAAAACTCCAAGGTAGTGGGGGGGTGTCATTTAATCTTCGAAGAATTGCGATTAATCAAACAGTCGGTACGATATAAAAGGAAATAGCGAAACGGTCAAGAAAATTAAACCAATAAGTTACTATATTTATTCGGACCTTGATCGGTCACGTTATGCAATAGGGAGTTAACCCTAAGCAGGCGGAGAAAATATTTGTTGCGTAACTGGTAGGGTGGAGTCCTTTTTGATACTAAATTAATAAAATAAAACATTGTCGATTCCACCGTACCAGTTTGGGGCGATCGAAATTTATTTTTAAAAGAGGCGTGTTACAATCGGTGTTGCAGCTGAAAGAGAAAATCTCTGTACTGAGAAACCAATTGTTGAGCCACACGATATCTGGTAGATCGTCGTCGAGGAGTCGTAATCCCCAAGCTAGGCCGTCGTCCGGACGCATGTAAGTGCACGGCGTCGTATTACAAGCGATCCGAGACGATCTATGATTCACGCTGCGGCGCATCGCGATAGATCACTGAGCCGCGATCCTTGTTTTAGAACGTGTCGAAGCGAGAACAGTCGCACCAAGATACCGTCTTGTCACTGCATCGTCGAGACCGTGAATGACGACTACGAGGCGCAAAGTAAAGTCGAGGTAATAGGATGGAAGCACTTTGTTGCAATCGTGTTATTTGCTTCTCCTTTTATTCTATCAGAGGGACAGCAATATGCGTTTCCGCGGTGCAATAAATCTGTCGGAAGCACTTTGTTGCAATCATGATATTCGCTACGTTGTTTCCTCTGTTATTATACCGCAGGAAGAACACTAAACGTTTCTTCTATATTACAAATACAAAAATTACTAAAAAATCCATGTATACAAAATGTAATGTTTTTGTTTATACTCTATCTCTCTGTACAAGTTTAAATAGTTTGTTGGATGTTTCTAATAGGAACTGGAGGAGCAGAAAAAAGAGATGTCGTGTCGTATAGCGCAGCTGGAAAAAGAGCTGTCCGCTTACACGGCCACCACCCAGAGGGAGAAAGTCGCGGAGAACGTCGAGTACATAAGATGCTGGCGACAAATGAAGCAGCTGAACGATAAACTAAAAGCCGCACGAAACACGAACGAGTCGTTGAATATGCAAATCAACGATCTGAAGAGGATGCTCGAGGAGGCGACGAAGTACGCTCAACGTCTCCTTGCGCTTATCCTCGTGCACTACTCGACGAATAGTGTTCACCCGTTGTACAAGTTTTTTCACTCCTCGCAATAACACCCTCTTTTACACGCCTTTCTGTTCTTCGCGTTGAAACGCTTCAACGTTTTCCAGCTGAAATATAGTCGAGTCAGACTCAATTGGCCTTTCGAGGCTGCTGCTTCATAGTTCTTGTAATTTTTTAAATTGAAATCTGGAGTCCTCGATCGGACCAGTTGATTTTGTACCGACTACAGGAAGCTCCATTAAATCTACTTAGAACGTCATTATCTCGCACTCTGTTAAACAAGCTTTGCACGTTGTTAGACATTTTTGTACACTGTGTAACGCGTAACAAATAAAATAATTGTAAACATCACGCTTAATTAGGAACAACCAAGAGATCACGACGACGCTTTTGACGGAGAAGAAGCATTCGTCGCAGCTCGAGGAGGAAATGCTGAGGGCGAAGGATTCCCAGCTGTCGTTGAGAGAGAAGGACGAGCAGATAAAGGACCTGGTGAACGAGATGAAAATACTGCAGCAGCACAACAGCGAGCTTATGGCGCTCAGTTCTAAGAACGGCGACGTAGAGCTGGAGAACCTGGAGTTGAAGAGAAAGGTCAACGAGCAACGTCACGATCAAGAAGCTTTGAAAGCCGCTTTCAATACGGAGCAAGCGAACATTGTGAATCTGCAAACCTCGAACGAGCAACTGCTCGGGAAACTTCACGAGCTTCAGAAGAACATGGACAGTTTAACGGTACAGTTAACGGTCAGTTTTTTTACCGAATTAATACACTCCGCGACAAAATCATAGGACATCCTTCCGATGCTACTGCAACACTTTTATTATTTCGCAATACGCTGATCGTTGATATCATTTTTTTTAAAAACGACGAAAGCTTATCGATCTTTAAAATTACGAGAAGCAAAAGACGACAAGGTGCTTTAAGCAATCGTGGAACGCCTGGAATATCGGAGCGTAATATTTGCACAGGTGGAGAATATACATATAACATAGCGTGCAAAGGTCTGGGCACGTTCAACGTAGAAAATTGTAGAGGCAACGCAAGAGCACATTAAACGAGAACAGTGAATAATATTATAGAAAATAGTTATTTAAATGTAGATATACATGTAGATAGGTATAATGGAATAAAGTTTATAGGGAAAGGGGTAAAAATGTACAACTTACTAAGCTTGTAATAAAATCTTTTCAAATAGAAATGTTTATTTTGGTGTCGTTTCTTGTACATACCTTATCATTTTATCAAGCTTTCACATACGTTAAATATTATTCTAAAATAGTATTCGGATGGATCGACGACTAAACTGAAAGAACAATATAGATGTCTTATAATTTCGTCGCAAAGTGTACACGGTCGAAAAGAAAATAGTCGGATTGGTTTCGTGAAAGTTTGAGGATAACTCTCCCGTTACTTTACAGTCTTTCCAAGCTCAGACCGAGAAACAGGAAGCGGCAAGGACAATGGAAATATCAGAGAAGCAGCCCGATAGGAGAGTCGTAACAACGACGGACAGACAACAGCTAGAACCGATCGTTAGCGAAACGATACTGTGCAGGAGGTGTTGCAACGAACCGAAAGTGTATGTAACGCGAGGTTTACAAGCCACTAAACCGATAGACAAATTCGCGCAGACGGAGTACGCGGTCGAGCAGGTCATCGTGGACAAAAAGGATCAAGGGACGTCGGTCATGACACCGGTTAAAGAGAAACCGAAGGAGCAACCGTCGGTTGTCCAGCAGAGAACGGAAATGGCAACGACGACGGAGAGTGCTCTGACGCCGGAGAAGATGCTGAAGCTGCTGGAACAAGCGCAAATTAACACGCCTCTGGACGGGATGAGATTCGCCCATAAAGACGTGGCCAGCAACGTGGTCTACAACGACATCCTGGACCTGAACCAGAGACACAGGCAAGTCGTTTCCCTTGAGAAGCTACTCTTCGGTGACTGTGGCTGCTGACAAAAACTGTTTGGTTACCAATCGTCACGATAATACGCTTCTAGTTTATTTAATATCGAATAGCATAAGTTTACAAGCGTTCTTCCCGAGGGAATAGAAATCGTACAACCCGTTAGAGTCTTGGAGCTTCCAGGTTCATCTTCAGTAGGATCTCAAGTGCTCGAAGAACGAGATAAGATTATATGTATTTTAATGAAAATGTTCGTCTCTTTGTACAACGAATGCGTGCGTATCAGTGTTATTATCTGCAATTATCGTTGCGCTGTAATATATGATATTACAATAATAACATATGTTGAAAATTCAACGTTTCCTGAAGATTATTCATCCCTTATCTTCGTTCCTAGATTCATTATAACAATACAATTCTGTTGCTCTTAGAAATTATCGTTAGATTGTGTTGCAGCGATGCAGGGACGCTTGCTCGAGCACCCCAAGAGAGTCCAGAATTCCAGCTCGGATTTCAGCAACAGAGGCTCGATAAACACGCGTCAACCCCCGGCCAGCCCTTGCCCGATACCAATAAAATGTTGTCTTTTTTATTTAACGTGCTTCAAGAATATTCTATTTCCGGCGTGATGCCCGAGGCTGCCAGTTTGTATCGTCCAGCGACGGTCGAGAACCGACTCGTCAAAGATATCAATAACAACGTCGACGGGGCCAGTCGTGGTTCGGAGAAAAATTTCAACGTTGCTCCGAAAGACGTCGCGCGGCATCCTTTAGAAATCGATGCTTTGAACAGGACCGGTAGAGGTTTAAGGGCTACCAGCAGTCTCGTTCGAACCGGTTGCGGCGCGAAGAAGTTCTGCACGAACATTGGCAATCGCTTGCGTCAGGAAAAGATAAAGAGAAAAATGTTTTCGAACGTCGGATGGCACAATCGGGTCGCCAAGTTCCCTCAGACCGCAGATTGCACTTGCAACGACGCGATGAGATGCAGTTTCGGCTCCGATTGCGATAATCGTTGCTGCAACAACACGAAATCGCTCGTGTCCATGTCTAGTAGGAACCTGCCGTGTGGATTGCAATCGACGACGATCAAGAACGGTCCAGCAAACGTTCAGAAAGCCCTAGGCACGATGTACATAACACGGTAACTAATATTCGTAATTGTTAAACCAGTCGAGACGATTGGGAAAAGAGAGTGACGATTCCTTTGAAGCAAGTTGCAGGATGAGAACGATGCAGGACCGTATAGATCATGGAAGAGGAATAACAGATTATTCCCAGAGACGAAGAGCGAGTCCGACGACGATAGATCGCTGAGAGAATACATGAAGCAGTTGAACAAATGCAGGGAGCTTTTGGGCAACGATTGCTTCTTGAACGGCGGAACTAACGTCTCAGTAAGAGTAGAAATATACCGAAAACTCTGTCTGAAATGTTAAAGCATAGATGTATATTAACGACATTAGATGGAGATGCCAAAGGCGGAATCATTTTGTACCGTGAACTGCCCAAACGAGTGCGTCGATGCTTTCAGTTCCGCTTCCGACTCATTTCCGTTGGTGATAGCGGACGGTCAGGGCCTGATGGAGCTTCACGTTCTATCTCTGCAACTCTCAACGTCTGTTGGTATCATAGATATACCTTGTACAGTTTATACTTTTATAAGCAGAGCTTTCTGATGCTTCCCATTTAGGCTAAACAAATCCTGTTTCGAGAGAACAACCTCGACAACGTGTCGTTGTTCGTGAGCTGGGACTTGTGGGACCAGGAGACAGCGTACACGCCTACGTTAAAGTGTCCGAAACTGAACTTCAATTCCTCGTTCGTCTATCGGATCACGGACCTCCACTCCTTCTTCACCTACGTTCTCCAAGAGTCCGTGATGTTCCAAGTGAACGTCTACCACGAGGGCGACGACAGCTACGTGGTGGCCGCGGGGAAGCTCTGCATCAAGGACATATTGGATTATCCCCAAAATAAGCTGCATTATATCGCTCCGGTGAACAGCGTGATCCCCTGCTCGCTTGGCACGACCTTTGGCCAATTGTCCCTGTGGGTCAGGCTGAGCTGCGACGTCGAGAAGGTGGAGACGTTCAAAAGGAAACGTCACTTGCTCACCCAGTCAGAATATCGCCAAGACGGCGGGGAACAACGACGCCCGTCCAAAGTCGAGCCGCCTGGGAAGCGTAACGCGGTAGCGGAGAACGATCTGTACGTGTTGAAGGAAGGAGACGCCAAGATACACCTCGGTTACGAGTCGCCCAAGGAAGACCTGCTTCCGGATTCAGAGTCGCAGTCGCCAGTGCCGTTTGAAACAAGTAAAGGAGAATCAGAGTATTCAGGGGTCCTGTGGAAGAGAGATGGAAAAGCCAGGACCGCGGAAAATAAAGAGAACTTACTTACTTTTACCTGATTGAAGGTGAATCACCTGTAAATGGCGCATCGCATACTATAATCGCCGAGGACCCCTTGACCATTATGAAGGAGACCGATATGGAGCTTCGCTTATCCGTTCATCGCCAGGAAACGAGCAAAGAAAAAGAAACAGTGGAGAACGATGTCTCGGATCATCAGCTCGAAAAGAAGTAGTCAATCTATCAATTATAAAAGTCCCTTTGTATTATTATTATTATTATTATTAATGAAAGAAACCGTACTTTGTTAGGGCACAGTCCGATGGACCCACGGACGACGCGAAGGGAGAAACGGATGATCAAGCAGACTCCTCGAGCGTAGCAGAGTTCAACGCTATAATCGTTAACGTAAGAGTTGACGTAATCTTATTTTTGAAAAAGACAAAATTAATTAAGTAATTTCGTGAAACTGCCCAGAACATACGCGACAGTCTGATGAAGGCCAATTCGAACGAGTCGTTCGACGAAGTGACCAAGGTTCTCTCGCAGAAGAATTGGGAGAAGTACAAACGGAAGAGCATGCTCACGTTCTCTGCCACGTTCGGTAATTACACGCCTCGCGTTCGTGTCTGTAAACGCGGGTTATTTTACGAGAGCGAATTGCAGGGCCCGGGAACAAGGACACCGAGAACGACAGCAGCGAAACTTCGAACGACGACGTACGAATTGCAACTTCGGAGAAATTAAAAATGGATTTATAAATTATTAAATTGAAAGAGAAACGTGTATATTTGCTTGTAGCCGGCCGAGAAGGACACGATCACCATCGAGATCCTGAATATCATTCTGTTCCCGAAAAGTTCCCTGATGGAGAACGAGGAATTGCAGCTTCTGTACGTTGAATTCTCTTTTCTCGGATACACTGGCCCCGATATGGAAACGATCTCCGTGAAGAAGCCTAAACCTCCCGAGCAGAAGATGACGTATAATTTTAAAAAAAGTATAATTTAGTATAATTTAGGTTGCGAGGTTTCATAAAAATTAAGAACGACTCGATTGCAGAATTTTGCGTGGACGAGGAGAGCCACGCGGTGCAGGATAACATTTTGCGCGCGATGCTCAACGAGTCCACCAATCCGAACATAACGTTCCTGATCGTTTGTGAACCCCTTCCCGAAGAAACCGACACGAAAGAGTGCATAGAAGTCGGGTAAGAAAAAATGTTAACAATTTGTAAGGCGTAGAGTCCCCAAAAAAAATAATTTTAGTTACGCGGAGCTCAATCTGAGGGAGTATGCGCTAGGGGACAGCTCAAAGATCGTTACTCTACCGATATACAATGCAGATGGGAATGAAAAAATTGGCCTATTGAAGGTACAATGCCAGTCAATCAGTAAATTACAGTCAATGACCAACGAACGATTACAGATTTCCGTGATGGGCCTTGACACGATACGTCAGCGCCTGGGGAAACGCCAGTCAAGCCTGTAAGAATATCAAACTGTCTCCAGTACGTGTAGCGTAAAAATTAATTCGTGTAGTATCAGACGAAGGGTAGATTAAAAGTCGTATGAATATAAAACGAATATCGAGTTTATTAGAAACTACTTACATCGTAATACAAAATATTCTATAGTCTGTATATGTCTCGCTATAGTTATTCCGTATTTACGTTGGTCTGTGTATATTTATCGAGTTCCATCGTCTTGAGTTTCAGCCATTTTCTGTTGCCATTTCGCGCCATTTTTCCGCGTCATACGGATTTCGACGACAAGCGTTTACTAACTCCTTTTCTTCTCGTTCTTCGCCGTTGTGGTTTCCGTCACGTTCCCGTTCGAGTGTTCTTTCTCCTTCAAGCTGGACCATTTCGTTTTTCGAAATATATCGTTGAAGACGCTAGTGGCGACCTGAAAATCCCTGCAATCATTCGGAGGTCGAGCGACGGACCAAACACCTGCTATGGTGTCGATACCTTGGCACACCCTGCACGCACCTGGAACATTATCGATAAGATAACGTTATCCGTTTATCGTAGAAACGTTTGCTGGTACCAATCGGTTAACGGTAATCTACTTACATCAGATCAGATTACTAACGTTGATGAAATATATTTGTTTAAATATATGTATAGAACAACTTGAGTAACGTGTAACGTTATTGTTTATACTCTGTAAAAGGCCAGATGAATGCATACGCGTTTGTACCATTCATTAAAATCTAGAATCAACGTTACACGCAATAAAGTCTATTAAATATGTTAAAGTGCATAACGTTGAGAATATATTAGAAATCCAAGCAGTATGCGGTACCAAACAAATGTGTTGGGTAGAATAATACGTACTCTGTATCTGTGTGTCATTCAGTAAAACGTAGAATTAATGTTACACGCGATAAAGTCTACTAGATATTGTTATGCGCGTACATAATGTTGCGAATGTATTAGATTATAAATACGCCAAGCAATGGAAATCCAAGTAAATGCAATATGTATTCCGGTCTGAATCATGTACCACAGCGACCTTTATCGGATTTTATCTTGAAACATTTTGCAAGAACAACTTCGCAGACGCGAATAAAATAAAATATTATTTGAGAAGGATAATTCTTTACAATTAAAAGATAAATAAATAAAAATTGTTTTGCCATGTTTTTCCTAGATAATCTGATCTGTAAATAGAGAACTGTTACCGGCGAGAAGATCGTTTGTAAAATATGGGATCGTCTACCGACAAACACCGCTATGGAGCTAGTATGGTTGTCAGTGGCGATCAGAGTGAAGGGTGAACCACGTTTGAACGGGGCGTGACCGGTGACGTTCCACGTCCCATTGAGCAGACTCTCGTGAAACCGCGGAGATACTAGGTCCGAGACCGTCACGGTTATAGTATGATTTACGACCTTCAGGTCCAGCTTCATTCCTGCCTGAGTCGTTGACCAGGACCCTGACAAACGGCAAGGTAAGCCTAAAAATATCGCTCGTTTCACATATAAAGGGGAAGCCGGGACGCAGACACGGATACGTGGCGAGTTAAAAGTTTCTATTACCCTCTCTCTTGTTGTTCTTGCCGCGGTCCAGCTTCATCTCTTCCAATTCCTCCATGATCGTGTCGAGTAACTGGCCAGCAACTTCCTTGGTGTCGTGCATGGCGATGGAGATGTTCACGTTGTGGCTTTTGGTCTTTCCTCCCTCGTCGAACGGCGATGGATTATTGTTTAATATCCCGTTGTCGATCAGCTGTCTTCTGGGATAGCTGTCTCTCAAATTCTCGTCCCTAGAGATGGGATTTTTCAGGTAACTTGGACTCAGCTTGCGCTCCGTTGGTCGATCGAGCGTTTCGGGAAAAGACAAAGGATTGTTGAGTTTCTCCAGATTCGAGTTCGAATTCGAATTCTGATTCGCGTTGATCCCCAGGGACTCCAGGATCTTCCCCAACGGTTGATCCATCGCGTTAGGAACGTTTACAACCGGTAAATCATTTTTTGCTTGCAAGAATCTCATGCTCTCTGCCGGAGGTCTGTTCATCGTAATTGGTTCCAAGTTTCCCGGAAGTTGCAGATTGGTTCCCGCCGATGGACGATCGTACAAACTAAATTGATTAGAAAATTTGGGAACCTCCACGTTCGCCATTTGTGGTTCGACGCCTTCGTTCGCGTAATTAAATTGATCTTGATCGACGGGCTGTTGAGTTTCGTAGTTCTGTCGATTCCGATCGTCGCCATTGTTCTGCAAACCGGAAACGTTCGGGTCCTGTTCCGGTTCTTCCGGTGTGTCTTCGGTGCTGACCGGATACGCCATATTTAAATTCTCGTTTTGGTATTCCGGAAGTCTGTAACCAAGCGCGTCGTTCGGAAAATTATTCACGGAATCGTCGCTGTAGATAACGTCTTTGCTATGGGCGTCGTAATCTTGATAATACGGCTGGACATTGGTATCGATCTGGTTGTCGGTATAAAAGGACGTAGAATTTACAGTCTGCCGTGTGAATCGATCGTTAGGGTTCCTCAAGCTGGCCGCCCTTATCGGAATTTTGTTCGCCGCTAGGTCTTGGAGAACGTCGTCCTCGCTGTAATAATCCGAGTACTCGATCCCCTGGTCGCCGCCATTTTTTTTCGATGGATCCTTCGTGGTCGTCCTCATCAGACGTTCGACCATGTTTTCGTTACCGTGTAATTTTGTCAACGATATCGAAGGCTGAGTGTTCAACGGGGTAGAAAAATCGACGTAATCGGTATCGTCTACTTTAACGGCGGTAATTTTCACGTTCGATTTTGAGACCGGTTTATTCGAATTTCCATGCAGTTTCTTTCCAAACGCGTTAATGTCTCTTCTGGTGCTCAACATTCTCTGAGTGAAAGAATAATATTCAAACGTTTATCCAATGCGTAGTACGATATATTGCTCGACGAAGGGCTTAGGGTTATTGGCGAGTGGAGAACGAAGCTTACCTACCTTAGAGGATCCCCTTCTTGGCCATCCAGGCTGTTGGTTTCCGTATCGTCTATGGTGTCTAAAATAACCATGATTCTCTTACTTTTCCGAATCACCAAAATTGGATTTACTTTTATATTTCAAAGTGATTCTTCACAATTTTGGAAACGTACCTTTTTCTTTTCTTTTTCTGTCGCCCCTTGGGCCTCGTCTGTCTTCCATGTTTCTTAAAATCGCCGGAGGATTTGCGTCGCGGTGCTCCTGGCACCTTCACGGACGCGAACAGTTTGTTCTGTCTGTGAGAGGATCGTCCATGAGTGAGCTTGTGCATGGTCTCCTGCATCTTCGGGGATTTCAGAGCCTCCTTGGCCATTTTCCTCGCCAGATTTCCGTCTCCCGATCGGGGGATCCGGTTCTCCAACGAACCGACGCCGCGCGACCTCGAAACATGCTCGTCGGAGCGTCCGTGGTCGGATATCGCGTCTCTCTTCCCGAAAACATCATTTTCCCGCACCTCTGCCACCGCTTTGCTCTTCTCACCGTTGGCTTCGATGCAAACTGCGCTGATTAGTAGCGGAACGATCATGGTAAATCTGTTTGATAAAAACTTTTAGGCACTCGAAAAAATAGTTTCTCTCCGTTGAGTTTTATTTGAAATGGGTACCTTAATAAACTTAGCAGCATTCCTCCGCGAGGTAGATCGATCGAGAAACTGGCGCTGGTGCCATCGAATCGGTACACGCTGGATCTTCGAACTTTGGTACCTCGCTAATCACCGAACGGTTTCATTTCAATGTTATTCTAACGTTGTTGACTGTTTCCTCGATTGCGTGGAACAAATACGGTTTTTTCGTGCGTTATTTCTCCCGCAAGCTGACATATCCCCGTGATAAAGGTTCAGAAAAAGCGCTCGCGCGGGATTCGATGCTCGTTTCTCGTCGATCAACTTTTGTCATCTCGACGATAAATCGGTATCCACACGTAATGGAAGCCAGCGCTGTCGTTACGAATTAATATCAATGTTAAAATTGCAAACAAGAAACTCAATTTGAGTATAGAATATTTATAGAATCGTTCGTTATCCCTCGATATATTTCTTCAAAGCGTCGCCGGAGCACAAATGGTCTTTGATGGCCGCGAAACGGCTACGAAGAAACCGTGACCATTCGTTCGTTCCGGAAAGGCACACGCGCGTGCTTAAATCTACGAAAGCGCGCATGCACGTGCGCCTCTAGATACGCGTGCATATATTTCGCGTAGGGTCGATCTCGCCGCGATCAAAGCGACTTGGACCGTCGCCAAGTACACGCGTCGGCCTCAATTAGTCAGATATTACGTATGAATGTCCTACACGCGGCTACTCTGCATTAATAACACGGAAATGAACTTATAGCCGTCTGTTGCGTCCGAACCAAACGCGTCTTTTAATCTCTTTTACCACCGGGGGATGATTCACTTTTACTCCAAAACGTTTCTCGGCCCTTACAAAGCAGAGTTTCGGCAAAATGTGATCCAATTAAGGGTTTACCATGCTATAATTTTGCTTTGTTGAAAGCGAACGCGAAAAGAAACGCTGCCTCGCACGAGGACCGCGCCCACGATTTTATGCAACGCCCTGGAAACGGAAGCAGCGAGATTACAATGGCTGTATAATTAAGGGGTTGTCTTGGGTGGTTACGATTACAAGACTCTGGTTTTTTAGAAAATTGTCGAAGCAGTACTAGTGCTTTTGCTGCATTCTGCCATGGTGTGGTTTCTTCAGGCTCAGCGTGAGATCAGTAGAAGGGACGTGTCTATTGATTTCCTCTTGTCACGAATACCTCGCTGCTACGGCCGCTAATTCGTTATCTTCTTTAATTCGTTTCCTATTCGAACACAATTATTTATGCTTTAGTCAACCTCTCAGCGGTGGAGACTATTTTTATAAGTTTGTATCTACCTTCTGACACTGAAATATTACACTGAAAATTGCCATTCCTGAAGGAGTCGATGGAGAAGCTATTTGTAAAGAATATAAGCTCCTGAAATTTGGAAATTAAAGAGACTCGTGACCCGCCACGATTACTTTCAACCGACAGGTTTCCTCCACCGGAAGCGAAGAAGTGGCCCCCATAACAGGGCATATCTCGTGTGTCGTAAAAGTACATCGGGGCGGTTACGTTGCACGGGTGGCTGTATTAAAACCAAGTCAGAACACAAATAGACTCCCAACGATCCGTCGAAGTACCATCGGCGCCGGACAGAAGCCAGGCTTCGGTGCAGCAAAAAGGACGAGTCCCGAGTGGCTAGCTGCCGGCGAAATTATGGTCGGTACAACGGATAGCAAACACAACGCGCGTATCGGCGGTGGACCAGCAGAGAAAACCCTGGAGACACGTAGGCATTGATTATTATTAGAACCCAGCCAAAGTACAACCGATCTACGCACGTCTGGGGAACGATATTACAAGTGCATCGCGACGACCAAGATATACTCGACTCTCGAAAGCTCCTGGACCATGATTTTTTCACGCGATGGACCCTTTCAAACGGGGATTTACCAGACAAACTGTCCAAAGGAGCTCCGTCTCTGAGGGGAGGTTCCTTGGGGACCTACAACACACGAAATTTCTTAATATAGAAAATAAAATAATTGTAAAATAGATCGATCGGAGTTAACATTGAAACGGTACCCAATCTTTTCTAAAAATTCTGATCGCTGGTTTCCAATTCCATCCTCTTCGGTATGTATACTTTGACTTGTTGCGCATTGTGATAATTGTGAAATCGCCAGTATTTTTAAACAGATCGATGCATCTCTCGATTGCGCAATCGAGCATTTCTAATTATTTAATTAAACCTTGGCGCGCGTACAGCCGCTTCGACGAACGCGAATCGAAGCACATAAGCGATCAGAAATTTATTTCACCAAACGATAAGGGGTCTGCGATATTTATCGCGGAAGCGGATTTCGATGGTCACGAGTATCGTCCAACGATAATTCACAATTGTGTAATAGTCGGCGAGCAATTAACCCTTGGCGCGGGGACAGCGACGGAGATGAGAATACCAAAGGTCGCGGTTTCTTCGTTCCTCCTGCAAAACAGAGTCGTATTATTAGCAGGAACAATGGAATAATTTTTTTACAACAATTTAAAATTTTTTTTTCAACGGAAAATTTCAGCACCTACTCGAATTTTTTTCTCGAAAGTGCGTAGTTTTTCGAGGGTATGTCTATTCACAAAAAATGATTGTAATCGACCCCCGTAACCAAAAATAATTTTTTTAGAATGATTGAAAATTTTTTTTTTTGATGGAAAATTTCGGCACCTACTCGAATTTTTTTCTCAAAACTGCGTAGGAATTCGGAGGTATGTCTATTCACAAAAAATGCTTGTAATTGACCCCCGTAACTAAAAATAATTTTTTTAGAACGATTGGAAATTTTTTTTTTTTATGGAAAATTTCGGCACCTACTCGAATTTTTTTCTCGAAAGTGCGTAGGAAATCGAGGGTATGTCTATTCACCAAAAATGATTGTAGTCGACCCCTGCAACCAAAAATAATTTTTTTAGAACGATTGAAAATTTTTTTTTTTTATGGAAAATTTCGGCAACTACTCGAATTTTTTTCTCGAAAGTGCGTAGGATTTCGAGGGTATGTCTATTCACAAAAAATGCTTGTAATTGACCCCTGCAACCAAAAATAATTTTTTTAGAACGATTTGAAATTTTTTAAATTCGTCGAAAAGAGTTCCGGTCGGTATGGCAGTCAAATTGTCCATGGGGTGTAAGGTGCACTCTTATACCTCGTCTGTGGGTGAGAACTACTATCGCTTGCACGCAGCTGTTCGCAGATTATCATTCTACAAGCAGAACTTTAAACATTAATAACTTTTTACGAAGCCTCGATCGACAAATTGGTATTCTTGATCTTCGTCTTATTTTGGTCTCCAGAATCTCCCGTTAAAATTTGTCCCAGGGTTGGTCGAACATCCTGTGTACAATACGCAAGTTGTGTACATAAAGTTGACGTAGGTGTGATCGAAGAATGCCGGCGATATCGAACGTATGCAGGTGCGAAACGATTTAACAACAGGTGCTCGGTTGGCCGGGCCATCGGTGGATGGGACGTCGGACAACAGAAGACGACGCCTGGCCGCGCGGTCATCGAAAGAACCGAAGAAAGGAAAGAAGACGACGACGTCGACGGCGATGCAGAGGACGAAGAGGTGGCGATGAAGAGGCGCGGCGGAGGGCGTCGGGACGCGTCGCGGCTGGCATTGGTAGCAGTCTCGAGATAGCCGCCGGCTGGCTTCCTCACTGCCTCGGGGGATTTATTCGGGGATTCCGAGCGCAAAGTGGTGAACCGATATCCAGCGGCCGATCCATCGATCGCGCTCAGAGCGATCGACGACGCCCAGGGAGCCGCGGTCGCCTGCGAATTATCGCCCGGGGGAGAGACCTGAAACAGACAAAAAAAAAAAAACGTAACGGTCAACAGTTTTGTGGAGGTGAGTCTAGGCGACGATGGCATTTTCCTAGGCCACTTTCCTGCTAGTTCTTTTCCTCTTCCACTCGCCGTCACCGTGTCAGCTACTCGTCGTGCTATTTTCGTGAGTGTTGTGCAAGTGTCGAACGCCATTCGTCGTGGCTTTCGGTACCCTCGAACCATCGAACCTTGTTCCTACCCCCTTGGGCACAACGTTGGTCCCGTGCTCGCAGATTTTCGCGGTTGGCCTTGAATCGTGAATTTCGTCTGATTATTTCGGGACGCAACCATGGACGGGACACCGGTGGTTGTGCGATTGTAAAATAAAGATTGCGCGAACGCCGGCCTTGGGAGACGCTGCAAAACATTCCAATGCTCTGAAATTCAGAAATTTACACGATTCGAAGAACCTCGTTTTTTCGTGGTCGTTTGTGATTCTTTTCGATCTATCGGTTCTCCGTCGACGCGTACATTTTGGGGATTTGTTATCGTTGTTGGCTATTAACGGTCGTTTTCTGGGAAACCTGGTGTCTATCTCGTAGGTCGTGAAACTGTCGACGCGATGACGGAAATGGAATGCTGTCAACCCGCCATGCGGAAGCGCGGTGCAACGAATCTTTCAGTGATCGATAACTTTCTTTCGTACGCGAGTGACTGACGGTCCTCAACCACCGTTCGAAACAACTTAGCTTAATAATAATTAATCCCAGCCTCTTCGTAAGACGCGAAACTTTATTGCAAATAATTTTGTATCATATACATACTATCTATTCAACACGTGTGTTTATGTACATAGAATGCTTCAGAAACCGTGCAATAATTTTTCTAAATATATTTTGTCCAAGACACCTTAATTAACCAAACCGATAGCGATCGATATCAACTATCAATTTTGTGAAATGTTACTAAAATTCCTTTCTTTTCTAACATCTACAGTGTCCTGTCAATAGTCTTCTAGGACCCCAGTATAATTACACTGTAATTATCCAATGGTTGCACCCTGTAAAAATTTGCAATTTTTATTACACCGGTCAGAGTTCACAAGAAGCGTTTGTCAAGCTCTAACCCTTAAGTGGACTCTCAATCCCAACCGAATTGCTATACTCAATGTTGATTTTTACCAAATTGGTTCGAAGCATTTAAAAAATAATTATTACATAAATTTTCAAATAATTACATCGTATATCAAGTAATTGTTAGTTGCAGAGGGGCCCGATAATTCACTCAGGGGTTAAGAAAGGTTGATTTTGCACGGTCGTAACGAACCGGAACCGGCGTTAGCGCGAAGAGGATGGACGCTGCCGTCTCTAATAAACACATCGCGCGAAACCCGCGGGCGAAATGTAATTCTGTGTTACGTGCCCAAGGTGCCTCATAAAATAGCTGTGCTATTTTACTGGCACAGTTTCCCCGCGAGTCGAGTGCATCCGGTGAATCAAACCGTGGGGGTCCCGTCTCGCGCGAAGGCCAAGTTTTTAGCCTCGCGGAAAGATGACTGAACGTGCGTGCTCGCGATCGAGACAGCGCACCGTTTACTACGTCCAACCGGAAATAACAAACCGCGTTCTATTCTGATCGAAGAATCGCCGCTCTCGCGAACCGTGTTAGAGTCAATTGTCTATACAAATAGTCGTGCAGGATCTTCGCACGACGGTTATTTACAAAGTACATTTAAACAAATCCCCTCGATCATCTTGGCGAGCTTATTCTTTAAACTCGTAAGCTCTCTGAGCGCGTGAAAAATTTTATGGGAATATACCGAGGCGATTCAAAATTATTTTATCATTATATCGACTCTGACTTTAATTCGTTATCGTGCAGTGACTTTAATTGGATTCGCGGGACGTGTATATTTTCATTAGGCCAGATGTAACATTTATGAACTCCCCGGTGCCATTTATCTTACCAAGTTACCCAGAATCTGAAAGCTGAACTCTAAATTCTAAATAGCTGATAATTTATTTAACTCTCACCGATAGGACGGTCCCAAACGATTGTGTCTACGATGTAACGTTAGTCGTTGCACGAGTCAATTGGGTTTCCGGAGCAAGTATATTTTCATTGGACGGCATCAAAGGGTGTTTATCGGGGTGGGCGCGATAATGGCTCCTCGATCGCGTTGTTCGCGTCTGTGTCTGGCGCGGCATTTATTTGCTCGTGACTTTACGTTACACCGCGTGGATTTCGGCGTCGGAATCAATGGCGGAAGTGACCCGATTAGCAGTGAAATACAAGAAAATGCGGCCAACCCCGCGCGGTGTGCTAGCGGGCCAGCCAATCGGACGAACGAGTACGGGTGCCGCGTGTCGGAAATAGATTTCGCTCAAACTAAAGGTTGATCCACCGACGCCGCTTTAACCATCTACGTAGAACGTTCGATCTGTCGCCCCATGAAATCGATCGAATCGTTTCGACGACATTCTTTCACCGGGATATTTTAATTTGCCGCGCGAAATTTGCGCGGGATACGGAAGTAAGTGGGAAATCACTGCGCACGCGCACCACGCCAATCAGAGTTCTTCCGGTTCCGAACCCTTTCGTTTTAATGCATCGTTACACTTGCAATATAACAATTATTTCAACGATTGTTGTATTATATTATTTGTACCTTTATGGGAGACTTTGATCGCCGTACCGTGAGACAAATGAAGAACAGAAATTCGAGTACTTACATGAGCGGAGATAGCAAGGTGAAAGGTTAGGGTTCAGCTTATTGTTCCTTTACGAGCTTATTACACTTATGATTCGACGCATATCGAGACTATGAAGCTCGTTAGACACGTATTTCGAAAGACTTGGACAATATTAACGTTATGAAATGAAGCAGAGAACAGTTGTCGACCGTTTCGAAGTCGATAAGTTACCAACTGGCCGAAAAAGCGTTTACGCCTTTACTGAAATTCGAACCAGGATTTCGCGATGTCCGTTAAGGTGGCAGCACCGTTACGAACAATACGATCGTATAGTAATCCCCATGAAGCGAATTAAAAATTGCAATGATTACAAATTAACGGTGATTCACGTGTCGTTTCTTGTTTCTGTATTTTAGAATGACGGTGTAATGTGGAATTCACTACGATGGCTTCCAACATTTCGATTACATCTAAAACGAAACAAGGCAAGTTACCCTACGATTACATCCTGTTTACTACCATTATAATATAGGTTAAATCGTATCGTTAATCTCTCGATCGCGATCATGAAAACTCGCAAAAATTTTAAAGACTGTTTCGAGGGTAAAGTTTTCCAATCTTTGTACAGAAATCTCAGCGGAGGTAATTCGAGTCACCAGGAGAGAGGGAGTCACGATCGCGTCATCGGGCAGGGTGAGTTCCACTTTCAATTTCAAACCTTTTAAATCATAAAAACGATCGCGTGAACGTTCGAAATAGATCCGAGTGTCTCTAAATTACGTTAATAACCGATAGTTATGGTTTTACGACGATGAGAACGACTATCAATAAGAATTAACGGAAGCTTCTATGCGTTGCTCGCAATAACCGCGACAAGGGACTCTCCGGCGCTTATTATCGTGCGTTCTCAAAGGTGGCCCAGCGGAATAAAGCTTAGGGACACATCAAACGTTTTTGAGTAATTGGTTAAACGGCAAGTAACAAGATGTATATGCCTGCACACTAAATACGTTACGTCACGATACCACCATCTAAATTAAACTAAAACCAAGGCGCACCACGAAGGTAGATAGAATATCTGGTTCGATGCCAAAGCCTGAAGACAACCAAGAACTCACCGCCATTCCAACTACTCCCGCAATGCACGAACACGTCTCTCATTCTTCTCGACGATCGCTTCTCCTCCTCCTCCTCCTCTTGCGGTCGCGCTGTCGCTCCCTTTCGTTGGCTCTCTCACCCCTTAATTCACTCAAGGCGAATTCTTTTTTTTTTCTTTTTTTTCTTGCTCGTCCCGGTCGACATGATTTACACGAAACGCATTCTGTCAGTGTTTCACGCTTCCTGGAAGAGCAGTCTATCGGTATCCGTCGTCGCGGACGCCGTGCATGCCGTACGATTCCGAAACGTCTCGTTTCCATCCTTAATTAGGCTTTAATTAATTGCTAAATCTCTGGAATTCTTTACCAACCTGGGAAAGAAACGCTACCAATAAATAGGATTGGATAAAATCAATCAAAATATTGTCCGATATATTGTAGGGGGAAAAAAAAAATGTCAGTAGAATGTGGACAGTGTTGAGTAATTTTTATTTAGTCTCTAGACCCACGAAGATTGATCGAAACGTCTGACCCAATACGATTCGTGATTCGTGCCAGATCCGGCCTTTTATTCTTCTCGCATTAAATAAGAACAGTTTAATCTAGAGAGGAATATTCTTTGTGCAATTCTTCTTGAAATGTTCCATCCATGGGGCGTCCTCGTCTTCGTTTCCAGCGTCCATATTGGTATTCCAAATAACGTGAGATCGTTCTCGCGACCGCAAATTAATTTCCAATAATTTTCCAGCGCCTCGAGTTTTTGATTCCCACGATAACGGAACCAAAGATCGCCTGTTTTACGTTGAAGAGGTTTTTGGCAGTACATCAAAGTAACAGGTTCGTTGCCAATGATCGTTCATCGCCTGAAAGAAGCTTCGCGAAGAAAGTGTTGGGTATTTACTAATACACCTGACATTCGACGAGAAACAGAGCTTATGTACATTATCTGGTGAGAAAACAATCGATGCCTTTCCCCCCCGTCATACGCGGAGGTGATATTAATTCAATGTTGCTTGTGAAAACAAATCGCATCGACGCTGATTTTGCACAGCCACGATCCAGACTCTCAATATTGACGATCATAGCCGTATCAATGACCCCTGTAATTATGGACCTCGTAACTCTGGGCTGCTTTAAACTTAGATATTGCTTTTGAGTTCTCGATTCGGAAGTGAGTACCGCCTGTTGGGACTTCGGGGTCGTCGACATCGGATTTCCAAGACTCTGGTATCCATAATATCGAATTACAGACCCTTAAAAATCCTGTTTACGTTCCAAATTATCCCTTTTGCAGATCACGTTCACCTTCCTGCACCGTAAGCCGACCCTTTCGAAGATGTCCTGACCTTTCTGGAGTTAGCAGTATCAAAATGACAGTTTTTGGAGCAACAAGCCATCGGTATAGTTTCATTGAACGTCTCGTAAATATTCTAGCGTCAAACTGGCCATTAAAAATGTCACGTTCTGGCTCGCTGCTATTAAGTATTAAATTTCTTAAGTACTTCGACAGTACAAATCCAAATATCTTAATCGTTCGCGGTCGCCGGCTAAGTTATGTTTAGAATTGGCTTTCATTTAATCATAAATCACCGGTTAAACCGGTGCTCGGTATAAAATACGCGTGAATGGTTCAATATACGCGACCGGATTGTGTAAATGAAACCGTGGAAATAGCGTTTCCATCTATTATTGCATCGCCCCGTGTCCGTTTTCAAGGTGACTCAGCCAATAATTTATTTAACGCTGAATAATTCTATCGAGCCGCCATCCCCGAACGGACGAGACGACTTAATTAATATATCGTCACCGCTTTGCGCGAGGACATCGTCGGATGATTTACAACGAACGTGTCGTCCGAATTATTCGTCTCTGGCCGTCATAAGCGATCGAATTTATAACCCGGGGTAACGTAATCGTCCGTAGATCCTGATTATCGTCGATGACGACGCGTTAAGGCTAAACGCACAGACTAGCGTCGCGTTAGTTGACCGTGACTCGGGACCGTGTCTGGCCATTTATCAAGGCGGATACGCTTCCACGAATTCGTCACGAAACGGCTGGATTGGTAACTGTTTTATTCATTTGTAATTTTTAAATTTGTAATTGAGCTCTATTGTAAACGACTCGGAATTTCTTTATTTCCAGTGTACGATCGGATCGAAAGGTTTAGGCGGTAGCGTGCGTCTCGTGACGACTCGTCTTTGGCAACTCGTCAAAATCGTGGATTATAACTCGTCGAAGCGCCAATAGAAACTGCGGTACTCGTACCTCAAGCGGGAACTTTACGGCCACTTAGTTTCGATAAATAACGACAGCCTGTCAGTCGGATGTTTGGCAACTTGAACGCCATACACGAGCCACTGTCGGCTGTGAAAACAATGCTGCACCGCGCGCGTCGCCATTTTTCATCCGTCGACCCGTTACGCGACAGACTCTAGGCCAGGGATGGCGGCCTTTCGAGGCAAATTATTGAAGGTTGGTAGGAGAGATTTCAACGATCGTAATCCATGGGTACGTTTAGTGTAGAAGCTCGTGAGATATTCGCCGAATGACATGTGGCCTTCCAATGCCAAAACATTCCTCCAAGAAATATATAAAATAGACAATACTGTACGCAAGTTAAAACTTCTCGTCTCCCGTGAATTATCGCCGAGGAACCGGCCAAGACGCGACAGAAACAATTTGATGTAAATTAGCGTTAGCCTTGGGCCGTCTAGAAGTCATTACGCGGCCATAAGTTGTACCATTATCGTAAATTATTTCCCACGATCGAAAAACAAAGCGTTCCGCGTTGTTTTAATAATCGGAGAACCAACTGTCGGTGGTTGCGTGTCATTTAGCTGCGGAGAGGCGTCTGGCAGCGTCGCGACGTCCGGGCAGCCGTTAGAAAATTAACAACCGCGACGATACAAATTTCGATTCGCTAAAACCACACATTGTCGCGACCATTCCTGAGATTCGCGGCCAACGTGCCAGAGCGTCGCGTTTCGTTCGGCGGTAAATTATTTCGAATCGAACCGCGTGACGAATTAACGTCGACAAATTGTCCGTCGAATCCACCGATGGCAAAGTATCAATCCCGGCGATCCTTATCGATCGGAACGCGCGCGCATCTGTTGGCAACGGGCGTATCGAGAATTTCGTGCCGATAATCGTGCAGAAGCGTGACTGAAAAATGGTAACAGGTGTCTTATTCATCTTTCGCAAATTGCGGATACTGACGCGTGCACGCGCCAAATTTATCACCCACTATATCACTTGCTTTGCACCGTTGCACGAGTCAAAATAAATAAACTCGCCTGTCGCCGGGCATTAGTCATTGTTCAACCGCAAAAATCGGACGTAGCAATTCGCAGATCAATGGGAAATATTGTACGATGATACCAAGGTACAACGGTTGCTGCTAGAGAATTTTTTTAAATTCTTTGTGTATCTATTAGTGGGGAACCCTGGAGGAAAGTTGAGTGTGGTTAGTTAGGATGTTTAGACTTTGTAGATGCTAGAGAGGATTAGGGAAACAAAGTGGGAAAGAGTCGTGGCGCCTCCTAATTTATAATTGGTGTGACCCTAACCGTCTGACTTGTGTCTGGAGCGTATGTCTACGGTAGCACGTAGCTGACGTCGCCCGAGCGGCGATAAATCAGCTTTTATACAACTTGCGACAATATCCCGGGGTCCAAGGCGGGGTCTGCTAGAAAATTCAAGAAGAAACGAAGTTTGAAAATATCTGAAGCTTATTAAATTCTGTACGAAGTCGCGTCGAAGTTGTCGAGTTTGTTAAACCCCGGTTACCGAACTCGTAGTTCATTTATTTTCTTCTGTCCATCTGTCGCGGACTTTCGAACAGTCCGCGGGACGAATACACGCTCTTCGATAATTTTAGACGATCGGATCGGTCGAGATATTTCATATCATACCCGGTAACTAGGTCGAGAATAGTTTCTCACGCGTACAGTCAGGAAAGCCGCGCGATTTATATCAAATACTGACGCAACCGCTCCTAAAGAAAGAAATTGGGCCTGCGGGTAGGCGTTCGTTGCAACAATCGAGAACGCTTTAAATAGCCAGGCGTCAACATTGCCCTTTTTAACGGTTGTTTGTTAAATAATTACTGCAAACATCCTGCGTGGTCCACGAAAGCTCACTTTTTTGTGTTTCGTAAAATTCGAGATCTTAGGGTACTAGCTACTTCGAAGTTTGCAAAATCGTTTCGGTGGAAAAGAATTTAAAAATGGTCATCGATTAATGATTGAATTAGGATGAAATAGAGCAGAAAATTTTCAATGGATTGCAAGAGATAGGAAGGATGTAAAGAAAAGGTCCACCCTGGTGTGGACGCCCTTAGCGCGCGCGAGGAGGCACAGGTCCCCGGAGCCGTGCAACTCCGTTCTAAAGATGTATTGGAGAAGTGTAAGAAGGGTAGCTATTTCTGGTCGTGGGGAGCCGAGAGACTCGTCGCGCAAACGGCTCTTAGCCACTTCGTACATCGAGTAGTCTGGCGTTAGCCGCGTATCGCAATATACGCTATTCGGCAGGAACCAGGACGGGAATCGTGCGTGTGCCGTGACACGCGTGCCCGTTCGATTATTCTACCCAGTGATCCGCCAAAAGTTCCCGCGAGACGAGCAACCGCGAATCGTGCGACGTTACGCGATCATGCACGGTCCACGACCAACGACCCTCGAATACAAATCGAAATCGTTCCTCTCTTAACGATCTTGGTATCGATATCTCGAACCAGTGCGATTAGTTCCGCTGTATCAGTGAACTTCTGGAATCCCAGACTTCCGGTAAACGATAGGCCAACGTACGATCGAGGCTGTGCACGCGTCGTATATCCCTACGAGTTCGATGCATCATCCGTACGTTCTGACGTACAGAGTGCAGTGCACCGTGAAAGTAGATGGTGGTTCGTGAAGATCGGTGAAAGTGACGAGAGTGGAAGGGCTCTCGACGCTCTTCGTGAATCGATATCGATTTTCATTCGACGCGAAACGAGTTGCAACGTAGTTCCCGAGGATTCTCTCGATCGTAGCAGAGTTCGGGGAAAATAATTATCCAGGCTTCCCCGTTCACGGTGGATCATCGTAGGCGTTGCTTGACAAACGCGAAATATGTCAAGCTAACGTCAGTCGTTGGTCGATGCCCCTTGCCAATCGAGGAGCAGAGGCGGCCAAGAATCCGCGGGAAAATAAGTCCGAGGGGTCAGTTTGGTGGTGCCTAGGGACGGAACACCGCCGCGAAAGAATAGGCTCTCTTTTCTACGACGAGGAAATCGCCGAATTGGCCGACTACCAGCCACGGGGACGAAGAAGAGCTCCCACGGAATCCTCGCAGGCATCCCGCACGTAAAAATAAACCGTGGCTCTCGGGCCGACGCCGGCGGCGGGTTCGACGAAAACTTTTTAACGAGCACGCGATGAAAACGACGCGCGACCGTCGGCAGGAGAAATTGCCGCGAGAATAACGTTCGACCATTCGATCGAACCGAAATTCTACTCGATAGGAAGCTTCAAGATTAAACAAAAGTATTCTTCTGTAAATTAGATATGAACCACCCAATTGTACAGAACATAAAATCAACAAAATTGCCGTAGATTTTGCAGCCACGATAATGTGATTGATTGCAACCGTGATGAGATGAATTATGGCGAGAAAGGAACAGCGTACGTGTCGAGTGACGCCACGGCGGACGCCAGGAAGTCGCGAGCGAACGATTTAACACAAAAGACCATGGTCCTCGTCGTTGGGATGCCAAGTTTCTAATCCGACCGTTCGAAAAGAAGATTCTAAAATCTCTAGCCAGAGATCGTACGATCTGTCGAGGACTATCGAGGATCCGGTGAGCTCAAAGCGAGAACGATGTCCTTTTGCAGAATAACGGGGCGTAGCAGGGGCCTGCCCAAGCCGAACTATTTCCCTCTTCTGCCGCCCATCAGTCCAGCGGACGCGAAACGCTTCTGTCGTATCACTGGAAAGTCCTACGGTCTGCCCACCCACCACTACATTCCAGTCCTCCTGGGCGTGCACACCCACGACAAGTCGAAATGCAAGATCACGAACGCCTCTGGTCTGGGACCGCATCACTACACGGCTGGCTTCGTCCTGGGCGAGAAGAAGAAGCACGTCATCCTCAAGGACTACCGCTATGTGTTCCCGATCCTTGAGGGCGAGGGTGAGCAGCAGAAAACCTTACGAAATCTGCTCAGCGCGAAGCAACCGCCGCCGGAGGAGGAGGAGGCAAGATTCGTTTACACGGTCGAAGAGCGACGATGCAGCCTGGTGTTCCCCTCCAGGCTGGAAGCAGCGGTCAGAGACGGAGACGTCAAGGACGTGATGCTCTCCAGGGACTGCGACACCGTGCTCTTCAGGCTGAAACAGGGGAAGAACGTGTCCGTGGACTTTAAGAACCTGGAGGACTTCGAGAACCTCTACGACGGGCTAGGACCGCGAGACGACGTGCTGAAGGAGCGAGAGAAACAGGAGGCAGAGGCCAAGAAACGGAAGAGGAAGAGGCAGGCAGGATTGAACTACGCCAAGAGGATCTTCGAGGAGAAGGAGAAGGCTGCCGACGAGGAGGAGCTCAAGAGGACCAAACAACTGAGGCTGAGGAGCGTCAAGGAGGAGACCGTGGAGGAGAAGGTCGAGAACTGGAAGCACGTGAACCTGGAGCAGGCTAGGATCAGAGCCTGCGACCTGATCTCCGCGACGAGCTCCCTCAAGGACACGGCCAGGTCTCTGCCGCAGACTCTGGACTGGAACACGTTCCAGGATGCAGCCAAGAAATCCCCGTTGCATCCTGTCGTGGACAAATTGCCAAATCCCATCACCGCGGAGCCTAGATTGGTCGAACAGGGTGCCACGTACGCTTGCACCAGTCCCATTTCAGAGAGCACCGGAGGATTCGAGGCGATCTCGATCGTGAAGCCATTGACGCCGTTAAAAATAGAACCCGACGCTGCTCTTCAATCAGCGATACAGAGTATTCCGTCCAGCGACCGTAGGAGAGTCTCCAACGTGAACGTGAAGCTTCTGCAGGCCGGCGAGGAGGCCCTGGACCAGCTACCGCGCGTAGATGAAATCCCAGAGCTGGTGCAGAAAATTAACGAGGGTAAAGAGACTACTGTTCACAGGATCAAAGGTCTCAAGCTGGACATAAAGTCTGCCCAGCGATTCGTCACTGGTCAGACGGTGCAGACACCAACGGGGCCTGTTTTCGTGCCTGGCCAGACCCTGCAGACGCCTCAGGGGCCCACCTTCGTCCCTGGTCTGACCGTCAACACCCCGGACGGTCCCATCCTCGTTCCAGGACAGATCTTCAACGTCAAAGACACGCCTGTCTTCGTGGCTGGACAGACCCTGCCAACGGAGAAGGGTAGCCAGTTTCTTCAGGGTCAGACTTTCCACACGAACGACGGAGCCAGGTTCGTGCAAGGTCAAACCGTCCTGACGGAGGAGGGTCCCAAGTTCGTGGCAGGTCAAACGGCCGAGGATGGAAGCTTCGTTCCCGGTCAGACTATAGTTACTCCCGATGGACCGAGGTTCATGCCGGGTCAAACGGTCACCGATCATCGCGGAGAACAGGTCTACGTGCCTGGACAGAGCGTGCAGATCGGAGAATCCTGGGAGTTCGTGCCTGGACAATGTATAGAGTCCACCACTGGGGAGACCAGGTTCGTTCCTGGCCAGACCATCCCCACTCCCCAAGGTCCACAGTTCGTTCCTGGTCAATACGTTACCACGAACTCTGGAGAAGGTCGTTTCGTGCCTGGTGTGGCCAAAGACACCGAAGAAGGGACGATGTTCGTCCCAGGGTTGACGCTGGACACTCCAAAGGGTCAGAAGTTCGTGGAGGGTCAAGTCCTGAGGACCCCGGAGGGCGACAAGTTCTTCCCAGGGCGAACCAAGCTGTCCAAAGAGGGCTTCGAGTTCGCAGCTGCCAGCAAGTTCGACGAAGTGGTGTTCCACGATGCGGGACCGGTTGGTATACCCGTGGACCCCAAAACAGCCAACGTATCTTCCTCTCAGCAGACGGAGATCTTTGGCCACATGGTACAGACAGAGAGGGGCGTGGAGTTCTATCCAGAGGATGCCAAGAAACTCCCGGAAGGGAAGAGGATCGTTCCGGGTCAACTGGTGCGAGGTGGAAAGGATGGTCCGCGTTTCGTACCAGGCGTGATGACCGAGGACGGCTTTCTGCCTGGTCAGATCGTAATGACCGAGAAGGGCGAGCAATTCGTGCCTGGCCAGGTGATAGACACCAGCACCGGGCCCAAGTTCGTCCCGGGCCAAATGGTGGAGACTCGAACAGGCGCCAAGTTCGTTCCTGGTCAGACGGTGGACACTGCTGACGGTCCACGGTTTGTACCGGGTCAGATCGTCGAGACCAAAGTGGGTCCCACGTTTATCCCCGGTCAAGTGATCTCCACGGAGGACGAGGGGTCTAGATTCGTGCCTGGCCAGGTGGTGGACACTCCGGACGGTCCCAGGTTCGTGCCAGGTCGCGTCGTAGAGTCTGGAGAGCTAGGAGTGACCTTCGTGCCTGGTCAGATAGTCCAAACCGAGGAGGGACCGCGGTTTGTAGCTCCAGACTTAACAGACACCCCAGAAGGAGAGGTAGAGTTCTCTGTGCAAGGGTTCGAAGTCACTCCCGAGGAGCTACGGTTGCTGAGACCTCAGCATCTTCATTATAATCCTCACGTCCAACATCAGGGTGAGACCAGCATCGACGCTAGGATGCTCAGACAATTATCCGAGGCGGGATTATCGGTTGGAAGAAAAGTCTCCAACGATTTGCCTGCTGTGGACGTTGACGTGGACCCGAAAGCTGTAGCTTTGGAACACGCTTTGGTAATGGCGGAGAAGCTTGGACTGCACGGCGGCACAGCGGTGAAGATGGCGCAGATAGTGTCCACTGTTGATCAGCTGGCAAAGAACATCGCTGCTCAACAGGAGCTCGAGGAATACCAAGGGACTTCTAACTTGATCAATGGCGTAAAATCTCCAATTGCAAAGTCTGATCGCACGGAAGAGCAGCAGGGTAATGGCAACAGCAACAACGACTGGCTCAGAGACGCCATAAAGACCGCAATGTCCAGCGCTGTTCTAGCGATTACCACCCAATCTATGGACATCAACGACATCAAACAGGACTTTGTTTATTCCTGCATCAGCGAGGCCCTCAACGTCCTCCTGCGCCAGAAGAACACCAGCATCGAGGAGTCCGTGGAGGAGATCCTCCAGATACTCTTGGTCCCCCAGAACAGAAGCAGCCTCTGTCACTCGGCTTTGTTGGAGCTGATAGACAACAAAAACAACAAAGTGGATATCCTCAAGTCCACCGTCGTTGGTCGTTCCTTGAAGGACGACGTGGTCCTGGACAGACTGTCCATGGTCCTCGAAGAGGAGACTGGAACCGACCTGGTCGGTCCAGCGTTCAGAACAGTCTCCAAGAACGACTCTGAACTGGTCTCTCGAGTGCTCCAAAAGGTCTCCGAAGAGGTGGACACGATCGCTACGGAAAAGGAGGCGATCGACACGGTCCACAGAGCGATCGTCCACGCTGTCAGGGAGTCCAGCGAGATCCGGGTGCAGGAGCTGCTCGACGACGACGGTGAGAACGTCAGAGAGATGCTTCTTCAGGCTGTAGGGCTGGCCAGGGCTCTCGGTATGTCGGGTACTGCTAACAGTCTTCTAGCGGTGGTCAGCGACGAGAAATCAACGCGAGTTTTAGCCAGCGACAGAGTGACTCTGGACGTCCTCAGAAGGTTGACGGTGATGAGGAAACTAGCCGAGGAGAGGCCACCATTCATGAACGTCCTTGGACAGCTATGCAGCGACCCTGAATTGGCGAGGACCGATCCACGACTGAGGACCCTCGTTCGAGAGAGCGCAGCCCTGATGATCGTCCCCGAAGAGGCACCTCTGCAATCGTCCGCGGACGTGCCAACCGCTTTGCTGCACTCCGACAACAGTCTCGCAATGGAGGAGTTCCTCCTGAGAAGAAGCCACAAACCCTCGAGCATCTTCATGATTCTCAAACAGGGAATACAAGCTGTTGTTCCCAGAGAAGCCTCCAGGTCTGTTCTGACCGGTCAGGTGGCATACACGGTTCTCGACGAAGATGGAATCCACTATTTCGAACCTCTTCACGTCTTCTCGGCGCTCAGACTCAACCGTCCCACCGCCCATCGGTTCTCCATGTACTGTTGCCCAGTCGCCAAAGAGGAGGACGTGGACATCGAGATCCTGTCCACGTTCACGGGTACCACCTCCATCGGCAGTAGCCTGGACGGATCTGGTAACGGAACGTACCAGAGGCAGGAAAGCAACGGCGTCGTTATGTCGAGGTCGGATCGATCTCGTGGGTATTCTGCCAGCAGAGAGAACACACCTAGTCTGAGAAGATTGAGCAACTTCCAGCAAGACAATAGCTGTGAGCGGGTAATGTAATGGGAAAGGGGATAGAGAGTCCTTCCTTTCCTAAACACGATTATTCCACGGACATTGTCGACCTCCATTTTATAGGTTCTCGAATTTAACGATTTTTATTACAGATTAAAACGACCGAACGATTATAACTTAGAGCTCCTATGTAGTTGTACATTTTAGAAAATAGAATCTGCAGAGAGAGAGAATGCAGACAAAGTGCCTGAACGTAACTCCTACGCCGCATCCAATTAAATTTTCTAAACTGTCCCGGAAAAGTTCCCGTCAGTATGAGTTTCTTTCCCTGTTGCAGAAGTCCTTGGACAACTATATCGTCGTGAAGGATTACAAGAGCGAGACGGATGGGTTCGCGGTGAACGTCGGCGACATCGTCGAGGCCCTCGAATATGCCGATCCAGCCAAGTAAGCAGCCTCCAGTCAGTTTGATAAAACGAAGAAAAAAAAAAAAGAAAAGAAAACTTTCCACGCTGTCTTGTTGGATCGTTGACTCCGCGTGTCGGAGCACAGCTCGCGCATAAAGTCTATTTCCGTGTGTGTGCAACGTGTGGCTGACTGGAAATAACCATCGACTCTATATAGTCTACGCATGTACGATCTGTCACTTTCGGAAAAGTTTTTGTACGCTAAAGGTGTGATCTCGCTTGCTTGATTAACGCGCTTTCATTGACACGACGTTGTAACCTGCGAACTTTTTTTAAATACTAACGTTAGGACGATACGAGAGGTTTATATTTTAGTAATTTTGTATAAGATAGAAACAGTTTGCAATTTTTAATAACCACTTTGTTCAAATATTGTAAAGAGTAGAAATAAGTTTGCGAGAACTGTATATTTCGATCCTAAATCCGGCCACGTCGCCGGAGAGGAATATACGGGCACGGTCAATTCGCGTGTCAAAACGTGAGGGATCACCCCGTGTAGGCCTCCCCTTTGCTTATTTTCGCGGCGATATTTTTACGCGGGACGACGTTTCGCCCGTGGCTCGCGGGCCGCGTTTATAAAATACGTCGACAGCGATGGCGGACGCAGATGGAAAATTTCGCGGGTTCCAGAGATCCACGGGAGGCTCCGCGGATGCTCGAAACAACAGGCATTCACGCGACTCCCGTGCCCGATGGAAAGGAAAACAATCGGGAGGGTACAAAGGTCTCGAGGATCGTACTGGATCGCACGTATCGCGGATATGTCCGCGTAAAGAACGTACAACCGCTGCAAATAGGCTAGCACCGCTATAAATACGCTCGTGTAAACTGAATAACAAAGAAGTGCAAATGCCCGGCGTGTTAAAATAGGCTGAAAGCATCGCGGGATTCCCCGCTTGCATTTAACGCGACTCTAACCCGCTTCGATTAACGGAGAATAATGTTTAGTCTGCATGGAAAGCTCAACTAAAACGGCCAGGGGAGCCCAGAGCTACTATTCCGGGTGTTTCAACGTGTTGTAGGAAGATCAAGCTGGATCCTGATCTGGACGTCGGCGGGGAGATCGCCGATATGCTGGACAACGCGGCCGCGTGGCACAAATTGTCGGTTCGACCGCGCAGAAAGCACGCAGATCCCCGTGCTCGGAACATTGCGAGATCGAGTTCCGACACCAGCCTTCTGAGGTAAAATTCATCCACCTGCGACAGGAACTCTTAAATCTACAAAAAAAAATTGTCAAAATTAAGCGACAGGTTCGAGACTTTTGATGATCCAAGTATTTATTTTTAATTAATTCAGAGGGATGTTCTACGCCATTGTGCATTGATTGCAATAAAATTTAAGATCATCGACTGTTCTACGCATTGAACTCTGCGTAGACCGCCAAGGGCGCGTCGTCGTTAGGCCTCAAGGCTGCACCAGTGACTGAAATATGGTCACGACAGGTGCGAGCCAGACGACAAATTGCGTTTCTTCGACCGTTGCTCGTTAGGTCCTAAGCGCGGGGCTCGATCGTTTTCTAATTTGCTAACATCGAGATCAAATGGATACGAGAGCGCGGAGGTGTCGATAAATCGACGGTGGCCGGCGAACGTCTGTCGGGGCGAACAATAACAGAGGAACAGTCGTACGGTGAGGAAAGTTGAAGGCCTCCATTGAACGGCGAAGGCTCGATGCGAAACCGCGTTTACACGGACGCGCACGACTAAATCCGTGCACGAAATATAGCAACGACAGGTGCTCCGGTCAAACAGTAGCCTGCGCGCATTATGTTAACTGTGGAGCCAATGAACTCGTCGTATTTCACACCCCACCATTCGGAATTACACCGAGACGACTCTCCAACGCAGGCTTTTTCCAAAGTACCAACACGCTATCCATTACTGTGTAAATCAAAATTGGAATTTCATAACAGTCGACGATGGACAATGGACCGTGGTCTTTAAAAATTAAAAGACCTCGGATCTTAGATAAAAAAAATTATCGATATTATGAAACTATTGTAAACGATGTTTCAAGCGACTCGATGAAACTGACCATTGTAATTTACGACGACGTTAATGAAGATGGAAGCGTTTACGTTTCTGCGGCAATAATGTCTGGAGACACCTCGCGTGATTGGCTGTCGTCCAGAATAATCGCGGAGTCGATAGTCTATGAATTATCGTGAGAAAGTTCGATCGTTAAACTTTATAAAAGCCGTTCTGTTAAAAAAAAAATATTTCTGCGGCCAAAACGAACGAGTCGAGATGATATAAGAAAAATATACTCCCACGGTTCTTAAATTCCGAACATCGATGTATTAATAGAGAGAAATGTTTAAGTTATCCGTGCACTTCGATGTTGAACATTTTTTTTTTCAATTTCAAAGTTTGGAAAACGTGCCAAACGGTCTCGTTACTTTCGCGTACTTTGTGGAAGATGTTGGTTTAAAATCTAGTTTAGAGAACCTTTCGTTGGTTCAACGTTGAATGTCGCGTCTAAATAAGTTTCGGTTACGTAATTTAGCGAATAACGTCTCGTTCTATTGGCTCGGCGGAGCTCGATTCCGAGGAAGGCGAAATATCGGCCAGTTCTGAAAATAAGTTCGCTCAAAGGTGAGGTTCAAGCTGATACGTTGATTTGGCACTTTGCTAGCGACCACGTTCAATGGATCGCGAGTTATTTACTAGATAGTACGATGAAATATCGCGATATTGGATTTCGTAAAATTCATTTTACGATTCACAATAGATTGAAGAAAACGCGAGACACTGCGAGCGGCACGTTTATAAATACTACATTATCTTCGTCCGGTGTGCTCGGCGAATAATAACTCAAGAAAAATAAGGAGTGCACCGTGCGATTCGTTACGCAAATAATTATTCAAGAAAAATGGGGTTGCACGCCATATGGTGCGCTCTGCAAATAATTATTCAAGAAAAATGGGACGCGCACCGTATGCCACGATCCAAAAATAATTACTCAACGGCGATATGAGAAAAAATAGTTATTCGAGAGAAATTCATGAATATTCAAGTCTACCTGTACAATGATCAAGCGTAGTATTCTAATTGTTCGTCTTATTTTAGCGGGGAGAGTCATCCCTTGAAATTTATTACACCGATAGTCAGACTCTTTGTATATCGGATGATGCGCGTGGTCCAGAATTTTACTATAATCTCGGTCCGACCGAAGTATTTGGAGCGTTTCACCATTTTGATACAAAGACGTCGACAGCTCTTACCTTGGCATTAAAAATAGACCGTGGCATGACTAATTGCGTTAATCTTCGTATCCGCGAGGATATACTTCCTTCGTTATATCGCGAAGAATAGTTAGATAGACAAGTGCGTGGGAGGTCAAAAGTTATATTTAAGTTTAGTGACTAAGGCGACGGGTCTTCCTGTTCTCGCGCTCGTTCATTCAACAGAACGCAAAATTTGTTGGCGATCCGTTCGGTCCACGAGTCCTTGAATCCGCCAGTACCATTTAAAGCGGACCAATTATACCCACTACTGGCGATAAAAATAACTTCCGGTTGAGTTTACTTCAAAGATCCCTCCTAAATATGAAATTTCATCCAATGTAATTTATCATGTATTTAAAACAGCTTAAAAATCTGTACTTTTATTGCGCAGAGTGTACGTTCGTACAGCTGATTCAAGGGAAGGATGGCTACCGATGTTCATCCTCATGCAAACCGCCCTCAGCGAGGACTCGGCGGTCGGTCACAAACCCGAGGACTCGCATTTTCGACGAGAGTGAGTCGTTTGCTAAATGAAAAAACAAATTACGTGTATTATAACCAGACTGATCTGAAACGATTTAATTGATCTTTCGTAGGGCGGTGGTGAAAGAGCTGGTCGAGACCGAGGAAGAATTCGGCAGGGATCTGCAAATGGTCGTCGAACGTTACTTGAAGCCACTCGACAATCCGGACGTGCCGCGAGTCGTGCGCGACAACAAAGACATCATCTTCACGAACCTGAAACAAATCGCGGATTTCCACAACACGTACGTATACAGACCGAGACGTTGGCAAAAAGGACAAGTTCACTGCGACACTATCCATCGAACATTCATTGCTAAACGCACAACGACTGTTCACACAATAAACAATAAATATTCAAATCAGAAATGAATGTCCACGTTCACCCATGATCCACGACACAACCGTCGATACGTATCCAAGTCAGAGCGAAAAAGAGACACACGCAAACATCAAACACATATCACACATAGTCGCCAACGTACGTTTATTTTCTCTTTAGCGAAACGAAGCTACGTGAGTTCGGTAATAAGGCATAATATTTTGTGTGATGGTGTGTTCAATGATAATTAATCTTGCCCAGTATTTAATACGTTCGTGCTGTGTCACAAGTGTTGCTTTCTCAAAAGTTTGGAGCACCGTCCCCCCCTCGTACATAGAAGCACGCTTCCGGATCATTCTGCCCATCATATATTCATTGTTTCAACGACGACGACCACTATGATCCATCAAAAGAGAGAAAGAAAAGATTCTTTGCATTAATTGTGGTTTAAATTAAAAATCTTCAATTATACCTTTAACAGAAGAAACTGGACATCTCATTGTTTGAATATTTTCATTGAAATTTGAAAGAAAAATATGATTATATTGATGCAACTGTGTCGTTGATCGTTCTTGCCCCCAGTGACCCAACTGGAAAATAATATGTAGCTCGATTCACTCGTGTCCCACCCCAGTATGAATTAATAATTTTGTAACTATCCCTCGATAACACTGATTAATTGAACGCGCTAGTTGCAATGGTGTTGCAAATGGTTAACGGTCCCGACTTGTCTCAAACGTTGTCACTGTTCCCTGAATGTCGCACTGAAACAAACGAGGATGGAATCCTTCAGCACGTAGGCGTGACGTGTGGTTTAGCATGGAAATTAATTCGAACCTTACTTAGATCGTTCGGCAGGGTGTTGATCGAGGGTGTCAAGTACTATGCGGATCAGCCACGCATGCTCGGCAAGACTTTCCTACGACTGGTAAGAAACAAGTCTAAAAATTGTCCTAATAGTCGCTGCAATGTTTGAACAACACGGGTACCATAACTGGAAAATAATTGCTGTAGGAAAGGGACTTCGACAAGCACGTGGCTTACTGCAGGGACGAACCAGGTGCCCAAGAGTTCCTGCAGATGAACGACGCCGTACGAGAATACTTTGAGGTCAGTTGTTCGTTAATTGCACGGACACAAACGACCAATAACAATTTAAAAAAGAAAAAAAAAAACAAGAATCGATAAACAGTGAATTTTGAATTTTGAATTTTGAATTTTGAATTTGCGAGTTTCCACATTTCCAGAAGATGGTAAGAAAGATTTCTGTCCATCGTCTTAGTGGTTTGGCGTCGCGACGCCCGGCGTTTATAATAAGGCGGTTCCTGTGCCCCGAATGGAAAACAAATTGATCTTCGACGATCCTGCACGCCGTGATCTATGTCTGAATTGTAATTAAAAAATTTTCTATAGGAACGATCGACGCTTGCATGTATTTTACGTGTTATCCGCGCGATCTTCTCGCATCTTTTTAAACGAAAATTCACTTGTTTGCGATATAATGAATTTAAAATGGAAATTGCGTACAATGTACGATTGGGAATGTCTTCCAGGAGAACTCCACGTTGGATAATCTCGCCCATGCGAATCGGAGGAAATTTCGTAATTACGTAACAAGCGGGGGTAAGCGGGCGTCTGTCCAGCCCTCGAAATAGCTCGGTTTATTCTTGACGCGCGGAACATCTTTCGCCTCCTCTTGCTTATGCACGACAGTCTCGCGGCGAGACGCGTGCTTCGAAAAGAAAAGGAGTAAAGTGTCACGTTATCGGGCAGCAACGTCACGGTTCCTGTCATTACACGATGACAGAACCCTTGCTCGATGATAAAATCGACCATTCGTCGCAACGAGCTATGTACAGTGCGCAGTATCGCACTTCCGGACATGATTCGCGCTCCTTCGAACAGATAACGAGTGGAAAGGAGTGATCTTGATCAGTAACATATACCAGACGTCCTAGAAACTATCGACCATACTTTGAATTAACATTTAATACGCGTAAAAATAAAATTACCGCAAGTTATATTAAAATGTTCAAATGTTTTTAGGTTCGAAAAGACGTCGGTCTCGTTCCTCGGGGACAGTTACACGCTGAGCGGTTTGTAGCTGTTAGTATACACAACGATCGTAGGTGGACGGATCTATGTATATGCACTTCACTGTTTCGTTGTTTCACGTTCGTTATTCGGTTTTTTTCACATGATTCGACCCGTTATTTCTGGAACTTGACTCAAGAACTTCACACCTCGTGCGCGATCGCTTAATAGCGTGAAAATTAAAATTAGATTGCGCGATACTAGTTCGAACGTGTCCGATTTCAAAGACGTCTGGGCGTTAGGGGCATTCGAGTTTCACGTTGATTCGTATTTACGAGGCGCAACTGTCCCCTGCCGTGTGTTTCGTACACGTTCGATTACGCGTTTATTTTCGTCGCGTCCATTAAAACCCGTTGGACACGGAAAGGGTGTCCACCGCGGAAGAGACGGCAGATCGTGGATGGCAATAAGAATCGCGATCGGTCGCTAGTATTCTTATCTATCCATTTTCGTTCCCGAACGAGATCAGGCCACTCGTTAGAACGAGACCAGGGCAAATGAACAGAAGTAAAAGTCGCCCGCGATCCTGGCGGTCTTCGCGTCGCTACTCTGTGTGTTCATTCGTCTATTTTGTATTACATTCGACGTTAGGTTCAACAAACATGTCTGCGATTAAAATTTGGAAAATTTCTTTCGCGTTAATCTACCCGATATGATCCGAGGAAATGATTCTTTGCATAAAACTGAATCGATAGTGTGGAACAAATTTTTTCGTACGAGTCATCCTTTTCAATTAAATCGCTCTCGAAATTATGCGGAGCGCGCGCGCCTTAATTAGCGATTACTTAATGAATTACGTTAAAAATATCTACCATAATTGTATAGAATTTGTCGGAAATATTGTCTTAAAAATATTGACTATCTTTCACGATTAGAAGAAGCGCGTGAACTGTAATTAAAAGAGCTCCTCTGCGCGCCCCACGCGCAATCGAAATCAATTTCTTTGGAAACGAAGCCCCGTACGAGAAAATGTTATTCCACGTTTTGTGCTCAGTTTTTGAAGAGGAATCGCGTAGTATCAAAATTATGCCCTAAAATGTAGGTGGTCTATGGAACCGGTTCTTTTTTTCGATTCTCTTCGTCGCTGGAAGAATCCGTACGCGCGAAAAGTTTCGACTACAAGGTGCCCGCGATCCGGAGTCTGTTCACGTTGTTTTTGTGCGTGGTCAGTCCACGAGTTCGTCCGGCGTCTAAGTATAGCCGTGGCCGTATTGGTCTCCTGGCGGATGATTTTCGGTAACCACCGACTGTGGATCCCCCTCGAGGAAGAGACCTGGTCCAGTCTGCGACCAGCCACGGAATCCTCCTCGAATCGACCACTCGAAATACGAACAACCCAGTGTTTACCTCCCTTGACCTCAGTTAAGGTGCATCAGCCCTTCCGTTCGGTACCGTTCCTCCATCGACCGCGTATTTCCATCACCGAAACACCGTTTCACCTGATCACAATTCAAGTTCGACCCGGTAAATATCTCTACATTGCATCGAGAGGACTCTCCAATTTAGTGCTCGATCTTCGAAACGTTTGGTACCGAAAGAGTTCGTGAAATCTGTTCCTTTTCTGGCCTCCATTTATTTTTTTGTCAATCGACATTGTGAAACGACAGTGCGTTGGTAGTGACAGTTAAGCTGGATGTTTAGGATTAGTCCAGGATTATAGAGAATTTGAGCTACCTGGAGTAAGTAGAATGTCTGATCCAATACTCGCCGTTACTACTTTCAGAAATGATCTATCAATAGTCTATCTATACCGGCGCTCTGGAGAGCTTCGAACCAACATTTCTTTACCACGCAATCGTGACACGCTGTACGTCCGTAATCTGTTTAGAACGTTAATCCTAATGTTAGCTCGTGTTTGTTAGGTTTACCATTCCATCGATTATGGATAGTTGCGTGGAAAATCCAGTCATGTCCAAAAATACGCGTCTAGTCGTCCCGGTGTCGAATTACGGTACGAACAATTTCGTGATTCTATGAGGATGTATCTCTATAGATCTTCGAGATCGATACAATTGACTTAGATGGATTCGTGAAAATTAGCGACAGGGATTATGCGACAAAAAACAAATTGCACCGAGGCAAGGACAGGAAACGAGTATATAAATCTAAATATATTTGTACACAATCTGATTTTCCACGCGAAAAAGGGCAACGGTCCAGAAACTTTTGCACGTCGTTAAAGTTGCAATTTTAATACAAAATTTTTGTGTAATCGTGTCTAAAATTAGTGTGCAAACATGCATGGATCGGTTTACCGACTATTTACAATGTTTCTTCTATAATTAGAGAAATGCAGGCGTCGACGGAGGACCACGAATGACGGTCGAAACATTTTGCAATAAAGAGGTCATCGCTTAAAAAAAAAAATTATTTAAAACAAGATTCGAGTTTGAGAAAGTTCGACTGATTGTTTGCAGGAGCTGAGCCAGACTCTCCGTGACGACAAAAGTCTATCGGAACACTTGAAGCTTCCGATACAACGCATAAACGACTACCAGCTCCTGCTCAAGGTAAAACAAATCGAAACCTTTCCTCGAGTATCGTTTCTCGTGCCCCCGTTACGAAAAAGAAATTTGTTAGCGCCCGCGAATCCGCAACTGAAATACATTTCAAGGGTGTTTGACGGAAATACAACCGCGACCGAGTATTTCTCTTGAAAGCATTCCAGCAGGCTATGCATAAAACACCCGCATAACTGATCGTCGTATAAAGATGCCGCTGAAACGCGATAGGTCTCGTTGCGACGCTGAATGCTTTACGCGCCGTTTGGTATCAATCTTTCAAATTTTGTATACATTTTGTTGCAGGCGAGAAGCGAAACTGTTGCACAAGATTTACAGGCCACTGTGAAGCGTCGAAAACTAACGAAAAAGAGATTCTGCGGAAGATTATTATTGTCAAAATTAATTCAATATTATTATTACCGAAACGAAAAGGATTTAATCGGGGGTCAACGACCGCCTCAAAGCTGTGGATCTAGAACTTTGGCTAATAATCAATAACGATAGTAGGGCTTTATATTTGTAAAATATTGTTTCATTCGTTTCTATGTCACAAAATGATCGATGTTGAAAGAAACTGCGACTGTGCCGGTATTTAGAGAGAACTCATTTGATGACGGACACACAGCGACCTGTAAAATCCTGCACGTGACCTATATCCGTGCCCAAAATTTCACTTCTGTCAGACAAAAATAGCGCGGCGCTAAAATACTTTCCGGTTTGCCTTGAAAACGCGTACCGGAGGATCAACTGTTCCCTGGAAGTCCAACATACGTAATCTTTAGCAAATCGATCGCCCGTAACGTTATAGAAAATTAATTCGTCAGTGTAGACGGCCGACAACTATAATGTTTCGCTAATCTCGATACATGTTTAGCTAAGCGTGTGGATTACTTCGAGCAGAATCTGGGCCAACTGCCCGCGAAACGGAAACGGCAATTAACATCGGAAATAAATTCAAACGGCATTAAAATTGTCTCGTTTTCTATAACGAATCTGTCAAAAACATTCAACGTCGTTTAAAATCGCTAATGATACAACCATACCTCGTCAAACTCCATGGATCTTCTTGATCCATCGAATTCTGGATGGAAACACACCGATAGAGCGAAGCATGGAGTATTCTTAGCATCTTATATCGCTGTTTAGATCTTTGGATCACTTTACTTACAAGTATATTTTAATAATACAGTTTATTTATTTATTATTATTATTCGTAAGTAAATTCTTCGATTTGACAACGATTAACGGGTTCTGAGAAAGTGTTCCGAAGATCTGAACGCGCGATATAAATTGCCAAGAATATTTCATTCTATTAGTGCGTGTCTATGACGTCTCGCCATCGAGAATTCGACGCTGTCGTTTCTACACCCATGGCACGACCCGTAGGCATATAGATCAAGGAAAGCCACGGAGTTCGACGAGGTATAGTTGTAATACCGCGACAGAAGTTCGCTTCGTTGTGTGAGAACGAGTGGGCGCCGTACGGATTTAGCGAGCTAAAAACGGGTCATCTTCGCGACGCTTTATCCTTTCTCTCGCGGCTCGTCCATAGTAGAAAAACTTTAATATGGATCCGATCCAGAGAGGAAACTAAAAGTCATCGATTTTCGATATCGATGCCCGCCAACTCCCTAACTAAAATACAATCCATACTTATACCAATCTTTTATCTTTTATCTATGTGTATTGTCTGAAAATTTGAAGAATCTTTGCGATCGATTTCAGGAGCTGGTGAAGTATTCGACCCGACTAGGCGAAAACTGCGACGACCTCCAAAAGGCTTTGGAGTTGATGCTAGGTATCCCTCACAGGGCAACGGATAATAAATTCATAAGTAATATCGAAGGATACAAAGGGAACATACACAAGCTTGGCAGATTACTCACGCACGTTAGTAGACTCTAAGCTATTAATCAATTATGATCCATCTATAGAAACTCTAATGAAAATGCTTTGCGTTAATAGGAGTGGTACACGGTGATCGACAAGGACGGCAAGAGCAAGGAAAGGTACTTGTTTCTTTTTAAAGCTCGTATACTCGTCTGCAAGGTCAGACGAATATCGGAAGACAGATCAGTTTTCGTCCTGAAAGATATTATTCGAGTGAGTACGAGTCCTTTCATTTTTAACTACCACCGAGTCGCTCTGTACATTCCCAACAGTTCCGAATATCGATTTCAGCTGCCGGAAGTGGAGGTGAAGGATCATCCGGAGGATCTACGAACCTTCGAGCTACACTGTCCAACGAATCCTGCGTACCCGATCACTTTGGTAGCGCATAAGGATCCTGTGAAAGTCTGCTGGCTTAAGGAAATCCGACAGCACGCAAGCGACGTGGTGGCGCTCGCAGAACACGCTGCGGACGATTTGCAGTTAACCGAGTTGCCAGAAACGAAGGAGGAGATCAAAGGAAACCCAGGAAATCCAGGAAACCCGGGTCCTAAGAAAGAAGGGAACCCAGGACCCGAAGAGAAGGCGGCGGAGAAGAGGAAAGAGGGCAACCCTGACAATCCAGGGAATCCAGGAAACCCAGACAGCAAGAAAGCAAAGGTTGAGGAGGAGGGCGCAGACATGTCTCGAAGATACTCTGCAAGTCGATACAGCAGCTCTTCCAAAGTTGTGGAAGGTATGCTTCGGCGTTAGTCTCGATTGTTGACCATTTTGTAACTATACTACGTTCGCAGAGTACTCCTCGGTGTCTAGCAGCCGCAATGGCACGACCGCGTTCATGGAGTCGTCCAGCAGCGCGATGAAGATGGAAAGCTCGAGTTCCTACCAAGCTGGCGGTGCAGCTTCGGTGGAAACCAGGTCGAACGTGGGGAGGATCACCGAGGGCGGGATAGGAAAGCCTACGTTCGTAAAAACCCTCGAAGGCAGCAACGTCGAACGTAAGCTACGATCGAGTACTAGCCTTTACGCGATTCGCGGTGCAACCGAAAGAGACATTTAATGGGGAAATGAGTCGAAAATCTACCTCGTCATTGAATACAACTGAACAGACTCTTTTCGATTGCGAGCAGAGTAATCGATCACGTGACATAAGACACATTTTTACTGTTCTAGCGATACCAGAAAATAACGTGGCACTGATACACGCCGTAGGTAAAGTGACACGCAATTTGTCTACTATTCTGATCATCTACTGTACTGCGCACTCTTCTGTCAGTCTTCTGTCGTACCGTAGCATTGAAATATTCTCTATTATTCTTATATTTGTCCTTCCAGCTAGTAAAACGCTTCTACACGTTCCACTAGGCGGTTGGTCAAGCTTCACTGCTAATCCTAGATGTTGTTACAATCTATCGTTCCGCAAACTACACCTCACACGTTTCACTACACCGTTGCTACACTACTGTCGTCCATTCTGCACACTCATCGACTTAACACGATCTCGCTTTACTGTAATCTGTACTTTTTCAAGTAGCAACCTCTTTTTCAAGTACCTCTATCACTTGATCCGATTTTACGTAGGAAACTACATACTTTTGCACCTAATTCTTTCAGTGTTTAGCTGTTCCTACTTGTAGCACGCTTCCGTACGTCGATTAAGCAGACGAGATACCAGTAAACAACGATGTTACATTCATTAAGACACTGTTATTTTGTGTATATAGATCAAAGACGTAATACTTCAGTTTTGATCGCTGTCTTTGCCTTCGAATTTAGACTTATTAGGATTTGGACCCCTTAGAACTTTGTGCAAAGATTAAACTGATCCCCTTGAGTCTTTTGTACGATCAAGCACCGTTGTATATACATCATTGGCTAATAATTTGCCAACGACAACGAACGAGTGGGTCCTGCGACCCATTCGCCACTGTCATCTCGTTAAACTGATCGCTGTTTTTTCGCGCAGCCGGAGAAATGGCCACTTTCGAGTGCACCCTGTTGCAAACCGACTCGACTACGATGGTGCAATGGTTGAAGGACAACAAACCGTTGGAAGACAGACTGGCCGATCGCGTAACAGCATCCGCGGTTGGAAAAACCTTCAAACTCACGCTTCAAAATGTCCTCGAGTCGGATTCCGGTATCTACATCGCCCGGGCCATGAACAGCGACGGTCAATCCACTTGTACAGCCCAGCTTATCGTGCAACAACTGACCGCGGAGGAAAAGAAAGCCAGGGCGGAAGCTAACGCGCCCATCTTCTTGGTACGGCTCAAGGACACCGAACTGTTGGAGAACACCTACTTGCGTTTCATGGTAAAAGTAAAAGGAGACCCGAATCCTGACATGAAATTCTACAAGGACGACGCTTTGATCGACGCGAACCATTCGCGTATAAAAGTCATCGCCGAACAAGCCGACAAAGGCTTCTACGAGCTGGTGATCGCGGACGTGCAGAAGCAAGACGCTGGCAAATACTCCTGCACGGCGAAAAATCGATACGGTGAAGCATCCTGCGAAGCACAGGTCACCGTCACGGAAGAGAAGATGCTCTATTTCCCGGAAGGCGTCCTCGAGCCTGGTATGGAGCCCCAGTTCACCTGGTTACGCGATGGAAGACCGTTCGATCCCGAGGAACGATTCAAGGTGCTCTTCCAGGACAACGAGGACACTTTGGCGTTGGTGTTCCAACACGTTAGACCCGAGGATGCTGGTCTCTACACGTGCGTCGCCCAGACTAGCACAGGTAATTCCGTAAACCATCGATAAGTACCGACTAAATGCGAATTTAGTATGTGTTTGAAGGAATTCAATATGGCGTACCTTGCTACCATATTTCACAGTCGTTAAACTGCAATGTCGTGTTAAATCTTCGTCGCTTCGACGTCTAATGTGCTGTTCAACTTTGTCGGGAAATGGTGTCCTCTGCCAAGCCTAACTAGTTCAGGCTTTAAATGTTTGATGAATGCAAGTCGTATCTTTCTATTTTTGGAACTCAGCGTTGGTTGTCGACGAGATACTCGTCTTTGCGAGACTCGAGGATATTGTTCCATAAAATGAAACCGTAATGTTAGCTTGTTACTTAGAAAATTTTAATTTGCAGGCAATATCAGCTGCAGCGCGGAGTTGACGGTCCAAGGGGCGGTGAACCAGTTGATGAAGGACCCGGAGAGGCCAAAGCTCGCTTCGGAAGCAAGACATTCGGAAGTGAGCGCCGGCGGGTCGGCGATGTTGGAGCTTCAGATCAGAGGTTACCCGAAGCCTGACATCAAGTGGACGAAGGACGGTAAGGAGATCGTCGCTGGTGGAAGGTACAAGTACCTTTGGGAGGACGAGGAGTCCATGTCTCTGGTGATCAAAAACGTCACGGCGAAGGACGCTGGCATCTACTTGATCAGAGCTAAGAACGAGCTGGGCGAGGATACCACGCAGATCGAATTGATCGTCAAGTCCGCGCCGAAGGTCATCAAGAAACAGACGGACTTAACGGCCATCGTGGACGAAACGATGACTATGACTCTGCAGATCGAAGCTACACCTTTGCCCGAGGTGAAATGGTACAAGGACGGCCAAGAGATCACAGAGAACAATCGTATAAGCATCGTCAAAGAAGAGAACGATATGTACAAGCTCGTTATAAAGAATGCTCGATTGGAGGACGCGGGATCCTACTCGATCGTCGCCCGTAACGACGTGAATCAAACGACAGAGATATGGAAAGTGAGGGTGATCAGTCCGCCCAAGATCAAGAAGGGACTGGGCGAACCACAGGTCCTCAGCGAGGCTGATACTCTAACGCTATTCGTGGAAGTTGAATCCCAAGTGCCAGCTAACGTCAAATGGTACAGGGATGGACAGGTCGTCGTGCAGGATACTCGTATCAAGATACTCAGAGAAGGAAACAGGTTTGGTCTGAAGATCATGGGTGCACTGGGAGAGGACGCGGGTGTCTACAAAGCGGAAGTCACTTCCGAACACGGTGTGGTGTCGGATGAAACCAAGATTCAGGTGAGAGAAAGAGTTAGATTCTACTTATTTATTCCCTGGCGCTTAATACTTGGATAGATTAATAGATTTCTCGTTTCTTTAGGTACGAGGTGTCCCGAGATTCAAAACGAAGATGAGCGACGTGACGGTGAACGAGGGAGACTCGAACATAGAGTTCCTCGTGGAGGTAGATGGCTTCCCGAAACCGAGCGTCCACTGGTACGTCTAACGCAAAATCTATCGAACCGTCTGCTTTGCAAAGTTATCCTTAAACGCATGTTCGCGTCAACAGGTATATCGGCGACGTGGAGATTACAGAGAAGCGCAAAGAGTTCACTCGCACCGAGGATGGCGATTTTTGCAAACTGCAGATCTCTACCGCCAAGACCGAATTGAAAGGGACGTACACGTGCATGGTGAAAAACGAGTACGGCGAGACCAAAAGCAGCTCGACGCTGACGGTGAAAACCAGGCCCAGACTGATAAAGAAGCTGTCCGACCAAAGGATCAAGGAAGGCGATACCTTGAAGTTGATATTCGAAGTGGCTGGCACGCCAGATCCCGAGGTGAAATGGTTCAAGGACGGCCAGGAGGTGTCCACGGACGCTAGGATCAAGATCACGAGGGACAGCAAACGTCAGGAGAGCTACGACCTAACGGTGACGTTGGTTAAGGGCTCCGACGGAGGTGTCTACGAGGTTCGAGCCGAGAACGAGCTCGGCTACGTCACCAGCAAGAGCAAGGTCATCGTGATGAGTAAGGATTCGACTCGTTTTCGCACCTTCTATAAAACGGGGCTCGATTGTTGCACTGCTCCATCGCTGTTCGATCTCTGGGACATTGATTATCAATTGCAAATTCAGAGTCGATGGAGCAGTTCTTCAAGCACCCATATACTTAATTTTTTGAGACCCGCCAGCGAACCATGCGTGTAGAGTACCAGCCTTCAGTGAGTACCGAACCAAAGGTACGGTTTCGTTTTCGATTTGTTGTTCGACGAAAGAGAATAACAAATATTCTCACGTGTCTACCTGTCTTTATGTCTTTCTATACGTGTCCATGTTCGTTGTCTTTTCGAAAGTACTCTCACTATACACTTGTACCCTTTTTATGTATCGATCGCTTTACCAACCGTGATCACACGTTAATAACGACGCTCGATCGAAGGACTTTGTGAAACCCCGTCCCAATGTGTGTGTGTAAATTTCATAGCGAAAACGGAGGAGAGCGTCGAGGAAAAGACACAGACGATCGAGAAGATCACGGTAGAGGAAGAGGAGACGATGGTGCAGAAAGTCGAGGAGGAGGACGTCGGCGCGAAGGTGCAACAGGCGGAGGAATCGGGACCGGAAGGTAATCCAAGGATCGTAGAAAGAACGATCGTCAATAATGCGGTAAAATGAACATAGAGTGCAAAAAGAGTGAGCTGTATAGAAAGATTTCAGTCTGCTATAGTATACGCTTCGAAGCCTGTATCTGTGTCCTGCGATCGACGCGAGATATTTTGGTAAGAACATTTTTAAACGTTCGGGGAAACGTGCCGCGGTTTTTTCACGCGCTTCGACACGTCGATTTTTAATTGTAAACGGCCTACGGCGATGTTTCTTCTTGAAAATCTTCAAACTGTTAATTCAAAATGTTATATTCATGTACAGTTATATATATCAGCGTAACACACGTATAGATCACAGTATTTTCATCTTGAAGCACTGTTTTTATAATCAAATAATAAATAACTCTTTTCTTGTTGAGATCGACACAAAAAAACATTGTCAACATCGCCGTGGACCAGGCTATTAATTAACCAAAACATCACTGCTCCGAGAATTCGTCTTTTTTTGAAACCCAAGCGCGAGCTTGAGGCGATTTGTTAACATTTGACTGGCGAGTTTTTTTTTGTAATTCGTCGGACTTTAACATCGCAACGCTGACATCCGTTGTCAAAAGGCAAACTCTGTAACGGTTGTTCGAACAGCCTCCGCCGATAGCTGTTAAGTTTGAGAGAGATATGGCTGGTGTTTAGCGTAGACGTAGATCGTAGCCCAAACAACTATCTCTGATAACTCTCAGGTCGAGTGAAACTGGAGACACAAAACGTCCAAGTAACGCGGGGCCAGGGTGACACGATTACGATCTCAGTGGCCTCCACGACGACCCACGAAGCTATCCTCACAGGTAATATCGCACACGCTGAAACATTCACGATTCACACGCGTAACCGTCGTCGCGGGCGCGGATTTTGTGACCCCGAGCCTTCGAGATCAAAGTTACCGCCTTAGAAACGAATTGCCAAGCTTGGAACGTTAAAAGAAAATATCGGAAGCGTCACAAAATCCGCCGAGCACGTTAGCAAATAACGCCACACCGAACAGAGCTTTCACGAACCTCGGACGGAGTGTAAAAGCGGTTATGCGAGTGGCGACAGCCTCGAAACGACGGACCATGTTCCTCGTTGCGCCGAAAAGGTCGTCTCCCCTGTAGTAGAGTTTAAGTAAAAGGTAATTGGTGACTAGCCAGGCCGTTCGCAGGTCCCGATGAGAGCCACACGATCAGCAAGATGACCGCGACAAAGGTCGAGTGCCAGGAGATGCACTCCGACGGTCCTCGCGTCGAGGAGATCGGTTCGTACAGTTACACCGTGCAGGAGGAGACCGTCCAGAAGCCTCAGAACGGTGTACTGATCGAGGAGTTCTCGGAGGCTAGCGAGGATAACAGAACGAAGCTCCAGGTGAACCGCGGCGTGTCGATCGTCTCGGTGTCCGACGATGAGTCGACGTTGAAAGGCATCTCCAGGGACGTGAGCACCGACGACATGCAGTGCGCGGAATTGACGGATGATCTGAAGCTGACGAACGGATCCTACGAGGAGCTCAATGGGAACGGGATCGAGGAAAGGACCCTGGAGGACGCGAGACCCTACAGAGGCACTCTGCTGGCGGAGACCATAATCGAGGAACGATCGCTGGAGGAGTCGCCGTCGGAGAAGTCGAGCCAAGAGACGGTGCAACAGTCCAGAGTCGCTGTGCTCGAGGATTCGGGTCTCTCCAAGCACAGCTTGAAGATTAAAAGAGGATCGTTGTCCGAGCAGGCGGTCGAGACGACGCTGGATCAGCCGCAGACGCCCACGATCGAGGAGAGCAAGCTGACGAAAGAGAGTATGAAGATCGAACGCGTCGACTCGATCGCGGAGGAACGTCGAGCGTCCGTTCAGAACGGCCTGTCGAGGCAGAGCTCCAAGCTAGAGAGAATGGACTCCAGAGAGTCGATCAGATCGACGTCGAGGCAGAATTCGTTGAAGGCTGCCCTCAGCGGCGACGAGGAGGCCGACGAGGAGCTCGAGGCTCTCCTGAGCCGCGTGAAACGTCAGCGAAGCGTGCTCGACGATATCCTTGAAAAGGAATCTAACAGAGACTCAGGTACGACTAGGATTGTTCCATCGGACGAGTCTCGGATGGGATTGGTATTCTTGTACAGGCTTGGTTACCAGCACGATTCTCTGTTCGCACTGATATGTCTCCTATCCCATTGTAACCAGATCAGATTGTCGTTTTAATAGCTGTGTTTGGCCGCCTCTGAACGCTAACACTAAACGTCCAGCAACGTTTAATCTATCCAAGCTGGAAGCTTGCAATCGCAAGATCATGGTCAACGGGGATAGATTAAATCTTGTTGGCGTGTCTGTACCCAACCCAAAACACTCACTGCTTCCAACATAAGATCAGTCGAGCATGGCCAGGTCCCTCGTCGTTCCAGGTGAGTCGATACAAACGATGCTAGACAATCAAATATTATCCTTGATCGATATTACAACCAGTATTCCAGTATTAGCAAAATTGTCTAGCATTCGTAGAGAATAACAAAGCAGCACGTGGCAAGCGCAACGACGCATTAGTTGCACGGCAAAGGAACGAATTGAACGAATTTTTAGATCCCTCATAAGCTTCACGCGCGAGGATCCATCCTAATCTGTTCGTTTCTCGTTTAGCGCCGCCTCACATCCTCAGCGCGACTCTCTCCGATCGAACGATCTACGAGAGCCAGAAGGTCCTGTTCGAGATCAAGGCCACGGGTTTGCCGAGGCCGGATGCCAAATGGTTCAAGGATGGGAAACCCCTGAGATCCGGGGATCGTATCAGGATCGCAGCTTCCGGCGAACTCTACTCGTTGGAGCTGAGCAAAGCGACGCTGGAAGACGAGGGCATCTACTCGTGCATGCTTACCAACAAACTCGGCGAGGACACCTCGGAAGGGTACCTGGAGGTTGGCACGATCGACGAACTTCGCAGGCCCAAGTTCCTCCAACCTCTGAACGACGTGGACGTGGCCAAAGGAAAGTCTGGGGAATTCAAGGCCACGTTCACAGCGGATCCTATTCCTGACATGGCATGGTACGAGGAAACTTTTAGAGACTTTTTATTATTCATAGAAATAACTTACTCTCTGGTAACGTCGAAGCATTGTTCTACAATTTAAATCTTTCAATCTTCAACACAAATCACTTTATTATTTAAATATTACAATTATAATTAAATATTATTAAGTATTATAATTAAATATTAGAAAATTATTTTCTCCCATTCATTGCGTCATATAGTATGGAACAGGTACGTTAATTGACATCTCCAAACCATTTCTCTAAACGACGAGCAATAATTTGTTAAAGTTACCCTTATTATTTTGTAAAGGTACTTCATGGGTGAAGAAATCTCGACCGACGACAGCCGGCTGAAACGCACCGTGGAGAACAAACCAGCAGCGGACAAACTGACCGAGACCACGGTTACTCTGGGTGTGCCTAAGTGCGCGAAAGGAGACACCGGCGAGTACACGCTAAAATTGAAGAACAAGTACGGCGAGGCAGAGTCTAGCGTTAGTAGCGTAATTTGTATAAAATGGAAACCGATATCTGTAACTATTGTTTAACGAGACGTTTAATCGACGTTATCAGGCTTTCCTGAACCTGTTACTGCGCCCGGAGATCGAAGAATTCGAAGACGCCACTGCACCCGTCGGGGACTCGCTCGAATGGGAAGTAATCGTCAAGGGGAACCCGAGACCGGACATCACGTGGACGATGAATGGCCAGGTTCTGGAAAAGGGAGACAGGTTCGATTTCATGGAGGACAAACGCAACAACAAATTCACGCTCATCATCAAGAGCGTCGAGGTAGAGGACGGTGGAGTTTATACTCTCCATGTTAAGAATTACCTCGGTGAAGCTACTGCGGAGGCAAAGCTAACGCCGCACAGTAAGTGCTCCAAAAATATAAAAAAAAGTTTCCAACCGTTAGATCACCTGCGTTGAATAAAATGTGACTTTCCATAGCCGAGACACCGACCTTCCTGAAGGAGCTCGCCAGCGTCGAGTGCAAGGACCGCGAGGACATAGAGATGAAGATCCGCGTGACCGGTATCCCGAAGCCAACGGTCGTCTGGTTGCAAGACAACGAGGTGATCAGGGAAGACAGCCGTCATGAGATAACCACCACCACAGAAGGCACTGTGGACAGCACCTACTCCATCAAAACGTTCTCCCAGAGCGACGTTGGCACCATAAAGTGTCAAGCGACGAACGTCGCTGGCAGCTCGCAATCGGCTTGCCAATTGAAGATGAAAATGATCACGCCCACGTTTGGACAAACTCTGCCAAGGTCGACGGAGGTCGACGAAGGCGAACCTCTGGTGCTTAAAGCTATGATAGACGGCAGCCCTGCTCCTGAAGTTTCCTGGTTCAAGGACGGGGAGAAGATCGTTCCGGACGAGCACGTGAAGCTCGAGACGCTTCCCGACGGCACCACCAAGCTCACGATCGACAACGTCAAACCGACGGATTGCGGAGCTTACAAGCTCGTCATCTCCAACTCCACCGGCGAGCACGCTTCGTTGTGCGCCGTCGCGATCAAACGTAAGCACAGACCTTGTACAATATCGCGTACCGCTTATCAAATGTACAAACTTTTGTATCATTAAATTACAGCTGAGAGAAAGAGACCATCTTTCTCGAAACCGTTGGAGGACATCAAGGCGATCGTGGGACAACCATTGAAATTAGAAGCCCAAGTAGTCGCCTTCCCGAATCCACAGGTGCAATGGTTCAAGGATGGTATACCGTTGCGACAGGCCAAGGAGATATTCTTCATGAACGAACCGAACGGTCTGATCGGTCTGAGGATCGACAGCGCTCGCCCGGAAGATGCTGGCACTTATTCGATGACTGTCTCCAACTCGCTCGGCGAGATCACTGGCACTGCAAAGATCGAGGTCGAGGAGAAAGAGAAACGACCAGAGTTCGTCGGTAGTCTTCAACCCCTAACCGTGGTTGAAGGCTTCCCGGTGAAGATGGAGGTCAAAGTTCTGGGTAAACCGGCACCGGCGCTTCAATGGTTCAAGAACGGAGAGGAGGTTCGTTCGATAACGTAGTGTGTACCTGTATTTTCCTTGTTACAAAACACTGAGAGTCTAAGAGTCCTCTTCGCGTTCACAGATCATACCCGATGGACACCGTATAAAGACCGTCGGTCTGCCCGATGGAAGCCAAGCGCTGATCATCGAAAGAGCCACGCCAGAGGATGCAGCCGACTACCAGGTCGTAGCAAGCAACACGGAGGGTACAGCCTCGTGCAAAGGAACCATCAGCATAATGAACAAACTCCAGCCCGACGTCGCGGAGGAGAAGCCAACATTCGTCAATCCAATGCGAGACGCGAACGTCGAGGAGGGTCAACCATTGAATCTCTCCGCCTCGTTCGTGGGCAACCCGATACCGGAAGTGAGCTGGACCAAGAATGGCACGCCTGTGCAACCCTCCGAGCGCGTTACCATCACCTGCGACGGAAAGAAGACGGAATTGGAGATCAATCCCTCCGAGCCCAAGGACGCCGGTGTCTACGAGTGTCGCGTGACGAATCCACTGGGTCAGGACACTGCCAAGGCGACGGCCAGCGTCAGAAACATCTTCCAGACGCCGAGCTTCACGCAGAAGTTCACCGACCTCCAGCAGCTGCCGTCGTTCGACGCGAAATTCCCAGCGCGCGTCACCGGCGTCCCGCGGCCAGACATCACCTGGTACTTCAACGACAAACCGATCTTGAAGGACGACGACAAGTACAAGATCAAGCGCGATGGCGACGCTTGCTGCTTGTACGTGAAGGACTGCACGTACGGGGACGCTGGCACTTACAAGTGCAGGGCGAGCAACAGAAGCGGCGAGGCGGAATGCGCGGCCAATTTGGCCGTGGTCGACAAGATGTAAGTGGTTTGAGTGAGATTGATCCTATTTTTAAGGACAGGCTTTGTCAAATCTATGCTTCGTTTCCAGAGGAAAGATGCAGAAGATCGAGCCTCCGTCGTTCTTGAAGAGGATCGGCGATTGCGAGGTGTACAGAGGAATGCCAGCGAAATTCACAGCCTGCATCACTGGCTACCCGGAGCCCGACTTCGAGTGGTACCGCAACGGGGACAGACTGTGGCAGACCGACAGAATCAGGATGGACCAAGAGGGCAGCCTGCTGCGTTTGACGATAGCCAATATCGACGAATTGGACGCGGGCAAATACGTGCTGAAGATAGTGAATCCTCATGGCGAGGACTCCTGCAGCGCGGAATTGATTTACGAATGTAAGCGTGCTCCTAACTGGTCTCTGAAGTCAGCGATGAGTTTAAGTCACTGCCTGCATAGACTGCCGACAACTTCAACCCATTGCTCGACTATAAACCGAATGATGTACCTTGTCGATGCCAACAGACTTTAAATTCCAATTTTAACAGCTCTGGAGCCACGCGCGAAGAAACCACTGGCGGACCAGTACGCGGACTTCGACAAGTACCGCAAGTCCGGCGTTCCGTTGCCTTTGGCCGACCGTCCCATCATCAGCAGGATGATGGATCGTCATCTGACGTTGTCCTGGAAACCGTCCATCCCCATAGGTCCCCGTATCCCCGTGACGTATCAAGTGGAGATGTGCGAGTTGCCCGACGGCGATTGGTTCACCGCCCGGTCAGGCGTCCGTAGCTGCGTCTGCGACATCCGCAACCTAGAGCCGTTCAGGGACTACAAGTTCCGTATCCGCGTGGAGAACAAGTACGGTATCAGCGATCCGTCGCCGTTCGCGCAAACGTACCGCGCCAAACTGGAACCAGACCCGCCGAAATTCTTCCCCTATCTGCCCCCTGGCATCGACTTCCGTCCCGAGACCAGCCCCTACTTCCCCAAAGACTTCGACATCGAGAGACCGCCTCACGACGGCTACGCTCAGGCGCCCAGATTCCTTCGTCAAGAGTACGACACCCAGTACGGCGTCAAACACCACAATTGCAGTCTGTTCTGGTTCGTCTACGGCTACCCGAAACCGAGGATGACGTACTACTTCAACGATCAGCCGATAGAGTCGGGCGGCAGATACGATCAAAGTTACACGAGGAACGGGCAAGCCACGTTATTCATCAACAGGATGCTGGAGAGGGACGAGGGTTTCTACGAGGCCGTAGCCACCAACGAGCACGGCGAAGCCAGGCAAAGGGTTTATCTGAAGATCGCCGAGTACCCGTCGTTCATCCAGCGACCGGAAGAGGTGATCGTCATGGTACGTAGAATCGGACAGCTGGTGGCTCGCGTCACCGGTGTACCTTTCCCGGACATCAAATGGTACAAGGACTGGAAGCCTCTCACCTCATCCTCGAGAATAAGGGTTTGTTCTTTCGTTATGTACAATTTTCTTTCCTCGATACCGACTTGAAACGTTACGCGTTCCGGCAGATCGAGTTCACCGAGCCGGACATTTCCATTCTGATCATCAACGATGCCATCGTGAAGGACGAGGGTCTCTACTCGATCAGCGCCGGGAACGTGGCGGGTTCGATCTCCTGTTCCGTGATGCTGCACGTGGAGGAGAACGAGCACGAGTACGGTTACAGAACGTACAAGAGGAAGTCGGACATCAGAACGCGACACGACAAACCGTACCAGGACTACTACGACCTGGGCGACGAGCTTGGCCGCGGTACCCAAGGCGTCACCTATCACGCAGTCGAGAGGTGCACCGGAAGGAACTATGCGGCCAAGGTCATGCACGGGAAAGGAGAGATCAGGCCTTACATGTACAACGAGATGGAGATCATGAACAACTTGAATCACAGGAAACTATTGCGGCTGCACGACGCGTACGAAGACGATCAGACAGTCACGCTCATCATGGAACTGTATCCTTTGACGGAAACGTTGTCACCGTTGTGGTTGTTTGGAATAAAAGATTAACGGTCTGTCAATGTCTAAACGTAACTTAACTGAACAATAGAGCTGCTGGTGGCGAGCTGGTGGACATACTGACCAGACAGGCGTTCTACACCGAAACAGAGATCTCTGGTTATATTCGACAGCTGCTGTGGGGATTGGAATACATGCACGATAACCACTTCGCTCATCTTGGACTGACGGTTGACCTTCGTTTCGATAAATTAATAGGTTCCAATACGGGGTCCGTTCTGTCTTTAAATCTGTGTTTACTTGCAGCTGGGAGACCTATTGATCTCGCATACCGGAGGCGACGACCTGAAGATCTGCGACTTCGGACTCGCCAGAAGAATCTCGCAGACGAGGCTGATGACCCTGGCATACGGAATGCCCGAATACGTGGCGCCGGAAGTGACCAACAACGAGGGAGTGTCGTTTAGCACGGACATGTGGTCCGTCGGTATCATCACGTATATACTGCTCTCTGGTATTTCACCCTTCAGAGGATTTAGCGACAAGGAGACGCTGATGAGGATCAGAGAAGGGAAATGGGAGTTCGATGATCGTTGGAGTAACATCACGGAGGAGGGCAAAGACTTCATTCGTTCGTTGCTGATGTACAACTGCGACAGGAGGATGGACGTCAAGGCTGCCCTTACTCATCCCTGGATAACTTACGCGGACAGATCTCCCACCGATTTCTACAAAATTCCGTCTGAGAACTTGAAGAATTATTATAAACTCTATCGGTACATCGATCATCCTATAAACTGCACGTTAATTTAGATACTTGATTAAAACACTTTTTTAACAAACATTTTCTAGCGACTGGTACAACAACGCGTCCTGTCGCACATGGTTCCGTAGACGCAAGTTGGAGACAGCCTTCGAACATCCATCCAGGATGGTTTATCCGCCTGGTCATAAATATACCCCTGAACCCAGCGACGACCGAACATACAGTCCACTGAAGAAACCTTTGGTCAAACCATGGGACAATCAGTATCCTTCGAGGGAACCCATTGACACGGAGATCGGAATCATTAAGAGCGAAAGCCAGTTAGTAATGCTTTCAAACTTTAGTAGACTGCTTTCGATACTCCTGACCTTGTGCAGCCTTGAACATTGCTTTGTTATAATCGACAACGTGGTTTTGTAGCTATCAAAATGGACCAGACACGTATCTCCTACAACTTCGTGACACCAGCTTCCCCGTGCGTCTGCGCGAGTACATGAAGGTTGCATGCGATCGCAGTCCAGGATTCTCTCGCACGATCACCGACGAGAACTTCGACTGGAGGGTACGTTGGACCTATCGGCAATCAAAGATTCCGTGTTCCGATTTACAATTTCGCGCATCGTTGATTCAGGCACCCATCATACGGGAGCGACGTCGTTTCACGGACGTGATGGACGAAGAGATCGACGACGAGAGGCGTGCCAGGATCAACAGATACGGATCGCCGGACAACTTCACGCTGAGACGTTTGAAACACGAATTGGGAACGCGACTGGACAGCTACGCGGAGGCGGAGGCGATGCTGGAGTCGAAGAAAGAGGGACACTTGCCGTTCTTCCGGGAAAAGCCGCAGATACGTCCGATAGAGGAGGGCAAACCTGCTCAGTTGGTGTGCCTGGCGGTTGGCAGTCCCAAGCCGATGATCCAGTGGTACAAAAATGATATAATGATTCAAGAAACCAACAGGATAAAGGTCACCGAGGACAAGGACGGCAGGTCTATACTCAGCTTCGATCAGACCAAGGAACACGACGTGGGCAGCTACAAAGTTGTCGCGAGAAACCCGTTGGGACAGACGGTTGTCAGGTGCAGATTGGTGGAAGCGGTTGTTCCATCGGGTCCAGACTCGCCCGAGGTAACTATGAACAATCAAAAAAAAATATTAAAACATGTTACAGAAAATGAATCGTCGTTTCAACATAAACGTTTGCGTTCCAGGTATCTGATCTGTCGGACAACGAAATACTGTTAAGATGGAAGCAACCGAAATACGATGGTAACTCTCCGGTGTTGTGCTACAACCTTCAAATACGGGATGGCGATTCCATCGATTGGATAGACCTCGCCTCGAACATCGATCACGAGTTCTTCTTGGTCAGAGACTTGAAGCCGGACACGAGTTACAACTTCCGTCTGGCGGCGCGTAATCGGATCGGTTGGAGCGAGAAAGGCATCCCTTCTAAGCTGATAAAGACCAGGCCAACCGGTTGCCCGAAAGTTCAGATAACCAGAGCTATGAGGCATCTGCAAGAACTGACGGAAGCCGGGCAAGAGATAATGCTGGAAGAGGACAAACCGCACATGGACTATACCATCGAGGATCACCCTATCGAATGGTCGACCGAGACCAATCTCTCGAGCAAGTACAGCTTCATCTCGGAGATCCATAGGGGCGAATTCTGTGCCGTTGTGAAAGGCGTCGATAAAGCCTCGGACCGTGTAATAGTCGCGAAGATCTTGGAGCTGAACGCGAACACGGAGAAACAGGTGAACAGGGAGTTCGAGGCACTCCGTTCGTTGAGACACGAGAGGATAGCGTTGTTGGAAACGGCGTACAAGGCGCCAGGCTCACCCGTCGCTATGTTCGTCCTGGAGAAGCTGCAGGGCGCCGACATTCTCACCTACTTCTCGAGCAGACACGAGTACTCGGAGAATTGCGTGGCCACGGCCATCTCGCAGATCTTGGACGGTTTGCAGTACCTTCACTGGCGAGGATACTCTCACCTCGATATACAGCCGGACAACGTGGTGATGTCCACCGTTAGATCGGTTCAAATCAAACTGGTCGACATGGGTTCCGCTCGGTTCGTGAGCAAGTTGGGTACTTCGGTGCCGAAACTCGGTCATCCCGATTACAGAGCGCCTGAGGTATATAACGAGGAACCGGCACATCCTCAAACAGACGTATGGATGGTGGGTGTCTTGATGTACGTTCTACTGTCCGGTATCCCGCCCTTCCGTGGTAAGGATCCCGATGAAACCAGACAGAATATCTTGTTCGTGAGATACAGATTCGAACACCTCTTCAAGGAACTGAGTCAAGAGGCTACCAGATTCCTTATGTTGCTGTTCAAACGAGCACCCAGGTTTGTATCGATGAATATCTAGAAAATACAAGTCGATTAGAATCTGAACTTATTTAAATGTCTTATTTAAATAAAAATATTTCTAATTAATCTGTTCTTATTCCAGCAAAAGACCACTGGTAGAAGAGTGCCACGAACACAGGTGGCTCCAATTATCAGACTTTATGATTAAGAAACGCGAGAGAGCCGTGTTCTTAGGCAACAGACTGAAAGAATACAACGAAGAGTACCACGAAGAAAAGTCGAAATTAGCATCGCAGAGTCAAAGTTTAGCGAGCGAAAGCCTGTTAGGTTCCACGCAAAAGCTTATCAGATCGACTAGCATACAAGAAGAACTGCTCACCACGTTCTAACGGATAAGCTACGATTAAGCAACGATTTTCCAATTTTTCTTTACCTTATGTGACTGTAAAATTTCACGCAGATATCTAGTCAGTCTCGTGGAGAGCAAGGGAAAGTAACCGAACGGAGTTGCGGTAAACGTGCAAGAGCTTTCTTTTCTTGTTCTCTTTTTTGTTATTATTTATTTGTTACAACTTTTAATTATTTTAACAAATACCAACATCTGGTCATATGTTACTCCAACGATCTACGAGTAAAGAAAGAGAAAGTAATCGATCTATCGGTATTTGAACGTAACGTAAGATACACCACGTTTTAACGAATCAAGGTACAAACCGAACCCTTCGAAATTGTACAAAAACGATGATTATATTCTAATAAAATCACCAATAAATACTAAATAATAAAATACAATTGTCATTCGGATTAAATGTCCTCCTAAAAAATGTTCCGTGGCCCAATCTGACTGCCATACCGACATGAAAATTCGGAGGTGATTTTAGTTGATGATCCTCTTCTCATGGATGGCCGCCGGCCGCGGGGTCTGAGTTACATGCTTATTAAATTTACGTAAAAAGACTTATTAAATATGGAATTTATTTACAAATCAGTATCTTCCATCATTACAATGATCTATAAAGAGGATAAGCATATTGTACAAATGACACATTCTTCGTCCTCGTTCCCTGTACCATTAATTACACGCAAAATTTTACCATAACTGCAACGAAGTGCCATAACAATCGTAAGCTGCATACGTTTAACAAAACTGAAGATAACAAATACAATCTCCCTAGAATAAGAAGACTAGTCGCAAAGTATTAAATACAAGTTTGTTCGATATCACTTTGAGAAAGGAATCTTTTAATAGAATTTTGAACGTTTGCCGAAATCAGAAATCTAATTCCATAAATGTACAGTTACATTATGATAGTATTATATTTAATTCGAATCATCTTTTTGCGTACTGCATGACATAGTCTTTCACCTTACTCCGGAAGGAGTCCTTGTCTTTTACAAAGAGATCAGCCGCATCTCTGTTTAAAGGATCATCAAAATTTAAAAGGTCCTAAAAGACATATAGTAAATTACACCTAACGATCCATTAAGGATAATTTATAGTAACCGATTGCAAAAGACTCACTGTGAAAAGGGAATTCAAGCCCCATACTACGTCTTTAAGCTTACGAGTCGGAGCCCATCCCATTCCATCTATACTACTCTGTCTCAATATCGAAAGACATACATCGCCGTCCTCGCTTATATTGGGATGCCACAATTTCGTTAAACAATTAACTTTTGGTGGCTAAAAAAGATATTCTGTTAATACCTGCTTGGTTACAAATTACTATGTTGTCGCCGCAATGCAAACTGGCGAATAACTATATTTACAGCCATGTTGTAATCTTCGGGTACATAAATCTGAAAGTAGAATCTGCCTTCGTTCCAATAACCTTCGTCGGGAACGATCAACAAGGTAAACTCGTGGAGACAATGGGGATCTCTAAACGTAACTCTACACGTGGTAGGTAAAGTTTGCTCCATTTCTTGAACCTATACAATTTAAAAACAATAAACAACTTCAACACACCTATAGCTTGTCGGCTAGTTACCATTATTTCGATATCTTCAAAATAACTTCATATGTTCCTACATCACTGTACCTCTTTGACTAATAATGTATCACGGACAGAAATGCGTTTGTTATAATCTCTGCTTTTTGCGCTTGCTATGTCACTTTCCTTTTTCAGTTTTCCCCTCAAGGTAATCATATTTCCCTCCGTAGATCTGCAACGAGATAGTTCGGACAAACGTCAAACACACTGATTATTATTAAAAATTAATGTTATCGAGATACGTCAAAATAAAACGGATTGATCAACGTTTGGGAACGAGAAATGATAACCTTTAATCAAAACAGAAAAATAACGTAGAATTTTAATGCTTTGGAACAAAAGTTATAACACAGCACCATTCAGTCTACAATGTTACAAATATTTGTCACATAAATTTATTAAAAACTTGTTGAAAAACACCGTTTATGACGTCCGTTATCGGATAAACGCGACTTTTGGGGTTAGGATCGCGGAATACATTTGAAGTTTCTAACCGTAACTTACACACGATAAAATATTGTAGTACCGTGATACTTGTTACTTATATATTTTATTCAGCTAATACGCATCTCAGTAATTCTAGTCTTAGATTCACCGTCTATAAAACATTTCGAAGAAAACGGTAAATATTTAAGTGCAGCAGTGACATTAAACAAACAACATGGAGGTCTCATGGCGGGATCTTCAATTATTGAAGAGTTCGCGTGGAAAGTACCGTTCGGACAAAAAAACCAAGATCCGATCATAATTATTACTAAATTATTATTTATTTTTACTCGACTATGTGACTAAGGATAGAATAACTAAGAGGTATCACCGTGTAAATATTTATGACGATAGGAGCAAATCTGCCACTTTATTAACAACATCAGGATGACAAAGCGCATTGACAATATCGTCGGACAACTGTTGAAACGAAGAAATACTGTTCTGAACATTACAGTTCGTTTTAGAAGAGTTTCCTTCTACCTTATCGATATCGACTCCAGAAAATCGTTCCCTTTTCGTTTTTAAAAACCCTTCCAATTCTGTTGTTTTAGGTTCCAAAAGAAACTTCACATACATTGGATATTGTGCTACTAAATCTTCTGCTGTCCATGCAGTGTATTTCATTTTTTTACAAGATTCTATATTTTCCATGTTTTTACATTCGTTAAGGGCAACACTGAGCTGTTAAATTTATTAATTTTAACTTGCGTATAAAAGCAATCGTATCGCTTGTAATATTTATGCATATTCTATAATACATTACCAATTTCATACAATAAGATAAACTGCATCGAGCTTTGTCAGATGTATCGTAGACATTTTCACCAATTCTAGCTACTATTAATTTAACAATAGCTTCCTTAACTCGTGATACATTGTCCGTTATTATTGGTAACCATGTATTTACACTGACAGAAAGATCCAGTGATTCAACATAATGCCACCAACCAGCAGGTACTAATAATACATCCCCTGGCTCGAGAGTTACTAATTTCGGCTTGTGCTGTATTTTTAATATGTTTATCTCGTCTTCTTCGGTGGGGCAGAAAAAATTATATCTACTATAAACTGTTGACTCCTCGTAAGGGACCCTCGTCGGATGCAGAAAATTACTCGAACTCGGGGGAAACAGCAACCACTGTTTTCTGAAACAATTTCTTTTGTAATGGAAACAAAAAATGAAACGAAATATTTACAAATATGAATGAAATACTGCTAACTTTCCATGAATCTGTGCTATTAAGTTACAACCATAAGAATCTTGATGACAATTTGTATGAGCACCTTTGTTTCCGATCCATAGAGTGGACTCGGATCCTGTCTTATCAAAGCCAAATCTTTTCCAACTCACTGAACTCATTATCTCTGGTTTATCTTTGAACCATTCGTGCATATATTTATAGTCAAAATAATACCATCTTTTGTCATTTCCATTCGGACCTACATTCCGAATGAACTCTGACAGAGTCATTGAAATAATTGGGCAATTCACCTCCCATTGAGGCCCCTAAAAGCATAATTCTGAAACTTGTCACATTAACATTTATATTGTTGCATCGAAAGGCACACAAATATGTCAACACCAATAACAATTTACCATAGATTTAGCGTTATAACCAACTCGAAACGGTAACTTAATATCTCCGAATTTCTCAGCAAGCTCAACCAAACTCCATTCCAATAACTTCCAATTATATGCACCTGTTGCATCTTGTAACATTTGCTGAAATAATACCGGCTCTTGGACTTCTGTAATAGCTTGTTTTAAAATCTCATCGGACGGTGAATTCATTTTTTCCATAATTAATAAACGTATATTTTTCTTCGTCGAATATAACGTGTCACTTTCCTGTTTTAATACGTATAAAAATAAATATAACTATCTGTTGACTCTAAGAAATATTAAAATATGTAGTTCTGTTTGATAATACATTTACTATCGTCGCTTAGTTCACGATCCTATTGTTATTATTTTTAATAACAACCATCGCGCAATTTTATCAGACCGAGCACTGGATCACTCAAAACATACTAAATACCTCCTCTAACATTCTGTGATCCTGGCACGATTTTAGCAGTACGAATCCCTGATATTAGATGGCGACACTATTTTTAGCCATTTTTAGCACAATATTGTGGCGCCACCTACGGCAAAACGTCCAAGTTTGTACCAGAATATATACGAATTCTAACCTAAACAACTTTGCATTGCTGTACTAAAGTATTTGATGGCTAAACATATTTATTAAAGTAATAACTATGTTTAAATATACGAGCCTATGTATAAATCATTTAAGAACACAATCGGCAACGTTTCTTTCCAATCAGATCGATTTGTTTGCTCAACAAAGTCGGGTAATACTTTGTTATTGAACTTTGAAAAATAAACAATTCGTAAATGTTATCTATCAACATATGAAATGTAAATAGCAATCAATTTTTCATTTTAGAATACGTTCATCCTAAAACGAAAATATCCTGTACCGCTGCATAAGAAAAATCGTAGAGCACCGCGGCTGGGGCATAGATATTTTATTTATGATCTGGTAGAAAATACAAATAGCAACAAACCGAAACTTATAGATTTGGTCTTACTGAAATCCGTGCACGGTGTTGGCATAAAAGGTCAAAAGGTTTCCGTGAATTCTGAAAAGGCATATATCAATCTTATATTACCAAAGTTGGCTGTATATGCGACTCCCGAAAATATTGACAAATATTACATCGACGGCACAAACTTTAAAGAACATTTGGATTCGTACAGTTCTGAATATGTACCGAGAACCTTACGTGTATTGTCTCAATTTTATTTGCCCGTAGAGATGTCTATGGATATACCTTGGAACATAGAAAAATGGCACGTTAGGGTAGCTTTTCGTAAAGCAGGTGTAATTGTTCCCGAGAAGGCAATAATCCTTCCAGAAAAGACTATATCAGGACCAGAATTATCAATTCAAAATAAAGAATTTTGTGTAATTGTCAAAATCAATAATCACGAAGAAGTAAAAGTCAGATGTAAAATACGTCACTGGGATTTCAATAGGAAGAATAGAATTACCGAGGAAGAATCGTTATGGGATTTGCCTAATATAGCAATATTCCCTGAGGACCAACCACTTTTGGATTCTCTGCCAAAGCATCATTTATCTAAACACAAAAGCAACAATGTAGACGAATAATATGTAAATAAAATCTGATTTAAAAATAATTGAATTTTTAGGAATCTTTTACCCTAATAAAATTTTAACTAAATCAATGAATTTTAATAATGACAAATTTGGTTCTTTTTGCATGATTGCTGTAGTAGTTATTTAGGTTGATACATATATACATTTGTGTAATCAATAATTGAACAGATCAAGCTATGCTTTGACTTTTATTTCTTAATTGGTTAACCTAATATTTTTTTATTAATTTATATATTCCAAATGTGAAGTGCATTGCTCCACTAATTTGATACTTAAATATGGAAGATAAATGTTTCATGTGGGACGACATTGCCGATGAATTATTTTTGTTTAGGTAATGAATTTTTAAACAATCAAAATTTTTGTCCGTACAGAAATGAAAAAATAAGTACACTTGGTTGAATTATTATTTTCTGTTCATATTTATACATAGTATATCAAAAACGGAAGATGTACAAGTTAAAAAGAATAAACAAAAATCTGATTCCGTTCACGATTCACAAGTTTACAGTCCGCACGCATATTTGCTTTTAAACTTTCACGAAACTTTAAGCCAGCGTGAAAAGGTAAATAATAGACAAAAGTCGAAGAAAACAATTATAATAATCCCGTTAAATATCTTTATTAATCAAATACATATTATTTCAGATACGATTTAGAAGACAATATTTACGAAAAATATCACCAAACGAACCAAACGTTATTATTTTACAAGACATAAAAGATCTTGTAATGTTTTTATTAGCAACGCCTGTTAGCCCGCAATTTGTAAATTTCTTTCATTTGCCGATTGTGGACCGTTTCTTAAGAGTATTAATAATGTATTTTCAATATTATGTGACGATATGGGAAGAGCTGATGAAAGAACGTGCAGCTACTATGAAAAAAGCACCGAATCCTTTAGCACAAGGCTATAGATTTAGATTTGCAGACAATATGCAGAATCTTCGGTGTGTTCTAGGTAGAGAATATGCCGATTTAATCATAGGTTGCCAAGATAGCATTCAATATCATCATATGACCGGTGGAAAGAAAGGAATGACATCTATGACTCAATCGCAAGGTGAAAAAGATTTAAGAATGTTTGAGGTACTAATTTGTATGGCGCATCGTGTCGTTTGGATAGCTTTGGAACGTAAATACTTTAATTTGATTGGTGAGTTACTTTACCAGGAAGGAAATCGCGTAAAATATTCCAAAACTAGTAAGAAATTAGACTTTGATAATGAAAGAAATATTAGTATCTTATCTTTTTAGAAATTGAATTACACAGATTATTTAGAACCGAAGCATACAACATAGCACAAAGACGAAGTGCTAGTCAAATCATTCAAGATATGTTAGCAGATGATATTAAAGTATTGCACGGTCATGAAATACAAGAAAAAAGGAAATTATTGAGAAATTCCCCTTTGATACAAGAACTGATATATTCAAATTGCGATTATCGTCTTCTATCCTTAGGTGTGCTATTTATTTATGTAAATATATTTTTCTTTAAATAAAGAAACAGCTATTGAATTATCATACATAGGTATAGGAAATAATTCATGCGACAAACGGATACTTTATTTACAAAATGCTCTTCTCGTCGAAGAAGATAAGTTGCATGAGTTAGGAATTAGAATTGGAATTCTAGGAGAGAACAAAGCTGATTATGATATAATGTTGATCCCGCTAGAAGAAGAAGAACATGATAAAATTCAGTTATCTGAAAAGAGAATGTATGAATGGAGAAGTACACAAGATACATTATCATCTGTAGTGAGTTTCTGCAATTATTTTCTCTATGCACTTACTGTGCATTTATATTAACATTATATCTTTGTATTTCGTATCAAAGGACAAAAGTACAAAAATTCAAGGTCTCCCACTGTTCGAGTCTGAATTTAAATTGGCCAAAAATTTTCCAATTAAGATGGGTGATATCTCACCGAAAGGCTATCAAACAGTCTGCGAAGAAGCAAGAAAACGATGGTTAATTCGGGAAATTAAACGTCAGAAAAATAAAAACATAGATACATATTCCATATCAACAACATTAGATTAATCTGTTGTTTATCATAGTTTTGAAAACTAACGATGCTGAACGAATCTTGTAAAAAAGATTATGTAAAATCGCTTGTATATTTAAAATGAATGTTAATCTATAAATTTATACTACTTACCGAATACTGTATGTAAACTGATTTGTATCACTTACTCGGTATGTCTGACTCTGTATAATAGTTTACTGATTAATACTATTTGCAAAACATTCATTCGTAACGTGTAGAAATAATCAGCAAACGATACAATTCGTTGTATCATTCAATGTCTAATCATATCGAGTACTATCAATCCATATGTGCGCAAATACCCGAGTGCATAAAATAAGTAGTATAAATTAGTACATAGTCAGACGGCCAACAAGTAGTATAACTCTAGCATTTAGAACTCGCGGGAAAAAAAGATATGCGGCTGCTGACGGGAATATTAGTACAGGCAATTTTACGATCAAACATATAAGAATACAGATAAGGTATACTATGAAGTGCAATAAATGTTGATAAATGAAAATTAGTATCTTTATTTATTAAGTATATTTTCCAAAGTAGAGTAAAAAAATAAATGAAACAGAAAACTAATCATTGATTACTGTTTCAAGTCTATTTTATTATTCGTGTGATTATTTGATATTAATATGGATTGATAACAATCAAATAATTGAATATATGTGTCTACATTAGATTTTTGTAAATCATTTGTTTGTATATAAATTATAATTATATTCTTGTTTCTCGTTTAATATTACATTGTAGAAAATATTTAGTAAAGAAAAACAAAGAAAATATTGACATTATTATTTACTTAAACAGTAAAGTTACACTATGAGAGCAAATTATGTAGAATTGTTTAACATTGTTCATAGTATATGTATATTGGAAAAACCACACAGCGTATAATACTAATAAAATATTTTGTCACATAAATTATCATTAAATATAGACACATGTATTCAAAAAAACTGTTTTAAAGGACACGTGATCAGAGGGTGGATAAACTGAATACAATAAGACAATGTAAAAAATATGCTTATTATAATTGGTAATGCCTAATAATGAGTACTAATGCTGATATTTTACAAGGAGATACACGTATAGGTACATTTGAAACAATGCATTTGTTCCACGATTAAATTCTGCATTGTCTTTTTATAAATAATTATTGTACCTACTTACTACCATTATATATAATAACAATCAATTAATGTCATATATACAAATATATAGGACATTAATTTAATCCCAATATGGGTTAAATTGTAAATTATATTTTTGTTTTCATTTACAAGTAGCAAATTTACTGTTCATTTGCAATGGTTTACATTTAGCTAAAACATTCATTATTCAAGGTATACTTCTTTGCGACCTATTATGTGTGAATAAGTGACACGCATGTACAAGGTACAAAAATTCATACCTCGTATTTGGCACAGAGACTTTGATAATAAAAACTAGATCTCACAAAAATCTGTACAATCTTGGTGTTATATGTAAAATGCATTTCTTGTTGTTTTACTTTAATGTCGCTTATTTAATAATTCTACAGGTGATCCGACGTACCTTTTATTTGATCTCAATTACGATATGTATTAAAATTATGATAATCTGAAGTATATTGTGTACATTTTGAAATATTACATTTACACAGACAACACTAGTATCAACACTATAGCTATATTGCGATATTTAAAACGTCAATTGACAGTAAGTAAACCCAACTGTCCTTATGATTGACAAGGGTAATCTAGTTTTACTCTCAGAATCTGTGCCTCGTTAACATTTTCTTAATTCTTATTTCTTAATATTGTTACTTCGAATAATAAAATAACGCACAGCGTGTCATCTTTTCTTATAGGCTGCAAAAGAAATTTAAACATATAGTTACTAAAAATATCAAAAATGAAACTATTTCGGCACTTCTTATTAATTTGAATTTTTAATTATATGTTACAGCTATCTATTACTGAACAATTGTCTACATGATTATATTACAAAATGAAGAACATGATGATAATGATAATTATGCATATGCCAGTAAGATTATTCGCGATTATTTGCATATATTATTACAGCAGTTAGACGATGAAAATGTATATGACTATTTATGTGTACTGTAGTTCTTTAAGTTCAGTCATGTGCCCGTGCAACTGTATTCTATGCATAAAGTTTCTCAATGAAAAGTAACTTGTTAAAACCGTTTTTAACTTTTTGTTTGAACAAAACCTATGTTACATTCTTATGAAAACATGCATTTAACATGGTGCTTGTACTTAATCCTTGGCTCAGACAATGAATGAAAGATTTTCAATTTAAAAACGTACTGTAACTTTTGTATAATTTGCGGGAGCTGCATAATTTAATAGAATTATTACTGATGTTTCTTTCACATAAATATTTGTTTCTATTACAATAGATTGATGAATAACTACAAATCAAATATTTATACAAAAAAACACATACATTCATTCATTTTCAATATTTCATTAAAAATTAGATTTGATCAAAGTCACTATATTTTTAGAACCTATTTATGAATGTCTTGCAAACATATCAAAGTAATTGGAAACAAAATAAAAAGTATTACTAATGCAAATAATATATTAACAAATTTGTTTTTGAACAAATTCTGTTCCTAATAAACATCAGAATTAAATGGGATAGCCATAAATGAATATCAATCTATGTACTTTTGAGAACATTAAATATGTTATAATTACTTTGCGAGACTGTTTTCCATTTTCTTTTTTATTTAAATATTCATGCTTTTCGCAATTAAAAAGACACTATCATGCTATTATAATTACAAAGTAGTAATTAAATTTTTAAAATAAGATGATATTGTGATCTGTTTATGATTATTTATCAGAAAAAATTGTCTTCATTTACAAGAAATACGATCTATTGTGTATAAATCTTGCTATGTTATGATGTTGTACCCAATGATGTTTATACTAAATTAACAAACTTTACTATTTCTTTTTACTTTCTGTATGTCAATCCCTGCTATTACCTTAGACCTGCCATAGCTATGTAATGAAAGTTAATAACATAATCTTACATTTAGCAGCACAGACACAAACAGTATTTCTTTCTATATTATAAGGAACACACGCGAACTCGTTTTCAAATTATTATATTATTAAAATAGATGGGGCTACGAAGCAATATCTGACATAAGTTGAGCCAGTAATGCCGGCTCTAAAAGTCCCTGTGTTTGCCCCATTCTTTCCAAATTCCGTACATCCTTATCTACTGCCTCTAATGCTCGTTCTAATTCCTCTTCTTCTTCTCTCGATGGTTCATATTCTCCATTTCTGCTTTCTATAAAAGAGGTGACAACGCGTAACTCAAGACCGCGTATTTCATGGATTTATTATATTTCCTAATTTCATTTACAGGTTCGTTCATAATTTATGAAATGATTTGACTTCTTCTTTGTTTTTCAATGACTTACGGAATGATTTGACTTTTAAATATATCGCAGAAATAAAAGTATAATTACCAATGAACAAGTCATTAAAAGCATCAGCTGGTAAATTGTTGAGCACATTGCCAAAATCATGCTCTGCAGCATCCAAAGAAGGAAACACTTCATGATCTCCTAGATCCACTTTAAGTCCTCCTCCAAGACCTAGTCCTAATCCTAGATTTAAATTAGAAGAATGCGAACTTCCCTGCGCTACGGTATTCAAATTGTTCAATGTTTTTATCTGATTTTCACTAGAGTTTATTTGACTCAAATATTGGCTCTCTTCGTGTACTAAGGTAGAACCCTTGGTCTCAAGTTTAGTCGTAGGAGGCCTCTTTCGTTTCTTTGGCCTGGATTTTGGTTTAGGCCTAGGAATTGTTGGAGATGTTGGTTTTTTACGAGCTTTCTTTGGTTTAGACTCTTGGGCTTTACGATGATAGTTATCCCTTTTCCTTGCATGCTCTGGACAAAGAGGTAATTCATGTGCAACATCAAACACAGGAATACAACATTGTGTATTATCACTAAACTTGGCAGTGCAATGTTCAAATAAAAGTTGATCTCCGTTCAACATAATGTGACGAGAACAATGACGGGTACAGGGTAAGGATATCTGTTGACATCCTTCAGCTCCACAAAGTCCACCAACTAAAAGCGGGCCATCTACCACTTTGCTAGTAATTGAAGAATCACTCAAAACTCTTGCAGTAGTTGCAGGATCTTTGTATGCAGCTTCCAATAAACACCTAGCTCTACCGCGCAACAATGTTTCAGAGTCTGTTCCACTTTTATGTAATTGAATTAATCGTCGTCTTAGTTGAGAACGCAATTGAGAAAGGCGTGCAGAACGATTTAAAGCTGTACTAGTTTCCCCTGAGAACCAATAGCGTTGATAGACTGTCATTTCATCCCCACTGGAATCACTATCCGATATCTCATCTCCAGCCTTAGGATAATACAATAGGGTATGGTCCCGACTTTGCCTTCTACATTTTAATTTTTGTAAATTCCCAATAGGATTGCGTTGTAAATTCTCAATGCGTTGTTTGTGTCGAATTGCTTTTGCAATTTTATAATCTATGTTTTCACCATCACCATTACCGCCGCCACCACCACCACCAGCACTAGTGTCGACATCTAATTCTATAGCACGATTTTGTACAGCTTTGTATTCCACATCTGGTATGGGTGCTATCCTTATTCTTTGTTTCATACACTTTCCCTTAGACTTAATATTTTTACAACTTTGCATTACTTTAGGATTTTTAGGTGAAACTATTGCAACGTTTCTCCCTCCTGCTGTAGTGAATGGCTCTGGTTCACTGAAGATGTATGGATCGACATCTTGACGAGCCTCAGTTTTCAGTAAAGCCTTCAAGCGATCCGAAAACTTCAATTTATTGTCCATGTTTGAGTTTTCGGATATAGGGACCTTCATTGATTACCGTTTCTCTCGTCTTCTGTTCTACCTGCATTCTCAAACCCGCCAAATCGACTTTCTTCCTATCTAGATAAAACTTAGTTCACGCCATGTGCCAAGATCCAAGTCCGGACAGTACTATTTTTTCAACTCATAATACTGAGAATAAAAAAATAAAAAATTATTTTTATTGTATTTTATATCACAGTTCGGTATTTTGCATTTGCCTCAGAAACATTAATATTTATACTTTTTAAGGCAATATATCTAATAAAATGAATCTTTGTACAAAATATAATAAATTATAAAATAGTCATGTGCACTATTTATATTTGAAATCATTAATGTAACATGCTCTCTGCTATTTCTTATTTACATTTATGTGCATATGTACAAAACTTAGTTGTGTCATGGGTTTTTGCTTTAATACAAAGATTAAAATTTGCTATTTATTATCTAGTATCAAATTTTGTTACAGTGCCTTACAAAAGACTTGTATATTTAAATGATAATAAAATTTACTCTATAGTCTAAAAGTGCAAATAATACTTTAGCAGTCAGTATCTATACCAATTAAAGCTATGTATCACTCTATGTTTATATCCCTATATTTCTATACATAATATGTATGAGATAATTACTAAAGTCTCCTGGTTCAAGCAGTTAGCGTGAACTTAGTCCATGGCTAGATCAGGATAAAAACAATCCTTGCCTCGCATAGCAGTTCACATCAAACATATCCTACACATCTTTGAGTAACTGCATTGTATGAGACACCAAAACATTGAATATTAGCTCTAAGAGTTCTAGTAATCTCTGGCAAGTCAAAGCCATATTAATAAGCTTTTTGTTTTCAGTGTTGACATCAGTACACGATGTTGGCTATCAACACTGTTTGGTTATGTTCGCTCCTTATATAGTCAATAAGACACTGTGCAAAATACTGTAATCAAGTTTCAACAATACAGTCAGGAAAACTCATCAAATGAGTTTTGCCGCATATTTGCACCCATTAACAAGGGTAAACTGTTCACGGATACTCTCACGATGTTTCCTTTATGTACTTAATGTTTCGTTTAGTTTAACCGAGGTTGGGACAGTGTAAATTACTTCCAATAGTAATGGAGGTTGTTGTCCAATCAGGAGCAATCCGACCTTTTTCTTGGAAGATACACTCCAACAAGATTGAAGATTCACGCACAAATTTCAGCATTCATCGATAATAACATTAGAAAGACATGTCAGATGTAAGGGAAGCAAAATGGCGGACACTGCACACACGAACAGTTTCTGATGCGAAAAATCTTTGAATTCACTGTATTATCACTTTGAATTTGGTATACAAACAGTTTGCGTCCGTTCTAAGCGTTAACTGATTTCGTATGATACTATACAAAAATACTACTCTCGCACAATTTTGAATATTCTTATCAGTAACGATTGGATTGTTCTTCGTTATTCACTTCGACATAACCTTTTACTTGTTTTACATATATAATACGTAAGCCTCGTTTACTGCGTTCTCATTTCCCTTGTTAAAAAATACACTAATGCGAATGAAGAAGAGTTAGGAAGACATAATTATAAAATCTCATTTCTTCGACGTTGACGTATGCCTTCTTTCAAGTGACTCGAAATACTTGATGTTGCATCGTATTTGGAACAATTATGTTCGTTTTACATAATTTTATAATTCTTCTACATAATAACGTTTTAAAATTTCATACAGTATGTAGAATAATATTAATATTATAGTTAAATTACCTATTTCGAAAAAATTCTATGATAACAATAACTACTGGAATTAACAGATACCAATGCATTTAATTCATGACGATTATAATTGAAACGAGGCTTAAAAAAATACTTGTAAAATTATTTACAAATAATATTTTTTATGTAATTTTAATAAACAACAAACATTAAGTAATTCGTTAAATGAAAAATGTATTTTTTATCTGGAATAACTATCATGAAATTTTTTTTTTTTATATAAAAATAAAAAAAAATCTGAACGCGATATACTATAACTTGATAAAAAAATTTAAGAAATATTTTTTAAATAATGTATACAATAAATTATTAAATTATTAAAATTCATTTTAGCCTTGGTACAATTTATGTAATAATACAAGACAGGTGAATAAAAATTATCCACGCCTGTTATAAAATATCCTTAAATGTATTATTTACAGGAAAACGAAGGAATTGAAGATATTTTGAATTACATATAAAATATTAATAACGTAATAATTATGTATTACATATATTGCTACATAACCAAACAGTAGTTTTATACTCGGTATTATTATTTCTAACAATTCTAGTAGAACAGCATTTCATTATTCAACTAATAATAGCATTTATACAATATTTATTCAATTAATCTATCAACACAGAAAAATTAAAATAACTAATAAGCCTAGTAACCTTGAAAAATTGTTACCACTGATCAGCTGATTTTGACATTTAAAAGACTATAACCTATCCCCATCGAAATATATTGCCAAACACCACCTGTTGATTTCTATATTTTGTTCTATTTAGAATAAATGTTGTTTACATGTTACGAATAATTTATTTTATACTGCACAACTTGTCGTGCCTGAAAATTAACTTGATTCGTATATTAAAAAATACATATTAATAGTTTCTTTTACTTAAAGAGCATACATTTCTAATACTTGGAAAATATTTATACATTCATAATGTATACGTAGCTAATAATTCATTGTCACTAATTAAATACTATATTCCATCTCTTACTACCAATTTATCATCCTCATGACTCTATAGAAATTTCATTTTAGTGTAATTACGTCCCTCTTTTAAAAACTCATTTGGAAGGCAAGATAATATACTCGATAACTATTAGAACTTTGTTTCATTTATATTTTTCCCTTATTTTTTTATAATTAAATATACACAATGACCATGTACACAACTACTTTGTGTACTTAACATTGCTCAAATATAGTTTTGTAATCTTACGAACACATACATCTACTAACTTCAGCAACCATGTTTGTGTTATGTACATATAAATAGAGAAAACATATTTTATAACAGAGCCAATGTAGACTATAAATTATACAACTCAAGCCAAAGTGGAAAATAAAAAATATATTAGTTTTCAGAAAGAACAGAAAAATAATGAATAATTAAAAGATTGCAAGACGAAGATGTGTAATACATTTACAAACATATTTCTATTGCATAAAATTGGATTCTTTACATTCTCAGGTTCAATATAGAAAATGTGAAGTAAAATTTTGAGTAATACAATATTTTTAAATGACAAGATTCTTATTACAAATGTTCAACAAGATACTATACAATAAACTGTGTACACATAACACATATTCAATCCCTCTGATCTCACCTGCTTGATATTTAATAAATGTTTTTATTTACTTTAATCAGCGAATGTCACTTATTAAAGTTCAATATGCATTACACGGACATAATGAAAGTTTACTTATTAATCATGACTTTACTAATGATGTTTCTTACTTGAGAATTCAAAGTATACTCGCTTGTTTTTATGGTGCATTCGTGAACAAACATTTAAAATAATTGGTAAAGAAGTGAATAAAGAACTCTAGAGAATAGTTAAGTACAGAACAATTTGAAGATATAATTTGCTAAATTCATAAATAACACGAATCCATTATATGGATATTTTATAAGATTAAATGCGTCGCGTATTGTAATAACACAGAAATTATATTTTGCCTTTTCGATATGTAGGACAATCTGTAATAATCTTAGAAAATCCAATGAAAAACAAACATATTTCAGTAAATAAAATTAAAAATATAAATCCCTCCTTTTTTATATTATGCTTACGAAACAATGTTTTCAATTGTTTGAAATGTTGGAAATTCATTTTTTCATTTTATATTTCAATCGATTTAATTTGTAATGATATTAAATTCTTAGTTCGAGGTATAGTTTGTGGTAGACCCAAGGGACGGTAATTTCTTTTTTATTACAAAAGTTGTATTTGAAAACTGTTATGAATTAGATAATAAATGTTTGTTACGTAGTTCTTCGTTGAGGTTTCTGTCCTTTAATAACAGTTGGCCGGCCTTTTATGTAACCTTTCTTGCGATGTGGTGTCTAAAACATTAATATCCAACCCCCCACAACTTCAACTACGTTTCGAGATCATGCAATGTATAGTATAACAAACGGGAAACGATACGATAGGAAATTCAAGAAATTAAAATTTATATATTTTATATTATCGTATGAAGTGTAATACTCACCTTTTTACTGAAATATGAATTGTCGTTACGTGCAACAATTCGCTTAGATATTGGAATACTAGGTCTATTAAACTCGTTTGGTTTTTTCACCCTGTGAAGTTATTTGTTGATGAAAACATATATAATTTATAATATACGAATTTCACACTTTTCATATAGACATATTACCTGTAAATCCTAACAAGCCAATGTTCGGTTGTGTAAGCTTCTTCCAAATACGTTAATTGGAAATTTTTATGCCCTATTTCTGCGCTGCGTGTACGATCATAACCAAAAGGAGATCGATAATCGATCTTAACTTCTCCAAATCGATAGTAACATAATTTATACATTAACGAGTTCAAAAGAGTAGGCGAGCCTTCAGAATCCACTCGAAATTCCCCCTTTTCGGAAAAATAATCACTCTCCCGAATGTCCAGCGGATGTTCACCTTCAGCAATTCGTACCATCCAAAGGAACTTATTAACATCATCTCCAGAATATCCAATCATTCCTCCAAAAATAACTAATACATAATCTACATCTAAAGATGTCATTATTTCATAAGCAGCACTTTCATTTGAGCTCATTGCTTTTCCAACCAGAGCTATATGAGAATTATTCCAAGTATTATTGTCCACAAGTGTAGTTCTAATTTAAAAAAAGAAAAAACAGAAAATATGTTAGTCCGTTTTACTTGATACAGATACGCGACGATGAATTTTTTAGTCTTATTCATTAACAGCATATACCTGTTAGCCATTCCAGCAATTTGATAACCATAATCCCACCAACTCATAACTCTGGCATCAGTGGGTGTATTTTGTGCTAACCAATAATACGCTTCTCTAAAATCGTCAAGTATGGCTCTATCACCATCGTTGCTATACGATGCCAAAACAATTGAAGGACTAGAGTATGCATTACTTGTGATCCAAGTACAATGCAAAGTAAACATTGTCATCAACATAAGTGCTCCAATGACAACTCCATTTCGAAGATTAACACCTAGTCCATCCCCATTCCCTGTAGGTCTTTCGTGCTTCATTCTACGAATTTTTCCAGCTTTATCATACAGTGCTCTGCCCGGACTCCTTTCTCTTTCTTCCTCGCTTTCTTCTTCGCTTCCATTACTCCGATCGTTTCTTTCGCTATCTTCTTCTTTAAAGAATAAATCAAGAAGATCGCTAAACGCAACACCGGCAAGCATACAGACAACTGGAGTCAGTGTAAGCATAAGCCTCACCATTACTCCAGCAAAATAAACTGCACTTATAGCGTACAATATAACTGTAATAGAAATTATAACAAATTATATACTTAAATGACTTTAAGCAATCGATCATTTTTATTACAAAACCTTACCAAAAACGCGCTCATCGTTTATATGTTTAATGCAATACCAAAGACCAACAGGAAATGTTGTAACAAGAATGTGCAAGTCAAAGAAAAAGCTAAACCATGTTGTAGGTTGATGCTCGGAAACAGATGCTATTATTGGAATGTGTATTTTTGCATAACCGGTATCCCATAGTGAATAAAATCTTCCGCTCCAAGGGGCAACAATACCAGCATATGTCAAGCAGATCAAAACCAACAAGAGAATACCAGCTGTAACTGCAACTACTCCTCCAAAGTATTTCATTTCGGATTTAGTAAGTACAGTTCTTAAATACCTAAAGTAAACAAAACAAAATATTATATTAAAATATTTTTATATAGAAACATTATGAATATATTCTATTAATATACCTGAGAGTTGCCACAAAAATTAGCAGACCGAACACACCTCCCGCAGCCATGTGTTCAGACGTTCTTATTGGCTGGAAACCAACGAATGGTATTTGCATACTTAACAAAAGACCCAAAATATAGAAAGTGGTGTAACTTGTGAAAAGACGATTGCTATATCGATTCATGACCAGCAATGCAAAAACATGGAATGGAATCAAATTAATGATAAAAACGTAACCACCCCATGCAGATACCATATAAAAGTAAGACAAAGCAGTCATCGAAGCCCAAAAAATCGAGCCAGTTTTAACTGACTTAACCCAAAGATAATATGTTATTTGCAGCGCGAAAATGGCAATGCCTTCATTGTCATAACTTCCTGCTACGGATCTTGAAATGTAACCAGGTACAATTGCAATAAAGCATGCTGCAAATAAACCAGCTCCGGCGCTCCATATTTCTTTCGTTAATAAGTACGTTGAAATGGCAGTAAGGCCACTAAAAATTGGAGCTAGGAATACACAAATGTCTCTTATATGCACTGGGATATTTAAAGAATGTAATATATAGTGTATCGATCCAGAGGTAATCATTAGACCTGGATAGACAGTTCCACCTACGATACGTCCCAATGGATACCATGCTCTTTCATCGAACCAATTTAAAAAATTATAAAATCCATGTTGTACCATATATGCCGTTGCTCTATAGTTAAACCTATATAGAGAACAAAATTTACTTTCACAATTTCATTATTATTTCCTTATTAGAATATATTTATATATTTCAAATGAAACCGTTTTATTAACAATAATAAAATTACACTTTTTCGTTCAAGACAAGAAAATATTAAATCAAATTATTAATAAACACGTGTGAACCAATATAACGTGTAAAAATACGTACCAAGGGTCAAATTCATGTATAATACTTTCGAAACGTATTACTGCAAATAGCCGAGAGGCGAATCCTGAGATCCAAGCGAGTAGCAAAACAGTAAAAGTAATGAGAGAACTAAGACCGGCAGCATTTGTTAACGTCGAAGTTTTCATTTGCTTAGAAGTCGCTTTCTTATCAGGGAACATATCTTTTCTGGTATTTGTCGTGGATGATCTATTTGACAACATACTTTCTTTTACGTTTACAAATGTAATGGGAAATATTTCCGTCAGTTTTTAATAGATATTTTCCATTAACATATTAGCATTTGTTTCCATTTGACACGTTGCAAATCAAGCAGCTCGCAACAAATTACCAAATCACTATGCCTAGGCTAGGAGGCTAAGACACGTCAAACGCCGGCTACGTGTGAAACCATGACTTCCACACCGACAATCCGCACTTGCGTAAGAGTATGATAAAGGAACGGTGTGTTCGAATATGCGGTTAACAACATTAGTACGTTCAATAGGAATACCAAGACGCTGATTGGTTTCGTTTAACAAGCATGAAATCAAAAATAGTTTGTCCACCAATAAGATTAAGTTTGAGTCAATATAATATCCGGTCATCGAGTATGATCTAGATCAGTGTTTCTCAAACCTTACATTTTAGAACAAATTTTTAAATAGATCCAGATTCATTTAAAATTATACAAGTTACTATTTACGTATAATTGTTGCAATTTTGCAGTCAAATAATCAATAAGAGAATGTACGTAAAGATATTGAATAAAGTAATACGATTAAAAATAAATATAACTACGGTACACTCCTGATTGGGGATACAGCGAACCAATGAGATTCTGTTATAGTTTATGGTTTTATTTACCAGAGTTTCTTTCATTGGACTTTCATGTTGAAAGTATAAGTTAGCAAATTCCCTTAATAAAAATAAAATAATATCAGAAGCAGCTTTTTTTACTTCACGATATAAATGCTTTTGTTTTATTTTGAGAGCTCACGAAAACTCTAATTAAATATTCGTGTTTGCGAGCCCCTGCTTGAGAAACACTGATCTAGTACAGAATAACCTCGTTATCCTCGTACAATATGTAGGCTTATTTTTACGAACGTCATCCGGATAATCTGTTCTCTGATTAGTTAATTAACTGACTCTAAGACACGCTCCGAAACTAACGTTTTCTGTCAGTATTACAGTTCACGAGGGAATCTAACCAACACTAATAATTGCATTAATCTTAGAACACTTAAAATTCAGTTGATTCATAAATGTAACGATCAGAACAAACTAACAATTTTTTACGCCATTATCTCTAATAAGTTATAATTTTGAAGAAATTCTAAATTATATAATAAAACATTGTTTACTAATGTTTACTAGTAAGGAAAAACTAATAAAACGTACTGGAAAAAATGCTATTGGCCGTTATGATTTTTTGAAACTTCTAGTTACAGAATTTAAAACTACCAAGTCGAAAGGTAAATTGTGTAAAAAGAAAAACACAGTTGTAAGATCATTTAGAACGAATATTAATGGACCCAAATTTTTCCGTAGAAGCAAGAGAGCAGGTATTAGCAAACCTTGCTAATTTTTCTTATGATCCTATTAACTACGGATATATAAGACAACTTAAAATAATTGATTTGTTCCTTCATACATTATCAGAAGATAATATAAAGTTGGTACGTTTTGCGGCAGGAGGTATTTGTAATCTATGCACTGGCAAGTATTTACTTATTTCAATGAAAAGTTAGGTTAATTTTTTTTAATAATGATCGTAATAATCGAATAAAATTATAATTATATTTTAGATCCAATAAATAAGTTGTATATTTTACGTAATCACGGCATTCAATTATTGACATCCCTGCTTTGCTTACAAGACGAAGATACCATACTTTCAGTGATTACCAGTTTAATATTTTTGATCACACCTGAATCTAAAGATCAAATAACGATTGAAACGTTTGAAACAATTTCTGATTTTGTAAAGCATGAAAATAATCGTATACAAAATTTGGCAACAGTATTTTTAAACAACCATTGCAAAGCAAAAGCTGGAAATCAGAGTACGAAAAATATATAAATCTGTATTCCAACATATTAAATGTCTTGTAATTCGTGAATATTTGTAAATCTAATTGTTAAAGAATGCAAACATTGTAAAGTACAGTTTACATAAAAAATAAAATGAAGCTGACAAAGTCATTCTTTGAATTATTAAAGAAGTATTGTACAGGAGCTTCTGACCTAACAAATTCATCAAATGTTTTAAAAAATGTGAAGACTGTAAGCGAAGTATCAATTTTTAAAACGATTACAAACGATGATATACTTAAATTTGCCAAATTGACCGGTGATTACAATCCAGTACATAAGGGTTCCACAAACAACCTTGTCCATGGTGCTTTTCTCAATGGCTTGGTATCAGGAGTAATTGGTACAAAAATACCTGGCCCAGGAACTATAGTAGTTCAACAAAATCTCGCATATCCGAAACCATGTTACGCAGGGGATAAAATAGAAATAAAAGTGCAAATTATTTCTATTAGAAAAATCATTAAATGTGAATATATCTGTATTGCAAATGGAGAGAAGATAGTTTTAAAGGGAGATGCAAAACTTATAAAAAAGTCATGAAACGTTTGCTCTATTTATTTGTGAACATATTACATTAACAAAAAATAAAGTAAACTTCTTTGTACAAAATGTGACTGCAACATTGCAGTATTATGAAATATTGCTTAATATGCATGTATATTCTGACCCATTTTAATAGCTGACACAACAAAACAACGTATCTTTAACAAAACCAGCAGCCATTTGCTAACTTCCATTGAGTTCTTGCAAAAAATTCAGTCAGCCTGATCGATGTAAGTGTAACATTAAATTATATGCAAACATTTTTAACACGTACAATATAAATTTTGTCTCTTTTACAGAAGAAAATGTACTTCATATATTTATTAGTAGTTTTTTGCTTCTCATCTGTATTTACAAATCAAATTAAATCAAAAACCTTAAACAATACTCATGATTTTACAACTACTGAATTTCCAAACGATTGTGCTTGTGGAATTTTTTTAACTAGTCAATTTAAAAAAGGTAATAAAGAATCACCTGCAGGAAATCCTGCTCTTATCCACGATCAACCTGGAACATTTTCATGTACTCCAGCTGGAAAGAGGCTCTGCACAAATAAATGTCTAGAAACTGTAAGTTATTTCATAGAGATAATATCAAACTTCTTATTTAAGTTTCCTCAAACAAATTACTGAATAATTTTGACTCTTTAAGTATAAAATTACTTATAAATTTATTACAGATTATTAAATATCTTCCAAATAGTTCTACAATGATATGTAGTTCAATAGAACGTGACAGCTATAAAGAGAGAGTAAGTATTATCATATTGTTCCTACAGTAATACAATAAAGGTTCTAATGTAAACCAATGTTCTGTTATACTAGGCTTACTTATTTATTAAGAACTGTAAAAGCCAGTGGATTAATACAAATCTGTCAGCTGGAAAGGAATACTGCTGCAAAAATGGAACATCATACAAATGCCCAATATTTTAAAATTACTGTGACCTATGTTTTGTAAATGTTTTTATTTTTTATAAATCGATAAATTTCATATTATTTTTATTCTATAAACGTATTCCCGCTGCTCCCAAAGTTTTTTCTTAAATGTCCCGCCCCTTGTCTAAATATAGCTTCAAGATCGTCACCTACACTCCACATAGAATCAAAGGAATCCCGGATAAATATCTGAAATCCTCATTCTATAATTAGATTTTCAGATGTGAAACTTTGTTCTATTCTGTGTGTTTCAAAAAAGAAATGTTTCTCTTTCATTAAGCTTTCTTTTTTTTATTACCGACATGTAAGGTACGATTGTGGTCTTTAATTTGTGCTATTGGGTCAAGTTCAAGCATAACCCCAATAACATTACAGATGACAATGTTAAATTTAAACTGACCAATTAGTTTAAACACATACCTTGTAAACTCTATACTTCAACAGTTAATACAAAGCCCTTATAAAAGTTTTACTTTCGTAAACACCGACCAAATAAAAAAAAGAACACATTTATTATTTTTGTCATTTTCTGCTGTCATTAAATATTATTAACACGATTGTGGTGCTTTGTAAAAAGAAAAAAAAAAAATGAAGTTGCATTATAATACATAGTTAATGTTTTGTGCAAAATATACCGTAAATAAAAAATTGATAAAAAATATGTGTGCACGACTTTTAGCGTGCCCTTTGTGCTCTCAACCAGGTTTTTTAACATTGGATGCATTACGAACAGGATTAATAAGTGTAGCAACTCGACCTCTTACATGCCCTGTATGTAATGAAATATTGCTTGGCATTGATAAACTGACAATACATTTGTTCAGCCACACTATCAATTTAAATGATAATAATACAACAGAATCATCGAAACATACAAACATTGCTACTAGCAATAATAATCCACCAACAGTTCATAATTTACAAAATACTACTTATCAAGATTGGAACGTATCTAAGGCATTAATTACAGACGAGAGCAAACTTTTAGAAAATAACCTGAATATCCAAAGCAGTTTAAAATCCTCTAAGAACTTACAAATTACGAAAGACGAAGTTTCAATTTTTAATTCAGGAGTTTGTATTCAAGATCAAAATTTACCTGTAAAACACGCACCTCAAGTTCCATTTTTAACAAATTCGATTTGTGATAATGAAGGAGTAAATACAATTCGTGAAACACTCGAGAACAAAACAATATCAAACGTAGATAAAGATTCTCAGCAAACAATAAAATTAAATTATGCCACACAGTATTATGCAACTGGTAATATTAAACAGGTAAATTTGATACAAAATCATGCTCAAAAAGAACATGAAAATATTCAAACCCTTAGACATTGGATCCAAGATCAACATTGTGAACAACAAACTTCTACAAATGAACATATGTGTGCATTGGAAAAATGTATAGAAAATGAAGAGTCTTGTAATAATAAACAAAATTACAATGAACAAACAACATCATTGAATAAATTTCCAAATATTGCGACAACAAATACTAATATGTTGTTGGAAAAGTATAATAATGAAAAAAATGTAGGTGATAATTCATTTGCTGTATGTAATGAAAGAAAAGATGAAAATAGTAAAAACGAACAAACACTGCCTCAGTTAAAACTTTTCAAAACTTTATCAACAAAAGAAAAGACTGAACGTTGCAATATATGTGGTTTTCATCTTCCCGACTATAACATTTTACTTTTACATAAACAGTTAGTGCATATGATCAATGAAAAAGATTTAAATGTCATTCCTGAAAACTTTCTTAAGGATTACTCGTGCCATTTATGCTCTAAAGTATTTAAAATGAGGGGCAGTCTGATGGTTCATATGAGAGTAGCGCACATGGGATATAATCTGGGTAATTTATTCATATTATATTAAACTTATGTAATTTGATACTTGTTAACAAGACAATGTGTTCAGGTTCTTTGGCTAAAGGCGGACAAGTGGAACTTATATTTAACAAGAATAAATATAATTGTCCTACGTGTGGAAAAACATTTAAAAAGGTAACTAAATCATTTTTATATAATTTTCATGAAAATAAAATACATTCACTGTTCCAGGAACAACATGTAATACAGCATTTAAAGACACACGAAGCTAAACAATGGGAATGCGATGTATGTAGTAAAATGTTTACAACAAAATATTTTTTAAAAAAACATAAAAGATTACATTCAGGAGAAATGCCTTATAAATGCAATATATGTAATAAAACGTTCACATTTCAACAATCATATCATAAACATAGATTATATCATAAGGATGATAAACCACATACATGCGCAACATGTGGTAGATCATTTAAAGAATTATCTACTTTGCACAACCATGAACGAATTCATACAGGAGAAAAACCTTTTGCATGCGAAACTTGTGGTATGTGGGCTTTTGTAAAGATTTCATTCGATAAACACTTTAAAAATCTTAGAATAATGCATGTTTTGTTTTCAGTTGCTACTAACAATTTAACATGGATTGTTCTGTTTCTGCAATGTATGTATAATAAGGTTTTGTGATTATTACTACTATATAAAGCTTACATATGGACACTACTCTAATAATAGTGTAAATATCAATGAGATTTTGAGCAATTTTATTTTACACAATAGGAAGAAAAAAATTATAACATTTTAAATGATATTTATATTTTAGGAAAATGTTTCCGTCAACGTGTTTCATATCTGGTTCACCGTAGAATTCACACAGGCGTAATGCCTTACAAATGTACAATATGTGGAAAAAGTTTTAGATACAAGGTATGTTATAATTGACAGACTATTTTTACAATTTCATTAATTATTTATTACTGCAGGTAAGTCAAAGGACTCATAAGTGCCTAGCGCAACAGATGGGAAATACACAACAAGCAAGTAATGTAGATCAACATTCAACACATTTATCGAACGGACAAGACTTGAGTAACAACATCTGTCAAATACAAAAAGATCATGTAGAAGAGAATCAACCAATGCTAAATATTTTAAGTAACGAAGAAAATAAGTATGTATTAATAATAAACACTCAAGGTCAACAACTTCTAACAAAGGAATCAAAGGATAAAGCTGAAGTAACCCAAAGTAAAGATAAAAAATTAGAGGAATGCGTAGGGATAAATGATGAAAATGGAGAAACAAGAAATATATGGAAGTCCAACATTCCTAATAGCTCTATATTTAAAGAAACACTTGATAATTCTAAAAAAATATATTCAAAAAATGAAAAATCACTTCGAGAAGACGCGACTGATTTCTTTTCGATGATAATATCTCCGCTAGAAACTGGATTATCTTCTCCCACTGCTGAAATGGAACATTTACGAGTATCATCACCAACACGAAGAAGAGATATACTTAAACCTTACAATAACTTCAGAAGTATAACACATGATATGGAAATAAACATAGCTAATACGAACATGGAACAAAGCTTTAACAACGATGATAATACAAATCCAAATACTTTACAAACTATAAACGAAGAATCTTTGAAACAACTACTATATGGTATTAACGAGAAATAATAATAAAATTATATTACAAATGTATAAAAAATACAATATTAGTTTACTAAAAATAAATAGAAAGACATTAAAAGAAATTTATTTTATTTAAAACTTATAATTCTTTTAATATAATCAAATTGTAGATACCTTTTTTTTTAAGGAATAGGTTATACGTTTTCGACATTTTTACAAAAGTTATGTGTTCATACTTAACTACTTAAATTCAGATTCCTATTCACAACAATACCACTGTACACTCTTTTGAAATAAATAGTTAGTTGTAACGCTTAAAAAGAATTAAGTATACTTTAGTACACAAGAAATAAAGACAGCTTTATTCGAACCGCGAACAACAGTTTTACAACAATGCAAATAGAAAATTATTGTATTTCAATTAATAACGAACGAGACTTGGAAATAAAATAAACCATTTATTATTTCAAAGACTTACTTTATGCGTTTTGCGTTTAAATCGTAATCGTTACTTTTGTTATTTGTTTATAGAAGAACGTTTTACATCACAGGTCACCTTCTTATGAGATGAAATCATAACATTAGTTTTGCCACTGATTGGTTGATACAGAACGAATGGCGAACATTAGCCAATCACCGTCCACTAGAGTTACATTTTGGCTACATAAAGGAACAAACGTGCTTTAGTTGAATCGACCGAAACAACCTGCATCGTGTATAATCCTTGGTCGAGATATCGTAGCAGACGACGCTCCGATCGACTTGACAGCATAGTCCGTAATTTCACGTGTCCTCTCGCACATCGCATTGCGTAACTGGAGTCTAACTTCCAGGGAGGAGCTCCCTTTTTCGGTAAGTTGATGTCCATAAATAAAATTTAAGACCAACGAACAACAGATAATTGTAATGTGTTTAATACATGTACTGAAAATTTGTTTAATTGATCAGTTAACAGATATATCATTTATCACAAGCTGTTTTGACATATCTTGAGAAATACATTAGTTTATCGGCCAATTGGGCACTACCAAATGAGGTTTTCAACCAATCGTGGTCAGTGTATACATACTTGTCACGATCAAACAATAGAACTAAAACTCAATGTCTGTTACGACATCGTAATTGTGAAGTTTACATATTTTCATAAAAGATTTAAAAGTACATAATTAAAAATGTTCTACGGTTGTTCAATGATTATTTTTGTGTCCGATTTAAAGATAATTATTATTAGATTTACAGCTGTCAATTAACGTATTATCAGTAAACGTTATTTCATGTGTGCGAAGTAGATGGTGTCGTATAATACGAAATATAATCAAAATTCATTTTAGTTTATTCCTCGAGAAAATCAAATTAATTTTTTCAAGAAGTGACATAATAACACGTATCAAATGTATTAGATATACATGACAAAAAGAAAATATGATAAGGGCAGTGATAATTTGTTCTATTTTAGGTATTACGTTTCGTGCATAATGTTCAAAATGTTATGTGTCGTGACATTCATCGACTAATAATTATTTGTTTAGATATTGAAAACAAACGGTTCCTTAGTTTTCTTGCTTTTATTTGTATGAAATTATAGTTTTGTTACGTATATGTGAAAAGCATGATAACAAAAATTTATCTACGCATGTTGTAACGTTGCACGACGTTGAATGTGTTCGATCTCATGTGTCAGCGTTTCTCAAATTGGGGTACCCAGACTCCAGGGGGTCCGCGAACGTTTGGTGGGGGTCCACGAATTCTCAAATGAGAAAAAGTATACTATATCGTAAAATGAGAAAAGTACGTACATACCATAGTATTTTATTCTTATCGAGAAGATTTTCTAACCTAAAGCATTACAGAATTGGCAAATTTTAAATATAGCGATGGTTAAAAATTTAGTACTTAAAGTGATAGTTTATATACGAGTCTCGAAGCGCCGAACTAAACTTTAAACGTGTTTGTTTGTGTTTCTGTTAATAGTAACTCGAATGTTATTAAACCAATTTTGATGATCTTTGGTACTAGTATTCTTAATCGCATTGTTTATCGTATGATGTACGATTTTTAAAAAATTAGTTTCTAAAACATAACAAAAATATGTCTGTTAAAAGGAATTTTCTTTCAAATGCCGCAAGTTCTAGATTTTTAAAATGTAAACGATTTCATACTTTGCACCATGAAGATATAAATAAAAATAAATTTCTTTCAATTGGTTATATAAAAAATAATCTGTTTTGTCGCACGTCAAAGTGGCATAGACCTCTCATGGGGGAAATTTGAGGAACACTGCTCTATGCAATATCACGTAATAACTGATATATAAATACGTTGAGCAAAGAATATTTTATCAACGAACAGTGTCTATTTGTGCTTTTAAAACTTTTATCATTGATATTCGAGCAATTGTTTGTGGCTAATTTTACGCCGTAGACGAAGGAGAAAGTAAGGAGTTTGAAAAAAAACTGCAGCAAGATGGCTATTCGCGCCGGTTTTGCGTCTGCCGCTGCGTTATGAACCGTGATTTCGCTCCACGCGGGTACCGAGTTTTAGAACGCACCTACGTTGGCTCTTGTGTGTGACGTTTCCCGATGGGGGCGGAGCGTCCTCCAGCTTCCCAATTCTAACCAACCCGATCCCGATAGCCGTCGCATTCCGCTGATTTGCCTCAGTGTGCCTCGGCAGTGCGTTCGGTGCGTTTTTTGGTGTGTGCCTGTGCACATAGCCGCTCACCACCAACGTACGTACGTGCGCGTGAATCCATTTCTCTGTCGTATGTAACGAGAGACGTTGTGCTCGCAAAAATCATCAGCGAGAAGACATTTTCCTCGCGATGCCCTGGGCATGTTTTTCCGACATTCAGGTAATCTTATCGGTAACTGTTTTTTTTTCTTTCTTTCGCTCTCTCCCCCCCCTCTCCCTTGAAGAACCTGCATACCCAAGTGAGATTCTCTTTTTCGAGGACCTCAACCTGAGGTCACACGGTGACGAGAGTGCAAGAGCGAAAGAAAGAAAGAGATGGAGAAAGAACTCGTCCTCCATTACTTGTTCGCAAGCAAATGGTGGCTTGCTCGCTCGCAAGTCTCTTTGTTATAATTATTTACGCCTTCCGTTGTATCCTTTCGGTATACCGAGTCTATTCGTGGCCTTGTTGCAACCGAGTAATCCTAGCGTTTGTGGAAGGGGTTGTATGATGTCAACGGCACAATTTCGCATTGCCTACGATATTATAAACGGACACCAGTTGTAGTGTTTGTTATGATTCTTGGGTTCGTTACTATCTCTTTCACCGTAGAGGAAAACATTAATTGCGCATCGCCTCTGCTGTATTATTTAGTTACGCTCCTTTTATCTGAGTGCGCATTGATCTAACGTATCTAACCATAATAAGTGATTTCTTTTGTAATCAACTTCGTCGGAATCTGAGTATAATTTTTCTTCTAACACATTGTTCGAAAGCTGGTACATATATTTCCTTTGTTAAAATCTAAAAAAACCATTCAAATTTTGTAAACGTAGATATATGCCTTTATATAACAAACATATTTTTGTTAAATATTCGTTATTTTGTTGGGTTTATATTCATATAATCGTATGAATTAAAAGTTAACACATTAATTAGAACATTGTTCGTGTTTACACAAAGAAATTTAGAGCAAGTGAATTTACATCAAAGTGTTTTCTATATTAATATAACGATGTTTTATTTGTTCTCTTTAATTTGTTCCATGTTATTGCATAAGTGAATGTGTTCAAGTATGCATTGAAACTGTAATTATTTCCTACTTTGATTTATCATTTTATTTCATAGTCTAATTTTAATTTCCATTTATTCATTATAGCCTTGTTATTACATAATGTATATGATACAGAAGTTTTGATTATTTTACAGTAATACTGATGCTTCAAAGAACAATTATAATTTCTGGCTCTGAAATAAATTTATCAAATAATTTTTATATAAAACTTTATAAATTATTCTTATTTCGTATCGTACAAAGTGGCCAATAGAAATATTTACCTTATATTTCTTTTTGCAGACAGAATAGTGGCATGAGTCGATTAATCTATGGCAGATCAACAAGATCAGTTGTCATCAGGGGGGTCTGTAGAGACGGCCGATGCTTTATCAGACACCTCTAAGCTTGGAGGGAATAGCTCTGGCAGTGGTAGCAGTGGTTATAGAAAACGACAAAGTACTGGTTCTATTCCGGTCACTGTAGAAGAAAAAAGGCGTAGAGGAACTATTGATAACTCACAATCATCCGAAGTTTTTAATAATACTTCTTCATATAAACATTTGACTGATTCCTTTAAAACAGAGAATAGAACAAGAGGTGAACGTAAAAGTCATGGCAGTGGCTTAGATTCATATCTAGGTAATTATATCTGGAAAAAGTAATATAATTTTTTAATATAATTTATTAGTATTTTGTAAAATATCCATTACTTTTTCTAGATACTGATTGGAGGCCTCAACATAAGGTTCAGCAATCAAATTATAATATCAGTGGGAATAGTACAAGAGTTCGTAGTGCAGCAAGGACAAGTTTGCCAGAGTTAAATTTGAAGGCTATCGACTGTATTGCTTCAAGAACACGTTCTCGAACACCACAAAATCCGCAAGCCGTATCGCAAGGACATAACAGTTTCGATTTATCACTATCCAGTGGCTACAGTAATCGAGAAGAATTGACTTATAACAACTTGGTGCCAACATCAAACAGTACACCAGTTACTAGTCATCCATCTACATCAAGAGGACGAGGTTAGTTTATTTATTTTATTCTTTAAAAAGTGTTGGTTGCAATGAGATGTGATGTGTGATTTGAGTGAACAGATAATAGAATTCAAAAAGAGTCAAACCAATCTTAAATGAGTTAATACATTTGTCTTAATAATCTTTCTACGATTAATAATCTTATACAAAATTTATAAAAATAACAATAAATGATAAACAATTGATTAACGTAAATCACTAATCAGTACATTCTTTACCAATTACGATTAATTATACGTACTTATTTTTATGTGAAAACTAATAAAATTAGCATTTAAGTTTTAAAAGATTAACAAGCTTTAATTTAAGTGTAATATCTTTATGTTTTGAAAATCAGTAACCTATGATTTTATATAATGTCTACAGCTAACGCAAACTTTTCTACTTAATTTACCAAATTTATTAATTTGTAAAATTTCATTGTTTTAATGGCCAACAAACAATGCAATTATTGTTATTTATTTAATACATTGCTTCTAATATACACAGTTTTTCTTTAAATTTTTTTTCTTCCGCTGTTTATTAATTTTATTTCTAACGAAACATGTGTTTGGTATTTAATAATAATATAAATATATATTATTAAAATAATAACCACAAAAGTGTTTAAAAAATTAATAACTTACAGTGACTTTGAAATGACAAACATTATTCTTTAATATACTTCAAGATTAATAAACTAAAATTAAATAAATAATTCTACTCGTGCATAATTATGTGTAATTTTTTATAAACAAATAAAATAAGAATAGTAATTCTAGACATACTATTCAATAAACAGGGACAACAAGACAATATTTATACTTGACATATACATTCTATACAATAATGTCACATGAATTTAGTACTATGCTTAATGTAGTGCCATGGTCAGTTAAAAAGAACCCATGGTCATATGTCATAACTACGTGTTTTGCAACCTTCATTTATTGAAGTAGTAGGTTAAAGAATAGGGTAGTAAAATTAGGTTTTGATTCACAAGTATCTTAAAATTAAAGAAAAAAGGTATTACCAAAATAAGAGTCATAGATCAGACTGTATCATTAGGCCTGAGGATGAGCGAATGTCTGGAAGGATTTGTGTCTGCTGTCAAAGCACTTTTTCCAATATCAACACAAACGTATCATCAAGAAGGTAAGCCTAAGGAGTACACACTTCGTACTACATTTTCTTCCCCTTATTTTCTCTCAAATCCATGAGTAGATATCTTTAAATGAATAAAAATTCGCTATAAATCTGCTCTCTAAATTGATTCCCTTGTATCCATATGCAAGTATTGTACTTAACATCAGGTCAAATTGTTTGTGTCAAATTTGATTTATGCATGACATTATTTCTCCAGACACATAGTAAATAATACGGTTCTAATGTAATTATACAATATGTTTGTACCGTATGAAATTTCATACGGTAAAAGTGCCTATAAGTTCAAACAGTATTATTTATCACCACTTTGATTATTGATCGAAGATTGTATTTTACGATTTGAAAATACTTTACAATGTATGAAGATATATGAAAAATAATAATGCAACAATCGATTTAAATATTATGAATATGATATGCAATTAAATTATCCACAGGTATGATACTTAAAGCCAATGTGTACCAGATATTTTATTATATTATTGCAGTTTGCAATTACAGTTGAAAAGATTATTACAAAATTAAAATATAAATTTTATCCTAGACGAGCAAAATTTTACTCAAATAATGATTTTACTTCACCACACAATTACATTTTAATTTATTCATTTTAAAACATTTAATTGTAATTTTTTAATCATTATTAAAAAAGTAATTAATAAACGATTGTTTACCTTTTATTCGTTATTCAACATTTTTATTTAGATACGAATTTTGTCTGTCTTTGCGTTTTATGAAGTTTCTGAAGTTTCATGAACAGCAAATATTCTTCGATGTAATGTTTGAACTCCTGTAAATGGATGATGAAATCTTTACTAAAATAATACTAAATTTACACACAAGGCAAATATAGTTCATGTAAAAGAAACACAGCTTATTTATAGTAATGTTGTGCAATAAATACATATTTGGTACACACACTTTGTAAAGAGAAAATACAGGAGTACACTGATGAATAAACATATAAGGGTGAACAAAATTTTTAATATAAATATGACAATTATACGGAAATATTATTACGTAAATATTATCCATAATACTTTTCTGTATAGCATAAAAACCATTTATGAAGTAGTATTCAATAAATTGATGTGACAGTTATATTTTGGACACATTATTTGTACGTTTTAATACATTAGTGTGCAAATATCTAATAATAATTTGGAAATTTATTTAGTTCATTCGTTTCATAAATTTAAAGCTTTCTATAATTGTTAAAGTAACAGTCATAAGCAGTGATATTCAGTAATAAGCAGTGATGTGCAATTAAACACTAATGACGTAATTGTTATATGTAGTGAATAATTGCTTATATATTTATACATTTACTTTTACAGAAGTGAGATTGAAAATAATGTCCACTACTTATCATTTTAATTGTAATGATGGGGCATTATATATATTATTATCATTGCGGGTGTAATGTTATTAATTTCTAATGCTTTTATTTCGCATTTCTATTACATTATTATAAATATAAAACGATCATTTAACAAAATCTGTGAAACAACTTTTAGAAATTAATAAAAGCATGTATCATATATCTATTTAAATTCAACAGAAAAATGTATGTTTAAACATACTTAATATACGAATATGTATGCAATTAATATAAATATATTTAAGAAAACATGTGCTTGAATAGGTTGTAGATTGCACCAAGAACAATGTAAATACAGTATTATAAATTCGTAACATATTTATTATTGATTCAACTTCTAAGAATGTTTGATTTGTATAATCGTGCACAACAAATATAACTAACGGTACATATAAAATTTGTTGAGCGTGCACTGGAAGCATTGCATATTTATGTTAGAGACCTTCTCTTCCTTATTACTAAAAGTGACAACGAACTCTGACAATAATGAAGTTTATAGCAAAAATCTAAAAACCATTGGAAGTATAAAAATTACATATAATTCGAGTATCATAATGATAACATATTTCAATATTTTAGGATCAAAATCACACGGTGGTGCAACTTGCGCAAGTAGCAGCGCGAATAGTCCAGTTTTGGGTGTGAAGTCCAGCATCAGAGTGGGTAACACAGCCAGTAATTCTGTGGAGAGTGGTGGGGGGGCGTTGGCACATGACGGGGCAGGCACTAGTGGCATCACGACAACAGCCACTGCCAATCCACCTGTGTCTGCCACCGCTGCTGCCAACCCTGCACACCCTCATCCTACGCACAAGCATATATTACGTCCTCGCGCAAAATTCTCCAGTGAGCAATCTAAAGAACTGCCAACTAGTAACAAAACTTCAGGAAAGCATCATAAAAAGGACTCTACAACGGGCACTTGTTCAAGCTCCAGGTAATTATTGTTTTTTTACAAACGGGTATGGACAAAATGGATTATTCTATGTATATAATATGTATCCTTTTGGTTTAGACACCGCTCTTCGTCACGTGCAAGAAAAGCAGTGATAGAAGGTGGTTCTGGAGGAGTAGGAAGTGTAATGTCAGGAACTGAATCAGTAACTAATAGTGCTACTCCAACATCGGTCTCATCCACAGTTCCTGGCAACCAATTGGTGACTACAACAGGCGAAGACGAATCAGCATCAACAGCTACATCTGCCACTGGTAAATTTTCTTAAAAATATTTGTTCCATAAAATAGTTTGAGCGTTACGTATTTGTTTTCGTTATGAAATTAAAATTTTTATTAATGTAATTAGCAAGTGGAGGACCATCTGGAATGTCGGCCACTACAGGAGACAGCGAAAGCGACGATGGCGAAGTTGGAAGACTGCAAGCATTGTTGGAAGCTAGAGGCTTACCCCCTCATGTGTTTGGTGCATTAGGATCACGAATGCAACATTTATTAAACAGAAGTATGGGTGCAAGTTCTGGTAATTATTCTTTCTTTCCTATTTATGTTGAAAGTTAAATGCTAAATTTATCTAAATGTAGACAATTCGAAACATTTTACGAAATAATTTTATGGTTTTAGCTGCTAAGGCACAACAGCTGTTGGCTGGTTTACAAGCTGTTGACGATGAAGGTGAACAGCTACAAGCTGTCATTGGAATGGGTGAAATTCTGGTTATGGGAAACGAGGACACATTGACTGGTTTTCCAGTGAAACAAGTGGTCGCAGCTTTAATTAATTTACTTGGAATAGAGCACAATTTTGTAATAATGACACATGCGTGTCGTGCTCTTACTTACATGATGGAAGCTTTACCTCGTTCGTCAACAGTTGTAGTTGATGCTGTCCCAGTGTTCTTACAAAAGCTGGAGTCTATAGAGTGCATGGATGTGGCAGAACAATGCTTAACGGCACTAGCCATGTTATCACGGAGACACAGTAAAACTATATTACACGCGGTAAGTACATTAAGTTACTCGGGTTTTTGCTAATCAAGGGGAATATGGCATGCTCGATGTTGGCCGTCTTCTTGGCAAGGTTTTTAGTTGTCGCGCGACTGAAACAGTTTAATAGTCACTGTTGCGGCTGTTCGACTTAGGCGTGTAGAATCACTGGTGCCATCGATTGCATAGATGTGACTAACGTATGTGTGACGAGTCGCTTGCATCGATCTAGTTGATGATGATTTAAAGCAGGCATGTCGAATTTATTTTGGACCAAGGGCCAATTTATACTACCATGTCATGGGCCGCAGACATAGAATTATTTTACAACAGAATATATTTACTGATATAATAAATAACGACTTATCAGTCTTAAACGTTTCGAACGTGAAACTGTAATGATTTTGTATATCTGTGAGTCACAGAGTTGCGGTTGTACCATTTAGCGTTTGAGTCGCTCGATAACTATAACGAACCATAAAGAAGAATGGGTAATCCTTGATATTAATAAAAATTAATTTGTATTGTTTTAGGGAGGAGTATCAGCTTGTTTGAAATTTGTTGATTTTTTCAATATCACGGCTCAGCGAGCTGCATTAACAATTACAGCGAACTGTTGCCAAAATCTCCATCCTGATGATTTTCATTTGGTAGTCAGCAGTTTGCCTTTACTGACAAGTAGATTAACAAATCAGGATAAAAAAAGTGTTGAGTGTGTTTGCCAAGCATTTAGTCGTTTAGTTGATAGTTTTCAACATGAACCTATAACTTTACATAAAATTATAAATGCAGAACTTCTTCAAAACTTACAACAGCTGGTATGAACGATTTTTGTATTTTAATATTCTCCGGTATTAATCACAAACTGATTTTTTTTATTCCTCCGTATTCGATGTAAATTATAAACATAGTTCATTGGTAATAAGAGTACTTCTTCATATTCTAGCTTATGATTACACCACCTGTAAACAGCATTGGTAATTTCATAACAGTGTTACGTATGCTCTCTGTGATATCAAATCGCTGTCCCGACTTGGCACAGCTGCTTCTGCAACAAAATATAGCGTTCACGCTGAGTTATCTTTTAACCGGATCGCTGGAAGTGAAAACGGAAGACGTAGAGTTAGTGCCGCGTTCTCCGCAAGAGTGGTTTGAAATCACTTGTCTGATCGAGGAACTCATGCCTCCGCTACCAACAGATGGTATATTTAGTGTAAATAGTTTACTTGAAAGGACCAGTAATCAACAAGAAAACGTTCATTGGGAATGGCGCGATGAAAGGCATTGTTGTCATCCATTTAGTACTATCGATTCTAGAATTATTGAGGTATTGTCATCATTGCGAGCTTTCTAATATTTATAAAAGAACAAGTACAACGTAATGGAGAAATGGTTTTTACAGATGGCATTTCAGAATGGCGAAGACGAGATTTGTCTTTCCTCTCTAGGACGAACTTATACGATAGATTTGACTGTGATGAAACAAATCAATGAAGACATTGGAGTAGCGCGAAGCATTTTTCGTAGAGTAAATACTCATCCCACGGAAGGCAAAAGTCCTACTTGTTTATCAAGGTAAGAGTTTATGTTTATTTTAAAAATTTTAAAATTTTAAACTTTCATTAAGTTATACATTATTTTTTTCACAGCATGGATGTTATACCTCCAGTAATCGAAACAAACGAATGGCTAGTGTCTTTTATCCGAACATTATTCTCTGTCCTGTACGAAGTCTATAGCAGTTCTGCTGGTCCTGCTGTGAAATGTAAATGTCTTCGAGCTCTTTTACGTATGGTCTATTATGCTTCAACAGATTTACTTAAGGTAACTATCGATGAAAGACGACGCTACTGTTCCTATAAATTGTTATTAAAATTGTTCATTTTATTTGTTTACGCAGGATGTCTTGAAGAACCAAGTAGTATCATCACACATAGCGGGCATGCTGGCATCCCAAGATTTACGGATCGTTATTGGAGCTCTGCAGATGGCAAGTATATTAATGAAAAGGCTACCACAAGTGTTTGGGGTTCATTTCCATCGTGAAGGTGTACTACATCAAATACGACAACTAGCTGACCCTGAAGTACCTCTTGGTGTTTCACCACCCAAGTGTCCTTCTGGTAATTTATTGAAATTATACCCATAATTATCTGTATAATAAAATGTTTCGTATTTTTATTAGAAAATTGCAATTTAACGATGGTGATATTTTGTTTCCTCTCTATTTTTTTAGGTACATCATTACCAACCCCACAGCCAGGTCCGTCGAATACATCACTTTCTTCCACCACAATGTTGTCTTCTAGTAATGCCACGTCTCCAATTGCTTCTCCATCAACGAATGGTAACATATTGTTCGGAACAATTGCAACGTGTCAGTTGAAACCGAACCTTTCTGCATCGATGGAGACACACGCTAGAAACGAATTAAACTCTACAGTAGATGACGTATCCACACCACAAAGTGCTCATTTGTAAGTATACGATTGAAGAACATAGAAAAATTATATAGAAATGATTACATCTATTTATTTATACAATTCATTAGGAGACTCGGGGACGTGCTAAAAAGAAAACGGCAAAACAAGAAGGGCCGATTTTCTAGACTAGGCGGTACAACGCCACAACAAACTCAACAACCGGAATCACTTTTTACTGGTTTCACTACTAAAAACAATCGATTCTTAGGAAATCTTAATCCCGCTAGATGGGGTCGAAAATCGTCGTCTTCAAGTTCTACTAACGATAAAAGAGATTCAAGCTCGTCGACGAGTTTATCGAAACCGCCAAGCAATTCAAGCTTAACGGGAGGCAATCGAGATAAAGCTAAAGCATGGGTACGTGAACAGGCTGCACAGTTCTTGACACGATATCAAGACAATGCACCCTGCACACATCCTGCAATGACAGTCCTTTCGAGACTTACTGCTGCTATACAACGGTTACAATCAAACGTAAGTTATATATCGATACCTAATTACAATTCTTATCGGACAAATCGAGGTTTTATTGTATGTGTTACGTGCTATCAATTTGTATGTTGTCGCCATTAAAGTAATAATTTACAATATATTAATAGGAATTGGATGAAATGTTATCGGCGCTTACTGAATTGCGAGATATAATACTCGAAAGTGACATATCTCCATTTGAAATGAATTATAGTGGTCTTATTAAAGCTCTGCTCAACTACCTCACTACTACAGATGCTCCTGGTAATCGTTATGATCGCCTTCGAATGTTCTGGAAGTTGTTTGCAGAATCGACTGTATGTAAATTAAACCTATATATTCAGTGGTTTTTTCTTTCTATAAAATATTTTTGTATATATTATTCAGATGCAGCAGAGCAACAATATTATGGACCTTAATCCTGGAGCTTTTGGTGCTCTGGTAACGAAACTAAACAGTTGTGTTGCACAGTTGGAACAATTTCCTGTGAAAGTTCATGATTTACCAGCGGGATCTGGTGCTGGTCGTGGAGGTACCAGTGCTCTCAAGTTCTTCAATACACATCAACTTAAGGTGCTTTACATTTTCTTTTTACAATTAATAAACAATTTGTTAGTCATTGTTAAAATTAAATGCCCGTCCAAGCATTTCGTTTCTCTTCTCAATGTTTCAATTAATTTCTCGAGTTTCGGGCATTAATTTCCAATATTATTATATTTAACGTTTTATGATTTTGCAGTGTAATCTCCAACGACATCCAGAGTGTAATAATTTAAAGCAGTGGAAAGGTGGTACTGTTAAAATAGATCCTCTTGCGTTAGTACAAGCAATTGAACGTTATTTAATGGTTCGTGGATATGGTAGAATACGGGAAGCAGAATCTATGGTCAGTGATGACGATAACAGTGAAGATGATATAGATGATACTTTGGTAAGGTTTATATATATTTTCTCGTTCAGTGTAATCGCATAATAGGAATACTGTTTGGAACCTACATAAATTTGCAGGCAGCGGTAGTTATAAGTCAAGGATCAGCAAAACACAAACTTCAATTTTTAATTGGAGACGAAGTGCTGCCTTTCAATATGACTGTTTATCAAGCCGTCAGGCAGTTCGGTTGTTCTGGAATTGATCATTCTGAAGCAGAAGCCGATGGTGAACCACCACTTGGTCATGATGCTGTATGGGTACAAACTCACACAATTTATTACAGGTATCCTAATTTGATTATTTTATCTCCCCGATAAATTAAAGCATATATTTCGATATATCGAATAATCAACGATGTTTTTTTTTTTTTTCCTTTTTAAAAATGAAAGAAATTTTACTATATAGTTTGTTGTATTTAGGCCTGTACCAGAAGAAGAAACCGCAACATCACCAAAACCAGGTTCAAGTTCACAGGGTAGCCGCAAAGGTAAAGGAAAGAGTACAAAAATCAGTTCAAAACGAAAAGAGGATAGTTTGTGGCTTGAAGGAATAGTTCCTCCACAACGATGTCCACTTGATCCTTACTTGTCTCCTACATTGCCACCCTCAGTTACCATTATTGATGCTTCATTAGACGGTTTGTGCCTACTGCGACTTTTACACACGTTAAATCGTCATTGGGGTGTTCTATTTCCTCACCTAAAATGTGTAAGCTTACTTTCTCCACAAGACTTTATTAATAATAAAATAGCTGCGAAAGCGAGTAGACAGCTACAAGATCCTTTGGTTATCATGACGGGAAACTTACCTTTGTGGCTACAACAAATCGCTACAGTCTGGTTAGTATTACGAAATACACAACGATAATTTACTAATGCGTATTTTGTAAATTAAATATGGGTACTAAATGTTTTACAGTCCATTCCTGTTTCCGTTTGAAACAAGACAATTATTGCTTTATGCAACATCGTTCGATCGAGATAGAGCTTTGCAACGTCTCTTGGATTCTGCGCCAGAATTATCAGGATCGGATAGTCAAGAACGCGTTACTCCACGTTTAGAACGCAGGAAAAGAACTATTTCGAGAACTGATATTCTCAAACAAGCGGAACAAGTTATACAAGACTTAGCGTCTAGCAGAGCCTTGCTCGAAGTGCAATATGTTAACGAGGTTTGTTCTCTTTTTTTTTTCTTTTTTTTTACATTATGTGAAACTATTTTTAAAAGAATGGACTTACATCATTTTTATAACGAATCTGTATATAATTCTATAGCATTTTACAAACTCTATTTCGCAGGTTGGTACCGGTCTTGGCCCAACATTGGAATTTTATGCTCTAGTCTCTCGGGAATTACAACGTGCTGATCTTGATCTTTGGCATGGAAGTTCAAATGCTACTGAGACAGGATACGTTAATCCGTCGCATGGGCTTTTCATAATGCCAATATCCTGGAACACTAAAGTATCCCATCTTGCAAAACTTAAAACAAAATTAAAATTCCTTGGAAAATTTATGGCGAAAGCTATATACGATTCAAGAATGGTAAGTTTTTTATTCGCTAATTGAATTTAATACATTTACAATCGTATAATATTAACAATTTTTATGATTATTTTTTGTCGCAGTTGGACTTACCATTTAGTTTAACTTTTTATCGTTGGTTATTGGGAGAAGAACATACATTGACGTTAAATGATTTAGCGCATGTATGTGCAGATGTACATCGAACTCTTAGTAGACTGCAAGACATTGTTAGACAAAAGGAAACGATCGAGAAAGATCAGACGTTAAGGCCGCATGAAAAAGTACAACTAATAAATTTTCTAAATTTAGATGGTTGTCTAATTTCGGACCTTGGCCTTGTCTTTGAATTACCTGGTTATGAAAACATCGAATTAAGAAAGGGTGGAAGTGAGATACCTGTTACTATTTACAACTTGGATCAGTATATTAAGGTATTTATATTTATCGAAGAATCGAAACACTTTATCCAAGTATATATGCTGATTAGTTTTTTATACATCGGATTTCATGCCATTTTTAAATTTGAATTTCAGTTGGTAGTACATTGGTTCTTGTACGAAGGTGTCTTGAGACAAATGGAGGCATTTCGGGAAGGCTTCGAATCCGTATTTCCACCGTCGCAATTAAGATTATTCTTCCCCGAGGAACTCGAAGCTGTATTCTGCGGGCATGCACAAACTGGTGGACAATGGGACGTGAAAACGCTTTCAGAATGTTGTAGGACGGATCATGGTTACACACCAGATTCTCGCGCGATACGATTTTTGTTTGAGGTTATGTCAAAATACAACAGTGAAGAGCAAAGGCAATTCATTCAGTTCGTCACAGGTTCACCGCGATTACCAGTTGGAGGTAAATATTTCAATATTTTGTGCTCGTACGTTGCAAATGAAATAAAATACGTTATAATATTATGTTGCACTTTGTTTCGCAGGTTTTAAGAGTTTAACGCCACCGTTAACAATAGTGCGAAAAACTTTTGATCCGTCTATGAAAACGGACGATTTCTTACCATCCGTAATGACTTGCGTTAATTACTTAAAACTACCCGATTACACGACTATAGAAATAATGCGGGAAAAATTGCGAATAGCTGCACAAGAAGGACAACACTCATTCCACCTTTCCTAGAAACGGATGGAAAACCGGCGCGCCATTTGCTCTTTTGCTATCGCATTGCCCAGGTTGAGACCAATTATCCAAACAACAATTAAAATATTAAAGGGAAAGATAACTGCGTTCGGTTCGAGACTCAGTAATCGCAATTTTGCACTTTATACGAATTTTTTCGAAGATTACATTTTTTTTTTATTTTAGCGACAATTCATTTAAATAAATTCTAATTTGATGTTTACCTTTTTATTTATGAATTTGAATTGTGATATATTTTATCAGGAAAGTGCAAAGATGGTGTTTTAGCTCTATACTGTATGAGTTTCCTCTTGTGGTATTACGAACCAGGTAGCGCGGGAGCAGCCTTGTTCTAGGAAACTTATCTTTGATGTGTTACAATAATTAATAAAAGTTGTAAATATAGTTTAATATACGCAAGTCTATATAAATACTTTATATAATAGTAACAAGAAAAATGATATTGCTATGAAACTCTATACTAATTACATATAATTTAGTTTGAAGGGACGTTTACTAGATATAAGTATAAGTAAATTTTATATCAGTGGTGCATTTAGCACCGCCATGAATCGCCAATCTCATGCCTCACAATTCGCAGAGAACGTGTCACGAGCTAAAATCAGTAAACAAACTGTGCGCTACAAAATGAAGTGGCTCATGGCTTCATTCACCATAACAAAAAAAAAAAAGCAAGAAAAAAAAAAAAATAATAACTTTGAATATAATAGCGTGTTTAATGCCCATCGTTTTATTTTCATAATCGATCTCTTGTGTTCGCTGCTTAATTTACAGCGTCTGCGAGCACTGTGCGAATTGACGTGCAACACTCCTATATTTAAGTTTATTCGATGTATCACCAATTAAACTTATTTGATATTTTTATTCTAGGTAAGATAGTCCAATTAATACTTTACTTAGCTGTGTAAAAAATGCAGCCAGCATCGCCAGATCGAGTCATCGTAATAATATATGAATCGAAGAAAATTCTTATATCCACTTACTTACAGGCAAAGTATCTATTTATGAAAAAATGTACGACAAATGTATAATATGAAATAGAATGGATATAAAGTCAGCGAAGCTGGTGTATCAAATGGATTATACAAGGTACATTAATTTCTTATATCTCTGTAGAAATGTGATTCTAAACAAAAATTGTGAGCATATGAATTGATCAAAAGTAGAAAGACAATTAAAACGCGACTAATTTGTTTCACATTTATATTGTGTACCATTGCTTGAAAACGATCAATATATATACATCATTTTTTGATTTTTTATTTGATATATATATATAAAGGAGTTAACCGACGAATTATTAATTACGTTCGTGTGTACTAGTTGTCCATAACTGACTTAAAATAAGATTACAAAGGTTGTGTCGAAATTTCGCCGTTCCATCCATTATGATACTTTTTTATTTAAACGCTGTTCCGCGAAGTTTATTTGATCGCTATGCAATATTCTCATACTACGTAATTTTACATAATTTACGGTAAACATAAAACAGGTTATACTTATATTTTTGCATTACATTTCTAATATAAATAATGACAAATTACAACTGGGTAATGCATACACAATATAGAGAAACAAAACTCGTTGGTAAAAGAAAATATTCAAGGGGGACGAAGACTTAAAAATGCATCGCGTAGTTCGTAATGGTTTAGAATACGATCTGAACCTGTGTCGGTAATATTATAAACAAAAGTTATATTTATATCAATTTATTAGTATAAACAAGTTTCATTTTATTCAAATCAAAATGTTTTCTTAGTAGATTTCAATAAATATAAAAAAACGTGTTTGCCGGCAAAATATTATTCCCGTACAGTATGTTTCGTAAGCGACACGTATATTGGAAATCATTTAAATTAATTATATGAAAATACAAATACTTTAACATAATTACTTTTGTGCATAGTGTACAAACAATATCATCGATTCTTAATTTCTATCGTTTTATTGTACTTTTCTTTCATTTTCATATGATCTCACGTTTCTTAGAAAATTAAAGACACATACTCAACCATCCCAATATGAAACATACTCCTCCTATCGGTATAACTTTATTAAATTGTTTGTCGCCCGTATGCGCGGAATAGTAATTTGTTCCACAAAACAGTACTATTCCAGAAATTAGGAATGTTCCAGTCTAAATAACAATAAAAAAAAAATATAACATTCATTATAAAATTACAACATCCTTTAAAATCTAAAATTATTACATTCTACTAAAATTAAACATACCACGAACGGCTTTCTACATAGTGGTAAACCTAACAATGCTAGCGAATGGAAAAAATGATACCGATTGGCAGTTTCGACAACTTCTTTTTTTCCATTAGAGCCCTCTGGATATTTGTCTGAAACAATAATGACTTGATAAGTATTCTATACAAATATTTCACTGATATAACGAAAAACCAAAATTTAAAACTGTATATTACGATGTAAGCATTTCTTCAATGTGTCAATTAAAATATAAAATTTTACCTTCTACATGCAGCACATACACATATTTCTACAATTGTTTATGATTCTTAAATATTTTATAATACTATATCATATTAAATGTGTAAAACTAATCATTGATCTTACTGTGTGCAAAATAAGCACCAATGATAACAGCACTTGCTCCACTAATGCCAGCAAAGCACATGTGTGGTCTTATTGTAGCTAATTTCCACAAAGGCAACATATTTTCTGTTTCTTGTTTTGGCGTACTGAGTGCAACACTTCGTAACTAGAAACAAAGACAATAATTACAAATTTTTGTTCGCATATATATGCTCGTTATATCACCTTTCTTTTATCAATATAAAGGTTAGTTTTTCATAAAAAATTTGTATAGAATACTAACCCTATAACATAATGTATTGTTTGATAATTGTTAAAATATAAATTTATATTACTATTTTATGTTGAACACGTTATTATAAATATACAAGGCAACAAATTTGTAATAGCGAAATGCTATCTTTTTTTTTCAGTAACACTGGATTCCACACGTGCGTACCTATAAGCAAACGTTTCCTTTCTTTACGCAAAGATATGTTACTTACCGGTGGAATTGATTGCCAAACGTACTTTGCTGCATAAATAACTTGACTACTTAATTGTAATGTATCTTGTAAAGAATACATATTGTAACGTATCTAAAAACTACAACTAAATTTGTACGTATGTATCCTAGGATTTTTGTAAGCAGAGATTTGAAGTAGACAATGAAATGCTGACACACGTTGCTCCTACATCGATGCTACACCCAATGGTGAACACTCGTGGGATTCCCTCGGTTCAGATTCGATCTGTGGGAATCTGACGTTCGCTACCATAGATGTATCTTTAGCGCAAAAAGAGGTGCACGTTGGGAATTCCCATGTTTTGTACAAAATTGATTTTACTACTTAAAATGCTCGCCAATCACACAAAAATTAACTTATCGAAGATCCCCTACGTATTTCTCTAGCTATACTCATGTAGATTAAGAAAAAATTTTTTGTTTGCGTTTCTGTCCCAGTAACTTCCTTAAATTTTGTTCCTTACTGGGATCCAACGGCACCCTAAATTCTAGTTAAGTGTATATGGCAGTGATCATGCGCTCCAGTGCGCATGACCAAAATTCCCACGAATGTCAATCACTGTGTGCTCTGTGCCTTTATGGAGACACAAAAGCTCACAGACGCCACTCCGTCGGTGCCTAAGGTACTACATTTCATGGGCAGTTAATTTGAAAATAGGTGAATGCAAACAATTATAATGGTAAGCTACTAGACCGTAACCTTTAACCGGGTGAGAATGTAAACACTCTGGTGTAACTACATGAAAAAACTCAAGTTTTTTTTAATCTTACTAAATGTAGGTTGTTACGATAGGCGAAACGATAACGTAAAATCTTGTGTATGTTTCATCTTTATAATCCATTGGGAAAATGAATTTTACAGCACGAAGATATGTAATGTAAATAATAATATTTCTCTTTTCAATTCACGATCGATACATTATAATTTATTTTTGTTTTTCAATTCATTTGTACAATCCGCTTCTCGATAAAAATTTAATGTCATTACACTTTGCATTAAAGGATTTCCAAAATAAAATTTATTTTTATGGGGGGAGGGGAACTGTAGTTATAATGTATCTCCATCAATCCAGCTAAAAAAATAAATATGTTAATTTAGTAATATTAATACAGATGCATTGATTTAAACAATTTTGGTATAAATATACATTCACAGGCATAAAACAAATGCAATAACGTACCTTCTTGAAACCAATATCAGCAGCATATTCTCTGAAGCATTGTCGACAAATATTTAAACCATATTTGCGAATCAATCCATGCCTGTTTGCGCAAGCACGACTGTAAAATAAATTACTTTAAATGATACACATGTAAAAACATCTAAAGAAAAGAGGGGAATCGTAAATTAGATATATTTGTAGCAAGTTTACAATAACATAATTTTAAGGTTATAGCCAACAACGTGTAAAAATATATTCTACTCGATTAATTATCGTACAATCTAAACATTGTAGGATAATGACGTGATTATTTTCAACCATGCTTTAAATAATCATCACGAATATTAAAATTCTCATTACTGGAAAAACCGTAGCTTCAATAACACGCGGTTGAATATATTTTATGCAATGCATCACATAAACATATTTCTTCGTCGTATAATAAGATACAAAGTAATTGTAATTACCAAGACCTAGATCCTTGTCCATATTTTCGCGGATGCGAGTACCAAATATTTTGAAAGCCCATTTCTCCGTTAAAAAGATGTTCGCTGTACGACTTCAAAAGCGTAAAAGACAGGAAGCGCCATTAAAGTCCAGCGCGAAGTTGTGCGCAAAAGAGAGTAGCGCGCTATAGCGATAACCGACATTTTAAAAATTTTCAAATATGAAAGGTGATACACTTGTACTTGTGTACCGATGCTTTTAATGTAATCGATTTCAATGGATATTGGACGCATCGATTAGCACTTAATTTTAAATTCGGAACGCAGGTAATTTCTAACGCATCTAAATTTCTACAGAAATGGAAGGTCTAAAAGGGTAGTTGCAAATACGTTTGTAATAAATTGCTTGTTAAATTAAGAAATTGTTCATCTGCTTGTTATATGAAAATGACTTGTATCTTTCATTTTTTTCGTCAATCGTTGATCGGTATTGACACGAATAGTTCGATAAAGGAGGACACGGTAAACGATCTATGAATAAGAACCGGTTCTCGTACGTACGCCCCACTTGAAGGACGAGCAACGTAGCGGGGAAAATTACAACGGTACTTTCGTTGGTTGCAACTTTGCGTTTTAAACACAAATGTACCGTGCTTCATCGCAAGTACATCGACAAATGATACTGGAATCATACGGTCAGTCATGTCAGAGAAGAAGAAACAGGAAAAAGAAGACGAGAAATGGGTTCGTAAAGTTTATCAATTATAAACATTTGTAGCGAGTAATGAAAATATTCAGGCACTAGGATATGCTTGATACTTGCACGCAAAACATATACGTTACTGTTTCTTTTATATTTGCAGGATACCGATCGTATGGTCTACCCTAAAATTATGAGTTTGAAAGTGAAGGTGCTTTTGAAAATTTTTCTATATTCAGTGGTGGGTCCAATACTTTTGTACTGTTTGTTCTTTTCTTTTCTCCACTATAAAGAAAGTTTAATAACAGTACGTACAAAAGTGATCGAGATAGAAGAAAAGAGACCGTTATATTGGATATATGCGAGAAATAACGATACCGGATACTTGAAACACGTGCACGCCGTATTGGAACGTCTAGGTTTTAAACGAAGCGACAATGATACAAATTGGGACTTATTGTGGGCGCACGATTACCCGTTCAGAGCTTTATCTTCTAGCTTGAGCAAATTGGAAGCTCATCGGCGTGTTAATCATTTTCCTGGTTGCGGATACATCACGAATAAAGTAGACTTGTCGACGACGGAGGGTCTGTACATACTTCCGGCGTTCAAATTGCCAGAACAACGCCAAGAATTCTCGCGATACACTAACGACCATCCCGATAAGATTTTCGTGGAGAAATCTAACGATCATCGAGGTATTAGAGTGAAAACTACGAGCAACATAAACGTCACAGCGGAAGGGTCTTTCGTGCAAGAATTTATACAGCGACCGTTTCTCGTGGACGGTCACAAATTTGATATTGGAATATACACCGTGATCACGTCCATCGATCCTCTCAGAGTATACGCGTACAAAGGCGACGTCCTGTTCAGATTTTGCCCGATCAAATATTATCCTTTCGATCCGGATATTTTGGACAAGTACGTGGTGGGCGACGATTATCTGCCAATTTGGAACATTCCATCCCTGAAACAGTATTACACTAATTTGGGATTCTCGATGAAAGATACGTTTGACGCGTACGTGAGGTCGCAGGGGAAAGATCCCGAGAAGGTATGGCGTTCTGCGTTCGAAGCAATAAAGGAAATCGCATTGCTGAAGGAAAATCACATCAAAGAAGCGGCCAAGCGTTTCGGAAATGGAAGGAATTTCTTCGAATTAGTTAGAATAGATTTTGCCCTGGACGAAGACTTGAACGTCTACACGATGGAAGCAAATATGTCTCCGAATTTGTCTTCTGCTCATTATCCGCCGAACCAATTGCTTTACGAACAAGTTATATATAACTTATTCGCGTTGGTCGGCGTCGGACGAAGAATCAAGAAGGATTCCTTGAAAATAAGGTCACTGTTTATCATAAATTCGTCTAATATTTAAGTAAAATTATTAATACTGTAATTCTACTAACTTTTACTTTCATCATAGTAGTAGGGTGGAGTTAGAAATGATGGTGGCTGATAAAAATTTGGTGGTGTTACCGGAACTCTGCGCGGAATGTGAAGATTGTTTCCGGATAGAATGTCAGCTTTGTAGCCCGTGTTTTACGGATGAAACTAGACTCATTTTGTCCCAAAGTTATCTCGAACATCAAAATAAAATGGACTTCCACAGAGTCTTTCCACCAGCTATAGTAAGTCTTTCTTCAGTAAATATCGTTCCTTTTCTCAATGTGCTTCTACAAATTAAGATTGTTACTTTCAGACCAAAAATATGGTGTTAATGCATTATACACTACGAAATCAATTATTAGCGAGGTGGTTCCAAGGCAAATGTGAGCTAGATCACTCATGGTGTTCATAAATAAAATTAATTTTAGTACTTAATTTCACAACATTTATTACAAAAAGTTGTTACATGTTTATAAATAAGTACAAAACAAACAATATTAATAATATATTAAAACGGTTATACATGAAACTTTTTATTCATTATTCAACTTAAGTTGAAGAAATTTAAATTATCGAAAACTATATGCTTTCTATGTTTGGGCATTTTGTTGGTTTGTGTTCCTTTTTCACTTTTGACTCGGGTGCATTTGGATTTGTACCTTTATAAAATTCTTTTAACAAAGTCATTGCTGTATCACCCTTGACACCACCTATTATCTTTGTTTCCGAGTTGTAAATTTTAGGTATTTCTAAAACACTGGCGCAACCGCCAAAACGGTCATTTGCGCAACCATATATAATGTTACGCACTCGCAGTTGATATAATGCCGATGTACACATTATGCATGGTTCTACGGTAACAATAACATCGATATCAGGAAAAACCTTTTTATAGTTCAAATTATTTACTTTACAGAATTCTAAAACTTGATCTATACAGTTTATCTCTGCATGTCGTGTTGCATTACGTGTTTCGTTAACTGTATTGTTACCTACAGCAATGAGTTCATTATTGTATACAAATAAACAACCGACTGGAACTTCGCCTACTTTTAACGAATCGTTTGCTCTTTGTAATGCAACATCCATCCACGTCACATTATCCATTACGTTTTTTGTTTTTGTTTTAATATTTGTAAATTATTTTTAATGTTTAAATCACAGGTTTCACCATGGCAGTTTTTTTCTCAGTCTTCCTATTTCAGTAACTGCATCTAACTGGTAAAGCATTCGAGCAACCCAAATTCTCTCAACTTGCTTTCTGCTTTTTCATCCCAATTTTTATTATTTACAGCTCGTGGGCTTGGATGAGGTAGACACAGAACCTAAAAATGAGGTAAAATTAATAAATATTCAAAAGGCTCTAAATTCAATGCATATATGTTTTATGTATAGATATTAATGATTACCTTAACGTGCAAGTTATGAGACTGTACTACGCGTAAAGCTCGTTTCTCTGCGTATCCGCCAATACCAATAAGAATTTCAACTTTTAAAAGACGAATTGCATCCGCCAAAGCATTGTCGCAAGAAGACTGCAGATTTATTTGTTCTGGACCCTAAAAATGTGCGACATTGAATATATGAACATAATTTTATAAGAAGGCTTATATTGCCTTTATTTCTGCCGGTGTGATGTTACGGCCTTTCGTGTCCATTAATGCGATAGGACAATAGTTATGTAAATACGCATGTTCAAAGAACTTTTCTGGTTTTCCACATAACTTTTGGAAAAGACCCCATAATCTTTTCCCGCTAATCTCGGTACGTGTACATTGAAATCCAGTTATTTTTCTATCCGGTTGCTCTTTATCAGGCTTTCCAACTGGTCCACAGATTTTCAACCAATCGCGAACCATTTTTATTTCTCCAAATGGAACACCGGTTTGAGACATACCCCAAGGACCGGGATTCATTCCAAGAAACAATATCTTTTTGGCAGTACAGCAATATGCTTTTACATACATTTTATGTGTATCATACGCGTATTCAAGTGGACTATACACATACTTTACAGGTAAACCAAATTTAATCTTTCTTAGCTCAGAAGCCAAATTACTTTCCAATGATAATAATTGTTCAGAAATATCGACCAACGTTTCTTCGCTTTTACTCTCGTTCTCTGTATCACTGTCATCGTTCACTGACATCTTTATTCTTTTAACATTAACATCTATTTGTTCACTACCGCGTCTTGTTTTACTTTTCCTTGATTTCGACATTCTGTATGAATTGTTATTATAACGTATCAAGATACTATTAAAGAATGAACAACGGTTTTATATGTTTCTTATAGAATACTTGAACAGAATAAAATATGAATATGAATTACCACCTTGGAGATATCTTATACTCGTACTAAAAAAATTCAAACCGACTGCATACATGTGTCTGACACGTTTAAAAAGAAACGACCGTTGATCTTTCATTCGATTTCACAGGACAAAGGAATACACAATAGAAAATTAAATACATAGTTACCGTATGTAAAAATGAATTCCCTACACCTCTCCTTTACATTAGTTTGTTCACAATTATAAATTAACAGGTTATCAACAATTATACTTTTATTCAATCGCATTTGATATTTAATTCAAATATAATATAGCCAAAGCTCTTCGCGACCAATGAAAAATGGCAACAGATCATTCGGTCGATCTCACCCGATTTCTTCCGATCTAATCCGAAATGTCCCTTGAAGAGAGACTATCAAGTTGTGACGCCGTCCAATAGAGTTCGCTTAACCTTTACCGATTCGAATATTTCGAAATTTCGAATCAATCGCTCGAACGTCCGGAACATGAGACAGCCCGCGTACTTACAGTTAAAAGTGACCGTGATTTATTAAAACGAATACGTTTTTACGTAGAAAATCAAACGAACGATGTAAGATAATCACAAATATACGTATTACACAAACGCGTAATTTTTGTTACGTGTCGTGCTATGTACAGTGCGGTATCTAATTCTTAACCTATATCTTTTCGTTGTATTAAATTAAGTTTGGTTATGTTGTGGATATCAAAAGATTAAACGAAGTCAACATGGACAATCAAAACGGTGCGAGCGTTAAAAGCAATAATCCTGCTCCGACAGTCGAGCAGATCAATGCTGACCGAATAACTCAGGTATTTATTGTTAGAAAATATCTGATTTCCTTAAAATTAAATAAATATACACACGTTTATACTGTTTTTTGTTGTAGCTTGCAAATAAATATTGGGCACCTCACACAACGGACTCGCATCTTCCATTTAATCCTCAAATAGTAGAAGATATTTATGTTCAGGAAATTTGTGCATCTAAATTTTCTATTCGGAGAATCATGATGTTAGAATTTAGTCAATATTTAGAGAACTTTCTGTGGCCAAATTATAACGCGAACAATGCAACTCGTGCTCATACTATGTCCATCGTTGTTATGGTCAATGAAAAATTTCGCGAACGTGTTCAGGTTTGGGAAGCGTTTGAAAAAAATCAAGAACATTTTCCAGAGTTCTTTCAAAATGTTTTAGAAGCGTGTCTTGAAGATAGTATAATGGATTTTGACCTAAAAGAACAAACAGCGTTAATCGTATTTTTGAATCATTGCTTTAATTCCATGGAGGTGTCGTTGGTTCGAGAAGAAGTAAAAAGATTAGTGTCGTTATCTATGTGGATTTCGCTGCAGCAAGGACGTAGAGAATTGGAGTTTAGAAAATATCCAAAGTGGAGGAAATACTGGAAAGTTATAAGGAAGAAGGACAATCCCGAATGCAAAGAGAAGCTAGAATGGGAACGTAAATTCTTACACAGGCTAATGATTAAATTTATGACAATATTGGAAACAATTTCAGAAGAAGGTAATATAACAAACTAATTAATTAAAATATTAATTGAAGTATTTACGGGGTACAAATTTTTATAAACAAAAGGAGGATTTAAATAACAAATTACACATTTTAAAGAATTTTTCTTATTTTTAATAAATTTTGTCATGTAAGGATTATTATTAATTAATTGTTTTAATAGTCAAAATGTGATCAGAATGTGTTATTCGATATTTTTCGTGATTACAATACTTTTCATTCTTATGAAGTAGATAGTAAAAAATATGTATAACTTGTAAGTTAATTTCATTACAATATTCTAATACAATACTTATTTTTTAATAGGACCACTTTTACCAGACAAGGTACGATATTGCGAAAGATTCCTTGAACTGGTAATAGATTTGGAAGCTTTATTGCCAACCAGACGATTTTTCAATACTGTTATGGATGATTGTCATTTGGTGGTGCGATGTCAGTTATCTAATTTATTATCTCGTCCCGAAGGTGGATTGTTTGGACAGGTGAGTTTCGCTACAATGTTTTTTTTCTCAGTAAATAGAAAACAAGTTAGATTGAAAATGGCAAATTGATATATTTTTCGAGTATAACGAGGTTGATTTATCGAAGATGATACATCTTTTGTACAAAAGTTATATTTCTATACAAATATAAATACTACATGAACATCTTAAAAATAAAAAAAACTTATTTGAAAGATGATGATTTTACTAAAACGAATAAAATACGTGACAATGCTATTCACGAAATGCTATGTATATATTTTGTATTATAAATTCACTGAGTATTTCACGATTAAGTGCACATTTTCATAAGGCAAATGTAATTTTCTTTCAAGGCACGAACTATCATCAACATCGAACGTTATGTGAATATTTAAAATAGATAGATTTAAAGTTTTATTGATTAATTTGTATGCTTGAAAATAGTTAGAGTGAATTATATTGCATCGTTGATAAGTTTTATGACACTTTGCAGATAAATATTATATACAATATCTCATTCTACTCGGTTGTCATTTACATTAAAATTTATACGTTTAAGTTTACATTTTTCGATGTAAATAGATTGCATATTTATTAATTTTCCAGCGTATTTAATACTGTTTACATAATTATCGATATGTTTTGTTGTCGCTCGCTCATGTTGTTGCGAAGCATGACTTGACATACAAAGTCTAACACACATGTACTAGAAGAGAACTCGGTTTAATTCAAAATTTTCGGCCTCGTTTGATATACTTGTTTCAAAATGTTAAAAAAAAAAAAATGCAAAACGAAACCGAAATTTTTAATCATCGGATAGAATACTTCGTTTGAAAATCGGGTCTTTAATATCCCGCGTTAATGGCAGTCATTTCTTCGCCCCAGTCGAGCCCTTCGATATTTTCTCTCGAATTACAGCAATTGCATGTTTTCCCCAGCAAGAATGTAACTCTCCTTTGACCGAACACGCAAACGTATAATATTGAAATTGCTTGAAACAGATTGATAATAATTTGACAATACACGAGTACCTCGAAGTTGAGTCGCGACAGTAACAGCGCGAGCCATCCGGTGCTCATCAGGGCAAACAAGAAAACGAACATTTTGAAGCTGTACTTCATTTTGTGATGAATGCGACCGTACGTGCTCATACGTTTGATCCTATTCGCGGTCGTCAGAACGAAACTTAAATCGACCAATATCGTGAGCGCGATAGATGTAAATAATACAGAAATACCGAGCCAACCGATCGTTTCTTGAGGCGGGTATATCGTTCCCCCAACCATGGGTTTGGTAGTTTCTAAAGCGAAATGTGCGAAAATCGCGGTGCCCGCTATACAAACCGTTGAGCCCCAAACATACGTGGAATAGTAACAATATTTTCTGCCGTCGGTAACTCGTAAAAATACGTTACGTGAACGAAAAGTGCTCCACACGTAGTAGCCCATGGCGTTCAGCCAGAAAAACGCAGCTAACAGCGAGACATACATTACAGTATCTGAAAAAGATATAAATATTTGCATAAATGTTTGCGTCCGAATGGTCAAAGTTCTCCTCGATTAAACAGGATCATTTGTAATCTGTGTATAAGCCTCGTTAGCAAGACTATTGAATTGAAAACGGATTTAACCTCTCCAAGTTGAACAAGGAAAAGATAAAAGTGGCGGGAAATGGAGAAAAAAAATGGCGGGAAATGGGTTCGCGCGGGATCGTTGACCGTTTCTCGCAAAAAATGAATATTGCTGTTCAACGTATTTATTCGATCGAAGAAAAAAAAATTTATTTTTTTTTATCGTACCGGCAACCATAAAACTGATGTGATTGCCGAACTCCGTGAATATTCTAACCATAGAGGCACATTGACCGGCTATAAGGCACAAAGTCATGCTGGTTATCATGTTTCCCACGAGATCACGCAACTGCGGCAAGACGAAATAGACAACAGCGACAATCAGGTAACTAGCTATCGACATCGCATGAAATGCAGGATCGATCGCGTGTCTCATCAAATAATTTGTATCGCTCCATGTGACAACTACGTCGGGTACGCAGATCATAGCGTACGTAGTTACGAGCCGATCTCTGGTCAAACTTGCTTTATCCGCGCAATAGTGACCGAATTGATAATCGTAATGAATGGACACAGTGTCGAGATCATCCTCGTCCATTGGTACCGTAGAATCGAGCCCGTAAACACCTTTGTTCTCGTTGGTTTTTTTCGTCGGATCGGTGGTGTAGTGTCGCAACACACCGGTCGTCAATATCGCCAATCGATCCTCCTCGGTGTCGTATACCTTCCATTGGCGCTCGTTCGGCTGGCACTTTGGCCTTCCTATCTTAAGCTGATAATTCGGTTCGACCTGTCTGCTTCGCGAGATACCGTTCACCTTTTCCACCACGAATTCCGGTCGCCACTCCGTCTCGTTCGTTTCCGCCAATGGCGTGCACGTGTCGTCGACGAGAAGCTCCTCGAGCTCGCAACACTTCGCGACGTTGATTAAATTCAATTTACCGTTGGCATACGCGATCACCGTTCGGGGATGATTCGTCCCCAGCGAACCGACCACGACCGCGATTAGCACGCTCGCGAGACAATACATGTCATCGAAATCGGCACCGTTCGCGTTCCTATTACTCCATCCCGTGCATTGGTTTCGCGTTCGCGCGACTTTCCTCGCGACCCGAGTTACCGTTCTTCTCGTGATCGATTTCGTGACGGCCACGGCCTACCTCGAGGGCGTTGTTATATTTCACTCGTTCATTGCAACGCGACGATAGACTTCCCGTGCGCTGATCGCCATACCTGCCAATGCCGCCAGCGGGTTAGCCCGCCTAGTGAGACCTACCCCTGCCATACCCGTCGCCATCGCATCCCATTCCTATTCCCCGTTGCACTGTCTTTTTTGTCTCTCTTCCTCTCCCTCCCTCCATCCTTTTCTCGCTCGTTTCCCCTTCTCCGCCGCTCTGTCTCATCGTTTCCCTTCCCCTCCTCCCCTCCCCTTTTTCTAACTATCCTTACCTTTCTCGTTTACTCCGCGCAAATCTTTGTTGTCCTCCTCCGATTGCTGTCGCGTCTCTCCGCTATTTCTCGAGTAACTTTAGCTCCTCCGACGATGATACACTCATACACGAAAGTATTCGAACGTTTACATTTACAACATTCAACTAGCGAAAACATATGCACATAAATATTCAGGAAACATTAAGGTTTCAGTCGGAGCTTTACGGTAGATGTAATAACGCGTGTGGAACATACTATATTCATTCTTTGACTATTTTTTTATTGCCCCACCTATTAACTGACATACTCGTTCTAATCAAGTTTAACTATACGATATTAAATCTTTAGAGTTGTATACTAGTAGTAATCTTTCACGTGTATTAACATGACATTACGTCGTGTTTATCGAATATTTACACTACGTTGCAGATTTCTACGACTGATTCATAACTGATTTCCTATTTGCATACGTACATATCACGAATCCCTTGACATGTACGGCAGACACGTGCGACGCGATCGGTTTATCCTTGAACTGGCAACTTGGTGTTAATTTTTTATTCCTTTTTCCATGATCGTTTTGATCGCAACCGTTTGCTCGCGTTAAATATGAATTTTTTCGTTCCTATCTTCAATTTCATGCGCGCATACACTATCGCCCAAATGTTTTTTTTGAAAGTTTTTTTTGTGTACTTCTTTCTCGAGAATCGAAAACTGCTACAAACTTTTGAGCGACAGTGTACCCGTACACTGTCATTATAAATTACGATGATTAACTTGCATTTTCTAAACGTCTCTCCTGGGAAGTTTTGTACCTTTTGAGTCATGTCCAGTGCACTGATTCAACGCTCGCAAGCGTCCGCGGCACCCAAAGGGTTAAAACGAAGAATGGTATGCGAGGACTCGCTTAACCACTCTGTAGCAAAAATAGATTTCTTCTACCGCAGATGTACGGGTGACCGCCTTATGCAACGAAATGTTTAATTACAACTTAATCCGATCGGTATACGCGCGTTATTGTTTCGTACAAACACGTTTATTCTACTTCTATTTTTAGCTGTTTTATATACACGTTTATTTATACACAGCAGCTTATCCGCTAGAATTAAAGCATCTTACGTACAATCAAACGGTTAGTAAACAATTCTGAAATTCATTGGTCGCTTATAAGTTACGATTTAAAACACGTTTTATCGTCGTTAATTGAACAACGGTACAAACATATATTTTCGTTTTGTCTCGTTAAAAATATTCCACGCCTCTAAACGACAAGTATGAAATATTCATTTTAAAATTTAAAATAAACTCCCCCCGTATTGCGAACTAGTTCACTTTACGCGTGTGTTGTGTTTCGCATAAAAAAGTTTCCGCGTTTCTTACCGCGACACGTTCAACTTACTAAAGTATCGATCACGTTTCTCCGCGCGTTCAGCGTCGTACACAGAGTCCCCGCATTGTAACAATGGTAGGCACTCTCATTATTGTGTGACTGTTGCAAGCTCGTGGCGAGCATTACTCATAAAGGAGCGTGGGCACATTAGACGGTTAAAGTATTGTTCCATGTTCAAACTGTTCTCGTTTGCTCGCTTCTTCGTTGAACCGAGTGCTCGATTACTCGCGCACATTGTGCTTCGTTTAATCACCATAACAGTTCCTACGCAAACGAGAGGCACAGTTCCGGGCCAGTAATTCCCATCGTCGCTTCGTTCCAACATTTTGCGCGTCTGAATTCTCCGACCGTTTATTCCTCGATCCATTTCAACTTGCATAGAAATTAAAAATATTCAGGGAACTCGACGTTATCGACAAGGATATTTAAAATAAAAATTGTTGGGTTCGAACGAAGCCTTGGTCGACTTTTTAAAACGGAAACTTCCATTCTTTTCGATGAATTTTAATAATCTGGCAAATACGCTTAGTTCTTATCGATTTTTCGATTTGATCTTTTGAGAATTAAACAAAGAGACTTAACGATATCGACTCAAGTCTGATAGGCACGATAAACATGCATCTACGTGCGCGCGAGATTTTAGAGAGGGAAACTCGATTATGCGAAATCATCTCGATGAATCGCCGGAGTTGTTTTGCAAGCGCGTCGAGTCGACGCACGCTGCATAACAAATTTTTTAGTTAAGACGGAAAATAATTTGGTATTTCAGATGATAAGTAATGTAAGTGGTACAATACTATTATTACTATTTCAGTAAAATAGTGTAATTATATTGTTAAACCATAGATACGATCTTGATATATGTACTAAGGTTACTATTCGGTAAAAAATTCATGTTTGCAATCGGATGTTTCGTTTCCAAATTGTTTTCCGTGTAGTCGCGCGGATAAATACGATATTTGCTGGACCTTGTTCACATTCATGGAGATTCTTAAACGTTAACATTAAAATCTATGGTCAAGATGATTCGTTCGAGACTATGAGCAAACGATTCTCATAGCACGGAAGGGTTCGACGTTTCGACTTACGATTGTAAAGACTAGGCAAATGGTAAGAGTATTCAGGTAATTCTAATGACGATGTCGCTTACACGCCTTTTCCGACTACAATTGTTTAAGTAAGGATAGTTCTTTGATCGGCCGTGTATCGGTTAGTGACGACGATAAACTATAAATACTAGCCGTGTTGCGACAATTCTATTTCCTCGGGAAGCACATCTTCGCACTCTTCGTCCTCGTAGGCGGTCCAGGATTTTGGAAAGGCGATCCCGCAAGGTCTCTTCTTCGCCAACAGTTTTCTGACGCGTTTACGCGTGACGACCAACAAGAGGAATATTATGAGACCTTGCAACGCGTTCAGAGTGTCGGTTGCGATCCTAAACAGAAATGAATTTATTACGTTTACGTAAATATCGATAATAAAAATAAGAAAATACATATAAATACCAAAGATTATTTCTAGATCCTTCGGCGTACGATAACACCTCGAAGATCCACGTAATGCCCATGACGAATATCAGCTTTACATAGAGCAGACATTTAAATCGAAGCGCTCGTAAGGTGCTTCCGGTGAACTCGCGATACTGATGCCACAGCCGCCATCCGGTTAATCCCAGATAGATTACGTTCAGTGTCAACAAAATAGCGATCGGTCCGTAAAAGTACGCCCATAGTTGCTCGGGGCCTGCGAAACGAAACATCGGGCATGAAACTTCCCCCGAAACGAAATCCGAATGCATTGCGATAGAGGACAGATTAGATAATTGGATGCAATTGACGTCAAGCTCACCGCTGAACCAGCAACTGTACAGCCCGAAACCAGGTTTCAGATGTTCACCGTGTATGTAATGGGTGACCATTACCGTGATCAAGAAACATATCGATCCGCCCCAACCGAAGAGACAGTAGATGATGAAAAGAGTTTTGTCGTTGATCTTGAAGTTCTTGAACCTGTAGAAAAATACTGGGATTAATCGAACTCGGATTTATTTCGAAAAGATCTGCTTACCAGACTGTTCTCCATATATTGAAGGACACGATATTCAGCCAGAAGAAAACCGCCATGAAGCTGAAGTACAAAAGGAATCCTAGGAGAGAGAAAATACGGCGTCGATGAAACTCGAGAACGTAAGAAAAGAAAATATGTAAATATCGATTCACGTACCTAAAGCAAGACATATCGTTTCGTCCCCTATTTCCAGCGTTCTCAAATTCTGTATCGAAAGGACGATGTAGCTGACCGCCAGCGACGTAACCACAGCCATCATCGCTTTATCCTGGATCTCCCTTAATTCCGGTAGTATAACGTACACCGCCAGGGTAGCGATTAAAAATACAGCCGATACAATTGCCAGAGAGCACAACAACAAATCCTTCCATACCGTGGACGTGGAATCGCTGTAGTATTCATTCTCGAAGCACGCCAAAGCGATCTGAGAACTGTTTTCGCGGTTCGTCACGCAGAACCTGAATATAATAAGATTGTTGAAGCACAATTTCTCATATCTTTCGGTAGTTAATTTCCTCAAAATGTAAGTAATTTAAATTCTCAGTAATTTCTTTTACTTCCTCCTCCATATTATCTATCGACGATACGAGGAAATACTTGATGAATCGAATATTCATAAATCAAGAGTTGTTTGCATTCGATAAATGTTGTCCATGGCTCAACAATTTTATGAATACACACTGTAGGAAGTTTATTTTATTAATGGTGTATTTTAACCGTTAATGTATGCCTCCAGGAAAATTTTACGTCATGTGTTATTTCTCCGAGGAAACAAGAGAGACCCCCGACTGTATCATGAAATTTACTAACGTGACGCGGATCATAATGATCGATGTCGTATCTATACTTTTACAAGACGACGAAGAATCGAAAGTCGATCGTAGAAAACTGATACTTTACCTGTCCGACGGTATTCTCTCGTCGTGTTTGACGAATTGGAGCCAGGAAACGTTGTACTCCGTGACGACGGTGAAGTCGTCGCCCACGAAATCAACCGGATCGATCACGTAGGCGCCATGAGGGCATTCGAGCTGGATCCTCGTTGAATTGGAACAGTTCATCGAATGCAACCACGTGGTGCCATCGGGGCAACAGTTTACGTCGTCCGCGTGGCACGACGCGATCGTCCATGCGAACAGACAGATCCATAACAAACCTGAAATGTTTTCGATCAGCGATACTTATCAGGTTTCATTAAAATTAGATCACCGATTAGATCAAGATATTGTTATATCGTCGACGATAATTCACGTTCTGTCGTTTATTCTATACAATATTCAACGGTTCTTGCAACATATTCCGCGAATCTGCATGTAAATAGAGATTAAAAGCGTATCTGATATTTTTATTTAAAAGGGACGGCGCACGTTCACTTTCAGCGTACACTCGATGGGTATTGTTCGGTATCAGCGATAGGATGTGTACACTGCTGAGCCTACCATTGGGATATCGCGTGTTGGAACGATCGTGGGAAGAGAGAACCGATTTCCAATAATTTTATCATACCCTCGATACCCCGGGAAGCACGTGGTGCATAAAAACTAGCAATACCGAGTATTGTTAACGAATCTTCTAATTGTTCTCAGGCTTGCGGGATAAATAAATGCATTCGACGGCGAAGATACGTATCGCTGAGGTCGTATCAATCTTGTGGACTTAATTCGCTGCTTAACAACAGAAAAATGATACAAACGACGGAGTTCAAGAACGATGGCGCCGTAATTCTTCAATTTCAGGAGATTAACAGCGATCGCCGATTAAAACCAGGGCTCGAAAACGTTAACTTTAAATTAGTCAAAAGCTGTATTATAAGCTCGAAAGCGAACGGTAGAAACGGTCGAAGGGAAGATAACGCGGGGGAAGATTTAAGATGAAAGTAAATATTGTATTTCCAAAGGAAAAAGGAAAAGATTAATTTTTCCCCGCGATAAGATAGCACAGTATTGCAGAAAATCGTTTTCGTTATCGAGACTCGATGTCGTATCGAAGTCGAGAAACGAAAATACCATGTTCTGCATCCGTAACCCAGTTAAATGCCGACAAGCGTGTGCATCGTACAATGAGAGAAACGATCGCGTTTAAAAAAAGAGACGCTTCTGTTAGCAAGACGTTCTTTATACTCTTCTGTTTGCCCCCCTCCCTCCCCAAATTATCTTGAGGTCGCTGTTGATACGAATTCGTTTAACCTTTTCGGTATTTAAGATTCGAAAGTTAACTCTTTGCGAGGCAGTGTGTACGGCGGTCCAAAACCAAAAATCAACTTTGTAACTTAAAAGACTTCGAATGAAAAGTGTACGAAAATCGCGATTCGTCTACGAACAATACGCAACAACGCTCGTTTGTAAACTGTTGATTAAATTATGCGCATTATATCATGGTGATATACGTATAGTCGAATGGTATCTGTCCGTTAAAAATAAAAATTTATACATCGCGCACGACGGAGGTCGAACGAACAACATTTAACGCGAAGCTTTTAGCGCATTAACATTCAAATCTTATGGAAATTGTTAACGACTAGGTAATTCGCGACATGGAATGCGTAATCACACGCGATAACGTTATCTACGATTTCTTTGTTCCTTCCTTTTTTTGCCCTTTGCTTTGATGCTTCTCTTCTATCAGCTACGTCAATACGAAAGAAAGAAATAAACTCAGAATTTTTCGTTTACCGAGCTCGACCGTGACGCAATCGATATTACAATGCAAAAGGTTGTTTAGGATACGTACAGAACATTCGAAAAGATAACTACGCGCGAGATTCGTTGCTCTTGTTTGTACGCGAACTTAAACAAATCGAAGATTCGCGGACGTTCGAAATATCTTTTCGAAATTCGATCTGGAGGATGCAGAAAATAATACAGCCAGGAGGTTTACGAACCTTTGGATGGCAACGTGCCCAGACACCTGTTGTTTCTCACGTCCAACATTATCTCTCGTTCTCGTTACCGCATTTCTTCTTTCTTCGTTCTCTGCGAAAAAGGCTCGGTTCTCGCGGAAATTCGACGAAAAATCCGCTGCTTTCTTTATCGTTTCTATTGTTTTCTTTCTCCCCCGTAAAAAGAATCGCGCAAGGGGAATCTTACGCTCGATGGAACAAACAAATAAACTTTGTGCTCGATCAATACTACTTGGATAAATCGCGACGCTTGAACATTTCTGCTGTTCTTGCGGAGGAACGCGTCTTGGAACGAATCGGCCGCGAATAAGAGTCGGCCGAGCAGTTTGTTCGCCGATTCAAGACGATCACCTGACGTGTTTTTCAATGGAACGTTCGTTAGGGGATATCGATGTCATCCAAGTAGCGATAAATAAGTGACACACGTTGACACACATGCGTTGCGCGTGGAACTGAAACAATCTCGGATGGAGCATCGATGAGCTACTCGCTCGGGGATAGCACGATCTTCTCCCACTGTCGCATTTCTGGCTCATGGTTCCCTGCAATCATGCTACGCGGGCCGTGTTTCATCGCCGGAATAGTGTTCCTTGCGTTCGCGATGCTGCACCGTACGAAACTGCTCTTGAACTTTCGTTTAATTAACCTTGCCCTCCTCGAGCTCTGCTCGATCCGAAACAATGTACATTTGTATGAAACTCTGACTAATTCGTAGATATCGAAATCATTTGAGTCGCTCATTCTCGTTTACGACGAAACATAGGAGACTTCTGTTCGGTTAGATTTGTCTAAAAATTATATAATTTCAGATTTTTCATTGTCTTTGTATAAAAATGTTGGAATCAACATAGTCGATTATGTAAGAGAGTTTGTTGTATAACATGCTGATAAAAGAAGAGCTAATAGCAAACGCTGACGATATTATCATTGTTTACCTAGTCAGAATATAATGATTAAACAATTATAGAAACGTTGCATGTTTTAATGATAGCACAAGCTAGACCAAACAAATCGTTAAATGATGATATTGAGTCTTGGTCTTGATGGATTTGGTAGCGTTAAGAATTTAGATTTCAAAATTCTATTAAGCAGTCGTTACGAGTAATTATTTAGAACAATCCTAACGACTACTGATAAAATGGATATTTCACGATTAATTTACAACGTGTATATCAACACGTTGGCCGCCTAATCATTCAATATAATATCCAATGCGTAGTATCGATTGTCTAAAAACAAAATGTTAATTTTTTACTGCCGTGACAATCCACCTGTTGAGCGTAGATTATAATTTTAAAGCCATTTGAATTCGGTAATGGAATCGAAGATAAACTTATCGAACCACTCAGGTGCGATGTATCGATCGTTTCCATTACGAGTCTGATAATCGAACCAAGAGTCGCCGATTCGTAAGAATCGTGTTTATTTCAGGCAATTATCAATGACTATTCAAATGTCTTTTAAGAAAGTGAGTCAGATTTATCCGAGAAATATTTGTCAGCTGTTTTTTATCTATTGTTTCCATTCCCTTTGTTTGTTATAAAAAATGGTAAATAGAAAACAATGGATAGCCATTTTATTTATCCACGGCATTGATCTTGGCAGACAATGAACTCTACTTTAATTTTATTTTATCGGCTCGTGTACTATTGATTAAACAAAGACCCAAGATTAACTCAATGGGAAGTGATCGAGATCCAGTTGTATGATATATTACCTTCTAATTGCTACCAATAACGAGCTCGATCAATGATCTAAGAGCTAATGTTATGTTAAGCTTTGCGACTGCAATCTTGGAAGTGTACAGCTCGAGGATATAGACTCGTTAAATCTTTTATTGAGGTAACGTTTCGTCATTACGCGACGTAGACACGATTATTCGCATCAATCGAACCGCCAGCCTTCATTAATAATATTCGATTCACTTCGGAACGAGATATTCAGGGAAATAATTAGCGAATCGTAACCAGGATGTTACAAAGTTACAATGTTCTTTTATTTCTAGCTGCTGGAAATGCTAAAATTTTACGCCAGATTCGAAATCAACGAGGAAAGTGGCGATCCTCTCACGGATCACGATATGACACAGTTGCACTATACCAAGATCACGTCGCTTCAGGTATAAACTAATCATTGTTTCAACTGTTTACAGTTTGTTGAGCAGTGTAAATTGAGAAATAAAATTAAAAATTTTGCGCAGAAAGCTGTGTTCGCAAAATTCCCGGATCTACGAAGCTTCGCGTTGACGAACGTGGCGAGCGTCGATACAAGAGAAGCGCTTTACAAACATTTCGGCTCGCTCAGGTGATATTTCATACTGTTTTCTACCTTTTAACGCCCTTTTTGCCCGATCGATCGTAAACCGTTCCTGATCCATTTTCCAGCCGAGAGAAATTGAGATCGATCGCGAGTTATCTCAGCTTGGTGCCGTCCGAGGAACGAGAAAAGGATGAAAATTGGTATAGATACGACATAGAATTTCTTCAAGAACTCTTGGTAAACGATCAAAGCTATGAAAAAACTTCGTCTCTACAAACTTCAATGATAACACGTGGAATTGAATTGCAGATATCGCGCCACGAGCGCAGAGCTTCTCAGCTGGAAGAGTTGAACGAAATGCCGCTTTATCCAACGGAAGAGATCATCTGGAACGAAAGTATCGTGCCGACGGAGTACTTTTCTGGCGAAGGTTGCTTAGCCCTGCCAAAATTAAATTTGCAATTCCTTACTCTGCACGATTACTTGCTGAGGAATTTTAATCTGTTCCGCCTGGAGTCGACCTGTACGTATAAAATAATTCTGATCGTCTTAATACATGATTAATACAATGAATGATAACATTGGTCGTTCGCAGATGAGATACGCCAGGACATCGAGGATGCAGTAAGCAGATTGAGTCCTTGGTAAGTCCAGTTTCGTTTTAATAAATTGAAAACTCTTGTATGACACACGGTAGACGAGATCTTTTATTTATCTCGCTTAGGCGGGCCGAAGATGGTGGTGTTTACTTTGGTGGCTGGGCCAGGATGGCTCAACCCATCACTCAGTTTGCTGTAGTCGAAGTGGCAAAGCCTAATATCGGCGAGAAAAGGCCGTCGAGGGTACGCGCTGATGTTACGATAAATTTAAGCGTCCGCAAAGAAATCAAATCCGAATGGGAGAACCTTCGAAAGCACGATGTATGTTTTCTCATTACGGTCAAGCCCCAGAATCCAATCGGTACTGTATAAAAATAGACTAATACGCAAGCTTAATTTCGATGACCAGTCGGTTGAAACGTTTCGTTCGACACTTTGCTTGCACGCAGGCACCAAATACAGTCACAAGTTGCCTTTCGTGCCACAAGTTGGACTGACAACTGTCCGGGGATGCGAGGTCGAAGGTATGCTAGACTCGAATGGCAGAGTGATCGAAGATGGTCCTGAACCACGACCTATTCTACCTGGAGACACTCGAACGTACAGAGTCTGGCTAGATTCCAATCAGTATCGAATCGACATGGACAATGCTAGTCACGGTGGCGAGGATGTATACGAAGGATTTAACATTATAATGAGACGCAAGCCAAAAGAGAACAACTTTAAGGCGGTCCTGGAAACGATCAGAGAGCTCATGAATACAGAATGCGTCGTCCCTGATTGGCTTCATGATATAATTCTTGGATATGGTGATCCTGGTGCAGCTCGTTACTCTAGGTAAAGTAAAACAAATCTTACCGAAATAACCCGAAAACATTTACGTTTATTTCCGTATGTAGAATGCCAAATGAAATCGCAACAATGGATTTCAACGATACGTTTCTTGAAATAGATCATTTGAGGGGTAGTTTCCCTCAGTATGAGAGCCTAGTTGCTACCGATAATGGGAAAAAGCTAGTTCGGCCTTTCCGCCTGATATTTGAAGATGTCCTTGCTAAACACGATAACGAACCAAAAAAGAAAGTCATCAAAGTTGAACCACACGTGCCGCCTAGTCGAGGCCCTTACAAAGCTAACGAACCAAAAAAGTATGTAAATATTGAATCTATGTTAATAATATGAACGTTAAGTATTGTTCTGGTATTGTACAGTATTCTATAATTTTATTATAGGAATCAAATTCCGTTTACGCCAACGCAAGTCGAAGCCATTCGTGCCGGTATGCAACCAGGCTTGACACTCGTCGTGGGTCCTCCCGGTACTGGTAAAACGGACGTTGCTGTTCAGATCATTTCAAATCTTTATCATAACTTTCCCAATCAGAGGACACTTATAGTTACGCACTCCAATCAAGCACTGAATCAACTTTTTGAAAAGATCATGGCACTCGATATTGACGAGAGACATTTGCTGCGTCTTGGTCACGGAGAAGAGGCATTAGAAACCGAAAAAGATTTCAGTAGATACGGAAGAGTTAACTATGTCTTGGCCAAGCGACTGGATCTTTTAATGGAAGTTCAAAGACTGCAGGTTTGTAATCTACTATACAGGGTGTTCGGCCACTCTTGAGAAAAATTTTAATAGGAGATTCTAGAGGCCAAAAAAAAATAAAAAATATCGGGGTGGCCGAACACCCTGTACATATACGTATGGTTGTATAACTGTCCATGTTTCGTACGTGAATATTCATGTATATTTGTCTTTTATCAGGAATCGTTAAATGTAAAAGGTGACGTAGCATACACTTGCGAAACGGCAGGACATTTCTTTATGTATCAAATATTAACAAGATGGGAACGTTTTGAATCTCGAATAAAACAAAGGCAGGGTACTGGAAAAGGACTACCGTCCGCGTTTATCGTTGACGAGGAATTTCCATTTCATAAATTCTTCGATAATGCACCACAGCCATTATTTAAGCGCAATACGTTTGTAGAAGATCTCGAGATAGCGCGTAGCTGTTTTCGGTAAGTTCATACGAAATATCAGTGTTTATATAATAAATACATTGGTATTAAATGTTCGCTACGTATCGATTTCACAGGTACGTAGAAAGGATATTCGCACAGCTGGAAGAATTTAGGGCTTTCGAATTATTGCGATCCGGTTTAGATAGGTCAAAATATTTATTGGTCAAAGAAGCAAAAGTGATTGCTATGACTTGTACTCATGCCGCGCTTAAAAGGCGCGAGCTCGTAGACATGGGCTTCAAATATGACAACATACTCATGGAAGAATCTGCTCAAATTCTGGAAATAGAAACTTTCATACCGTTGTTGCTGCAAAATCCACAAGACGGATACAATCGATTGAAACGTTGGATAATGATAGGGGATCACCATCAACTGCCACCAGTTATCAAAAACATGGCTTTCCAAAAATATTCAAACATGGAGCAATCCCTGTTCGCAAGGTTCGTTCGGTTGGGCGTGCCCACGGTCGATCTTGATGGTCAAGGTCGTGCCAGACCCAGCATTTGTAATCTTTACAATTGGCGATACAAAAAACTGGGCAATCTTGCGCACGTGGAACGCAGCCCGGAGTATCTAGTAGCAAACGCTGGATTTCTATACGACTTTCAGCTCATTAACGTTGAAGATTTCAACGGAGTGGGCGAAAGCGAACCCAGCGCTTATTTCTATCAGAATCTTGCCGAAGCTGAATACTGCGTGGCTGTATTTATGTACATGCGACTCCTTGGTTATCCAGCCGACAAGATCAGTATATTGACCACTTATAATGGACAGAAACATTTAATCAGAGATGTGATAAATATAAGATGCGCCAGCAATCCTTTGATCGGTCGACCGAATAAAGTAACAACGGTCGACAAGTATCAAGGTCAACAGAATGATTACATATTGCTGTCTCTCGTAAAGACACGCGCCGTGGGTCACTTACGGGATGCGCGACGTTTGGTTGTGGCGATGTCAAGAGCTCGACTGGGCCTTTACGTGTTTGCTAGGGTGTCCCTTTTTAAGAACTGTTTCGAATTGACACCTGCATTCGATCAGCTAATGCAGCGACCGTTGAAATTGCAACTCCTCCCGCAAGAACGTTATCCTACCGATAGACTCAATGATGCTATTCCGTCTGCTCCACCAATGGAGATCGAAGATATGCCTCATATGGCTAAGTTTGTATATGATTATTACATGGAGAAAGTTAGCGGTATGAAGGTAAAGTGAATCTCTGTCATCATGCTTACTAAACTCGGTAATAACGCTAAAACGGTTATTGACATTGAATTGTAAATTACAGGAGTCGCAAAAGATGTGGCAGAAACCAGGTACGATGCAGACACCCGGTAGCCCGACACACAAAGTTCCTGCTCATCCTGGAGCAGATGATGATACAGATGACGAAGAACTGAATCAAATAGACGATGAACACCAAGATGCCAAAGACGAAAGTGTAGATCATAAGTTCGAGCTAATACAAAATTTAGTGGATGAGCCAGTTTCAGAAAGTGAAGACAATGATCGTTAATGGCCAATTTATAATAGCAATGAACAACTATTTCTATTGAAAATATATCCCTTTTTTATTCAAATTATATTTATTGTACAGCATCATGGTGTGTTTGACCATGTTATAGGAAAATTAAAAAATATTTATATTTCCTATTTGTTACAAACAATATTGTACACTGATTTATATATCTTGTTTGATATTCGCTATCAAATTACATTTCAGGTAAGCAAATATTTCTCTTGCTCGATGTCTCTTTTTGCCGCGACGAGTACTTCTTCGATTGGACTTTCTTAAGCTTTACCGATGATTTTATCGAGTCTTTATTAATTAATTGGACGCTTGACGGCACGTAACTGTCATCAAATTTCATCGATTTACTAGTAAAGTCCGGTTGATATTCCTCAATGGAAGCTTTGATTCCCTTCGAATTGGGAACGTATATCTCGGGAAGATTTACAATGGTCGTCGAACTAGGTTCGTACGTTTCGTAAGACACTTTCGACGAATCCACGGAATTCGGAATATATCGAACAACTTCCGTTACGCTTTTATCGTCCGATATGGATGGGGAGTACTCGTTCGAAGATACTTGGATCTGTTCCAACATACTCTTTCTACTCGGTATATATTTCAAATGTGTGCATAATTTTTTTGTAACTGGCGTATCCGGTACATACTCCTCCAACGTAGTATCCCCTGAGCTTTCCAGCTGTAAATACCTTTTGGTTCTATCTTTTTTCGTATCGGAGGATACCTTAGCGATAAAATTATTCGTTTCGAATTTCTTTGGTAAAGTATCGTGTCTGTTTGTTTGGTGTGTGGAATCGGTAGCATCGCGTTGAGATTTTTCTGACGTTCGATTCTGAACATTTTTCTCTGACGTTGATTCCGACGATTTTGTCTTACCCAATTTTTTTTTCGCGGGAGATACATTTACTCTGATCGTAGGCAATGATGCAACATCTTTTACGTTTTCTGATGGTTCGAACGTATATCTATGATTTATAAAAATATCTGTTTAAACAACTATAGTAACAATAATCGCAGTGGCATAACCAACGATTCAAGGACTTGCGTGGTAAAATTTATAGTAGGATCAATTAATATTTTCCTACAAATCGCGTATAATATTACGAAAGAATAATAGAGTATTCTTAATTTTTTAGAGTTTAATCAGTCGATTTTTCACACGCAAACCCAGTTACGCCACTGGATAATAAAACTTGATACTATTAATTTGAAAACTACATGTCTACGTTATCAGTACATTATTTATTTAGAGAAAAAGTGTAGTACTAACCAGGTACCGATTCAGGAGAGTCTGATTTTTTTCAAATAATAAAATAAATCTTTACAAATACTTAACGAAAAAATTATTTTCGATTTGCTGATGCTCTTTCAATAAATTAAATCATTTTTTAAATGACTTACGAGAAAAAGCTGGGTAAGACAATTTTTAAAAACAACATTTTCCCTTTTAAAAGTATCTACAAATCCCGCTATCCCCTACTTCTCATATCAAGAATCAAGAGTGCCTCCGATTGTTCCTCAGCCCCCCGGGCCATAGAAGCCTTAATCTGACCTTGATAATAATATCAGCATCTTACATATTCTCTTTATCATAATGTAGCATTTTAAAGACAATGATATATTTATTTTTAACGTAATGTCGTCAAGGATTACTACGATGAATATTTAATCTATGCAAAATGTACACGTACGTTTGTTTCGCGAAGAAGTACGATCCAACTGGTGCTAAAAACAGTTACATTAAAGAACGAAACATTTATATCGCTTACGTGACTTCTAGCTGTCGGGTGGATTTTCTCCCCTTCAATTTTTCCGAATCTGGAGACAATCCTTCCTTTCGAACGTTACGTAAAATCGCTTTCTCCAAAATTGCATACAGCGCAGCCCAATCCTCGAGATCAAGCCACTTATTGGTGAAAACCTTTTTCTTTCTAATTCTCATAATCTTCTCTTGAACGGTAACTACAGCCGTAGCTAAACAATTATCTGAAGCCTACGAATACAGCTTCTGTTTTACTTGTTAGATGCATGATCATCTATTAACAGCTGTTGACAGCTGTTGATCGTGATACCTTTATTACTTCCAGATATTGACCATCACGAAACATTTTAACAACGTGTTTGTTATCAGTCCTTCGATCGTTCCCTTGTGAATCACTTACTATACACTATGATATTTATGTATGTAATAAACACATTTGTTAGAGACGTAATACCACAATTTTTTTAATACATTTGCTTGACACCTTGGCTGCAAATGTGATGTCAGCGTGCACTGACGCACGTATGTACTCGACACGTGAGATTAAGGTAAACGAAAGTGGATTTTGAAAGTAAACGAAAAAAGTTTATGTGAAAACTTGCCACGTAGTTATTAAAATAATATGACGTTGATGCTTTATTGCGATATATACGCTTTGCAATATAAGTTTATTTCTTTTACTAGTTTACCGGTTTATCTCTGACTATATACATGTGTCGTTTATAACATATTTTCATATAATTTCCTATCCATAAAGTTAAATATAAACAAACTGTTATTGCAGTATAAATTTTTTTCAAGTTTATAAAATGAAAATGTTTATATGGAAGATATATAATTATCGTGCAATTCTTATTTTGAAATTTTAATTAAGCTTGACTTAATTTACGAAGTTAAATTGCAAATATAAAACAAACCATTCGTTATTGTTAAGTTTTTGATTATTTTGGGAATTTGTATAATAATATTGATGACCGAATACTTGGATATTTATGAATTCAATGAAATATTTTATCCGAATTGCTTGCAAGTATTAACGTGTAGTGTTTTTTCAGATAAACAATAAAATTGATTAAAAATGATCGAGAAAAAACCAACTATCCCAGAGAGATTCATCGTTTTTAGCGAAACGAATTCCAAAATCATTAAGGTACGTCCTAACCTACATTTTGTTATAATACTAAATTATACTTACCTACTTGCATTACATTTTTCATTTTAGGTTGTCAGTTATGGCATTACTAGTATGAGTTTGGTCGTTGCGCTCTATCGAATTAGACCTGTATGTATGATACACATCGATAATGCATTTCATTTAACCGAGCAGTTTATATTCTTTGTTATTGTTTTTTAGTTTGCTAAATTTAGAAAACCATCCAGCGTACCATCTCATTTTTTGTACAATAAAGTTCCGCTTCGAGGTACTGTGATACGTATAGAACCTAGTTGCGAAGTGCTGCTTATGGTTGATCACAAGCCAGTAATACCATTGCCTCGATTGAATAATTCAAAGTATCTACCAGTTAAAATAGCCGGAGTTAATGTAACTGCTAATGGTAAGTGTTACTTAAATATTCGTGTGTATTTTCAATTAATTAATATTTATTTTTAGGTATCAGTTGGTTGCAAACAATTGTCAACAGAAAAGAAATAATTTTCACACCTTTGTCTAAAGATACAGAATACTTAAATTGTACAGTGACTATGCACCAACAAAATCAGGTAAAAAACGTTATTGATCTTTGATTATATTTTCTATGTACAAATTTATATTGAGTTTATTGCAGGAATACATAAAAATTGGGGAGGAATTAGTGAAACTTGGTTTTGCTACAGTAAATAAAGATTCGTTGGAATTAATGTTAAAAAACAAAGACATCTTAAATTATGAAAAATGTTTATTAAGTGCACAAAAACTAGCTGAACGTAAAAGAAACGGGTATTGGCATTTTGCTAAACAACCCACAATTTTGTGGAAAGTTCAGCAAAAATTATATGAAAAACTGAAGTCTATTTTGCCTATCTTTATAGTACAAAGGTTTCATTTTTAAGCATATCTCCCGCAGTTTACTTACATTAGCATGATTACTTACAAACTAGTATATATATTTTTATAATTTACTTACAATATCACTAAAATCTGCTACAGAGTTAAATATATATTTGAAAATCTTTTAAAAATTATAAATTGTGATCAATTTGCTATAAATATTTATGGTAGTAAAAAAGCAATATTTAAAAAAAGAAGTTTATTTTTATACCATTTATACAACCTTTTACCAAATTTTATATAAAATTAAGAACATCACTATATATCACCATGCACAAAATTAATTTGCTTATATATTGTTTAGCCAAAGAAGAATTATAATTAAAGTACAGACATAGATTCTTTTGCAGTAATGAGAAACTATAGTTTTATTTTCGCTTCGATAGATAAATATATAGACATGCTTAACATGTTTCAAGTAGAAAAATAGATCATATACAAAAATAAATGAAAAATTTAATGGAAGATTCATATTATTTTTATGGTTACACCAAAACAATTTTAATCACACAAGGGAATGATTTCAGCTTTACAAATAGATTTGGTCTAATATAAATTATCTTATTTATATAGAACAATAATTTTAATATTTCACCTTACTCTATTATAGAATATATTGTTTTTTGGAATGTTAATTAAAAGATATCAAAACAACAAGTCTATAATAAAATACCGTTTTCCATTTAGACTTCAACTTTGTTATACGATGAAATAAAATTACAGATGACATATTTATATTATATATATGTATATAATATATATATACCAAATATGATACTAATATACATACTGTATTGTGATATGGAAAAATTTGCAAAAACAACATTATTTTCAACTGTATATATAAATCTAAATCACAGTCTAATGCGTTTTCTGATCTTTAAACCACAAATATAAAAAATTATAACAAAATAAAATAGTCGTAGTATCATTTTATGAAACTCTGTTAAGAAAACATAAATAAAAAGCAAACTCTTTATCATTAATACAGCGAATGTATGGATGCTAAAAAATCTGTAACATCGGAACAATTATGACGATATGTTTGGAATATGTAGAACCTGTAATAATATGTAATGGAATATAATCAAGTTTTAATTCAAACTTGGACTGATGTCTTAATTAAAAATTAGAGTATTCTTAGCGGAATCACTTTTTCTCCACTGGCTTGGATTTCTCAGACCGAGTATCGCGAGTATTGTCTTTAACGGATCCATCAGACTTTGGTCTTACCGTCGCTTTGTTACCTTTCTCCGACGATTCAGTTTTTACATTTGATGTCTTTGCATTAACGTTATCTTTCTTAATCTCATTTATACTGTCTTTCTTAATATCCTTTGCCGTATTCTTCGTAGTGTCCTTCGTTAACGTTTTCTCAGTAGGTGGGGATGAAGAAGGTTTTGGAGTGGTAGTAGTTGGATGTGAATGCGTTGTAGACTTTAGTACTTTTTCATCAGTGATTGGCTTTTGTGTCACTGAATCCGTGACTACTGGTTTTTGAGTTTTTGCATCTGCGATTGGTTTTGTTGTTGTTGTAACTGTAACTGGCTTTTGCGTCGTCGAATCCACGATTGGCTTTTGAGTTTTTGCATCCGCAACAGGTTTTTGCGTTGTTGGTACTTTAACGGTTGGTTCGGGAGATGTAGTTGTAGACTTTGGTGTTGTTTCTCGAACAATTGGTTTAGCATTTGTAGGTTTCGTTTCTAGTTTAACATTTTTCTTTGGAACTGTTGGAAGTGGTTCGTTTTCTGCCTGCTTTCTCACATTCTCTTTTAAATCTGGTAGTGCTTGTTTTAGTGGAACTTTCATGATATATTCGTTCCAAGGAGAACCTAGCCACAGATATCCATTGTGAATGTAAGCAGAGCATACGTTATGAACACTTCCATCTTCTGAATATAAAGCATCTAAGATATTTCCTGCTTTATCCAATCTAAGTACTACAGAAATTCCTTTTGTATCCAAAATCTTTGAAGTTTCAAAAGATCCTATCGAATGCAAAACTCTTTCCGCATAATAATTTGGATAAACATCTTGCAATAATTTAAACGGGGCTTCTATCAAATATAATAATCTCACTAACATTTTTCGTATATATGGATGCGGCATAAGAGACTGAGCTATGAAAGGATATTGAGGATCCACGTATTGAATTAAAGTCACTAGAAAGCCTCCTTGTCCGTCGCTATGTACATTGTCTGGCAGGCCGGGTAAAGCTTCTACAAAAATTTCCTGTTGCCCAATCTTTGGACCTTTCAAATGGTACTTAATAATACGCGAAGCAAAAGTTTCTAGTACAATGACAAAACTTTCGTCGTCGCTTAATAAAACTCCATTTGCAAACACCAAATTTTGTAGTAACACTTCGTTCTTTTTTGTCACAACGTTATATCGAATAAGTCTGAAAATGAATCTTATTACATGTTTGTACATGGTAGAACAAACATTTCAAATATGAAATTCATACCTTCCAGACGGATTAGCAAAAGCTGCATTTACTCCATCATGAAGAACAAAATCTGTACTAGAGTCTGTCCAATAAATATCTCCATTCTTGGCAACGTCCAAAGAATTAATCAATTTTGGAATTTTTCCATTAATAGGTACAGAAATATTAACTATATTTATATATTGTCTGGTATTAACATCAACTTTAAAAATACCATAGTAAGTATCAGCTACAAATAAATCTCCTTTTTTATTGAATTGTAAACCCAAAGGTCTACCGCATTTCTCTTCTTGCCATAAACCATCTGCAAAAACCGTATTGTTTTAAATATATATGACGCTACTTATGAAATTTCAATAATTTTACAACTATATTTACGCACCACATTTTTTACCAAATTTTACAATTGGTACAATATGATTATCTTCGATTTTCACGACATAACCTCCACGTATACCAGTATATAATTCTCCATTATAAGAAGCAAAACTTTCTGGACCTTTGATTGCTCCAGAAAATAGTACTTCTGCTCCCTGTAGTCGATTTTTTAGCTCAAACCGATCTTGCGGCTCGGTAGGAAGCTTTATACTAAAACATTTATTATAATTTGGCTACATGTTTCGTACAATTTATACTTACGTCGTTATAAAATGTAGAAAACAGCATACCTGTATTCGGAAAAGTCTGTTTCCGGAGGTAAACCTGGCAAAAAGGTGATAACAGTTAAGAAAAGACCGATATATATGATCACGGTACCTATGGACTTCAAATATCCCATTATTTAACTTGTCGGATATCAATATTTTGATAGTGTATCCTCGTATTTAAACGTTTCTTTTTTCAAACTGTTCAGACTTAAAATTCCGTTAGTGCTTCTTCATCTCGAGACTAATGGTACTGAAATAAAAGAAGAACTACTCTTTTACGCAACTGTTTCTTGCCGGCGTAGATAACGGCATTCACGACTTTAATGGCGGTAAATCGTATATAGCAAAAAGTACATCGTTGCTGATGTTAGCAAACGTAAGACTAAATAATTGCCACGCGTACGGAAGACGTCGTGTAATCAATTTCCGTTAACCACCGAATTTTATTTTATTGCCAACTCAGCAATTTCTCGTTGTTAAGGTCATTTTTCGGCAATAACCAACCGCATCAGAAGCAATGACTGTGAATATTTGTTCGCGCGTAACCTTTTTGTTTTTTATCATTCTAACTGATCGTCGTTTTCAGGACAGTTTCAGACAGTTATAGACATAAAGATGATATATGTATAATTAATTATGCCGGTGGCATACTCTTTAAACAACAAGAATTGCCGTGGTTGATCGTATGTATTTTTTTGCAGTAAATTCAAAAGAGATGTCACCACACTCGTCATAACATTGAGAATTTATTATCGAAGTATACTGTATACATGGTAGTTAAACATAGTCAAAAATGGGTGAGTATAACAAACATTACATTCGGAAAATAAAATTAACATTTACAGAAATTTCTCTTTTGTTTAGATAATCTTGAGGAACAATGCGAAGACGCACTTTTCGAATTATGCGACGCTAGAGAGCGATACCCACAACGATGTGCTAATGAACTTAAGACATCTTTTCAACTTATAAACGATATACATGTAATTATTATTGTTAACAGATTCATAATGTTTGTATGTTTCTTAGTGTATATTACATCTGGTAATATATAAAACATATTCTGTTTTGCAGATGCTGAAAGCGTATGAGAAGTTAAATAATATAAGTGATAAACCATCTGCTGTGGAGCAAAGTACGCACAACATAAATTTTAACGAGAAAGAAATGTCTTTTGAACATTTAGATTACAAATTGCAAGATATCGCAAACAAATTAAATAATTTAGAAGCAGTAAGAAAACAAGTTGAACGCGAAAAAATATGTAAGATAAATAAACAATTAGAAAATTAGATTTATATTTTTTAAAGCAATAAAATGACTCAAAATAGTGTTATTTATTTATTTGTCATTAGTGCTTATGGATAAAATGTACAAGAAATTTGATCAAGTCATTAATTGTCTAATGTTGGACTACAAATTGAATCAAAGATAAATAATCCAATAATTTTATGAAAATTATTCTATAACCCTTGTCTAAAAAGTTATTCTTATTGCATACATGTTGTTAAAGAGGAACTTTTCCCTATTATGCTATGAATGCTTTTTGTACTCATACGTTTTACAACAACCTTGGCACCTCTTGTGATATCATGAAAAAATTTCATTATTTCTATATGCGTGTCACCAAGATTTTCATCTGTTAACATATTTATAGACTTTCTTCTTGGTCTTAGATACCGACTAGGCAAATTCCTTTTCTTTTGAACAAATGAAAGATCTTTATAAAATTCGTGTGTAATATCTTGGATTTCGTTTGATGATAATTGTTCCACTTTGTCCGTGTTAGCAATTTGTTTATGCGATTGTTCATTTAGTTTAAAATTATTTTTTGAAACAGTGGCATCTTCTAGCTTCGTTTTCGAGGTTACAGGCAATGGGCTTTCGCAGCGATTTTTGTCATCATGGCATACAGGTATCTGAGAATTTTGTGGATATTGTGTACTTTTTAATATATCACAATCTAAACTTTGCCCTTTTAATTGTACATTAGAAACAATATCAGTTTTCTGACACGATTGCGCTCTGTGAACTTCAGAACAACTTCCATCTGTTTCATTTTTCTTCTTTAAAGAAAAATCAGACTTCTTTGGCGATTGTTCTTCGAATATTTTCTGTAACGGTATTGGTATTTGATCTGCAGTGATAATTTCATTCGAAATAACTATTGGACCATTTGATTTACATTTCTCCATATTATTAAATGTAGGTTTATTTTTTGTATTTATATAATGTTGTACTTTATGCGTTCCGTTCGCAATGATAGGTAATTCTGTTGATTTCATAAGGGACTCATTATTTGGATAATCAGTTTTTAAACACAGTTTTTTCGAAAAAGGCTTAAGTTCAGTTGTTTCATGTTTATTTGATTTTTCAGTGTCTGTATCATCCATTAATAAATCTTTACTCATCATGATTTCTAATTTATTTTCAGGTTTATCTATTTTCTGAAAATCAAGTACCGAAGATTGAAAAATTTCAGCTTGTAATGCTTCTGGTATAATATCTTCCTCTTCCTCTTCTTCTTCTTCTTCTTCGTATTCTAAATTTCCATCCTCGGTAAGTTTCATATTTTTATTATATTCATAGTTATACAGCTCGGAATATCGGCCTTTGTTTGCAACATCATGTTTTTCATCATCGTTACTAATACTCGTACTAGTCAAGGATTGAGGAAATTGCTGTTGCGCGTGTTTTAATTCAGGCGAAATTGTATTTTGACATTTAGATTCATTTTCGGTTTGTTTTGGTAATTCAATCATTGTTATTAAATTCTCTAACCCAAGTAAACTAGAATTTCTTAAACATTTCTCGCCTTTCTTTGTTTCAATTTTCTCAGAATTTTCTAATACCTCGTCCACTTCTAATTTAGTTTTTTGTTCTATAACTGCTACAGTGTCTTGTCCCTGTCGAATCGTAAACATTAATCCTTCCATTACTAAATCCGTAATATCGGAAGATCGTGATGGCGCGTTATCCGATAGGTGTTTTCTTTTCTGAAGACAAGAGGTTCCTTCAGTTTTTGTAACATCCGCAAATTGTTCTACAGAATTTGTAGAATGTTTTTCATTTGTTTCATCCAATTTACGTTTCTTAGTTTCATTTACGGAAACATTGTCGTTCAACATCTTACGTTTTGCATCTTCTATTTCCCTTTCTATCAGGTATTGATATGGTAAATTGATAGAATCTACATTAACAGCATCTGTATTACTGTCTTCTGACACAATATTAATATTTGACGTAGAATTGTTATTATCTTTGGCAAAACCGTTTTTACCAACATGTTCATCTTGTCCATTTTTATCCTTAATATTTTCTTTTTCTAAATGGTTTGTATCTTTTGATTCATTAGTGACCACTTTATTTTCTTCAATTTTGTTCACAATACTATGTTGCAATGTTGAATATTTATTATTTGTACCTGTGTTTTTATTTTTACTTTTAGATTTTACAGTAGAGTGTCTTAAAGACCTACTTGCTTGTGCTTTATTAGTAGATTTCGTATCATTTTCAGATGGTGTATCGAGTGGTATAGGTGGTTCGAACGATACCTTTGTACAATTTGTAAATTTATTTGTGTTTTTGCAATTTATTATCTGTCTCGTCGATTTTTTGTCTGTGCATGTATTTGTTAAATCATCAACTTCCAAACTATTATTTAATTGAATACTTTTACTTTCTGCCTCTAATACTTCCTCTTGTACATTATTACACTGATTAGTTTGTTTTGGAAAATCATTCTTAGAAGAATGCGTTGTATTTTTGTTATTCTGAATTAAAGACCGATCGGGAGAAGATTTTATCGCATACCTCGTATTAAGTTCTGTACTTTCCGAAGGGAGCGTTATCTTTATAGTAAGAATAAATGCATAGGAAAATGCTATGACCGATCGTTCTTTAAATTTCATCAGTGCAAATATTTTGTCCTGCCGAGTCCACGATGTATTACCTGCATTATTGTACATTATAGTTAAGAAAATATATAAGAAGTATCGTATTAAATACATTGAATTTAAAAAAAGAAGGATACTGTAAGTAATTAAAAGATGGCTGGTGCAAAATTGTTGCCCTTGGCGCGGTGGATCTTTTAAAATCCTTCTAATTACATTCATTAATTCTTTTCCAAAATAAAACTGCTGTGTATTTCTGTAAATATACGTTAGAGAATCAATAATGTTAATAACAATGTATCGCCGATAATACTTACTTAATTGTCCTATGATATCTAAAAATAAATTTATATATGTTATTCTTGTGGCATAACCAATATGAACTTGGCACTGTTAAAATTGGAGTTTCTCTTTGCTGGTTCCAATTAATCCAGCTAGCCTTTCGTACATGTATTCCAGGCATTTTCTCTCTGGTACCAATTCTTGGAATAAAGGAATTAATTTTATTAATTCCTTTCCACCATAAGATTCCTTCACTACGATCGTTAAATAGTACAGTACCTTTTGCTGTAAATAGAAATAAAATTTCACTCGTCTCTTAAAAGTTTTCCAATACCAATTATTTCCTATTACTTACTCCGGTTATAACTTCATTAATAAATACATCTACCACTGTGTCCCAAGGTACAAATTCGCATGTACTTAAACCAGAAAATATTTTGTTTCCTTTGGTATATATGCCGATAAATTCTACCACTGTTAACGTATCTATAAAAAAAAAAAACAATGAACATGAATATGATTCAAACATATTATGATAGAAACATATGTAATTATTTAACAAACCTTTATTCACAGAAGTAACAAAACGAGCAAATTGCAATATCAAAACAAACACAGAAACAACGAATGGTACTGAAATACCAAGTGTTTTCCATAAAAACAATGTGGCAAATAATAAAACAAGAGTCACATTGATGTTCAAATGCGTGTCTTTGTACAGAACAAATTTCATAACATTTTTAGCTTTTGCACTTTTATCAATCAGTTTTAATACACACCCATTTACACTTTGGAATAACAATTCGGGTGGAGATCCATCTTTGAAAACATTGGACGACATTAATGAAAATTGTTTACACTGTTACTACCGACTGTATGTTTATCAACAATTTCCAACAATCATCGGTAAAAAAAATTTTGCCACAACAGGAGGTTTCGCGCCTAAATTCTACTGTCAAAATTGACAGCTGACACGTTTATACACCAAATGTAGTCAACGCTACATGTAACGTTAACGATTATGCTTTCGTAAACATATTTATATATGTGCACGGGATCGGTCAGATATTTTTTAGTGGAAGAAAATAATAATATCATGAATTCTATTATGATTGACTTACGAACAGTGTCGTATTAATCTAACTAAAAACACTTCTAATTTGATCATTATATATATCTGTATATACATACGATTACAATACAATATTGTTCCAGTTAAAGATTAGATAGGTTTAGGAATATACGCATCAAGTACACAAATTAATTATGAAAAATGTTGTTTACGGAAATACACGTTTTAAGATCCCCTGACCATATTTTAACTACCGAAAGAAATCTTTTTACTATGTATATATTCTTCCGTCATTGTAATAAATCACTGCTCGATAATTTATTAATTACTTTTTTCCTGGGATCGATTTATGAACTTTTAGAGTTTAATTTTATAGTGTAGACTCTTGAAAATATTCAAGGATACCTTTTATAACCATTCCATGCGTTATTAAACAGTTATTAACCAATATCGGAAGTCGGCGCACTATTTTAAACTTTTTAAATTTAAATTTAGTTACAGCGAGAATCGTTGCAAAATTGGCCCCTGAATGTTGCCGGGGATCTATACTTGACGATATTAATGCAAATAGAAATCAGTTCGTGTCGAAATGTTAATGCATCGATTAAAGCAGATAGTAATACCATCGGAAATATTCCGACTTCTTATATTTGTTAATAACTATTTAATAACTCATGGAATGGTTACAAAAGGTATCCTTGAATATTGCCAAGGGTCTATACTATATTCTTAAATTCTAAAAGTTCATAATTTAATCCCGGAGAAAGAGTAATTAGTGAATAATCAAGCTATGCGTAATAGGAGTGGGGTAACCTGTACATCGCATACCTCCTTTAGCATTTTGTGACCTGGATAACTTTCTGGTAGTTAGAATCCCATTTTATAGATGGCGCCACGTATTTCATTCGCGCTCACTTCGGACAGTTTCGGAGAATCGAGAAAGAGGTCGGCATCAGTCTGTCTTTGTCGACTCTCCGAACTACGAACTCACGTATACGTTCCCGATCTGGTAACACTGCTACGAGCAACGCGAGTGAAATATTATTACCGGCACAGCACGAGGAATATTAATGCGTCTGGTGATGTGCGAGTCTCTACCTGGTCTCTTTCCTCGTTAAGTGCTTTCGTGGATTGTGAGATCGATGGACACGCGGCCTTACGATATATCCTTAGATAAATGTCGCGTCGACATAGCGGACCAATGAAAATTTGATCACGTGTTAAATTCTGTTTACATTCAACTCGTCTTATGAAACATACTTAATGCGTGTATAAAATATACAATATTCGATACACGTATTCAATGAGAACAACACGTCATAAGTTTGTATAGAACACTTGGGATTATATTTATTTAGAATACTATGAATATGTAATAGTATGCATCGAAGAAAAATATAAAAATAACGGAATAGACATAGAAGCGAAAGAACGGGCAAAGGAAAAGATAAAACGTGAAATATAAGAAGTGCGCAGTCGTCGTGTTCGTTCTGAATCGCTCGTGTCCCGTCGTATAGAGGGAGTGAAACAGCACCTGCTGCCATTCTGGCATTACGTCAATGGTGGACGACTCATTCGCTGGTTTGGGAGGAGTTACCGTGACCGCCATTGTTACAGCTCCTTCGTATTGAAGAACGTGATCTGTGAATTCGAACCGTCACATTACCGATTTCAACGGATCGTGTGTCCTTCGTAGATTTCTGCAACGACGGTACACGACATCAGTGAGCGTGTTCTGAGCATAGCATGTCCACAATGAATCCCGAGTAGTGAGTAAACTTCTTTACGCGTAGACATAAGTGTATCTTAAAAATGCTTGCTTCGTGAAATATAATCGATTCGGTTTCAACATTGGTAATGATTACGCTCGAAAGGGCCCTGTCATCATATCTGCATATTGTACGGTTAATGCGAAGATGTTCTGTTTAACTTGTACTGTCTGACAGATTCACCCCACTTTTTCGTCTATCTATATCCACTGGCCATATTTCAGAAACCAACTCTGTGGTGCTTTCTTCGTTATGTATTTATCAAAACATACGTCCCAATCTGTTGATCAACTAGCAAAACTTAGTATTCACAATATTCGTACAATTTCTATAGAAAACTTGTGGAAATAATTTCAGAATTTGATCATTAAACAATTGATAGCGAGATAGATGTGAAGCTTATTTGTTTGAGATATATTCGGCTGAAATTTATTGCAACAAACTGTAAACATATACGCAATTAATTATATTACAATTATTATGAAATTGTGAAAGCATTATTTCTACAAAGATTAATTGTAAAATAAGCATCTAATAAAATATAAGCTTCAGTGTATATCTAATAATTTTTGTTATACTTTTATATATACTGTTAACATGTATTTATATTTTAAACTATCGCATATCACATATTTTATAATATAATTAATGAATATTATAATGTTTTACAAAGTATTATAAAATAAAATGCAAAGTACCGTATATAACATTGTGTTAATATGTAAATTTTTTTACAGTGATTACTTGTTTAAATTGCTCTTAATTGGAGATTCGGGAGTTGGAAAATCGTGTCTTCTACTTCGCTTTGCCGATGACACGTACACAGAAAGTTATATCAGTACAATTGGTGTAGATTTCAAAATAAGGACAATCGACCTAGATGGAAAAACAATAAAATTACAAATCTGGGATACGGCGGGTCAAGAACGATTCAGAACAATTACTAGTTCTTACTACAGAGGTGCACATGGTATTATTGTTGTTTACGACTGCACAGATCAAGAAACTTTCAACAATGTTAAACAGTGGTTGGAAGAAATTGACCGTTATGCCTGTGACAATGTCAATAAGCTGCTGGTTGGCAATAAATGTGATGTTCATACTAAAAAAGTAGTTGATTACACAACGGCAAAGGTAGCATAACTGATTTCGGATAACACGTTTAAACAATTGTACTATGCACGAATTGTTTCATTAATAGGAATACGCGGATCAGCTTGGAATTCCATTCTTGGAAACATCGGCAAAAAATGCGATGAACGTAGAGCAGGCTTTTATGACAATGGCTGCGGAAATAAAACTTAGAGTGGGCCCTCCGTCGAGTGGAAACAGCGATCCAGTAAATAAGGTGAAAATAGAACATGGACGTGCAATCGAATCCTCCAAATCTGGGTGCTGCTGAGAAATGTAATTTTACATCACTGTAACCAAAGTAAGCGTGTTTCTTTATCTTTTCATCGTGAATTCCTGTCTGTTTATATATCGTTGATACATATTTTATTTACAGAAAAACATCTTATGGTAGCGGTTTTGTACTGCTTAAAAGAAACATTATCAGAAGAAATCATGGAAGTTTCAGTTTACATTATCATAAAAAAAAAAGAAAAAAAAATGGGGTGTGAAGCATTATCAATTATGGACCACCGACTCTATCGTAGGGTTGAATAAAATAATTTTTGTTCTGTCTTTTTATCCAAGAAAGGAGAACATAATTACTCACTCGCTAATGTCTAGTGCAAAAATCGACCATAGAAAAATTGTCGAATCAACGTCAAAAGTTATTAATTTTACGCATCGATGCGTATAACGACAATTCGAGTTTATAAAGTAAATTAAATAATATTGCGTATCGTGGTTATAAAAATAAGCACTCTTATTTTTTAGCGTAATTATAATATGTATAATTCAATGTTTTTTTTTTCTTTTTTCTTCAAAGGAAGTCATTCTTACTCTTCGTACCACCCAGACATTTCTCCTTGTTTTATTCCAAACTTTTTCTTGTCGTGGACAAGAATTAGATTAATAACATACTGAAACATACCGTCGTTGCTGCCTCCCTCTTTTTTCAGTGCTCATTAGTGTAATTTAATAACGTTATATTAATAAATATTTCAACACTAATACACAGAACGCAAATAGCATACTTATGTGTACAAGGATAATTAAAAAAAAAAAAAGTTACATATGTTCCATCTGGTAACTTCTGTAAGAGTTACATAAGTTTTTTAAAACTTGTTCTACTTGCGATGTTCGTAACGTCGTTCGCCTATTATAAATACGTCGTGTCGTTTGATAAGTGTTCGAACGCTTGATAAATATTCGATACCTTTTATCTTGTTTCTACAAAATAAGCCCATATTCATACAGCTGTTTGTTTCATAAGAATTTGTAAGACTAAAAATTTAGCTAAAATATTCTCTTTTGTATCGGTTCTTTACTGTTCAAAATAGTTAATATTATTTTATATTACATACTCGTTATATGAATGTTTTTACTTTCCTATTATCAAGTTAGTTAAAAGATATCTAATAAATTAGATTACTTTAGTGAAACTTCATAATATGCAATAATAATACCAAAACGATTTTATATACCAAATATTATTCTGATTTTTATTAAAAGGAAGAAAGACATATTTTGTACAAAAGACCGATATTACAATTAATCTCGCTTTTTGTATTGTTATAAAAAAAAAAAATTTTTATGGAAACAAAATAAGTATATTTCAAAACTACGTCGAGTTTTTACTGTAATATTATTAGTTATATCAATTAACAAATAGGAATGTATAGAATTATTCTTCATAACGAGGACGTATGTAACAACTAGATGTATAATTATAAAAATAAAACCCATGTGTATGTTGTAAATCATTTGACAACCCTTTTGATGCATATATAGAAATAATTTTCGATAATATTATTATTCGTATACTGATAAAGTAATTTTATTCAATGACTGCCAGCTATTGTTAATATTTCGTACAAAACTGTCCTCGTTTGGAACATTTATGTGAAGTAGAAGTCGTGATACCTATGCAAGTTGTCAAACGATCGTAGAAGAACCAATTTTTGTAAAACGTATAATTCATAATAAAGATTAATAACTTTTAATTGAAATTATATATTTTTATATAACTTTTTATTGTTTATTGAAGGTATGTTTATGTTACAGTGGTATCATAACCTTACAATTGTCATCCAAATTTTGTCAAAATGATGCAACAATATATGAAGGAATTAGAACAGGTAAATTGCTGATGAATTATCAAAACAAATTAATTTTATTCACACCGTAAATAATATTTAATATTGTGCTACTATTTTCAGGATCCATTTGATCCTGAAGAATTTGTTGAAAGACTTGCTTGGCGAACAGTAAATGATACTACGAAAGACGGTGGAAAAACATTCTTTGACCCCATGATAGTGCACGAGACGTTTCTGCAAGCAATAAAAGATTTACAGATTTTACAAGAACGTCAACAGAAAAAATGCGACAAGCTTGAAGCGGCATTAAAGGACGAGGAAGCAAGGCACACGCTCGAAATTCTCGAGTTACAAGAAAGAAATAAGCATTCGATCGATTTGTTTCATCAATTAGATGAAAGAATAAATCTTGTTGCTACTAAAGTTTTACATCTAGGTGATCAGCTGGAAAGTGTTAATACACCGAGAGCTAGAGCCGTAGAGGCTCAAAAATTGATGAGACATTTCTCAGATTTTTTAAGTCCTGGACCTTTGACAGATCCTATCTTTACAGATAAGTCATCGGTACTAATGTCTGTTTCATATACAATACTTGTATAATTAGCGCGAATGTTAAATATAAAAATTAAGATTCTTTATTTTACAACAGCTGGATGAAGCAGCCGATGTGATACAGAAGCTCCATCTTATTTCGCAAGAATTGCCCTCAGAGAAATTTGAACATGCCAAGAAAAAGATTGCCGTTAAATACGATGAAATTGAAAGAAATCTTATAGAAGAATTTGTCAGGGCGCATAACAGAGAAGATGCTAATCGTATGAAAGAATTGGCATCAGTTTTAGCACACTTCAAAGGATATTCTCAATGCATAGATGCATTTATAGAACAAAGTCAGATGGGTTCGTTCGGGGGGAAAGATGTTTTTCAAGACGTGATACCTATGTGTACAAAGTACCATAAATTAATGCAACAAGTATTTACGAATCCTGAACAGGTGATGGCAAAGTTCGTGCTAAATATCTATCATTTAAGACTCCAAAAGTATGCAGTTGCTAAATTAGCTGATAAAACTGATTCTGATAAGTACCTCAGAAACTTGTATGACTTGTACACAAGGACTGTAAAATTGTCTACAGAATTAAAAATATTTAATATGGGTACTGATGGCACGTATCTTGTAAAACTCACTAGAAATATATTTCAAAAATATTTGGACACTTACATTACGTAAGTTCATGCAATAATTAATATACTTATAGTCATGGATAGGCATATTTATAAGGCATTCGTCATTTGAATACTTTCTGAAGTACATTTTGCCTATCCCTGCTATAGCTAAACTATACATTGTTTTTAGTATTGAAACGAAAGCATTGCGGGAAAAGTCGGCAGCTCTTCTCATCGAGTATTATGAATCTAAAAATCATCAAAAAAAGCAGTTACAATCTGGTGGCTTCCAAGAATTACGAAGAGACTTACAAGCAGTTCTAAGCGCAAGAACTAACATAAATATTGCTCAGATAGAAAATTATGGCGGGGAGACATTTCTATCGGAAGAACTTGCAATTGCTTTATTACAAAAAAGTAAATTGGCATTTCAAAGATGCCAATTGTTATCAAAGCCTGATGAAGTACCGATAAACGCACTTCAAATTCTAGAAATATTATTGCAGTACTTAATAAGCGAACATGTTGATTATGCGTTAGAATTAGGTTTGCAAAGTGTTCCAATTCCTGAAAGTAGAACCCAACCAGAGATACACTTTTTCAATGTTGTACGTCAATGCAATGCGATTGTACGCCTTTTAGATGAACAATTTAATGACAGTCTCATACCTCTTATCACGTAAAATTCACTTTTATCTATTATACGGCAATATTAGTAAGAGAATATATACTTTTCAAGCATATTTTCTTTCAGGTCGACGCCAAAGCACGGTGATTGTATGTTGAAAAAGAAAGTTGTATTAGATCAAATTGAATTGAAATTAGAAACAGGATTAGACAGAAGTATAAATGCTATCGTTGGTTGGGTGAAAGTATACCTGCAAAACGAGCAACGTAAGACTGATTTTAAACCTGAAAGCGACGTCGATACTTTGAATACTCCAGCTTGTTTAACAGTTGTTCAGTATGTCACCGGAATGATCCGGCACATTCGGAATACATTAGATGGAAAAAATTTAAATAACGTTCTGACGGAACTTGGAGTTCGTTTCCACAAAACTATTTACGACCACCTACAGCAATTTCAATTCAATTCTGCTGGCGCGATGTGTGCGATATGCGATATGAACGAATATCGTAAATGCGTGAAGGAGCTTGAAGTCGATCTTGTTACTTCCTTATTCGATACTTTACACGCTTTATGTAATTTATTACTGGTTAAACCAGAAAACTTGAAACAAGTTTGTACCGGTGATCAATTGGTATGTGTATATGTTAAAAAACATTATAAATTCTTTGACGATTTAAACAGAATTCGTAACTTAATTAGAAGACAATTATTTGTTCATGAATTTTTTTATTGTTACAGGCAACATTGGATCGAAATGTTCTACTGAATTTTATACAATTGAGAACCGATTACAAAACACAAAAACTAGCAAATTGCTTAAAAGGTTTAGCTACATGATACTTTTTTATTTCCTGTAACGATACTCGTGTGTTACTAGTTGGTAATTGAAGTACATTGAGCAAAATGACTGAAACTAGATGTATAGTCAAAATGACGGCATTGCATAAACTAAGGCTTAATAAGCGAAGATGTTGCTTTAGATGTAATAATAATGCTCCATTATCTAATCAGTTGTACAAAATTTCGTTAAAAAAAAAATGCTTTGTTAGCTAATGTGAAATATTAAACAGAGTAGTTTGTTTATTTTTTAGGGTTTGACTATATGAGAAGAAAGATGAATAAATTCTCTTTCTTTTCATAGTTATTTAATAAACATTTATATATGTATGTAGCAAATGTATTAATTTTTATTGGTATATAAGATGGTCATAAAAAATTGCAGTTTTTTTTTCTTTTCTTTTCTTTTTTTTTTTAATAAAGGGTTTCCTTACTTCAAGAGAAATTGGTATATACAGATAGTAATTAAGTATAAAATTCATTGTAGGTATCAAATCGTTTTCGTACCAACTATTTTTTTTTCCCCATTATTCCTAATATAAATTGATATCAGACATTAGCCCAAAATTTGGTAATATATTTTGACATATTATATACCACTTCAATTAAAGCATAGTTTTCTCTGTTATACTAAATCCTGCAATTAATCTACAATGTTGCGAGAGAGTACCTTCATTTTAAATGTATTTCACGCATATATAAGTTTATATTTTGGTTTTACAACTTAATGAATATTTTTATTAAATAAACTGCCTTGTGATCAAAGTAATAATACTAAATTAAGAAAAAAAAAGAAAATATGGAGAAAACGTTAAAATACTGTATCTTAATGACTGTATGGAAAATAAATTTTACAGTACAAAATTTAATATTGTAAAACTAACGCTAGTTAGAACTAAACTAAACCAAAGATGTTAATTAATAGTATCTATGTAATCTTTTTATTTACATGCATACTCGAAACAAACACCATTGCTTATTTAGGATATTATACAAATTAAAATTTGTGTGCTTTCAAGAACAGATCATTCTCTATGCAAGTATAAATCACGCGATTAATTTAATAATTCTCAATTTAGAAAAGTGTGGAAGGGTCTATAAAATATACTACACATTTACATTTACTGTAAACAGATTTGATAATGCAATTTTAAAGTAATATAAAAATGTAAATTTCGTTGCACAATTAATTTTGCTGTATATTAAACTAACCATATATTAGGAATCCATTATATTTTATGAAAGTTATAAAAATGGCTGAATATGTAGTTTAAATTTTTGTTGTAACGACAACATTACTAACTTAAATATTACATATAAAAATTAAGTTAATATCAGTATTTTATTAACGGAAAATCAGTGGACGACAAGTATCACTGATTGATATCGTGCACACGTCTAGAAAGATGCTAATAAAATAAGTAATGCTAAAAATAAGTTCAAACTTACTAGCAAATAAACCAAAATATAATATTAAACACTTTTACTTGTCATAGATAATGTAAATGAGCAGTTTCAAAATGTTCTCAGGAATATGGTGGTACATATATTGTGTATGCCATGAATCGGAACAAAAAATTTTGTTTTAAAATTACGGTACAAAATGTGATAAGTAATAAATGTATTTACTGAAATAAATTGATAACCTTTTTTATGAATAATAATTAAATCGCTAACGATTTAATAGTTTAAATGCACAACTTATACACAACACAAGAAAAGAAAAAAATTAAAATATGCAATACAAAATGGTTAGAAAGAAAAAGAAAAATTTAAATTATCATACACCTACAGGTTTTTACATAAAGTAATATTTTGAAAATATACATTATATGTAATTAAGCTGTGTATTAATTTTATTCTTTTATGGTAAGTTGTATTGCAAACTTAAACGAGATTAACAAAGATTCTGAATGTTCTATTCATTTTCAAATGGTAGGGAAGCCTATAAACTTTCTAGAAGTAAAGATTAAAATCAGTTGTATAACTTGTATCATCCATTGTACCGTACTATTAAACATTATTAAATTATCTAATATAATTCAATAATAATTAAAAGTTCTGGTCTTCTATTTGATTACAGTTTTATGATCCATGAAAATAAAAGGAAGAAGATGAATCATCTGATAGATATCAGCGCATACGATAAGTATTAGTTTCGTGTACTTGGCACAAATCCCCTTTAAAATCCAGTTCAATACTGAAATCCAGATCTCTGTAGTTCCTTGCATTAGGTTTCATTGAAAAGACACCATATATTTCTTCTCCTTTTTTGACAGTCATGTATTCATCAAAGTAGAACACAGTTTGTTTCCAATGAGTGTACTGTACTTCTGGCGCTGTACTAAAACCAATGCGTTTATGGCACTTGGTGAATTCGATGTTGAAGAATGTAACTAGTGCTTGAACATAGTCGTTCCTGCGAACTTGTAGAGTAAATGGCGAGGAAAATTCCAAGTCAGCCTTGGTTACTGTATATAAATCAACTTCCTTGATTAGACATGCATTTGTAACGACTTGTTTCGGATCCACAACGTCCACTAGAGGTTCGCTAATTGCTACTTTTCTTATACTACTCATATCAAATCCATACACATCGTCCCACCAGTTTATCTTCTCATCCTTATATTGTCTGTCTTCGATGCCACAAATAAATAGAGTTGCTTTATCAGGGAATAGCATTCCATCTTCACGAAGCCATTTATCTCTAGCGAAGAGCACTGTGTCCAACATTGATTCGTAAAACAAACAATATCCCATCCATTCAGAAATAATTATGTCGACCTTTTCTACACCATCAGGTAATGAAACTTCTTCAACCTTTCCTTTAAGTATTGTTATGACGTTCGACAACTGATTTGCTTCTACAATCTTTTCAGCATATTCAACAATGTTAGAACATTCAATACCAATAACTTTAGCTGCTCCTGCTTTAGCAGCGAACATTGAAAGTATACCAGTTCCACAGCCAATGTCAAGGACAGTTTTTCCCTTAAAAAGGTGTTTATTGTGGTACATGGAATTACGATACGTTACAGTGCGCACTTCATCCTTTAGCATCTCTTCATGGATTCCATAATGGGCGTACGAATCAAAATAATAATCTCGAGATGTCATATCATCCACAGAAACAGATTCCTTACAAGATGACGGGGTTGCATCTTTATTCGATGTAGGTGTAGTCTCTGTTACTTCCATGGACTCCATTTTTGATGTCTGTAACAATGTAAGTCACAAAAATATATTAATAACGATGTAACGAATTTATATACATAAATTTAGAAGTACATGCAATGTAGATTTTAGCTATTCAAACATTTTCAAACTAAAATTAGATCAAAATTGTACTTGTACTATCATTTATTTAAAGATAAAGGATGTTATATTTAATCAAAGTACAAATGTTGCTTAAAAATTTATTACGAAATATTTAAAATAACGGTTTTACATATACGTGAAAAGAACCTACAATTATCTACAAACACGTGATGTACAATTATTATCTTGAATCAAGAGATATAATTCTCTTTTCGTTTAAATGTAATAAGAATTATTACTAAGCATTATTTACAATGTTATTCATCAGCAATGGAAAATTCAAAAATTCGGAATGTTCGTAGAAAATGGTCTTTTACGCCGACACCAGAGAAACGTACACGTGCCCGCCAAAACGAATGGCGTCTGTTTAAGATCGAGTGTCCAGTTGAAATTCTTCACACTAACACATATTTCTCTAACATCGTGTGACGAGTAGTATATACATGGAATTGAGTGTGGCTTAATTTTTTGTGACAATCTTACGAAATAACTTACAATAATTAATATTTATTTTCGAGAGTAACGGTAATAAAAATTTAAGGAACAGAATCCGGTCTGATCAATCTGTTGCCAAGATCCTCAGTCACAGTGAGAACTATTATGACAAACGACATTCTAACAATTTTTATTTCTGTAAATCTAAACGGTATCATATATTCTTTGTAATAATATCAGTACATTGAAAACACCGTTAAGATGTTCTCTCTATACTTCTATAAAATAAATTTTATAAAACTTACCGAATTTTCCGCTGTGCACATACTACTTTGGTTGATTTCTACCGGCACTTCATTACTCGACGCCATTTTGTTCCGCGTCACAGCAGACGACCATAGGTAGGAACGTATAAAGACACATGGCAAATTACAAATATGATTCTGTCAACAAACATTCCATTAACTATCGAAAATTTGATTAAATTCTGTTGTCAATTTGTTTCAGGTATTTTACCAGAGTGTTTACATGAATTTATTTATTATTTTCATTAATTTTCTTATAAAAATTAATCGTTATTGTATAAATGTATAGTTGAAAGCTTATCAAATGATGCTAATAACATTTTTATACAAATCATACAAATGTATAGGCTTATTGTTAATCCGAAAGATCCAAATAACGATATGTGTATTTGTATACATATACATATAATGTATAATAAGTTGATTTTATAATCATACGTGTGTACGTATTACAAAGCCAGAGTGACCATTAGTACTGTAACGAACAATGTCACTCTTTATTTAAAAAATAATACAAACGTTTAGTATGTACTACCACAACAAAAATTTAAATTCAACATGTAATATTTTCTCGTACATATGCATATACATCGTTTATATTCATTTTGGTATCATTCGTTCGTATTTGCATCGATGCACGAAAGTTGTAACCAATTTGTTTACAGCATAGAAATTATGTAATGCTCTGTAAAATACATCGTACCAATTATTTGACAAAAATATCGATTTTCGAGTAACATTTTATTCTATAAACTAGTGCTCACGTAAATTTTTGTCTATCTTATCTTTTTTTCAAACTGCCATGCGGTACGTACACAGGAAATTTTAATATTAAATTCGTGCTCGTATCGAGACTACAAGTAAGTACTTACACTTCTCTCTGAATACTTAGAAGAAATGATTACCGAAATCGCAATGCCGTTAACAACATTGATACGTCCCTGTCGTATGCGCAGTGCGGTTCCTTTACACTTTTAATTTTCACGTTAAACAGATAATTATTTATTTCAAAAGTTCGCCGAAAAATCGTATTTCATTTATGTAATTGTATATTTGTCAAAATCATTGATAATTCAATGTCAGAACAATATCTTTAATTTCTTGTCTTTGCTCGGTTGTTTTCAGAGAGTGCAAAGACATCGTCCAATAGGAGTCGAGTGGCTAGCTGACAAGTTGCGTCGGGGTGGAAATGGGCAGGGAACAGGAGCTTGTACGCATTCGGGCCGTGAAGTGTTGGTTCCGCGAAGGGGGTCAACTTCTGTGTCTTCGTGATCTTTCTCGTGTTATTACTTTCGACGAAATAATACAAACTCAATTTTAATGTCTTTTGCGTACCAGTGTCTTAAGATTATTTATATGGGGATCGTGGAGCGCTAGAAGATGCTGGTAAGGAAACAGGCGGGAGAAAAGTTGACGTAGAAACAAGTGCGCAAAGATTGTATACTTTAGTTCTCTTTTTTTTTTTTTTCTCCCTCTCACTTTGTCGTATTCATCGAGAAAGTAAAATCGGTGCTTTTGTTATGTAGTTACAACGCTTTCACAGGTCATTTACTTCGGACGAATGTCTCACCTAAAGTACCTTCGAGGTTACAACTATTACCTGGTGTCTGAGAATTCGACAGGCTGTCATGAACGGAGCGGAGTCCGTTTTGAAAACGTGGTTAAGATGTCAAAGTATGAGTTTTATTTCAACGAAACACCTTCGTACGAACGTCTTTATTTATCGTAGATTACTTCGGTCGGAAATGATCTTCTGTACCTGCAAGCCCATGAATCGCCTACATAAACAATAGTTCATCATAGCAAGGCAGCTGGCATTTTTACGGCCTTTGTGACTGTTTTTTTTATTATTCATGTTCTTTTCTCCCAATAATATCAACCAAAACGAAATCCAACACATTACCACGACAAAGTTAAATAATAATATGACAGATTATAATATAGCGTTAAAAGATAAAAAACAACGAAACATAATGTACTTGAAGTTTTGTTAATATTGTGGAATAGTACGTAGGATATTTAAATTTTCTTCTGTACATATTTCTTTTTTGCAAGGAAGAAATGGGTATATAATGATAACATGGAAGTATGTCATAAAGAAAAATGTTATCGACAATAGTTGTTATATATATGTATATAAGTTTTTCTTTTTGTTACAGGGAGACGATCCACCGTACCTATCAGTGGGTACGGAGGTTAGTGCTAAATACAAGGGTGCCTTCTGTGAAGCAAAAATTAGGAAAGTGGTACGATCGGTAAAATGCAGAGTGACTTATAAACAAGGTTTGGGCACTGCGACTGTAGCTGATGACCAGATAAAAGGAACTTTAAGAGTAGGTACATCCGTCGAAGCCAGACACGGGGATCGGAAAGAATTTGTAGAAGCTACGATCACCAAAATCCAAGACTGCAGTCAATATACTGTAGTTTTTGATGATGGAGATATTACAACATTGAGGAGAACTGCACTTTGTTTGAAGAGTGGGCGACATTTTGCAGAGAGCGAAACTTTGGACCAACTCCCTTTGACTCATCCAGAACATTTTGGGAACCCAGTAATTGGGGGCAGAAGAGGACGGCGGTCTAGACAAGCACAGTGAGCGTTGTGAAGTCATTTGCCATATAGTTCTTTGAGAGAATTTGAGTCAATAACTGCAATAACAATTTGGTGTCGTAGAGATGAAAGTAGCGACGATGAAGATAGCCCTCCGCGGGGAACTCGTGACTCAGGTTCTAGTGGAACTGGGAAAGAAGGAATGGAGACAGAACCTGAGATCGGACGGGTTGTATGTGTGGAACTTGGAGATAAAAAGAAAAAAGATAACTGGTTCCCTGGGTTAGTGGTTGCACCAACGGCTCAAGATACAGTGAGAATTCGAGTGAGAGATGACTATCTCGTGCGATCGTTTAAGGATGCACGATAGTAAGTTTGTCTTGTGTTTAAATAAATTTTGTAACAAAATAAAATTCCCATTAAGTTACTTGGAATATGTAATAATAGATAGATTAAGTACAGATGTAGTATTAGAAATGAAAAATTCATTTAATAATTTTCTATTGTATCATTAAAGCTTTATTTACATGTTTAGTTATACAGTTCCAAAGAAAGAAGCTACTGAATTTACGAAAGAACTTGTCAACAAAGTTGAGAACAGTACATTGAAGGTTGCAGTAGAGAAGGCACTGCTATTTTTAGAAAAGAATGAGTTGCCTCCCCATTGGGACAGGGATTCTCTTTTTGGACATTCTGTATCAAGTGGAAACAGCGATTCCGATAGAGAACTTGATTCGGATGTAAGATTTTATTTGAACTCTTCGTTATAAATAAATTTAATTTGCCACGTTAATAATTGTAATTGCGATGCTCTTCACTTTTCAGAGTTCAGACGATGAACCGCGCGAAGAAAAAGATCATTTTGTGGCACAATTATACAAATTCATGGATGATCGTGGAACACCTATTAATAATTGTCCAATGATTGGATCCGAGGACATAGATTTATACAGATTATTTCGAGCTGTCTATAAATTGGGAGGTTACAATCGCGTCACAAATCAAAATCAATGGAAATTGATAACGCGTCGTCTGAGCTTTACGATGCAAAATTCCCCCTCTACGCACAATTTGGTTAAACAGGCCTACAAGAAATTCTTGCACTCGTTCGAAGATTTTTATAGAAAATTAGGTTGTACTATGGTGAATCATCCAAGGGGTTCAATACGTAAGCAACGTCCTGGTAGAAGTCTGATTAGGGATAAAGACAGAAATACACCGGTACCGCCGCAAGTATCAGTCGTTAAAAACGAAAAGGAGGAAGAAGATAAGAAAGTCACGGAGGATGAAAAGAAGGAAAAGAAAGAAGTTAAAAAGGAATTGGTGAAAGAAGAAGAAATTATAAAAATTAAGAAAAAGGATGAGTTTGAAGAAAGCGGTAGTGGGCAGGAAAGCGATGTGAATATAGAAGGCGAGGCAGAATCATCCAGTAGCGAAAAATCTCAAAAAATTTCAACGTCTTTAACGCTGCAGAATAGAGGCAAGTCTAAAAGTAAAGAGGATCCAAAAAAGAAAGTTATAGATAAGAAGAAAAATGAACCCAAAAAACAAGAGAAAAAGGATGACAAAACAAAAGAAGAAGAAGCTGCTAAAACGAGATCTAAATCTAAAGATGACACTGTAAAAAGTAAAACGTCTTCAGAAACTAGGGAAACGCGAACTCCATCCAGAGAATCGGAAAGAAAAGTTCTGACGAAACAGAGACGTCTAACGGACGAGGAATTGAAAAGACGTGGGCGAAAGCGTAAAGAATACGAGGCAGAGAAATTACGTTCCGATGAACAGTTAGCAGATTCCGCACCTTGCTACAAGTGTCCTATAGAATTAGGGGATAGATTAAAGGTATATTACGGACCTACTCACGAATCTAAAGTCACTTACGAAGCGAAAGTTATTGACATGGAAAAGGTTGGCGTAGAACGAACATATCTTGTTCATTACACCGGCTGGAATACAAGATACGACGAATGGATTAAAGCATCAAGAATAGCACAGAATTTTACACAAGCTCAAGGTAGAGTAAAACGTATTAAAGCTACTTCGCGACCACAAACTCCCAGTACGAATTTATCTAATAATGTGAACAAATCGTCGAAAATTGTTTCTAACGCAAGTTCGTCTCAAAGTCGTCGTCGAGCACAAAGCGTAGCACCTACGACAACGTCGGTTGTTTCTTCGACGTCTGTGAAGGAACTAAAGAAAGAAGAAAAGGATAAAGAAGCGTCCCAACCAGCTAGATCTACAACACCACTGTCTGTTACAAGTTCCAGTTCCAGAACTAAAAGTCCAGCAACGCCAGCAAACAATAGGCAGACACGAACAACAAGAAATACCGATGTGTCCGGTGTGGAACATCGAAGACGTACGAGAAGAATGTCAGGGCACACGGATATATCAGTCGCGTCAGAAACTGAAGATAGCGAGGTATACGATTCCGACACCACGGAACCAGAACAAACAAGAACCAAATCTAAAGGTACGGACGAAAGAAAACGTAGAGAAGCAAAATGTAGAGCGGAGGATAGAATAAAGCCTGATGAAACCAGCGAAGGTGAAGAAGATAAAGATAATATGGAGGAACCACGTAGAGCTAGACGTTTAAGAAGAGCAATCGGTAAATCACAAGGTATAAAATCCGAACCGGATAGCGACGAAGAACAACCTAAAGGTCGAGATTTCGATTTAAATCAAATACGATCCGAACTAAAAGGTTTCGACAAAGCGGTGAAATTAGAACTCGTCAGAGTTGAACCTGACCCAGAAGACGAGATAAAACTAGAAGAAAACGAGAACATTGTTTTAGTTTCACCGAAATTGGAGAAAAATTTGGAACCGTCGAAATTAGAAACAACTCCCGAGTCTAAGATAATAGATAATACAGAAGATATTTATGAATTTAAGGAGCCGGAACCGTTTGAATTTGAAGTGCGAAATAAACGAGACACAAGCGGGGAAAAGGACAAAGTCAAAAAGAGAGTATTCGAAGAGGAACCAAAAAGTCCTAAAAAGAAACAAAAAATGATCATGTCGCCGGTCATGAAAGAAGTCAAGTCGGAAATAGATAATGATTCACGAAAGAAAGCGAAGAAATTATTTAGCAAAAGGATCGATGATATTATAGAAAGTCCACCTGCTCACAAATCATTACAGTCTACATCATCGACAACAACGTATGAAGAAGCATTTGATAAACTTTGTGAATCATCACCATTTAATCAAGTAAAAGTTACACCTATTATTAAAGAAACGGACAAAATAACTAACGGCATAGATCTTTTGTTTAGCGATTTACCCGGTGACGATGATGGTGCTCACGACGATTCGGAAGATCGCTTGATAATATCAGAGGCAGAAGTTTCAGAAGCGGAACAAGAAAACTTATTTACTTATCAGCAAGAAATGTTTCCTGCCGGCGACATGAACGACTCGTTGGAATCTAGTAAAGAGGATTCAAATCCACAGATTGAATCTGTAAGGGAAGAGTTAACAACAGTTTCAAGTAAGCCGGATCTATCAATGGATCAAAAGGAAACTGTTAAGTTGTCTCCGTTGCATAGACAATCTCCAGAATTAAAAACACTTGATACAAAATTATTAGAGATCACACCTGTTTTATCTCCTGTTGTAGTAGTTCCAGCACCAATTAGCGCAAGATTGCCAGCCACGTCTTCGATAGAAGAGAAACTTTCAGCCGCAATGGCTTTCCGCAATAAAATAAAAGATATTAAAAAAGACGACGAAATTCCCGAAGTTGTATGGAAACCTTCAAAAGAAATTTCCAAGAAGTTAGATACTATAATTGTACAGAAAACTAAAGACGATCAAAGTAGGCCTAAAATAGACATTGAGAATAAAAAGCGGGATGAGGAAGAAGCTGCTATGAATAGCGAAGAGCAGTGTAGGGAAATAATGCGTGTGGTGATTAAGCAAAAAGAGGAAGAACTTCAACAACTTAAGCTGAAGAAAGAAGTAGAGCTGAAGAAGTTTGTCGAAACAAAAGCGGAACACAAGAACATACAAGAGGCCGGAGAGGAAGAATGGAAACGCGTGGAGAACGAGGAATCGAAGAAGTTGGATGACGAATTTAAAGAACACGACTTTAAAGAACAGGAAAAAGAGAAACGTAAGAAGATAGTTAGTCAAGAAATAGTGGATTCTGCGGACAGTAGTGATTCCGAGCAGAGGCTAGTCATTGATAACGGGGAACCCCAAGATGTAAAAACACCATCAAATTTCGATGTTAAATTAAGAGCAGAATTGGATAGACTCCAAGATACGCAGGAGAGGTATTCAAAATTACAAACGCAAAAGTCTATGCAGCATTTAAAGCATCAACAACAAGAATGCATTGCCGAATGTAAAACTGAGAGTATACCTGTTATAAAAGCGGACGAGGAAGGAGAGGCGATTAATTCCTTATTATGCGAAGAAGAAATACCGGGCTCACCGGCGCCAATTTCTGAAAGTATTGAACAAATAAATGCCGGTCCATCCTGTTCTCCTCCGAAAGTTGAAACATCGGAAAGTAGTATAGTACTCATGGAAATGCCGTTTGCTAGTGCACCTACTTCCGGTCAAAGTACAACCAGCAGTACCGTGGTTACATTGAGCATGGCACTGCCAAAGACTGTAGAAACATCCGTTCCAGTTTCTTTGCCGATGCAACAAAATCCTACTCTAGGCGTGAGACAACAATCGCACCATCAACATTTGCCCGCGTTAATGCCTGCACAGAGACGCGAAAGCAACGAAGCAGCGCCCGTAATGGACAATACCCCTCCGACCACGCCGGACTCTAGTATTTCCAATATCTCTGGATCGCCCAGAGAAGAAAGAACAGGTGGTTCCTCGCCAACGTCCGAGGATAATATGAAACTCAATCGTGAAAGTTCCGAAGCGGACAATGATAGCGGTGGTAAAGGTCCTGGATTCAGCGAAGACGATACATTGCCAACCGTTGAAGGAAACTCGGCAGATAGAATATTGAAACCACCAGCGAAACGATCCGTCGAAGAAACACAGTCTCCGAAAAAACGCAAGAGAAGTAGAAAACATTCAGAATGTGAGAAAAATACTACGAAGAAAACCGGACGGCACAGTGGTAGACATGGTAGACATGGTGCTGGCAGCGATAGCGACGATACGAGCGAAGGTTCCAATTTATGTGGAGTTAACTCAACACCTGCAAATCATACGAATATCGCTGCTACCGTTGCCGATCTTAGTAATTATTCGTCGAGATCACCACGGCCCACAAAATATAATTTCTATGTGGAATTAGGTAAAGTTTATACATTTTTTTTTAAAAATAGGGCACTATTTTTTTTATAGAAGCAGATTTGATATTGTTGTATTATAGATCCTGAATTGGATGGAAGTCAAAGGATAGCTGTATTGCAGCAAAAATTAACTGAATTACGTAAAACGTACAATGCCGTGAAAGTTGAACTCGCCGCTATTGAAAGACGCAGAAAAAAATTAAGGAGAAGGGAACGCGAAGGTAATTATTTAGCATATTTCGTACAAATATGAACGGAATTTGATTGAATTTTATTTCAGCTATAAAAGCAGCCAAAGCAGAAATGCAACAGGCCTGTTCGTGATGAGCTGCTTTAAAACGTTCTATTTCACTTAACGTGCGCTAAAGAAAAACTTTTATACAATACCGGGAGATAATAGAGTAGCATCATTATATGGACAACCTGCAATCGCAGCAGACTTCATGACAATTTTTATCTACCTAACATCGCTTAGGTAACTTTTCCCCCACTAATATAAATTGTAGATATAGATATAAGATTTAGTATAAAGGAGGAACATTTATCAGAATGAAAATATATATTCATATATGCTTTATGTTGTACATTGTTTTGTCAAGAACGTAATGTGGCTGTTAAAAAATCTTTATCCTCAATTTGTCATTTCACCTGCTCAGATGCAAAGTACAAATTATCGAACTTGATGATCATTTCATCGTTCATTCTTCTTTTTTTAAGAAAAGGCTGAGAAAAACGTTACCGATAGTATGTTATTATAAAGACATCTTGGGAACAAATAATTGTCTAAGCCGTCTGTCATTTCTGTTTCGAGCATAGCTTGTAGCACCGTTGGCGGTTGAGCTGTTTTCAGGACGATAAAATAAAGACATCATTACACGCGCGAGTGCAACAACCATTATGTATTTTCTAGGATAGAAAATTTGTATATATTAGTAGTAGTAACGTATAGTGGTTTCCAATATACGTATGTACGTAAATATAATCGTAGGCGTCCTTACGATTAAAAATTTTTTTATTTAAATAAAACGTTACAATTTGATGTGGATTTTAAAGTAATAAGAAAATGATCATATTGAAAGCAATGTTCGTTTGTACGTTAACAAATGATTGTACATTGACAGCGCATGTGAGATATAGCACAATTTTTAACTTCTAAAAGAGGGATAATTTTAATTTATGTACATAATATACATGAATAAAATATCGTATTATAGTTGTTCTAAAATACGAAACACTAAAGTTTATTGTAATTAACAATCACACTCGTAATTGAAAATAAATTCCCTGACAAAGTGCATAGAATTCAGTTCTTGACTATGCAATTGTCATGAATGCAGCTCAACAAAATTAATAAATTTACAGCCTTTTGCATTATATCTGAAAAAATTGCTGCCATTGTGCTTTAATCATCACGTAGGTATTAGACGTTCATCGTCATATATCATAATTGGTCAAAGATGCATTTATATTTGTATTTGGGTGTCAAGAGTACCCCAGGTATTAATAAATAAAAAAGAAAACAAAAAAGTTAAACTTAAGGAACAAGTCGCAGAAAACGAAATCAAATACCCTGAATGGTGGAACTAAATTTGTACGAAAACATGTTGGCTGAAAAGAGAATGAAATTTTATATAGATATATATTATATATTTTTTATAAAAAAATCAGTCGTGGACGTGTTTTATAATATCGGACAACATAGTCGCACACACTGATTGCGGGAAAGAGGAATGAAAATTAAGACTTGGGCTCCGCAAATCTTTGTACATATTTTACATTGTGTGTGTGTTGAAACATTCATAAATCAGATTTCAGTAGTTGTTTATCGCATATGGATATAGCTGCGCATATTATTGTATAATGGTTTCAGAAGTCTTGCAGTAGCACATGCTATACACGTTTGTTTTAAGAAGTTCAGAGGATGTGTATCGACACTTATTGTGAATTTTACGAATTCGATGAAACAGTAAACGACAGAAAATCTATTAAACTCCATGAAAGCTGATATAATGAAACTATAATATTTATGTTACTATTTTCTTCGTATTACATTTTATTTTAACATAACATAATGAAGTTGCATAGAAAGTATATGGAACTATTTCATTTCCAAAATTAATGACAATAACAAATATTTGTAGGCAGCCAAATACAAAGAAGTTTGATAAAAGTGCAAGATAATAGACAACGGTATTGCGATGTGAGTAATACAATGTTAGTCGATAATAGGATTCTAGATTTTGTTTTAATAGAAAATCATTTTGTTCTACAAAACTTCACTTAAGCATTACATGCCTTGCAATATTTTAGTTACACTTTTTTGCATAATAAATAGTATTGTAATATTATTAATTGTACATAAAAGTTCTAGTACATAGTTCTAGGTGAGATAACTTCTATTCACTTGCAGGGTAAATAAAATAAATAAATATACCTGTCTCAAGCAGGTATTGAATATATGTATGTATACAAGTCTGTTATACTATTATCATTTTTTCATTGTTTTATTTTTGTTTGCACGCTACATTCAAGCAATGTATTAATGAAAAAACGTTATGATACTGATGTTAGCAACAGACTGTACAGTATTGGCTCTATGTATAAAGACATTATTATATGTATATTTAGTCACAGATACAACAAATTTATATTATCTTTACTCAAGTGACGGTTCACAGTATACTTGAAAAGGCAAAATAAAAAAAAGTTATATTTCATGGATAGTTTTGAAATCTCTAAAAATGTGCAACAATAATGTTTGAGTGACAAACGCATCCTTGTCTTCTAAAAACAAATTTTCTCCCTGTAAATCATGAATTACACGTGAGATAATAAATATAGAAAGCACAATGTGGATTGTGTCGCCAACAAGTAATATTGTTCCACATAACATTTAATTGTGTTAGTGAATATTGTTAAGAAATAAATCTTATCTTAACAAATTATAGTAGTCATTTACCCTTGTATCACAATTGAGATTCTTAGGTTCTTAAATATGACAATAAAGTGTAAATTATCGTAATCAATTAAAATTCTATGCTTACAAATTTTTATACATTATTTATTATATTGCAACTTGAAAGTGGACATTAAAATTATGTTAAACTTTGCACAATAATGCATATCGGTATAATACAATTATGCAAATATTCTTGTTATCATACTTTGTACCATATACATGTAGTGTTGTGACATTTTTAACTATTGCTACTAAATTATGAATAGAACGCAAATAATATAATGTACAATAATATTGGTAATTTTGTGTATATGATACATAGTGCTAGTAAAAATTTTGTTAACTAATGCCCCTTTTTTTGTTTTCTTTATATATTCGATTGTTTCGTCTGATATCTAATAATCTAAGAAATTACTTGAATACACCTATCTACTTTATTTATCTTTGTACACCAGTAATATGGATACATTGAAGGTACAATAGTATCAAGGACCGTTAAAAAAATGCCTGAAAGTATTTTCTACTAAAAATAATACAGAATACATAAAATAAAATATAAATTTAATTATTTTAACGTTATTGCGTATGCCCAAATGTATTTACGTTTTAAGCATTATTTGTATAAATATATTTCATTTTATTATCGCTCATTACCAGTCAAGAAAAAATACGTTTCATTATTTTCTATGAATACTCCATTATGTTGTATAAAAGAGAAATATATAGTTTATATTATTATTGTGTCGGTATTAATAAGTTGCGATAAGCCAATGAAGAAACTAAAAGATTTTCTTCTTTGTCGAAATGATTTGTTAAGATTTCAAAAAGAGTAAATCGATCAGATAGTTTTATAGATTACCATATAAATTGGTTTTTTTTTTTATACCTGTTTCTTTGCTTAACAGTTTCATGTTTTTCTAGTAATAAATTACTAAAGTAATGCGACAAGATATAGAAAATGTTTAATAGTATTGAGTGAGAAAATCTTCTGCTTTCGATTCTATATGTCAACACGGGGGTGGGCTAGATGTTGGTGCAGTATCAACAGTTTGTGCGGATGATGATGCTACTGTCGATGGTTTATTCTCTGTAGTGAACCTTCGTTTAGCAAACATAAATTGCTCCATTAATCCATGATGAGCTTCTAGCAGTTCAATACAATGTAGACATGCTGTTTTTGGTAATGGATCATTCATGTCTACCTGTATAACAAAAGGGTAAAATCTTATGCACCTAGCCTAAATATAAATTATTTGTCAACATTATTACCGTTATATAGTTTAAAATTAATATTGATAATACAGGCTCAATAATTTTATTTTTAAACAATTTTAACGAATAATAATATCGCAATATTTTATAAGTGTACAAGAAAAAAAGACTTATTATTGTAATATGATATTTTATTATTATACAACTACTACTGTTGGGTGCTCATAATTCATAATCATACATATGAAATATAAATTGAAAAAAAAGTCGACAAATGTAATTTGGATAAGATGAAATCGTAACCAGTCGTGTACAGTGTCTGATGCAACGAATGAAAATTTAATTAAGGACTCTAAGAATGTTGAGATGATAAAAGTAGACTATGATTTTACCGTAATTGGAAGATAAGCATTTATTTTCTCCGCGAGTTTCATTCTTTCACCCTCTTCGCCGTATATGTGAATCACGAAACGGTTCATCTTACTACAAAGTCTGCATATAAATCCCGTGATCACGGCTTTATCCGTGCTACCCATTTTGATTGTATGCTTGTGTTTATTCTTTTTGATATAGCACTTATCAACACCCTGTGATCCGTCACATACGTCAATAACTTCACGCGCAAGTTACTTTTCTATAAAATCTCACAAGATGTTGTGCTTCCTTCAAGATTAAGTTTGTTTATCATAGTTCTGGACACTGGCGCTACTAGCACGGTATTCTACTCTCTCACCAGGACCGTGTACATATGTATATTAAAATGTATATTTCCTCATATTATTGCAAATAGCATACGTGATAGTAACGTTATTATTTTCGTTTAAGTATATTATATTTTGAAGTCGCTTAATATTTTGACAATTAATAATTGCAGTGAAAACTCAAGAGGATATAACTGAACTTTCAAACAGATCATTAGAGATTTATTTTTTCGATTTATCGAAAGTAATTGTTTGTCAAAAAGAATAGGATTTCTATTTATTGGTTACATTTAATTCGTACAAACAAAATAAAAAAGCATTTTATGTTAAAAAATAAAGTTTACTTTTATATTTTCTTAAATTCTTGATATTATAGTTTACATTTCATAATATAATAAATTTCAACGATGATCTCTTATCGGTAAAAACTTAATTGTTTTTGTTCCTATACACTATTATTTACTAATTAATATTACAATCTTATATTTATTGACGGTATGATGTATATTCATTATAAACGATAAAAATGCGGTATTATTGCAGTTATAAAAACGAGAAACATGTTATGATTTTCAAATGATAATGATAAAATGGAATATTTTATTGGCACTGTTTTCGTACATCACTTAAGGCAATAATTCTTTTGTTCATAATACTATTGCTGTTTAAAGAGCTCGCATGAATATTTAAAATATCACATTATTTCGATCAAATATGGCGGCGATCAGCTGTCTTCTGTCATAATGACATTCATATTGATAAACAGTAGATTAAGCATTTTTAGGATATCATTTGAATAAGTGTGATCGTGGATTGAGATAATTACGTTAAATTCTTTGCCATTATCATATTGTTTTATGTAAATATAAAGAATTTTGAAAAATAAAAAGATATTCACCGTTGCTCATCTGAAGTAAGCGGCAAGTGAATGCAGCTGCGTAAAAAAGCAATATGGTGACTAACGAATTAATCAACTGTTGAGGATAATCAGGAATACAAATGTTTAATAATATTACCAACTTTTGGGATGGATGGTGGTGAAGTTGAGTGATGAACTTAACGTGATTAAAAGCCTTTCAGAGGCTAAAGAGAGGAAACCATGTGCGATGTGTGTGTTGACTTTCACGACCTTCTGCTCTCCTGTAAGCAAAATATATACAATATCTTTCGTGTTAACCTATTATACTCTGTTGCATGTTGCGAACTTTTACTTTCGCAACGTCAACTAACTATTCAGCGTAAACGATCTAACGATTACATATCGCATAAAAAAGTATCGAATTCATATTTACGTGTAATTTTTTCAGCTACAATGTTTCGTTTATAGCATTACAATATAACCTTAACTCTTATGTGCAGTCCTAAGGCTTATTGTGTTAACCGATGCACGAATACACACTTTAGTATTTTAATGCTAAAATAAAGCCATATTTCATTATATTATGTTATTTAAAGTCGTAATTAATATTAAAATTGTACGACATACAAAAGTAGTCTATAGTGGATGATACAATGATTGTTTCAAAGAATATTTATTGTATCTACTTCCAAATGTTTTTCATTTTCGAATTTCTATTTTATGTTTAGATGATGAAAGGTCATCGAAGGAACAAGATGGATTGGCCACTCTTTGTATTTCGGATGTGGATATAACACTGCATTATGTTAACCAATGGGTGCAGAGGTCTGATTACATTTTCATTCTCTACAACATATACGATAGATATACAAATGTGTATAGACCTTGAACAACAGTTCTTTAGTTTTATTTTGAAAGAACTGTTTTGTCTTTACCATTTTAGGCAATGTATGTGCTGTTATCGAGAAATAAAAAATTTTGATCGATTTATACGATTAACGCAAAGTGTTGTGTTATGCACGTTGCAACAATTACAAATTATACAACAAAATGGACAGCAGACGAGCGTCGGGAAAACACTACCCAAAAATGAAAAAGAAGAAGAAAAAACAGATGAAGGAAAGGCTGACGATTCAGATTTTGCACAAACAGAGATGCAAACAAAACAAAATTGGTCTCAACAGGATAGAGAAAAATTATTCCACCTTCTCTCGAAAATATTTTTATTAAATTTTCCTCTTTATATTGCAATGAAGCATGGAGGTGCAATTAATCCTTTGGCTCCGATAAAAGTAACGCTATATCATTTATTATCATATGTAAAGATTATATTCGTTTCAGAGAAATTATGTATTATCTTTTACTGTATTTAAAGGACGAAGGAGGATATTGCGAGCCCCACGATCCAGAAGTACCAGCTCCTTTAATTAGGGCAGTTTCCATATTTTGTCATCAAGGTGGCTTTAATTTAATGTCGGCATGTTTTGATATGGAAAACACTCTGCCCGTTAGTCTTGCGCACTCCATGGTTGCAGTGATTTGTAATTTGAAACTTTGGTTAAATTATGGTAGTGTTATTCAGCTGTTTATACCTTTACGCAGTCGTGTTATGAAGTATATGTGTCGCTTAGGAGACAAAGAATTACGCACACTTGCAGTTAGAACAATGGCAGGTAAATTTCACAGTGAATAAGATGTTAGTATTTTAATGTATATATTCTTGTTTTTTTCTTTTTTTGTTTATTGTAAATGTGTCATTTTCTTTTAAATTTAGATTTCATGTGGAGCGCTGTAAAGGATCCTATTGATGCCGTTTTACCAAGTTTCGATCGCGATGGATTGGATCTAGCATTTAAATATTTTACTAGTACAACATTAACTATGAGACTAGCAGGAATAGCTCAGATAAATGCTCATATCACTGCATTCAATGAACTTTGCAATAGCGAAACTGTCGCTGAAGTGGAACAAGTCGGCCACGCATTGGCTGCTTGGTTAACGGAAAATAATATAATAGCTCATATATTTGGACCAAATTTGCATGTAGAGGTTATTAAACAAAGTCACATTGTATTAAGTTTCTTAGCCATGGAAGGCAGAATCGCATCTTCGGACATGGACACCATGTGGCAAGCTGCACAATTGAAACACTGTGGACGCCCAGTATATGATTTGTTGGCACCCCTAGTAAAACATTTGGCCCCGACTCCAGTACTACATTTATACTCCTTATTAGGCAAATTAGAGCCAAAGGACCACACAGAACAAAGTTTATTCTTGGCATCTGCTTTGATCAAATTTATTTGGACAGCAGGTGGATCAGGTTATCCAAGAGGTTTAACTATAAAAAATAGAGACATTTTAAGAGGCGCCAGCGGTGTCGGTGGCAGTAGTACTAGTGATCCTAGCGGAATGGATGGAAGTAGTCCGGACGAAGACGAAGAAGAACCTAGTCCTGCCCCATCCGAAGGACCTTCGCCAAGGAAACAGGCAAGAGGCGACAGCAGTGACGGAGAAGGTATGTTGTATACAAAAACAAGGTTTCTTTTTGTCTTTAAATTTGTATAAATTAAGGTATAAATATTAATAGGTCCTTTCAAAGTAAAAAGTGTGGGTACGACGGTTGTACAGACAAGCTTAAACGAAGCAGAAGGTTCTGCATTAGAAAAATCCGAGTGTAATTCCGAACCGATGAAAGATTCGGCGTGCGCTGTACAAGACGATATAAAAGAGAAACAAAGTGGTTCGGACGCAGAGGCGGATACAGAAAAATCTAATGCGGAAGAAACGATTGCAATGGAAAAGAAAAAAAGGAAAGTCTTAAGGAAACGAAAAAAGCCACAGAAACGTTCTTTAGTTACTATGGATAAAACATTCGAAGACATAGTCAATCAAGAAAGTGGTATGAAAGCTAAAGATTTAATGTTGGATATAAAGAATAGAGCGGAGGACGTTTTGAACAATACTTTGGATTCGAGTGGATTAGCGTCTTTAGATGAGCCGAAAGATGTCGATGCGCTCGATCGCGTAAAACAGCAGGCGATGGCTTTGGATCCAAGCGATCAACAAGTCCCAGCAACGGCCGCGCTATTGAGAAGAGCTAATAAAAATAAGTACATGTCATTGGTTGGACATAACGTAGATCGAGCCCCGGATTCTGCGGATACTTCGCACGATGAAGACGATAGTGACGTAGCTGGTGTTCTAGCTGCGGCAGATGGACCTAGTGCTGTTATATCCGAACTTGCTGGTTTAGTACATGCGACAGGACCGACATTTTTACCTTCAGGTTTAGACGAAATGCTTTCGGACGAAGAAGGATCTTATAGTAGTAGAATATCAAATAAAAGTGAAAAGAACATGGCAGATTTTGACGGAGAGGAGAGTGGTTGTGAAGAAGAATTAGCTCAATTAGCGGCGCGTCATTTAACGGCTATACAAATGCAAGCTTATCATTCTCATCCAACAATGACTATTAGACGGTCCGTTTGTCGCCCTCCGCAGGTGAGGAGTGTTCGTCAAACAGTTACACGCGTTACTTCCCAATTCAATTTGGATACCGTGTGCAAACCCGGAAGTACATTATTATGGGATCTGTTGCAAGATGATAAAATTGGCCACTTAGGAGAAGGTTTAGCTTTGGAAGCTGAAAAGGCATTATGTAATCTCCTTTGTTTTAATGTTGATCGTTTAATACCTATGAAGTTCATAGAAGGTTCCTTAGAAAATCTTGCGACCAATCGTTCTGTGGTTGTGTCCCTAAGACTATTACCTAAATTACTCGCCAGTTTTCAACAGTTTGGCGCAATGGACGCGCACACGATAACTACATGGGCGGACCGTGAACGTGGAATGATGAAACACTTTTTCAATAATCTAAAGACGTATACTAGCACAGGGCCAAAAAATAGTTTGTATTCTCATCAAACGGAAATACAAGTTAGATTACAGTTTTTATCTTCAATTTTTTCACCCCTGGGTTCGCCCGATTGTTTTCGTCTAAGCCTTGAACAAGTAGACATATTATGGCAGTGTTTGTCACAAGATCCGACGTGTGCGGACGAACTCTTCAGTTGGTTGCTTAGCCAAGCAAAGTCAACGGAACAACACGCTCTTGGGATGGATACGCTTAAACACTTATGTATGCGCAAGTTACCAAGCTTACCGCCTGAAACAATCAGTATGACTGGCCTTAGTCTTTTCCAACAATTGTGCAACTTGGCTCGTTTAGCTGCTGCACATTTGGATAGACCTTTGAGAGACGTGGATTCAGTTGGTATGGATTTCTTATGGAGAATCGCTCTGAAAGCTAAAAGTACGGACGTTAGTATGGCGGCTATACAATACTTAAACGGGTATTATATGTCTAGGCAGCTGACACAAGAAGCAGAGTTTGTTTCACAGTGTATGACCCATCTTGCTGCAGCTAGCGCTGATTTAGAAACGAACGAAGAAGCTAGTTTACGTTGCATACAAAGAGCTTTGTTATTGCTGAGAACGCACTTGGAAGCGTTCCGTAAACGGTACGCGTATCATTTACGTCGCTGGGTATTGGAGGGTAGAGGTGCTGGTAGTCACGTAGCTATGAACATTTCGGAGAAGGGACAACAATTAAGAATATTTGTACAACCTGCTGGAATTCCTGAAAAAACAAGTTTTACCCTCCTCAGTACCGATTATGTTGCCGATCTAAGAGCAGAGGTTGCTAAATGGTGGGACGACACGCAAAATAATCAAGAAAAATCATCGACTACTACGAGCTCGAATCAGAACAACGGATCGGTATTAGGGTCCTTACTTACTGATGGGCCGATTAGAATGATTACACAAGGTCAGGAGTTGACTATCGATTTCGATGAAAAGACATTACAAGAAATGGGCTTCAAGGATGGCCAACTAGTGTTCATTTCTCCCGGTGCTGGTAGAGGTAACGGTACAGGTAGATGTAACAAACGAGATATGGATTCGCCATCCCTTTTGCCACCTCCTCCTCGAGAATCATTACCGACGCTCTTGTTATTACGACCACAATACTTTGAACAGTTATTTACACTGATGAGGACCTTGAGCGCCATGAAAACTGTCGTTAAAGGAGGGCAGGAAATTCCTCATACAAAAGCCCAGGTACTTTCAAGAAGAGTTTGGGATACGTTAACGTTACTACCGACTAGTCCAACTTTACTAAGAGGTTTTCAAAAGTTGGGGGAAACAACTCTGCCAGAATTGTTAGATCCTGCTAGCCCTCAAAAATTGATGTACTCTTTATATATTGTAGAATCTTTAAGTAGACGTAGTACTACGAGTCAGCCTTCTACTGTGAATTCTACATCCTCTACAGCTACTCACGAGGGTGGAGGCGATGCAGACGATAATCATGAAAACAAAGAGAAAGATGTTATTTGGTCTGCATTGTTTGTTCAGCACGGCGGCTTGCGTCATTTGTTCGATATTTTTATGTCCGGATGTTTGGAGCAGGGAGATGGTAGCGAGTGGCAGCAGGACTGTCTCGCTAGTCTATTGAAGCAACTGTGCCACTTGGGCGTTGTTAAGGAAGAGAAAAAACGAAGTAAAGCAGACAAGTTGCTTGTACCTAAATTGAGCGAAGCGATGCTTTCGATGATGAATGTTGACGCGGTCATGTCTCGAATAACAAGTATATTAAACGAAGCATCTTTGCCTAGAGATCCGAATCATTACAAAACAGGACTTTTTGGGAGATCGCAAGTTATACATTATACTATGGCTCTGCTTGTTTGTTGGGTACATAGCGACGAAATGGTCAGACAGTATCTTTTTTCATCGTCAGAACCGTTTGGAAAGACTTGGTTACGACGATTGGTTTTGGAAGATCCCGAGCCAGCGGTGAGAAGAGAAGTTTGTACAGCGCTATACAGATTATGTCTAGGCACTACAGGATCCGAAGATGACAATTCGGATATTCCTAGTTTGATGGTACCCATGCTAAATACTTTATTAGAGCACCTTATGATCGCAGAAGCAATGCAACCCTCGCATCGAAAACCAGACTTACCGTTATACTTACATTCAGTGCTCGACGATGGCAAAGAGCCATACGGACCTGCTTGCAGAGATTACTTTTGGCTCGTTTGTCGATTAGTCGATTCCCTTCCAGAAGAAACTATCAAAGAAGGTTCAGACGACTCCAATCTGACGATAGATCTTGAGGCATTGGCGTTAAGAGTGATCGATTCTGTTTTAAACAGAGAACATCTCGAGACACGACACAACACCGTGGAAGATGACGGTTTGGTTGGATTATTAAATCTTACTTGCAACATTATGACACACAATCCGCCCTGCAAACAGGACAAAATCGGGCAAAACTTATTGCACGAAGTATTCGACTTTTTATTTGCGTTGCCAAATCCTCGATCGAAACATGTACCAAAATGTAAAAGTCAAGTATCCAGATCAGCAGCTTTTGATCTTTTGGTCGAACTTGTGAAATCTGCACCCGATAATTACAGAATCCTTCATGAAAAGTTGTTGGCTCAGCACAAACCCGGCCCTCATTCCCCGTATCCATGGGATTATTGGCCGCACGAAGATGGACGTTCCGATTGTGGGTACGTAGGTCTGACAAACTTGGGTGCAACTTGTTACATGGCCAGTTGTATGCAACATCTGTACATGATGCCGCAAGCACGTGTTTCCATATTGGGCGCCGATTGTAATAGAGCGAATAAACACCAACTAACATTGAGAGAACTACAGAGAATGTTTGCCTATCTTTTAGAGTCCGAAAGGAAAGCTTATAATCCTCGAAGTTTCTGTCGGGTATATACTATGAATCACGAGCCCCTCAACACCGGAGAACAAAAGGATATGGCCGAGTTCTTCATAGATCTTGTATCTAAATTGGAAGAGATGACAGCAGATTTGAAGAATTTAGTGAAAACGCTATTCTGCGGTGTCATATCCAATAACGTGGTATCGTTGGATTGTGAACACGTAAGCAGGACCCTTGAAGAGTTTTATACAGTGCGCTGTCAGGTGGCCGATATGAGAAATCTTTATGAAAGTTTAGACGAGGTTACGGTGAAGGATACTCTGGAAGGAGACAATATGTATACATGTTCTCAGTGTGGCAAGAAAGCAAGAGCAGAAAAAAGAGCATGTTTTAAGAAATTACCACATATACTGTGCTTTAACACGATGCGATACGCGTTTAATGTGGGAACCATGTTGAAGGAAAAAGTGAATACACATTTTAGTTTTCCACTGAGATTAGACATGTCTGGATACGTTGAGAAAAAACTTCTACCCCAACATTACCAGGAAGAGAAAAAAGCATCGGAAAAGAAAAAAATCGAGGGCGACTGCCAAGCGGGAGTAGATAATGATGTCGAGGAAGAAGAGAAGGAATATTATCAATATGATTTGATAGGTGTAACAGTCCATACTGGGACAGCCGACGGTGGACACTATTACAGTTTCATTAGAGATCGTACATCTCCCAATAAAGATAAATGGTTCTTGTTTAACGATGCCGAAGTTAAACCGTTCGATCCGAACCAAATAGCAGCGGAATGTTTTGGCGGAGAGATGACAAGTAAAACGTACGATTCGGTAACAGATAAATTTATGGATTACAGTTTCGAGAAAACTAATTCAGCTTATATGCTTTTTTACGAATGGTGCGCTGATCCTGGCGATCAAGCGAAAGAAGAGGAGGCTACCGTGTCCAGTCCAAATGGACGGCAACCTTCTTCGTTGGTTCATAAAAACACCAATAAGCTACCGCCTTTAGAATTGAACAAAGAACTCGAAGATTGGATATGGCAAGATAATATGCACTTTCTGCAAGACAAAAATATATTCGAACACACGTATTTCACATTTATGTGGCAAATATGTGGTTACATACCACAGACATTGCTTTCGGTACAGCCGGATATAACGGAAATGTCAGCAGATCTTTCGACCTCGTTCTTTATGGAAACGTTTATACATGCCAAGGAAAAGCCGACCATGGTACAGTGGGTAGAACTGTTAACCAAACAATTTAACAGTTCGGCTGGCGCGTGTGCTAGATTCCTCGAAAGGATGGCTGGGGATTCATGGTGGCCGATTCAAATTCTAGTCAAGTGCCCTAATCAGATGGTGAGGCAAATGTTTCAAAGGCTGTGCATTCACGTAATACAACGATTGCGCGTCACTCAGGCAGCTCTGTATCTTGTTTGCGACGAGGAAAATGATATAAATACTTTTGGCACGCGGTCGTGCATAACAAGATTCGTGAGAATGCTTTTGTCCCTTATGGAACACGCGAAACAACATTTGAAACACCTTACCGAATACTTCAGTTTTTTATATGAATTTAGCAAAATGGGCGAGGAGGAAACGCTGTTTTTAATTAGAGTACAAGCGATATCGACTATGGTGAATTTTTATCTTGGGCACAAGACACACGAATTCGTCGATGCAGTCAGCGAGGAAGAAGAAGAGGAGGAAATTGTTGCTATGCCGACGGAAAAGTTGAGACCTGCCTCTCTGGACAAAATGATCACTTTGATAGCGACTTTGGTTGAACGTAGCAGAGGACCTGACCATAGATTGGCATTGTCACCGGCGGATCTTAGCGCTGTAGCGGGAGGCAAAGGGTTCCCCTTTTTATATCAACAAACACGGGACGTTATTAATCTTAATCAGACGCGAAATTTAATTCAGTCTCTATGCCGTTGGAACGATAGATTAGCCATACATATTGTGACAATGATATTCCAAGCTATAACAAAACATACGGACGTGTGTCAACCATTTTTCAAGCTACTAACTTTGTTGACGGAAAGCTCAGGACCAAGTGGATTACCTTGTATGACCCAACTGATTTTGGGCAGAGTATGGGAAGCAGCTAGAGTCGCGCCACATGGTGCATTGGAATGGCTTGCTTTAGCTGTAACAAGAAGCAAGCTTGCGCATGCTTGGGTGCTACAAGGTTTGGACACGTGGTTGCAACATTTCTTGTTGGAACATTCGAATCAAAGAGTCCGTTCAGCGGCTGCTTTTCTTCTTGTATCGCTAGTTCCCTTGACTCATTTCAGACAGGGCTATCGCAGCGCTCACAGATTAGGTCTGGGATGCAATACATCCAGAGAACTACAACTATCGCCGGAAGCTACATTAATCCTGCATCAAATATACACAGCACTTTTACGATTATTGCAACCTGCAAGACATTACATTGATATACAGACTCACGGTACAATGAAACTCACTGCCTACTTTGCATTACTCACATATTGCGTTGTTTCCAAGACAGAAAAATTAATGGTAGGTACGACATAACGTACGTGATAATAACTGTATTACTATAAAAGAAAATATTTATTTTCAGTTTGGACAATACTTGAACGATTTGTGGACATTGTTTCATCCGAAACTTTCTGAGCCTAGCATTCCAGTGCATCATAATAAGCAAGCTGTACTATTGTTTTGGTACCACGTTTGCTCAGATTGTCCAGAAAACGTTGCTCTTATACTTCATAATCCGCACATAACTAAAAATATTGCATTTAACTATATACTGTAAGCGCTTCCGTTTCATTTTAATACATTCCCAGTGATTGTATAAACTTTTTTTAATTATACGTATTTTTTTTTTAGAGCCGACCACGAAGATCAGGATGTGGTATTATTTAACAGAGTAATGTTACCTGCTTATTATGGTTTGTTACGACTTTGCTGTCAACAATCGCGCACTTTTACACGACAATTAGCTGCACATCAGAATATTCAATGGGCATTCAAAAACATTACACCTCACCCTACTCAGTATTCAACTGTAAGATTTATATTCACTTATAGCTTGTTTACGTATGTTCATTTAAGTTTATAGTTATAATATATCTTTTTATTTCTTTGCAGGCTGTAGATGAACTTTTTAAACTGATGCAATTATTAGTAGCAAGGCATCCTGATCAAACGGAACAAGAAGAATCTGAAATCGCATCATTCAGGAGAGGAACGTTGTCTTCATATTTGCAAGGATTAGACGGACGATCATGTTGGGCTACACTTATCTCTGCATTCCGGTATAATGCTTAATAAAAGTGTTTTTTCTTTTTTAAATCGTTATTAACGCTGTTGAACAACGAATATTAATACATACGTGTATATTTACATACAATCAATACTTTACAGTATCCTTATTGAATCAGATGATGATCGTCTGTACGTTGTGTATAACGGAGGATTGAGTATGGCTTTGGAAGCATTTCATATGTTGCATATCATGTATCATGAAGCCACGGCATGCCACGTTGCTGGAGACCTAGCTGAGTTAATAGCAATTATCGTGGAACTGGTACGGTGCATCAGAACTGCCAGAGAAGGACCCGATGCAAGAAATATATTGGCCAATTGTAAAGAATGGCCAGATATTCTTCGGAAATTAGCAACGTTACTAAATACGTACAATCCCCCGGATATGCGAAACCTTGCTATAGATCTTTTGAAAGAGCTTGTCATGCTCGTTCCTGCTGAAGCTATATTGATTTTAGCACCTTTGCTCTCGCACTGCCATGCAGCGCTTCAAGAATCTCATGCCGCTGTTCCACCTGGTCCATATCTTCCACGAAGATCTACGCCATCGGGGAAGATGCCTACTCGGCCTGCTCGACCGATGGTTCAAATGGCAGTACCGCATTCTCAGTTAGAAGCATCGAAAGGAGTGGATCCGGAATACGATAGCGCATTGCTCGAGTTCTATTTACCATATCATGAACTCATTGACGTAATGTGTCGACTAGCAATCAATAATGATTGCATGACGGACACACTAGTCAACTTAAGCGCTATGTTAGGATTCGAAGGTAAATACTATTTGCCATTTAACGGGGTATTCCGTCTTTTCGAGTGAAAAATAGGTAATTCTTTTAATAGGATATTCTTTTGACATGTCAAATGAGAATACAACGGTAATGTCTGATTGCAGGTGTTCCATTGCACTTAGCGTTATTCCCTAGACTATGGTTAGATGTTCATGCTGCTACACACATAGACAGAAAACATATTGCATCACTTCTATGCTCTTCCTATACGGTGGATTACGTAGATGCTGTGTTACTAGATGAAAGATCATCGTTAGGTGTTCCCGCAATCCATGCCTTTCTTAAGACCTTTTTCCCCAAACTTGCTAATCACGTGTTGACCGAACAAACTTGTTTACTTATTGATAACTTGGTCAGTTCCATGGTGGCAATGGTAGAAGCGGTTGATATTCAAGCGTCTGCGCATAGATTAACTGGAGATTTAAGAGCACTGGCTCTTGTCTATAGTAGTAGTACAAGACTGAAACCACCATCTAGCTTATTACCGGCTTTAGACACGTTGTTATCTCGAACTAGAGCTATTAAAGTTAAAGAATCCAGTTCACCGGAAACGGAAGCTCCATCGAAGAAACGTAAGTTTACTGTAAATGAAGATGGCGAAACAACTGATAAAGAATTGCATCTACCAATCTCAGAACTTAACGATCAAAAAAATGTTTCCGACATAGACGTCGAAGAAAAAGACAAAACAGAAGTAAACGATATGACCTCCTCTGATTCTGGAGATGACAAAACCATATCAAGACACAAGAGCAACATCGAAGGGGAAAATATACCAACGAGTATCAGTACAATATCGCCGAGTTTGATCGATACTGTAACAGCTAACAATTGTACGAATCAATTACGATGTTCGTTAACTAATGTTTCTTGGCTCGAAATGTTGGAAAAGACCATTGTCGATCTCCAAATGATCGTGCAATTACAAACGAAGAGCAACTAATTCTGTACATGTTTTTGAATGGTGCTTTTACCGTAGAAGCATACAATACAGGACTAACTTTATGTGTAACTGTGTGGTTCTTTAAAATAACAAGACGGAAATTCAGTTATACGTTCAAGATCTAGATGGACAAATTTTTAGTGCGTTTGTGTTCTATAAAAAAATTTACCACGTACGTATTTAATGCGATTAATTTTCCAAATGTAGACGAATAAGATACTTTTATTGACTTAAGTTATACTAACATATAAAAAAGAAAAATGAGAAAAAAACGAACCATCAATCAGGACTGAAAAATTTTCATTTTATGTAATAAATGTTCGTTAGTGCTGTGAGATTACCTGTCTCTTGGCAACATTCAAGTACACTTTTGTGTGTACAGTAATATAAGCCGCCCAGTATTCATTAACAGGAATTGCGAAAAGCCTTGAGATAGTTTTAGAAATACAATTACAAAAGCTTTGTTAAAACTATAATCATTTTTCTATACTTATCTCAATTTTTGAGAGATATCACAGGGTTCTTTAAATTTTCCAAGGTAAAGTATAATGATAATATTTTTTTTTTTTTCAATCAGCTTTCATGCTGTGAATGGTAAATATTATTTACACATTGGTTTACAAGCTGCATTAACTTGTCATTGTAACATATTTTCCATCGTACTTTTAATGTGTTTTTAAAATGGTTAATTGTGTAATTTATAAATCAGTACTTTTATCACGTAGATCATTGCGTCTTTCCAACCAATTTAAATATAGTAGGCTTATTCTATTTCATTCTCTTGTGTTTCAAATATACACAAATAGAGAATACTTTTATTTATTTTTCTCTTTTAGGTAAATCACCCTAACGATCCTGGTAGATTTACTTTTGATATCGTGAACGTATTTTATTTGCGTTTAGAGTTCACTTCTTTCTACGAAATTTTGTAACATATCCATTTAGGATTTACACAACAGATCGTAATAGTTTCTACAGATTTATTCATTCAATTATGCCACGCATATCTTTCGTAAATTCTGAAGTATCGCGAAATGAAAATTTATTACGAATTATTAATTTTCTTTCTTTCCTTTTGTAAAAATGAAATTTTAATTTTCGTTCAAATTGAGAATATCGATTATTTTTTTTTGTACAATTGTAACTCTATAGAAACTTTTAATTTTAGTGATTAGAAATAAAAAATTATAGCATTCATAACATTGGCAGACCGCTATCTCTCTCTCTCTCTCTCTCTCTCTCTCTCTCTCTCTTTCTCTCTTTCTCTTTTTTGTATAACCGTACAAAATAAAGATCTCACATCACAAATGAACAGTTGTGAAATTTTTAAAGGGTTCATCAAAAGTAATCAGGGGATCGCTCGAAGAAAATTTTTTTTTGCAACAAATAATCGACCGCAACCGAACTGAAAACATATCCATACGAATCGTTATGTATACGCTTGATTTATGTGCACTGCTTTATTATATTTATTATTACTACGTAGCAACCATACGCTGTTATAAAAGGAAAATTTATATTTGTCATATTTTCGTTTATTTACTAAGTTGTTCTGTGTACAAACCACTTTGCCGCCATTTTTTTTTGTTGAAAAACTACGTTTCAGAAAAAAGTTGTTACAAATATCCATTAATTTTCGATTCTTTCAATTGTTCTGTGTTCTAAATACAAATACGTGCTAGAATCATTCAAGGCAGTTTAGCTGCTCGGTAAAATAATACTTTGAGCAATAAATCTTGTATGTTTCAAGGAATGTATTTCGCTTGATTTTCATCGAATCGATATGTTTTCTTCGCGAATTTACTAAAAATACTCTCTGTTTGTACGACAAAATAGATTTCTTGAAATATTTCCACCGTAATATTTGAAATACTGTTTTACCCAGGCCTAGTACGTCGTTTAAATAAAGAAATCGTAATTTATTGTATACGCTTGTATACGTAAGAATATGCAGACACATATACGCGAATAATAACCAGACGCACGTTCTCGTCATAATTGAGCTTATTGTCAGACGATGGCACTAAAATATATCTCGTCCAGTTTGAAGTTCAGGTATTACTTGAACTTCTACTAAGAAGCTCGTTTTCTCAATGTGTTAACGTTATTCATTAATGAGTATTAAGAGAACAAACGAAACATGTTCGGTAGGTTTTACCAAGAACGAAGTAAGTATTCGTATCTGCTTATTTAATATCGCGTAATGTTTCAAACTGTATTTCTACATTCAATGTAATAACGTAATTGTGATCAAAACACTGTGATTAGTGATGTTAGGTCTATTTCTGCTAATTTGCAAAAAAGATACAAAGGACATACGGGCGTAACACGTGCCCGTGCACGCACATACATTACAATGAATTTTCACTAAATTAAATACTTTTAATCATTATGTATCGGTAGCAACATTTTAAGTTCAAGAAAAATCAGAAACGTTACAATAACTGAAAATTCAGAAATAAGTTTAAAACAGAAAGAAAGAATGTAAGAAGACGTGTAGGTCGTATAGAAATACATACATGTGAGGGAAAGCATTTACATTTTACTTTTAATTATTACAAGTGATAAATGCCTTTGTCTTATGAACGCGTTTCGATAATCTCCATATTTATAAATAAAAAGAAGAAAAAAAAATACGCGCGATAGAACGCTTGAGCTTTCGAGTAATTTAATTCGGAGGTGTTTAAGACTGTGTAAAAAAAAACATTTTGGGGTGTACTATGATACTTTTGACATTTTATCGACCTTCCGAAAATATCGGAACTATTTCGCCAGATTTATATCTCCAGCATGTCTTTACATTTATGTATTCATTTATATACTTAAGGTGTATAGTTTTTGATCAATGATAAATAAACTCTTTTCATTTTAAACTTGTACTGCGGCTCCTATTATTATTAGTTTCAAGATTCTGTGCAGAATATTACGGATGATACTTAACAATAATTTTGTCAATATCGTATCGATTTCATTCATTCGTAGCAATTTCTGCCTGCAGTCTCTATTATTATTTTTTATTTCAAGTAGCGTATTTCGCAACGAGATCAATCGCGAACGCTGTGATGCGTCAAATCATTTGTTGCGGTATCACTCGTTCCACTTTCTCTTCTCACAGTCGCACTGACACATGTAGTAGTGTATGCAAACATGGGGTTTCGTATAAAGAACTGCATAGTGTTATCCGTATTGTAACTTTATTGTTATTTACTTCCCAAATCGTACCACTTTTAAGAGAGTGTTGTTTTTTAAGTACTTTTAAAGTTCGTTAGTGAAATACGGTATGAGAGAAAAATTCAAAATTGAATGAGCGCACAAAAAGGAAATTGATTACGTATACACGATGGACAGTACGAGATCGCCTATGGATAACCTCTTTAACATGCTGTCAAGCTTCAGCGCGGATCACGAAAAAGCTTTAAAGCAAGGCATTTACAATGCTGTTGCACTCTTTCTTTTATGCCTGGGTTCGGCGGCTGGGTACGGACTGTACATTATATTGAGTCCCTTCATAAAACCATTAATATGGGCCTTATTATGCGGTTCAGTACTATTCCCTTTCAAATATTCATTAACTACCGTTGTACAGTTATGGTTCGAGAAAACAGAATCATCTCACACACCATTGATCATAAATTTAACGCTATTACCTATACAAATAGTGGACAAAGTCTCTGACAGTTTGGGATCATTTCTATGGAGACACGTTAAATACGTTATCGGTATATTCTTACTGGGAACAATGGTTCTTGGTTTATATCATTATACACCTGCTATATTAAGTTGCCTTGTATGGAGGATATGTATGATTTTCAATACTATTTTTGAATTTTTTATAACAACATGCAATATTTATACGGTAATTGTTAATTAAGATCTTAACATCAAAAATTTATAGTTATGTAATAACAATATATTAATGTTCTGTGTATTTCTTATCTTTGCAGATTGCTGTTTTACTTATTGGATATCTGTCTGTGTTATACATTTATTGGACACCGCATAACTCTATACATTTTCGTTATACGTCATTTGTTATATGGTTCATAATTAGTCTATATCTTTCAAATATATTAGGAGCTTACCAAGTTCTTGTATTTATAACATTGCAAATATTGTGCCTAACAGGATTTATTTATGAAGTAATACTTATAATGGAGAATCAAGAATTAAATGGCAGATACATGACATTTATGGAAGCAGCATGCTTTGCATTAACAAATAGCTTGATTACAAATGTCCAGAGGGACACATTAACTCCATTAATAAGTGACAAACCTGTAGGAAGTATTAGCGATGATGTCACAGGTATTCAGACAGAAGATACGAACGAAGAAACTATAAAATCTATTTCTGAGTTTAATACAAAAGTATATAAAAAATCAGTCTCATTGGATGCAGATGCGAATGTTCATCCAAAAAAATTACGATCTACGAGTAATTTACCATCCGGTAGCAACATGTCATTACGCGATCGTTATCTTTTAAGAAGATTAAAAACTGAATTAAGACTATCTATAGATGTGGAAAATGATAAAGTTGACACTGACAAATATATGTATGGGGCATTGTATGCTTGCATTGGTATGATTCTGTGGAAACACAAATGGATAATATATATTTTAATGATTCCTACAGCTTTTTATGTTATCAAACAATTTGGCAATTATTTTGGATTATGGGATATGATAGGAAAACAATGCAGTGCCGTTATGCAAGTTATAAAAACATGGTGTTCGGAGCGACATCAAGCCCTTTTACCAGCCAATGTCAGAGGTTTATTTAAAGTTGGAATAATAATCGACGAAAAAGTAACAAAAGCACTGAAAGGGTCGGTCGATACAGTAGCAACAATTGCCGTGATTTTTGGGCTGCTTGTATTTACTACATGTGCGTCTATTTTTATAACAATACAGGTAAATCAAGTATACGTAGAAGTATATGTATCTTCCGAATCTTTCTTTAACTGGCATTATTAATCATCGCAATTTGTAATAGGTTTATACGGAAGGCATACACCTTATCCAAATTACGGGGGAAATACTTAATTCGTCTTTAATGAGTAACCCAGACATCGATTGGCTACCAGAACAATGGGAAGATTCTGTTAATAGTGTGTTAGATAATGCTTATACATACGGACGAAGCGCTATATCCGATGGTGTAAGCTGCAAATATTTTTAGATTACGAATAAATACTATTGTAATCGCGGAATATTTTTCTGCAATAATGTGTAATATATAATGTAGGTGAAAGGTTTGGTAAAAGATTTGGATCCTGCAAAAGCCGAACACATGGAAAAGAAAGTTTTAGAACTTTGGGACAAGCTTTATCAAGCATGGATGATGTCCAATGAAAATCCAGATCAAATTGGTACTGCTGTAGATGTTACAGCAGCCTATTCAGTATGGGAGAGTTTCAAAGAAAGTTTCGGAAAAACACCATTACGTAAGACCTTGTACATACTAGAAATTTAAATGAAAAATATATTTGGTATATTTTACACATCTCTTTCCACAAACAGAATTATTTAATATGGCCAGCATACAAAATTTTGTAAAAGAAAATATTGGAATTTTTATGTCTGTACTGGATTCCATTTGGAACATAGTCAAGGGCAATATGTCCGTAATACTGACGATTTTTAGCGAATTATTTTATATTGTACTCATGAGCGGATCAGCAGTGCTTAATTTTACCCTTAGCATGGTAAATGATTGCGAAAGATACATTTATATTTAAAACGTTTAAAATATTCTTCATGATAGACATTTTTTTTTAGGTGGTGTTTTTCACAACACTATTTTATCTTCTCAGCTCTAGCAACAGGAGTTACAAACCTGTTGAGTTGACTACAGTGTTCAGCCCCATTAGTTGTCATAGGTAAGTTTTATAATTTTTGTAACTTTATATATTTTATAAAATGATAATACAAGGTTTTGTATATATAAACAAATTAATTTTTTTGCTGGTCAGCACACTTCATATTGCGGGGTACGTTAAATATAAGGGTCAAATAATACCATTGAACAACAAATATGACAGAAAGGTCTATTATCTTACCTCTTTTTTTATAGATTTGCTGTGGCCTTACAAGAAGCAGTGATCGGAGTATTTGCCGCAACATTTAAACTTGCGTCTTTCTTCGGCATGTGGACATGGTTTATACATAATTTGTTTCAAGTGAAAATTGTTTATTTGCCAGCAACTTTTGCAACAATACTTGGAGCTGTGCCATTTTTGGACGCATATTTCGCTTGCATCCCAGCTACATTGGAGCTTTGGTTTACTCGTGGGCCCATGATTGCTATCCTGTTTTTTATGTTCCACTTTCTTGCGTGCAACATCGTTGTAACGGAATTCTACAAAGAAATCAAAGGGTATGATACATACTTAAATTTAACTTACACTATTTGTCTATTCCAGTTATATTTTAACAATTTAATGTTAGAGATTTCACTCGTAACTCAAAATCGACAAATTAGATTAAATTAAATTAGAAAATGTTTCTCATTTTAGCGGTGGACATCCATATCTTACAGGGCTTTCAATAGCAGGTGGAATTTTTTGTTTGGGAGTGGAGGGTGCAATTTTTGGGCCTTTATTACTATGTTGTATTATGGTAGCTATTAACTTGAGTCGTCGTTACCTTCATTCGCCATCAGACGAAACTATTCCCGCGTATTCTGAAATTAAACGTTAATGCTGTTGATATATGTCCGTAAGCAATTAGTAGAAAAAAAAAATCAAAAGTTTTTTGCAACAGACATGCAATTCGGCTTTGTAGATAAATTTTTAGAAATAATAGTTCACGCTAAGTGATAACATTTTAAAAATGCCTTAAATGAAACTTATAATACAAGAAAGCATGAAAATTAAAATTTTTCCATATAGAGTCTAAAATTTGTGCAGAGTATTGAAAAAGTAACAAGCTTCTTATACGAATCTCTTTGGAAAAAAAAAATTCAGGGATTGTTATTTTTATCTAGTCTTCGAACAAATATATCGCTTTTATATTTATTTTTTTTTTAAATAGAGTTTTACACAAAGATGTCTTAATAACGATGTGATTTTACAAACTATGATATATATAAGAAAACTTCGCTTACGCTTATTACGCATAAGATTAATTATAACTAAAAACAATTGTAATTGAAAAAGAAAGTAAATAGTGTAGGAGGATACGTGTAATGTGTGACGATATGTGTACGTATGTGACGATGGCCCATGGTCACAGAGTAACCTGTAGGTTACTTTATAGTAATATATTTTTTGTATTATGTTTCAAATCTAATTTCGTTAATAACTTACGTTGTTACTAAAATGAGCAGAAATGTATACAGATTGTTTCCAGATAATTACTGTTTGTTTTTTTCATCAATTTTTCAGAGTTATGTGCATAAATATATTTTTCGTTAGATATAAATAGCATGAACTTCTTATTTCATATTTTATATAATTTACCAACTTCAGTATTATTAGTATTGAATTTTGTTTTAAAAAAATTTCCTGATGTATCTAAAGAACAATCAATTAATTTAGTAAAATTTCATTTCATTAATCTAATGATAAATTTTTTAATTCGCGCAACATGACAAATTTAATGTTGCTGATAATAACCATAATTTTGATTATACTCGTCTTTCTTATTGGATTTGAACTTTATTTACATCATGAAAAATATTTTCCACCGAGAGATACGTAAAATTTAATTATGAATTACTGAATATTAAACAAACATTTACTTGGTTAGAATGTGATTTGTATCTTCTTTGCTTGGATTATAAATATCCGAGAGTGTAGTAACGTGTAACTTTGCTTTAAACACTGCGGGTGTTGTTGCTTCGCATACATGGAAAATTATTCGTTTTTTACTCTCAAACATATGAAAACCATTTTCCGAAAAATGTCCACAAATATCTTCAACTTCCAACCATACGAAAAGTGCTATATTGTTTGTCGTTAATTCAAACTCTATATCTGGATAATTGGAATAAATTCCAGGTAAATGATTATCGTTTACTTTTACCTAAAATGGAATACTTTATTATGAACAGACAAATATAATGTTTTTTCTTTATTTTTGCAGATTTAAATATGTACTTACAGAAATGATTGCATTTGGCAAGACAACAGTTTTTAATACATTGGTTGGATATATGTAATTTCTTGGTGCTATCTGAGATCCAGTTTTATCCTTTAAGGTAAGTGTTGTAATGCAACTGGCTTTTGTACACTCATCGAGTAACGTAGAATTTGATATCCAAAAATATTTGAGCAGATCATCATGAATTTTAGTTACTGCATTTGCTTTCTAAAGAAATATTAAGGTATAGTAGGTAAACTAGTAGGCAAACATTCTGAATACTTACTATAGTTATGTTGCTACTAATATGTGATTGCACAGGCTTCATATTATTCCATGTATAAAGATTTACTTCCAAAGTTATATTTTCTATCGGATATAACTTGTCGGAAACAATATAAATTGCAAAATTGGTCTTTCTATCATAATATGTGACTATAATGGGTGCAAAAAATTCTTTGGCATAGTGATGAAGCATTTTCCATCGCCCATCATAGTCTAGAAAAAGTAATATGATTAATGATATTGGAATAAATATTTGTTTCGGTTTAGTTGATTACCTATAGAAGACCATGATGGAGCTTGCCAAACATCATTTAATTGCCAATATAATGCACCCATTGTCATCCCTTCTCCTAATTCGTTTAACTCGGACATCGATTGTCGATAATATTCTGTTTGTACCTTTACAGAGACAGCTTGATTTATTTGACTTAGATATATGAAATTGAGAAAATTTCTCGTACTATTTTGAATTTCAGGTATTTTTAAATTCTTTGAAATAAGAGCCCTCATAAATATCGTTCCTAATGATAAATGCTGACGATGTTTCATAAAGTCACTGTCTATGTTCAAATCGGCAATTGTTTCTACAACTGGCAATATAGTATAAATTGATGGTAACGATTGAAATCCGTATTCGGATGCAAATCTTGTACAAGGATATTGGTGCATGTCCCAACCATTATTGATATAGTTGTAGTAGTGAACTAAAACAACATTCTGTTAGAATATACGTATGTATATATATGTATATATTTAAATTAAAGAAATATTTTACCATCTCCATATAATTTCGAATATGGATCTTCCCCAATATAGTTATACTGCTCGGTATATAATCCGTTACTAGGACTAGATACTACGAACGGCCGTGTAGGATCTAATTGCTCTACTTCCTTTTTTATCAAATCTACATACAGCTTAATATAATCATTTTTGTAGACTTGTGCCGCGCCAGTATCGTACCAATTTCCATATAAAGCTGCTTCATTTTCATTATTTCCAGCCCAAAGAACAATACTGGGATGATGTTTTAATCTCCGTACGTTTTGTACAACTTCTTCCTTTACCGAGTCAAGGAATGTCTCTGTAGTAGGATACATTCCGCATGCAAACATAAAATCTTGCCAAATCATAATTCCATATTCATCAGCCAAGTTATAGAATAATTCGGATTCATAAAGACCACCACCCCAAACCCTAAGCATGTTCATGTTTGCTTCTTTAACGGATGTTAATAAATGTTTAATTTTATCCATTTTAGCGCTCAGTTCAGGAAAAATGCTAGCTGGAATGTAGTTGCTACCCTTTGCAAATATAGGAACGCCATTTATTTGGAAATAAAAGCTTAATCCATCCTTTAGAGGCTTTTGTACTAGTTCTATCGTTCTGAAACCAACGCGCATTGTTTTTTGCTTGGTAGTACTAGGCGTGGTTACAGTCACAGTCAGTAAGTAAAGAGTTTGATTCCCGTAACCATTTGGCCACCATTTATCTACGAGATCCTAAAACGCAACAATACGATCTTTTTCTGTTAAAACATACATCAGTTAATAATTTGTATGTGATCTGCTCCCAAGAAAGAGCGCTTACGAGTCAAACATTGAAATCGAAATCGAAGTCGAAGTCGAGATCGATAAATTGTGTTTGCTCATAATCTTAAGAGCAGGTTACACGTATATTATTGCGTTTAAATATTATTAACGTACTACGGGTATTTTGAGACTGATAGTCGTGTTTAGATACTTATTGTTTGCCTCCAAAGCAACAGTACTACAATTATTAATATTTAATTGTTCGTTAACATAAAGAACAGACGAAATATGGCAAGGTATCGGTAAAGGTTTATTATTTTTCGGTAATGTAACGTCGAGAAATATTGTTATAGTAACATGCCAAAAATTCTCTTCTTTAAAAATATCTGTTGTAATATCCGTAATAAAGATTTCATTTACTGGAATTAATTCCACATCTTTCCTGAAATATATTTTCATTAATAAATATTAAACTGTAACATTAATTCATTAAGCAAATTTTAAAATACCAAATGCCCATAGAGGGAAATGCTGGACCCCAATCCCATGAGAAACTTGCTTGCATTTTTCTGATGTGATTAACATGACATTCTCCATTGTAATTAACTGGAACACATACTGGAGGAACAATGTATTTCATTGCTTGCTCTTTATATAAAATGTGAGCTTCTTTAACAGCAGAAGAAAAGGAGACTATTAGTATATTCTCTCCTTTCTGAAAGATTAATATCAATAAGGTTGTGCTTCTGGTTGTAAGAAAATTGGTTGCTTACTTTCAAGTGCTTTGTAACATCAAATGTGTATCGTAGAAACATATTTGATGCTTGTCCAATTTCATGAGCATTTAAAAAGATTGTAGCAAATGTATCTAAACCATGAAAAACTAGCACCGCTTTAGGTGCATTTAGAAAAGTGTCATTTACTGGAAAAAAATTCATTTTCAGTTTATTTACATTAAAAAGGTATAGTAAGAATATATTTAATTACCATAAAACTTTTTAGTGTATGTAACCAATTGATTACCAACCCAACGGTTTTTCACATCATTGTGCCCAATAAAATTATCTGGTATAATATTGGCTTTGTTTAAATCTGTATAAATTCCTCCTGGTACAATTGCAGAGAATGTAATTTCTGCACAAATATAATATTGTTAAAAATCATTAAATTTGATGATGCGAGTCCCATTAAAATGTTTATGAAAAATCTTACCATGTTCAGACTTATTGGTTGTAATTTTACCTAAATTAAAGTAACATTGCTATCAGATAAATAAATTTTACAGAAGTTTTACATAGATTATTTCATAATACCTGTCCATGGGCCACATAAACTTATGGATGAAACAGAGTTGTTGATTAAATGTATAACTAATAGGAATTGAAAAAACTTCATAGTGTTTGATTAAAGATATTTGTGCAACTGTTCTTTTTTATCTGCGTAACGGTAAAATCCATACTTTGTTAAATATCTTATATATCTAGTTATCACAGTAGGCCAAAGTACATATTTTGAGATTATTATTTTATCAGTTTAAATCAAAATTGTCAAACATCTTCCCCGCTCGTACCACACAATTCTCATCGGTTAGGAATTGTGGGCCATATGCCACATTCATTATCTTTTTTGAAATCGTACAATTGTGGTTTTATTTCTGAGATCGAGACTTGCGGTCTCGTTCACACAGTAGTTCGTACGGGGCATACTCATGGAGTGCGTATAAAGTCACCGTAAGGCTGCGCGCGCAGTGCACCACGGCGAGAGCGCGCCCTTCCCTTTTCCCCTCGCCATTTGCTTGGGCAAACTCATCGAGTCAAGACGTGTGAGAAGACCGAGCGTATACTTAAACCAAAGATTATACGCATTGCGTTGCAAAATATATTTATATTTCGTTATTGTTCTTTGTAAACGTGAGTGTGATCATTTGTTTAAATCCATCCAATAACAAGTAGGAGTGGGCCTTCTACACACAGCGTAACTCGTGGCGGAACTTGGCCACGTGATTCGTATACAGCATATACCCACATATTTGTACCAACGATTTACACCTAGCGTATGGATCATGAATTATTTCTCTATAAATTTAACGTTTAGTATTGAAGTCGCTACAGTACTATTCGTGCGTTACGTGTGTACAGTTTTTATGATATAAACATTCACACCGCGACCGTTAAAATGATTTTTGCCCTTCTGAAAGAAAATCACCAGGTCTGGCACTACCAACTGTATATTGTAATCAGTGTTACCAGACAGTTCACGTAACGTTTTAGAATGTTACACTATTGCGATTTTTACTGCCGCGTGAAAACGTACCTTTACAAGGCAATTTATTACATGATATGAAATCTTTGGTTAGGTTTTCCTGAATCCAAAGAGAAAACAAAATGCTTACTCGGCACGAATCCGTGTCATGTGTTGATTATACGTACATATAAAACGGTGATCAAAGATTCTTTAAAACGTTATTTACATTATAAAATTTATTACTTGCAATTGATACGATTTTAAATAAGTAGTAAACCCTGGTGAGTAACTTATTTTTCCCATGTAAATACTTGCAAGTGATAGAAACGGCTCAACTATATTATTGTGTACAGTAGAGGTCTTCCTTTCACAACAGTTTTTATTTAATGATTCTCTTGTATTATTTATAAATGTTCAACATGTAAAATGTATGTCGTTTTATTCCTCGTGTTACATCCGCATAATTCTGATTCCAAAAATGATTTCAATAGAGGTTAACAATATATCTTGATCACAAATACTTGCGGTATAAACAACTGGAAATTTTGATTTTCTAACCTTCGATCGTAACGTGTGCAAACAAATAACATTAATTCCAGATTGTATAATATTAGAAAACAATATGGCTCACTACAAAGGAGCAGCCAGCGAAGCTGGTAGAGCGATGCAGTTAATGAAGAAGCGAGAAATTGCTCAGCAAGAAATAGAATTGAGGAAAAAGAAAATAGAAGATGATCTAAAGATTCATAATATAGAGAATAAATTTGCTACCCACTATAATGCCGTAGAGCAACAATTGAAAACTTCTACCATTGGTTTGGTCACCTTAAATGAAATGAAAGCTAAGCAGGAAAATATAGTGAAGGAACGTGAAAGGAAACTTGCTCAAAAGGAACGCGAGAAAGAACAAGAGAAGGAGAGGGCTCTTGCCGCAAAACAAGCTGAAAAAAATAAGCAGAAAAAACAAATTCAAGCATTATCGTTTAATTTGGATGAAGATGAAGTGGAACTTTCCGACGAAGAAGAAGAGACAAAGTTGGAGGAGACAAAACTGGATGATAGCGAACCGGTAATAAAAAAGATAAAGAAAAATCCAGATGTAGACACAAGTTTTTTACCCGATAGAGAACGAGAAGAAGAAGAAAACAGGTTGAGAGAAGAGTTAAGACAAGAATGGGCTAGAAAACAAAATGCACTGAAAGAAGAAGAAATTGAAATTACTTTCAGTTATTGGGATGGGTCTGGACACAGACGAAGTGTTGTTATGAAAAAAGGTAAAGGCCTAATTATTATTGTAACTAGTATATATTTGTTTATGAAAATAATCTTTTATAATATAATTATAATTTCATTAAAATGAGTCTATACTAATTGTTATTAGTTTGCACTGTTGGCAGGTAATTCTATTTATCAGCTTCTTCAAAGATGCTTAGAAGTTTTAAGGCGTGAATTTAGTGAACTTAAAACGGTTATGGCAGACCAATTAATGTATGTGAAGGAAGACCTTATTTTACCCCATCATTATACATTTTATGATTTTATTGTAACAAAGGTAAACTTTATACAAAATAAGGAAGAATTGTCATTTGTGTAAGATTAAAAATCATTAATTGTTATTCATTTCAGGCAAGAGGAAAGAGTGGACCTCTTTTCACATTCGATGTGCACGATGACATTCGTGTTATGCACGATGCTTCTGTAGAAACAGAAGAATCTCATGCAGGGAAAGTGTTGCTTAGGTACAGTATTTTCTGACACAAGTGGGGTTATGTTTATATTCCCTCCTTTAGCGAATAATTAATCATTTTTCATTTCAGATCTTGGTATGAAAGAAATAAACATATATTTCCTGCTAGTAGATGGGAACCTTTTGATCCAACAAAAAGTTACGATAAATATACGGTTTCCGATAAAAATAAAAAAAAAGATAAAATTTAATGAAAAGCAAATTAAATTGCATAGAAAATTATTGAATGAGGAAATCAACAATGCGTATTGTGTTCAATGAGAAGTAACGTTTTAGGTTAATTTGAATATTACCATAGGTATTAAATTTTCATAATACATATTAACATATGTACATTTAATTATGGTGATTTATAAGTGTATAATTTCTTTGTTCCTTAACAAGTTAAGTTATTGAATAGGCATTATTTAAACTAGAAGCCGAACGTCACTGCATACTTTGTATATTTAAAATAATGCATAACAATTCCATTAAGCCATTTGTTAGAAAAATATTTTTTATGCATTGTAAATAATTTTCTCGAAGATACTTATATTCTGACAATCTCGTTTATTACTTAATACTTTGTTTAATGACGCGACGATACTAGCAGAAATTCGATATTGTTTCAAAGAGTTATAAAGGTATGAAACGAATTATATAATTTTAGAAAAGTACATTTGTTTCATATGCCCACGTCATCTTCGGCGACTTTAAAAATTGACGATAAATCAGTAATGTGGGTTTCCTGTATGATTTCGTCTAGAAGGTTTTTGTCGATATCGCGCAAAGTTTCTATCGTTGATACGGTGTCTAGCATCGAAGATATACTATTTGTAGATGTACTATCATGTGCCTTCTTAAATTGTTCTTGATCATTGCAAGAATCTTTACGATAGTCCTATTATTTTTAATTTTTAAATAGCGTTTTCACTACAAATTGTTATCTATTGCATTACTCACGGAATTTTTCTTATCCAGTTCTAGTAGAATTTCTTTTGCTTCTTTGTCCATAATATATGGATTATTACCAAGATCGATCGTTTTATTGTTTATATGTCCAACATCATTTGATGAATTCATTATTTTCCATTGTCCTCTCTCGATATCGTTAATCGATTTCAAATTATGATCGATTAACTAATAGAAAGTTTCGTAACGGTAAAATTACAGTTTCCAAAGATTATAAGTTTCTTAAAATACGATTATCAATATAACTTACTGCATTATCATTAACGAGATTCGTGTTAACGTCGTTTCTAAATGCTTTCTGCTTGGAATCATTTATCCCGAGTGATATGTTCAATTCGTTATTGTTTTGAAATTCTGTTTGCAATGTGTTTCAATATTAAATACCCAATTTTTTAAATATTTATTAATTATGTAAATAGATATATTATTTGATACTCATATTTAAAATATATGCTATTTACAGTAATCGATAATAATGTTATTTTCACTGATTCATAAATCGTTGAACAAATCCATTATTATCGGTTTTTTTCTTTGCATGCCGTTTTTATTGTCGTACCTGGATCGAGTATCACGTATTTTGGACATAAGCGAAAAAATTTCCGCGTATTTTCAACTAATTTACCAATTTCAGAGGAATTACGCGATAAAATATTTTTTAGTTTCGTCCGATTTTCACACTGAGAAATCAAAGTTTCTTCCTTTGCTTTCTGCGATATAATTTAAACGTTTATGTTCTTAATTAGTGTCGACAAATGTTTATTCATTATAAAGGGGCACATTATTCACCTTTATTTTATCGCACATTTCGTCTATAAGACCATCAAGATTTTTAATCTGTAAAATTTGTTTTCTCATCCATTCCTCTTTTGCATCTTCACTTGAAATATTAATTTCATCATGATTTTGTCTGTCAAACAATTCATCACCGAACTGCATTAAATCGAAACTATCTAGCGAATCTGTGCCCAATTCGGATATTTGCTCATATGATTTTAGTTCCTTCGTAGAAATCATTGTCTCATCGTCATCTATTTTTTTTGTACACTTTAGTCTACCGTACAGTATGAGCGGGAAAACGCGGGATACTCCGTACATAAAAAAAAAAAATGAACAAGTATACACGAAATATATTTCATACCCTGCGGAAATGCGGAAATGTGCATCGGAAGCGAGATTATTCAAAGAACATTTAGATAATTACTTTAGATTAATAATTTACATAAGTACATAAAATACATAATCCCCACGATTTTGAATGTTAGTACTCTTTTTAACATTGCAATAACGACAACAGAATTATCTTAACGCGTGTCAGCATTTGTTTGATTCTTCTTTGGCGTTATTGCTCGAATTAGGTAAAACGAATGTACCTTTTTTTGCTTTCCACGAGATTTCCGTGTTGTCTACCTGGTTCTCTTCGATGAAAAAATCGGAGGTGTTTGTATCTTTCATAATACAGGTAGCAGGCGATTCTGTTGTAGAAAAATGCTGTATTTGTTGGGATTCCACCGATGAATCTAATAATTTTTCAAACGTGGAGGTGGTCTTATCAAATGTTGACGAAGTGTTGGGTACCGTTTGTTTCTTTGTAATACTGTCCATGGGGCCATTGGCGGAATGGTCCAAACTTGTTTTAGTTTCGGTAGAAAACGGCGAACAAGATCGTCTTTCGACATTCGGGTTAACCGGAGAGGCACGTGACGATTTATTATTATTGATTTTGCGTCGTGATTTTAATTGTTTATATTCTTCTTCGTCGCTGCTTCCCTCGGTATACAATTCTTCTCCCGATATCCATAATTCTTCTTCCTCCTATAAAGTAAAGATTGCATTTATCTACTCACAAGTAAATTTATTATTTCTCCTAACGAAATCATAAACAATTGCTTTTTTTAAATATTTGCATAGTACTAGCAGCACAAGTACCCTTTGAAAAATTCTTATCAATTGGTATAAACGGAATTCCGAATTAAAGGAAACGGAAATCGTACCTCTATTTTAATTCTGGCAAGTTGTAATTGTACCGCGGTTTTCATGGGCTGTTCCTGCGATTTCAAATTGGTCGTTGTTTTATTGGCCATTCTATCCCTAAGTATAACACGAACAATATAATATTGTAAGTAATTTTGTAATTCACGACATGCGAATATTGTATGGAAAACTAGTATATTTAGCATTTGTAGGACCACCGACGAAAGGTCGGATCAAAAGGCCAACCGAAGCGTATAATCGTGATCCTTTCCTCCCGATATGTTTAAAACCGATAACAGTTTCTTTGAGACTTTTTAAAGCAGAGAAAATCTATAGAAAACTAACTCCTAAGCGCGTTTACGGGATTTTACAATTTTTGTTCTCGTAATTTGATTGATTCAAATTACTATACAGCGAGACCTTGAACTAGGAAAATGTAGAACAAGGTTGGCACAGGTCAGGGTTATATGTCACAATATCAGAGTGTTCAAATTCACGGCCATTAAAAATCACTACGATTCGAAACTTAACACGAAACTGTTGCGGTTGATATATTATCACTGTTATTATATTTTAAAGATATATACGTCAACGTTATCCTTGATACCTTTTAATAATATTTCTACCAAAATCGGTCTTAAAAATACAAAAAACAATTCAATAAACAAAACGCATTAAACTCGGAGTAAAATTATGTCGATCAAAGTTGCTTGCAGACATTCACTTTTTTTAGTACTGGCGTATCGTTTACAACGAATTTTCAAAAGTATATAACAATTTGAAAGATTGATTTACAAAGTATCGAAACTTTACCTCAATTTTGTTGATCGAACGCCACAACAAAGAAAATGATTCACGTGGCAATATTCTGTGTGATTCTTGATTATGCAATGAGTCTTAATAACGGCAGGTGTTATCGCACCGCATTCTTGCGGATCTGATATAATTAATATTTTATTGTTTCAGAACCGTTTTACCAGGTGCATGTTTAAGATTTGTATTGCGACGCGAATCGCGCGCGATGTTTTCCGATCTCTAATTTATTAATTTATTCATTAACAGAGATTTTGACGTTTCGGTTTTTTTGCGTTTTGTATTATACGATACTCGGAAGAACTTGTAAGCTGCACGCTGCACAAGATACTGCATACTGGCTTTAAAATCGCGACAGCAGCGGCGCCTATGGCCAGATACAGCTCGATATATAAATAAATGCATTAACTTCGCTTGCGCGATGGACCATGTGCTTTCCTAATGTCACTGTGATCTCATTTTTTTTTTAAATATTCTTACTCACAGCTTAGTTGACAGGAAGGGAGAAAGACAGGACGCCCACTCGTTTGAAAAATAATTTCAGAATATCAGAGGCTTATATAAAAGGGCAAAAATACTGCTCTACATTTGTCAACAATAATCCTTATTCTACGAGTATTGTATAATGTCATTACGAAATTACTCTATTTACAATAAACACGAGTAATCGCTGTCGTTATGATCATAAAGTTGTGGGTTTAATACAAGTAGGATCCATGAAAGTAATATTCTCAGGGAAATGGTCCATAATTATAAATCTTTTTTCACTGGGTTCTGTCAAATTGTCTAAGAATCCAAACCAGTAGATCACGAGTCCTGGACCAAATCTGTTCCAATAGCTTAGAAATTGTTCTTTGATATACTTTTGATGTATCTCCATATTGCCAAATCGTGCTTTAGATTCTATCCAATTAATTACAAAACCATTTACTGCGATTGGTACTTCTAGTTTGAAGTCTGGAGTTTTGTCGTATCCCCGCGATCGTAAGTGTTCCTCATTACGAAATGCAAGATTTCGTTCTGTCAAACAATTTTGTAATTTCAACTCATACTCTTGACCTACAGAACTGAAAGTTTTGTTTACAGAAACATATATAGCTAGTTACTGTATTGTTTAGTTATATTCAGATACGTACATTCCGATAGCATCTGTTATAGGTCCATATAAATTATCATATAATATACACTATAAAAAAAAATATACGTATATATAATGTGTTCTATGCAACTTGTCCACCTAAATATCTTCATTATTTCAAATGATACACGAAAATGTTATTTTAAGGTATTCAGGTGGATAAGATACTGTATATATATATATTTAATTATATTAAAATAATTCATCCTATAATCATGAAATTATTACCAAATAAACTTCATATGCAAGGTCCTTGTCCTGAATGAGAGTAGTGTCTTTAAATAACTTACTAACTTCGTTTCGAGAAACTAAAAACATTATCCTTTATAATTTAGGAATATTTATAACAGCAAACTGTTTCAAATGATATAAAATTACCATTAGAATCATCTCGTCCACAATGTTTTTCAAGAACATTTCTAGCTAATAATGCAGGCTGGGCACCAATATCTTTTGCCATTTTTAATAAAATTCCAACAGGTTCTCCCTTTCGTACAGCTTCTATGTAACTACCATTTACACAGTACAACAATATTTACATAAGTTTGGAACAATAATTAAATATGATGCAAAGTATGCTTACGTATCATAATAGTTCTTATTGTTGCCAAACAACTTGCTATGATTGACTTTCATTTTATGCTGTATTTCTAAAGATAATATGCTGTACAATACATTTACTGGAATGCTAAATAAAAAATAGATGTGTAATGCATTCATTTATGGTGGATAATTAATTTACATATGTTTTTAAATGGAAATAATCTTACTTGGTATATTTTTCTTTTAATAAATCTCTACAATCCTTTGACAGACCTTGGAATTTTCGAATTGTTGTTACTATGTCGTTGTACACGTCGAGCTTCATATTTGTTAGTTATTCTTAAAACGTTTGATAGTTTCTTTAAATTCTGTTAATTTTCTTTCGTAGTTAATACACGAAAATAATTAAATTTACGTTGATACTAATCCAAAGAATCGTCAACCATAGGCATTTGTTGACAACAACTGTATTTATTATATCGTGTATCGTGTCTATTACTCGTTTGTTGTTATTAGTATTACTTTGTTAAATTATTCGTTATTCAGGGTTTAACCATGTCTTTGAAAGTCGAAGGAAGACCCTATCCCCACCCCTCCCTGAATTACCGACGTGACGACGGAGTCGCCATTGTCGCCATTGTCGCCATTCGTTCGACGAAACTAGACGTGTTCAGACCTGTTCAGCAATCAGGCGTATAATAAGGTACGTATTATTAACGTAACGATATCTAAACGTTTCTAATCTCTACTAACTCTCCATTACTCTGTATCGGTGCCTTTATTTAATATTAGTTCATTTTGACTAGAAATTTAATCGAAATCGGGAAAATAGTTGATTCGGTTTCGCGCTTTTTCGTCGACATCTAGCCAACCTCAATTATCATTATATCTCGATAAATTATAATATTTTAGAACATATTTCGAGTTTAATGCTTGTTTAATTGTGGTACAAGTACATTTATTTAATGTATTGAATCGTAATTCGCATTTCATTTCTATTGCAGCCTCTAATTCCAAGTCAACTTCAAGGAAGGGCGCCATGATTGCCAATTCGAATCGAAGGAATTTGCCGCGCATATTCAACTTCAAGGAAGGACGCCATTACGGAGTCGTCATTCGTCCGGTAAGAACGTGTCTGGACCTGCTCCGGCCGGTGTCGACATATAATAAAGTACGTATTATTAACGTAATGATATCTAAACGTTCCTAATCTCTACTATTACTCTCCATTACTCTCTATCGGTGTATTTATTTAATATTAGCACATTTTGACTACAAAAATCGTGAAAATAGTTGAATCCGTTTCGCGCCTATTCATCGATATCTAACCAGCTTCAATTGTCATTATATTTCGATAAATTACAATTTCTTAGAACATATTTCGAGTTTAATGGTTGTGCAATTGTGATATAAGTATATTTATCGAATGCATTGAATGGTAATTCGTATTTTATTTCTGTTGCTGTCTCGAATTCAAGTCAATTTCAAAGAAGGACGCCATGTTTGTTAATTCGAATCGAAGGAATTTGCCGCGCGGAATATTCAACTTCAAGGAAGGACGCCATTATGGAGCCGTCATTCGTCCGGTAGAACGTGTCTGGACCTGCTTCGCGGAATATTCAACTTTAAGGGAGGACGCCATTATTGCCAACATCGAATCGAAGGAACGAATTTGGCGCGGAACATTGGACAAATCTACTCTTACATCATACGTAACGTAGAAAAAGAAAAGATTTAATCGAACTTTTTTCTATTTCGATTCGTTGTTGAAAATATTTAACTTGTAAAGTTAATTTGTGTGGTAAAGAATTAACTTTGTAGTTATAAAACGAGAACAGTATTTCCGTCGATAAACTAAGTTAGGTGAAAAAAAAACAGACGTGCTTATCTGTTATTTTTTATTCCTTTTCTTTTTTCTTCCAGGAATTTTGATGGCCGAGCGCAATGCGGCCGGTAAACTCAGTGCTTGTGTCGTATAGAGTTTAGCGTTTCTTTCGAGGCACAGCTGCTTCTTGTAGATTATCGTTCGGATTTTAGGGACTCGCGAAAGTAGAGTCAGTGTTTATTGCGCATAAATTTCTTTCAGAGCATCGGGGCTTATTTTCTTTTACAAATCGCGACTGTAGAATCATTTGTTCGCCGTCATTGATTTTCGGTCGCGTAAATTAATTATCATTAGTCTTTCACATATTTTAGAATTTTTATTTTGAGAATTCAATTTAATCGTTATCGGAATTAGAATCAGTGCATCACTGAAGAGGAGTTTTGAGCGATTCTCCACGAGAGAAAAATGTAAGTATTGTTGAAATTTTTATATGAAATTAAAACTCTCCATAATTTTAATAAGAGATTATAATTGTTTTCTTCTCCTTTACAGTTTCTTAGCCTCATCTCCAAATCCACTAGAGGGCTACTACTACAGGATCAGGCAGACGACTTGGTCGATGATTTACCCTGGACAACAGCAACATCCTGGACATGTGGCCAAGGTATTCTCCATCGTAATCAACGATCGGTGAGTCGCATGTGTTTTGTTCCTCCGGTCCCCAATTATGTCGTAGGACGAAAGGTCCGAATCGACATGGGTGATTGGTTGTATACGTAGTTTCTTTGGCAAGTTCAGTGACCGCGGGTATTTTTATACCCGTGAATAATAACACATGTATATTGTTTTATTTCAGGACCTTTAATTTAGGATCTTCTTGCATACCGCGATTTTTAATATAATAAATATCATATCACTTTTATCTTATAATTACATTTATTTTAGACTGAATATTGAATATACTATATCGTCTCTAATATCGTTTGATAATTATATTCACTTTATAATTAATTTGACGATTTTCTGTATCGAAGATACCAAAGTCATTCCTTACTTATTAACAAATATGATTCGATTAATATGCAAGAATATATTTCGTGACGGATACATTCTAGAGTCAAAGCAACATATATTATGTACTATTTTCACATTTCAAAAATATGCTTTGACGACGGAATCGCCCGAGGGTTAAATATTTTGATCAATTACATTTTTAAAGTAATTAATTTTATTATAAAGTCTTACTTAGAGTCTTTTTTCTTATGCATGCAATTCAATTATGAATAGTATACTTTTCGTATAGAAATAAATTTTTTAAATATCAATTTGAAATGAGAAAAAGTAAAGAAAATTTAGTCCGTTTTAGATTGTTATTTATATTCTAACCATTTTTCATAGCCAGGATTTTCAGGCTCTTTTCCCGTGTTTATTGCCTAATCTCACTCAAGTGCCCAGGTGCTACTTGAATGAGTGAAGGCAATAGGCACGATGACTTTGTTTATAATTACTAATCATATATCTATGCGACTGACATTTGCTAGTGTATCGTGCGCGACGCAATTTTCACATGTGTGTGTTTGTGGTTAGGATGTGGAATTGCGTCGTTTCAAATATTCACTATAATTTACAAAGATAATTTTATTTCATTTTGTATATATTTTTTACATATTCAATGAAATGTAAATGAGAATTAGCTTTTTTATATCGAACAACGTACTGAAGAGAGTCGATTACGACATTATTATTTATACAATAGTATATTTTATCAATGATTTTATTTGCTAAAAATAACGTAATATACGCAAAGGTCACTAGTCATCTTTCAGTCGATTTCAGGAAATGGTACGTAACTTTAGAGTGTGATTGTTGTATGCAATGTCCGGGTGTCGGAGGAACCCCGGGGAGTCCTCCCTAGTTTAGGTCGCGCCCGGACATTATGCGTGAGAACCGTGGAGTGTGTGTTTGAGAGAATGAGTTTTGCAATTTTTTAAATACAGCGTTAGGTAGGCAGGTAACTTTCTGGTATGCGTGTTAGATGTAAGTAGGTAGAGTCAGAGCAGGACTGTCCACATTTAGTTACTCGGGTAGGCACATTTTCGCGTGGCAGTCCTGTATCTGTAGTTACGATTTTGAGAGTGAAAAGTTAGCCGATTCGAACGGTTTCTACCGTTTGTTTTGCTGTTACTTTTGATTCTTGAAATCGCTACGACTCTTAAAGTCGCTCTCACGCGTTCGCGGTCGCGATTAGGCCCCCTCGAAACGCTCGTCCCGCTCGAGTTACTCCACACGTGTGCCGACAATAATTCCGATTGTTGGAGGTACTCGTATTGCACGGAGTGCTCGAGCCCGGTACAATAAGTTTCAGGCATCGGCAGGACCGCCGAAGAAAGAAGAGACCCGTTGAGTTGAAGAGGCCCTGACAAACTGTCGCAAGAATGGGCTGCAACAAATGACTCTTTATCTTCATCTTCGGATGAGGATGGAAAGTCATGCTACTTTTGTCACTGTACTTGCCTGTAGTTGTAGTATTTTTAGTTTTCTAGATGGTACATACTTGCACCTGTATGTACCACAACGTCCAGTGTGTGGCAAATCGCGTTGCTATTATTTTAACTTCACGGTGATTAGATTTAGAGTCGCGATCATTTTACGCGTTCGATTTACAAGTTAGTGTCGCGAACAAGAACTGTTCACGGTTTGCTATTAGCGTTGCGAAGCATGAATGATACTCGCGTTGTTTATCTAGAGAATTTTTCAAATAATTAGTTTTCCAGTTCCATTTAGAGTTGCGCACTACGAGAATTTTTCGCGATTTATTTCAGAGCAGAGTCGCGAATAAAAGTTAATCAAGGTTTGCATTAGAGTTGCGCAATATTAATCGCGTTGCAATTAATACGAACGAATCGCGATTATATTTCAGGCGTTTTGTATTAGTGTTGCGATATTGACGAATCGCGTATAATTTCTACGTATATGTACCCATAATTTGATAACGGGTACAATAGAATTGGAATTCTATACTCCTGGTAACCCAAAAACGAACTTTGTTTCATATTGTCTAATTTGTGTTTCAGGAAATCATCGTGGGATAAATAGAAGAAAGAAGAATGAAGAATATGTATCCATGTATTTGCTCAGTTTATGTTTATGTATATATTTTCATATTGCTCAATTTATGTTTCAGGAAATCATCGTGGGATAAATAGAAGAAAGAAGAATGAAGAATATGTATCCATGTATTTGCTCAGTTTATATTTATATATATATTTTCATATTGCTCAATTTATGTTTCAGGAAATCATCATGGGATAAGGAGAAGAAAGAAGATAGATTTTCATTTATGTTGTGAGTTGATTGCATAGGAATGAGTTGGAACACTTTGCAGTGTGTTTAGTTGTGTGTGAATCTCGTTTTGGTTAGAATATTTAATTCATATTCGATCGTCTTTGTTACTTGTCGCTGAGCCTTTATTCGGCAAAATCTCCTTAGAACTCTGCTGTTACGTTACTTGTCGTCATCGTTAGTTGCTGTTTCGTTGTTATTCGTTATAGATTCGTTAGAAATGGAGGGTGGTTGGGATTCGGTTAGGGCGGGTCTCCATTCGCAGCAACCTCCTCGTGGTGAGACCTGGGTAATATTATTTAGCGTTTAATTATTAATTAAAAACTAAATAATATTAGCAAATTGGCTGCGATCCGCTTCGCTTAGACTATCATTAGTTTACTAAATTCAAATCGTAATTTCCGCCATATTTAGTTTTGATTCTTGTAGTTAGTAGCGCTGCGGTCTGATTCCATTCTGGGTCGATAACGCTGGACTCGACACTGAAATGGTAAAAAGATGGCAGAGTATTGTCACAGACTAGGTATAGGGTAGACCTATAGTATATGTTTGCTTTCTCCACCATTTCGTTAGACGCTAAGGAAGTTCGTCGTTACTAGTGTCGCCGTCATTGCACTTAATTATACCAAATCTGGTCATACTGGAATAGGTTCTGCAGATGTTTTGATAAATTGTGAAGTTAATACAACGTACACATATATATTTATTACTTTGATTCGATTTCTTTATGTGCGAAACATGTAGAATCAATTTAAATATTGTATGTGAAACGATTAAAGGAAAAATACGAAGTATCAGGTTATTTTTGTTGTTACGAGACATTTAAAGGACTAACGCTAGTCGAAATATGTGAAAATTTTGTTTATGTTTAACCTCTAAGCATTGTTAACTTGTTGATCAGTTTTATACTTGACTTTCGTGAGAATTATGAATAAAAATAAACAGTTAACGACGAAATGCAGTGTACAACACAGAAATAAGAATATAGACAACAACGAAGAAGGTAATTGTGATTTTAGTATATAGTGAATCGTTAGAATCGGATCAATTGCATCTGTAAGCATAAATTTTCTGTTTTAGCACCGGTCAAAAAAATTATGAAACTCGACAGAGGAAGCGAGTCGCCACAATATTTTTCCGATTCACGTGTTTCCGGGTATAGCACTCCTATTCGAAAAAAGGTTCAATTAATCGATTTAGAAGATTCTCCTGAACTTGATTATCATTATAGTCCAATTTCGCTTCCTTGTACTCAAGAGGGGGGTAATGAAATTGCGTGGGATTGGCAAATTTCTGCTGGCAAAAATTCCAGCGATAAGGCTAAACTGCAAACCAATCAGGTGGAAACTCCTAAACGAACCAAACAATTGCAAAAGAAACGAAATTCTAATTCTCCTTTATTGCAAAAGCCGCTTAAAAGAAAACAGGTGAAAATGGAAAACATAGAAAATATTGGGAAACTGACAGCTGAATTGAAAGCACTAAGCGAGAGAATGAAAAGTATGCAACAGAGTTGTGAAACTGAAAATCATAATATTGTAAAAAACGACACGAGCGAAGAAGAACATGAAACCGTATGGATAGATTTGTGCAGTGACGATAGTGACAATGCGAACCCACAAGTCTGTGTTAATAATGACAAGTTAAAAGTAGATACCATTATTAGTAGTAGTAATAATAAGAAGGATTCAAACTATGAAGACTTATTTGATGACTCGATCGATGATTCCATGATAAAATGTACTCAGGAAATTGAGGAAAAGTTGAATTTGTGTAAGGGTAATGGAAATGATGCAGTGGAATTACTTATAGTGAACAAAGAGAAAGATTTGTTTTCCGTATCTGAAAATGAGGCATCGTGTTTGACAACATCTAGTAATTCTTCTATCTCTAAGAGTTCTTCATTGGTTAATTCAAGCGGTTGTTTAAAAACATATTCAAACAATTTGAGTAAAGTGAATTTTACATCTAATATTTCAGTTTCAAGTTTGATAGATTCGAGTTTCCAAAAGTCATATTTAAAAAATAATGTGATAAATGCAAAAAATGGAAAATGCGTGTTTTCAAAGTTGCAAAAGGAAGATGTATCAAAGATTCCAGACGATTCTTTTGACGATTGTTTAGCAACTTGTATGGAAGATGATAAATTAATGTCTAAATTGTCAGAATATGATTTCAATGTTTCAAATGCAGATTGCTTGAGTAATTCTAGAAAGGTTCCTAAAAAATCTATTTCTAATATAATAGATAATAAACAAGATTGTAAAAATTTTGCTCCAAAAGCAGTATGTCCTTCTCATAACAATGTATCTGTCGAACACGAAAATCCTAAATGTATTATTACCAATGATCTGAAAGAGATCGATGCTACAGATTATAAAGAGGCAATTGTAAAATCTTTTGCTGACAAAACTACTTTAGAAAGTAGAAAATTCTTTAAAACAAAAAGTTTATCAGATCACTTTTATCAAACCAAAACCTTTAATTCGAGAAATAAAAAGAGTAAACCTGGTGTATCGCCTCAAAAACGATTTCCATCAAATTCAGGTAGTTTCGCACTAAGTACTACTCCTATCGTAAAAGGTCAGAATCTGCATGAGAAGATTAATAACGTCCCACAAAAAGCGCCCGGTAATTGTTTTGTAAAACACAAATCAACTAGTAATTTATGTAGTACGGAAGTGGTTGCGAAAGAGTCCCAACCTATACAGTGTACTCCCGAAGAAATAGAAAAAAAACGATTGGAAGCAAAGATGAAACTAGAGTCAAAACGGAAATTACAACAAAATACAAAAGTAGCTAGTACTCGAATAGAGATTCCGACGTTGAAGTCCGTGAAAAGGTGATAGTCTTTGATAAAATAAATTGATGAGACTACTTTCAATGATGCCATGTTATATTTACAGTCATACGAGTGCTTATTACACATAATACTATAATTTCAACTATGTATTATGTTAAAATAATTTAATTATGTTTGTAATTTTCTATTTTGTTGTCTGGCAAGCAGTTATTATTACTTTGCAGAATGTACAGTCGATAAACTCCAATGACCTCGTTAAAGTAGATATAACAATACGTTATATTAATTTCTAAATTGTATATATACTTGTTAGTAAAATGTATTTCAAAATATGTATCGATTCTGTGCCTTAACATAGAACGAGTATACAAGTTAAAATAAATAATCGTTTTTTAAACTATATTGTGCCGTTCCACGATCGAATATTATCACCTGAACGTTCGAATTACTTAGGGATACAAGAGGATTTTCATTAGGGGATGAAAATAGTTTTTATTTTATTTCAATTAAAATTTCCATCGCTCTTATCGGGAAGTCCGTTAGTTTATTGCACCGTCCAATCTGGCTGTCTACCGTTTTTTTCATATTTGGACGCGTCGCCGGTCAAAAATTAAGTGCTGTTTTGCAATGACTCCCACTACGGAGTATTATAGACCGCGACTATTGGTTAGCATTTAGTGAAACGTAAACCAATGAGTGTACAGTTTTCCATGCCACTGCTTCTAACACGCCCCTACCGAGGTTACGTGTTTTGCAACGCGAAGTATAGACCCAGAACCAAGAACTCACTGAAACAGTCATTTACGAAAACCCCTCGCTTGTACGATCTAGTAATTGTTAACGTTTTTTAGTTGTGACGAACCACGTGAGTGATAATTCTCCTTGCTTATCTACCTCGTCGCAATCTGGTTTCAACTCGAGTTTCTTTCCGTTCTAACAAGCCTATGTTTTGTTGTAATTGTAGAAAAGAAAAGAAAACGATAAAATCTATTCGTCCATTTAGCGTTTCTTTATTACTATAAGTTTCAAAAAGAGTTTGATTTCGTTGCGACCGAATGGTAAACTTTCCTCGAAGCACAATCCGCACGTATTGCGCAGTAGTGTTACGTCGTCCGATTTAGTCAGACGTATGCTACTGCGAGTGAAGTCTTCTTTCGAGCGGTTACCGTACTCGCGGTAATAAATCAGTAACGTTCGAAGCAATCTTTTTTTGGGCTCTACGCGGATAGTCTGTTTCGTTCGAAGGGCCACGAATCGTCCAGACGAATCACGAAAGAATATGCAACAGTGTCTGACTAATTCCAGTTGTTGCTACTTGCCCGCCAAAAAACCGCGCGCGAGGGAAAGCGCGTGCGAGCGCGTACGTTCGAAGCAAGAACGTTGAAAGATAGTGGTCGGGAACGAGCGAGGTAAACGTCGAGGTATCGGTGAAAACGAACCGTCGAAAAATTAACCGATAGATAAAAAGGGTTATGGTAGATCGCGCGAATACTGTAGGTTGGACAGTTTACCGCGCATGTTTAGCGGGCGAGCGCTATCGCACGAAGCGCGTCGTTCAATCAATACGCCGGCACGTGACGTCAGATCAAAGCGCATAGCGGCGTCGTCGTTTCGCGCACCGAGCGAACTCGCGATCGGTAACATATTTTCTTTCAGGTACGCACGAATTTGCACGCAGTGCACGCAAAGATTTGCACACGCAACATTTCGATCGGGTTCTCACGCGTCTGACGGTCGCGCACCTCGCCGCCGTCGCGTTCATTGCGCGTGTCCGTTGATAGAGGAGCACTTCCTCCGCGCATCCTCGCGAATGTTCGGCACGCCAGCGTACGTTGCCGAACTGTGACAATGCTCCTCGCGGTGATCGCGTTCCTCTGCGCCGGCAGCAGCGCCGAAGTGTTCACAAATATGTTTCTCGTGAAAATGCGACAGCCCGCGGAAAGATACATCGCCGATCAAGTAGCAGCGAGGAACGGATTCGTCAATCTTGGACCGGTAAGCGTTTTCATCCTTCACACGCTAATAAATACTCGATGTTCGCCGTGTCGCGACGCGTGTCCTTTTCTTCGCTCAATTATTCTCAGCAATCGTGTAAAACAGCCAATGTATCAACGTTAATCAGAAGTTTACAAGTATTCGGGTACATCGGTGTCGCCGGTGACCGATGGACGCTCACCTAAAACGCCCGAAAGCTGGCCAGTGTAAACACTAAAAGATTGTTAAAAGAACTTTCCAAAAACACCCTATACCGGCGTTTTCTTTCTTATCGAGTCTGTTATCCCATTCTAGTTTACGATAAACTAAACGTAGAAACGTAGATTATAATGTTTCTATCGTTAAAAGGTGGTAATTGTCTTGATTTCGTATCGCAGCAATTTTGGTACTGTATCGGCGTAGTACCGGTTGCTCAGAACCAACTGTAGCTATAGAATCCTAGTCCTATGTTTACATTCGGTGATCTAAGGTTAAATATGTTCATATTCTCTAAAAGTAAATCTTCGTTCTGTAGCGTTTCCAGGTGTTTGTAAAATTCATTTCTTAAAGATATTGTCAAAGATTGGGCTTGGTCTGGGTTTAGATCAACCTTACGTTGTAGATAGTTTGCGTTGGAATAAAAAATCTTGAATATTATGTACGTCGATCAACGAATTAACGGATATTCCGTTTGTTGAATGGGACACATTGTTTGTTTGCTAGCGGGAAAAATCTGTGTCGACCACATTCATCCTTGCTCCACTTCACCTTTGATTTATATCAACGCGAACCTCGTTATCGGTTCACCGCATGAACGGCCGATATACAGGCGAGATCTACGAGTAGCATTTCGTCGTGGTTGTCACGAATACCCGCATTATCGCGGAAACATGCACGAAACGGTTGGTCCGGCATCAAAACTACGTAATATATGTATCAAAGATTAGATAAACTTACTCCATAGACAGCCTTATGTCTCGAGATAAAACTTGAACGACGTGTTCTCGAGGATCCATCGATCCAACTGAAATTTTGCGATCATTTAGCAAATTCAACGTAAGACGTTTTCTAAAATTTTATTTTATTTTAACAATTATTTCCACAGTTATTTGCCATTAGAAATGGCGTTAAAGTATAAGTAACATTCATTTATTATTTCTTTGTTCTGATATAAAAAAGCCATCGTAAACTAGTAGTGGTCAGTCTCGATCCATAAAGCACAACAGGGAGATCGATTTGATATTATCTTACCCAACGAACTCGTAAATCGTTGGGTAACTGGTCTCGATGCCCAGTTTGTCTACGCGAAGTGGAAACATCGGTTTGTGGTCAAACGGCACGACAGTGGAGGAGACACGGTATCGTCCGACGCCTACGCGACAGATTATCTGTGTAGGCATCGTTCGACGCGCCCAGCTTTCCTGTCGTTGTTTTTCCGTCGATATCCTGTACACAGGGTTCCTTTACGAGTAAAACGATATAAAGAAATTTACAATTGGGTAAAAAGGTCTCCTTAAAGTAACGCTTTGACTGTCACGTCCACTCATATATGGAAAACAAATTTTCAACTTAAATTTGTACATGCAATGTTCGCAAGAAACAGAACAGATTTTTTCAAACAGTTGGAAACGAGAACGTTCGAGAAACGACCAAGTTATTCTCACGGCGATGAGGATCATGTTAAACACGCTTCTGGCGTTTCGCGACAATTGAAACGTTTCACGGTATTCCATTAAAGTGACACAAAAGCGGGACGAAAATGCGAAGGGTACAAAGATCGTCGTTCCTTCTTGGGAAATGTTTGTCCATAGAGTTGAAAGGGGGACTATCTCGACGGATAAATTGCGTCAGGCGTTGGTAATTGCGGCGTCAGGTTGTTTCCTTTTATTAAATTCACTGAACGAAGGTTTTCGGCTATACTCCGACATTGGGAAGTTCTAGTTATTCGTTAGAGAAACTTTTTTGTTAAAATTTCGATACGAATGCGCAAACGGGAACGCCAGCTGATAACAGTTGGGATATTTATTCGAATAACGACTAGATCTAGGCTCGTTTAATCATGTCGAAAGAAGCTTCGTGCCTCGTTTTATTGAAAACGTGGAAGGTCAGCTGAAAGCTATTCGCGTTGCACTTAAATTGAAGAAAATTGAGTAGAGGGTGTTGCGTAGGAAAACATGTTTCTCGTTGCGTACGTTCTATTTTTACTTCCCTGTAGGGAAGGATCAGGAAGAATTCCCTACGAAAATTGGCAGAAGAACGCGTTTCCAGACTTTCTGATTCCATTCTGCGTGTATTAACTAAGATGATTCTAAAACAATAGCCTGTTGCCTATACGGGAATCTCGTGGAAGCGATTTCTGGCCATTTTCAAGCTCAGTCGAACGGAAATTTTGCGTCAACCTCGAACCCGTGGGGTTAAAGTCAATTAGGCGGAAGGACGAAGGGATTGGGAAAGCTCGATGGAATAAAGAAAAAATTAAAGCGACACGTGGATCGTCCGAAACCTCCCTTGTTAATATTATGTATGGATTTTAGGTACGCGAGTAGATAATGTTTCATTCGTCTTAAACAAATTGATATTCCAAATACGCTGCGCTTCCTCTGTCGCGACAATTTTGCAAAACTTCTATTTAAATTTTACGTAACGAAATCGCGCCCCGTGTACGTGTGACCCTATTTTTATACGGTGAAAGCGTACCGTGTGAAAGAACATTGTGCAAAAAAGGTCACGCGAATACCGTTCAACAGAAACGTATGAAACTTGGTTAAACGGGTGCAAGCTGTACAAACAATAATTTAATTCGATTCGATGCTCGTAATAATGGCGGTTTGTTTAAAATAGTCGTACGCAAGATGTAATTTACTTTGATCGAATCGATATCACCCCGAATGGTATATTTGTAATGATCGGTGACGTTGTTTCTCGGTATCGCCGGTTAATTAATCGGCTCGTGACGTACGCGTTGGATTATCAGTATGATCGATCGTCGCCACCGACGACCGATTAGGGCCGTCATCGTCGGCAACGATGGATTTTTATCGCAGAAAGGAAGGAATGAAATTGTCGCGACCAAGGGGGAGACTTTCATCTCGTTAATTGATAGATCATCGCGTAACGTTTCGCGAATACTGCGAAAGAAACGCCGAGGAACAAGGTGGGCTCCCCATTGTGAGCGGAAAGGGGAGAGGGGAGGGGGAGGGTGGTTTACCAACAAATAAGAAAAAGATCAGTCGAGAGAAGCCGCGTAAAATAATCACGTTAAATAGGTCGATCGATCGGAATGTCGCGGTAACGCTAGCAACCTTTCAGTTTGATGTTGGAAAACTTCCTTCCAACGTGGGTAAAGAACACCATACTTTCCTTTTTTCATTCCACTTTACGATCTTACTCCGCGTAGTCGTCGCTGAATGAAAATTGTTAATCCACCCTCCCAGCGAAGGGGACAGTATAGGTGTTAATTTCTTGCCAGTGTGCGTGCATGCGAGGGTAGTATTATAGAAACGTTCCAGCAGTCTATAAACGTTAGTCGTTCGATGCCCGTATATTGCAACGAACAACAATCGTATGTCGTTTTATTTTGATCTTCGTCGTCGTTTGCATGCACGTACTTTCCCGTTGGATAATCGTGAAAAGTCGCACCTTCGTTCCGCGACAGAAATCTACTTCGTCACGGCACGATATTAACTGCTTTTCGCTCGATGTCCCGGAACAATAACCGTTTATCATTGTGCCGTTTCGCTAATTAAATTACTTCCCGCGCGCTCGAACGTATTCGCGGGAAATGCCGGAAATAAACTTACGCGTACAGCGACGAAGGCTACGTGTGAATTACATTCGATTTTCGGAACGTCCATGGGAAACTCGGTAACTTTGTTCGCGCGAATAACTTCGAGTTAATTAGGAATATCAATTTTAGTCGAACCGCGAGTCTTTTAGCCGGGATATAATATAAATTGTTAATGGACGGGTTCCGTAAATCTGGACGAAGAAATTCCAAGTGCGCTTTATCGTTGGATCGTCGAGCACGCGAACGTGTTCGTGGCAGAAACGTAGCATCAGCTGCGTGCAGCAGCATCGCATAGCGACACAGGACGCGTTTATTACGGTTCCGTGGTTATGCATCGACTATGCAGATTTCTCTCTGTTCACCCTTTCGTATGCAAGTGCCAGGAGGGACAGAATTGCACGGGGGAGAGAGCTAGAACTTGCACAGTGGCCGATAGCTGCGCTTCGTTGCGCAACGATCACCGTTCCGTTACAGACGCCTCGAGTATTTCGGACCATTCCACTCGAAGTTGCGTAATTTGAACACCGCACAGTGGTAAAAACATCGATTACCAGACCAGACGGAACTATTAGAGGATGATTTGCGTCGATAATTGCACTCTTAACGCTTAAAAGTAGGGACGTGAGACTCGAAACCAAAGTACAATTGCATATTACATCATCCAAGTTTGCCCGATAAGATTCTTTTCTCCCTGTGATCGATTGTATTCTGAATTTTCAAGAATACAGGGTGCGCGTATCGTATATCGAATTGCATCTGCATACAACGGTCGTCGATACAGATAGGACAATAAACCTGTGCTCCTGTATTTATACGCGCAACACAAGTAGCAATGCTGTGCTAGGTGTTACGTACTTGCTAATTGGATTACGTGACACGTGTAGCTCCGAGTTAAACTGGATTATAGGATGACCGGTTCGCGTGGGTGGACTGGTGCTTTGAGAGACACAGCGAATAGGAGTCAAAGGGCCGGTCCTTTTGAGCATTACGCGATTAATTTTGATCGCTAAGTTTAATAGCTTCGAATTGGAGAATTTCGTAGGCGTCCTAATGCACAGCCTTAGGCAAACGAAATTCTAAATCAATATTCCATACGATGGAATTCCATTTATAGGAACTCAACGGGGTACTAGCCAGTTCAGATAACCGGGCAGGTTCGTATATTACATTTACATATCGTAGCAAGAATTGCTCCAATAGGTATTTGGTCGAGGTACGATTTGAGAGCGTTTAATCTACATAAGAGCGTTTTCGTGTCGCGAACGTTATCGTTCCGATGGGAAGTTTTCAAGGGACCGCGTGATTATCGAACACGTTTCACCGATTCTAGCAGCGGATCGATCGTACAGTTGCCATTTAACAGGTTCCCAGTCTACAACGATGTCATGGGTAACCGCGACGCGATGTACGCGTGAATGTTTAATCGACAACCGAGAATAGGCCGATAAGGTATTGTCGGCCTCCGGTTTGTCTATGTCGCGGATGGTCCGTCGCCGTCTCAGTTTCACCAGGCTGTCGAACTCTATCGATCGGAAACTATAGGCTGGTCACGTTAACCCTGTTGACCAAATCAAACGATTTTACGTCCCGTTTAATTCTTCCGCCGCAAGAAACATTAGTTGCTTCGAACACTAATCCTTGTATTATACGATAGCCGTTAGGACATCTCGAAGAAAAGAAGCAATTTAGTTTTTAAGAAAACGCGACTTGGAGACCGGAGAGAACTATCGGAAAAACAATCAGACCTCGCGGGCAACGGGGGTGAAAATAATTTTTAATCGAGAACGCGGATCTGGGTCTCGCGTTTCTCTTTGCTCGTCGCGACGAACCGGCTGAAAAGCAGCGGGGGCTGCATTTGAATCCAATTTGCGAAAGTGTTTCTTTCTTCTCGCGGAACGTTTCGCGATGGGCGTGCCTCGTTCTCCAATTTCCACGAACGACGATGAAATTTGTCGATCGTCCGGGACCATTAAGATCCACTTTCCTTTCGATAAGGTGAAAACAAACTGTTCTCGATCTCCATTCGTTCCAATTCGTTTCTGGCCTATGGATAAATCGCGACTACGATTACCGTAGATCTCTGAACGAGAATATTGAATTTATTTCCACCGGTATTTTTCTCCATCGTTTCTTTAGTCCGAACGAATTGACACATAACAGGGGTAAATAACACGCGCGCATTTAATCTGCCGTTGGATCGATTCCCTATCGAGGTTATTAATCGGATAACAGTCTGAGCCATAATCGAGAGATAACTTTATCTATCTATAATTGGTTCGAGTGGATTGACGAAGCGATGTCTCATCGTCCCGATCGTTAACTTACTTCTGTATAATTCGATCGTTCCTATTTACCTACGTGCTCGCCGAAGTTAAGGGTAGTTTAAGACTCCCATCGAGAGGGAAGTTCTTTCGTCCATTGGCGTGCACATTCGGTCGATGATCGACGAGGCGTTATCGGTGTGTTCGTTGAAATAAATGGAAAAATTACGGGCTTCCGGGCACTCGGAACACTTTCCCTGTTTTCTTAAGAGGATCGGGGGGAGATAATGCGTTTAGCAGCAATGTCTTTCAGCCAATTTTCCTGACACGTCCTCGGTCTCGACCCATCGATTTTCCCACATCGCAGAATGTTTCAAGTCGACTACAGATTGTTTTATTTCTTTCATTTAGGTGCTGGGCAGCCAGACCGAATATCATTTCGTGCACAGAGCTTTGCCACACGCGCGGAGCAAAAGGTCCGTGCCGCATACGAGAAGGTTGAAGGTCGACCCTTTGGTAAGCGACGCAATTTTAAAGTTCCAGAAGCTCTCGACGTTTTTTTTTTTCTTTACTAATATATATTTTCTTTACTAATATTTCTTTACGTAATATATCTCCCTTCGCTCGTGACGCTGCAGTCTCTGTCGTATAATTTTCCATTTCATAAAATCTCCATATATCCGAGAAGGTGACACGAAACGACGGATCCTTTCAATTTCCGTTACCGTATTCCTTGGTCGTGTTCGGTTTCATATACTTCGTTGCGCCCGACAATTTATATTCCGTCGTGTCGCGTCCGTATTTACCATTCAAAGAAACTAATCTCGAGAGAATAAGGGTCTATAACGTCGTAGTTTGTTCGCGCCTCGCGAGCCACGAATCCGTTATTGTATTCCGAGAAAAATAACCCGGTTGATTTCCAAAAGAATTTCAAGGCAATAGCGAGCGAAACGAATCGTGTTTGAAACTCGACTCGATAGTGTACGCGATACGGAACCGCTCGATATAAATGTAAATGAATACCCAATTTTCAACGAGTGACGAGAACATAATCGAACGCGGAACAAATTGCTCGCATAAAATTACGATCCTTTGACGGTGTCGCGCGCGGACACAGAATTGTCATCGATCCCCGTGGAAAGGACGTTCATTTTTCACTATCCCTTCGTACATATTCATCATACGAGGCGTCTCTCTCGGTTCGTTCCCTCGATTCTCATAAAAAATTCATGATAATTCCATCCGATCTTGTTCGTTTGTTAGCTCTTCCCGGGAAACGTGATATATCCCTTGCCTTACAAAGTGATTCTCTTACGTATATCCACAGACTCTCGGAGAGACTTATCATTTATATTAAACCACGTTTCACGAAATTTTCAGCACGAAAATTCTAAAATTCATGAATCTTAATTCTTTATTTTCTTTAACGTTTCAACTTGAGGATCGATTGTTTTAGTAAAGTAAGTGTCAAAGCAGCGAGAGGATTGGGTGGAATGTTTCAGGTGCATACCGCGGTGCAGCAGGCTGGATTCAAGAGGGTGAAAAGGGGTTACAAGCCGCTGAGCGTGGATAATCTTGTGCCAGTTTACCAAATTAAAAATCCGGCGAATCCGGGGAACAGAGACCCGTCGGATCCGTACTTTCAGTATCAATGGTATTTGAAGAACACGGGACAGAATGGCGGAAAACCGAAGCTGGACTTGAACGTGAAGGCAGCCTGGGCTCAAGGTGTTACGGGAAAGAACGTGACCACGGCCATAATGGACGACGGTGAGTTGGCGTTTAGGGGATAGGCGATTCGTTGGGACAGAGCAAGGATATCGATTATATCGGACGTTGAACAAACGTTATCGACGAATAATTTTTCGAAGCGTAAGGAAACAACGTGGCCAATTTATTAGGTTGTATAATAAATCCGTTGACGTCGACGATGGCACTTTAATACTTTGTTAGAAGCTTTTATTGCGTAACTAGAAGATTAATAGCGCGAGATGCTGTCCACGACCGGATAAATTAAAACCTGGCGAAAGGAATGGCCATCGCTCGTACTTAGAAAAATGATTACAAGCCGAGGGAAACCTGGGAATTCTCGAGATAAATTGATAATTAACGCAAGCAAAGATGGGATAAAAATTAATCATAGTTTAGATTTCGTGCAATTACGTCGGGTAATTGCTATTTTGCCGGGGGATTGTAATTGTTAACGGACCGTTCGCGAATATAAGGTAGAAATTTTGCCGGCGGGTCCTCGAGACAACTCATTAACAGAAAGCGCTTTAGCTTAGATTACGCGTCACGTGGACGTCACATTCCTGAGGCTGGGTGCATTAATTGCTGCGCTCCAACAGGGAGATAATCACTTACGGATATTGCTCCGACATAATTTCATCAATTATCGTCGCCCGTTACTTTCCTTAATAAGTACTTTGACGTGCCTCGATTCTGCAAAATCGTCCCCAGAAGTAACACAATTCTACAATATTAGTTTAATACTCGTCCTCCTCGTTTTACATTTTCCTGTTATCTTCCAATTCGTGTTGAGTTTTCCTTCGATCATGTTACGAATTAAGGAGCATCGTAGACTCGAGGAATCTCGTATAATGAACTTTTAATTAACGTATGCTTGTCAGCCGTCGCTCAAAACGTTTGTATCAATAATTATCTTCGATGCGATACGGTCGTGAAAATGACCCGGTTCCCGGGTGTTATCCGTTCGAATGGAAGTAAAATTTATATCCAGGCCTCGCGATTCAGCTAGATTGATTAAACCGCGCGCATCGAGCCTCGTTTACATACGGATATCGACGAGTTCCGGTGAACGTTTATAACCAACAATCCAATGGATTTCAATTTCAGAGAGATACATTGACAACTAACCACCGATTCGATCACGAGCGACGTTTATGCAGGGTGTCCCGCGTTTTTTCCCCTCCATACTTTGACAAGTAGAGGGATTTCGATCCCATAAATACCCATTAAGCCCGGAAAATTGATCGAAACGACACCATCCCCTTTTTTTTTATTCTGTTACAGGCGTGGACTATATGCATCCGGATCTAAAGTACAATTACGTAAGTATATCCATTATTATCACTAACGTGGGTTGACGATTTTCATAAAATTCATTAGCATAACATTGGACGGGTCTTGAAATTCAAATCGAGCTATAAACATGTCCTTCTTGCACCAAACGGGTAACGGTAAAGCGTCGAGACGCTTCCATTTTCATCCCACGTAGCTTCCTTGTCAGTATTCAATTTAACAGGCGACTCCGTGTCGGTACATTAAATGTTAATCGACGCGAAGTCGAAGATCGAAGATCTGCGAGCTCCTTTGTCTCGCGTTGGGAAAATGAAAAGGGGACCGATGAAAAATCGCAGACACATCGAACAACTCGAATAATGCACTCTGTGCTTTGTGACTGTCGCAATTTTTTTCGATTAACCGGGAAACCTTTATCCTGGCAAGATAAAATTTTCTACAGGACTCTTGATCTCATTTACAGGTATAATATTTCTGCAACCTGCGTTTCTACCCGTATCGCCTCGTATCGTATCCTTAGGAGAGTATAAATTGCAAGGTCGAAGGCAAAGTACACAATTTCAACTGCCAATAAAACGACAATTTGTACTGCGAGGCAAGCACGAGTCTGCCCGAAGAGGAATTCTCACCCCTCGATTCCGATCACGTATCTTCCCTTGGTCTGCAACGTTCGCGTGACATTCTGACTCGGAGAAGAAAGTTTACGCGCGAAAGGTTACGGGTGGTTCGATGTCCGCCATGGAACTCTAATCGATTTCAGAATGTATCGTTGGAGTGATTATTGGTAGAAGCAGAAGTTAGGAAGAGAGCTTCGGGATGTAAGCTTCTGAAAATGGAAAGAATTTATAACAAGACCAAGTAACGTTTTCAACCAGCTTATAATGAAATGATCAAAGGAGAGGAGCAATTTTGCGTTGCACGGAAGCACGGAAAAGGGGGATTTTCGAATCAGTTTGTTTCGCAACAATGATGGATACTCGACCTATTTTCCGACCGGAGCGTTATCAAATTAAATATTTGCTCGCAGGATTTTGCCAGTGAAAATGGGAAAATAAAGTCATAACGGTCGCGTTTCGTATTCTCTTTCCCGATTCGTTTAACGGAATAGCGTGCAAAAGACAATGAAACCTACGTGTCGCGGAGACGCATAATCAACTTTGCGAACGAGCAGACAATGTGAGAAACTTGACGCCCCGCGCGAAGGGATGAAAGAGGGATTGAAACTTCGTAGGTGGAAAAATTCACGGGTAGACTAATTAATTTCTCTCTCGTCGAGGCAGAAGCTAATTCGAGCAGGGAACTGCGTACTTGGAAAGGAGAATTCGAATTTCTGTGAAGCGTGTCCTAGTTCGTTATCGAATTAAAAATACGTGGGTCGTTTGAACAGTTCCAGCGAATTAAACAAAACTAAATAGAAAACGTTTGAAAAATTACTTTGTAATTAAATCGTACGTCCAGGGGTTAGATATTTATTCAATGTTTTTTAACCAGTGTTGAAAATTATGGCTCACGATATTTTTATCCCCCCGAGAAACGAGAAACCGGATTAAATTTCTCGGGAATTGTCGAGAATTTTTAACGGAATTAAGAGACACTGAAATATTTGTTTCGAAAACTTACAGTGTATAAATTTTCAAAGGATCCTCGTAGATCGAGTTTGGCGAAACACCGTCCTAGGAATTTCGAAACTTGGTTTCGCGATGAAGATTAAAACTAGTCGACTCGGCCATTAAACGAGATCAGAGAGAAAGACGAAGAAACAGGGGCTGATGCGGAGGGTTGGTTTCCGAAAAACGAAGATTAATGACTGGCCAACACTGCCCGTGGATACGAGGAATTTACAGACGGTGAAATTAATAGAATAGAATTTTCACGACGAGAAAACTCCGGCTGCCGTTGGTGGATTCCGTCGCCAATCAATTAGCGACTCTTATCAAACATTCGTTCTTACTCCTCGCTATACAAATTCGTGGAATATTTTACGCTGGAGAAATTCCATCGTGGTTGCAGAGTTTCCAAGGGAACAAAAGAATTCCTCAGGAAATTGAACAAGGCGGAATCTTTATTATCGCGTACGACGTTCACTGCGAGCTGAAAGTCGCAAGTAGAAATATCGAGCATCGGTCAGACGCGTTAGCCAAATCACGCTCGATCGATTTCAGTCGCTATTTCCTCGACAACGGATGCTCGCGCGAACATTTTTGTATTTACTTTCGCACGAAGGATCCTCTTCCGGTATTCTGTATATTCGAAGAAAGGCCACGATTAGGGTCGACAGCTGAACGAGATCGGAAATCCAAACAATTGGAATTCGAATGACAATTAGAAAGGCGATTTATCGCCGTCTGGTAAATAGGTCATTTGGGATTTGCTTTGTTCGCCGTCCTTTATCCATCGAAAAAGCTTTCACGAAGCTTTCTATTTTAACAACTATTGTCTCCTTCCTGACATATGGACGGTGCGCGTTCGTGTTCGCGTCGGAAGGAAACCTAACGAGCCACGTCGGATCAGCTTTACGGATTGTCTCTCTAACGGCAGGGAGTCGTTCCTCTCTCAAGTTTTCTCCCCGTTCCGTGGAAATGATCGAAATCTTCCATCTGTTTCAGAATGCCAAGACTTCTTACGACTTTAGCAGCAACGATCCTTACCCCTATCCGCGATACACCGACGACTGGTTCAACAGGTGAGCGAACCAATCTTAACAAGACTTTATAGATATAGAACAGACATCCATTGGTAGGGACTGTAGCTCCGAGGGTAATTAATGATTTCACCGGGTGTCAATTAGCTTGGACGTTGGGTCGGGGTTTATTAAGAGAATCGTTGGAAGCTGGTTGCTCTTCGACTGAATATTGTTTTTTCTCGATGATCGGAGGCGAACCGGGGGAGCAAAAAGCCATGGAACTGGATAATAATGTTCGAGGGGTGGGCGAGTAGACCTAACTTTGTATCCGATAATGAGAAATCGACGTTCCAGTTAGTCGACGAAGGAAACTTTCCGTCGACGGATTCGCAGAATCGTCTTGAAAACGTGGGAGAAATTCAAGTTGAGTCGACGAGTATTACGCGTGACTCTCGAGTACCTGTCGCTTACGTAAAAGTATTTCTACAACGAGCGAGCTTATGTAAGCTCCCTAGCTATCGTGTTTCCTGTCGAACAAAGGCAGCGTGAACAGACTAACGGAGTTGAACGAATCCTCTCGGTTCCCCGTCGTTTCCGCCGATTAAGTTCTTTCTTATGCTGGAACTTCGATACTCTCCTAAATGGGCTGATATTTTCCAATACTCCATCTGTTGCGTCGACTACGAGCAATTTCCCGAGACCCCCCGGCGTATTTATACGATCTACTTGCCGCGAACTTGTCAGTACATTCGGGTAGGGTCTACCGTTACGAGGATCCTGAAAAATTTTCATCCTACCCTCTTATTCGTACCATCAAATTTCAACCTCCCACGCATCCTTTTTGCAATTTAAATTCTGACCTTGTTCACCTTTTCTCGAAGTTATAGTGGTCCAGAGATCAACAACGTGGTGTATATCGCGAAAAAAAAGCAGAGATTTGTTCGTTAGCTATAGGATCCTTTCCATAGAAACCGAATACTCGAACGGAGATTCGTATTTCCCTCGACGAGCCCAATTATTGTTCTCGCGTTACGGTAAATCATGGACAAATGACAGGAGCCTACGACGAATGGGTTTCGTCGAATCTTCCACGGCCCGATCGTAATTGGAAACGCTTTCTAAGCAGGATTGTTCGCACGGAATCCGTTAATCCGCGATATTGCACCAGGACTTCGGTTTAATGATCTTATTTACTTAGCCCGCGCACGTGGGAAAAGGTTAACGAAACACTTTCAGCGACGGTCGTCTCGGCTTCGACGTTCCTATCGTTTTTCTTCTCCTGCGCTTTTTACGAGATTCGTTCCTCGATTTTATAGGTTCAATCGGAACGCCGTAATAAAAGAGGCGAACGTAACGCCTCCACAAGCTTAACGAAAGAAACGAGACTATACCGATGAAATGACGGGCGATAAAAGTTGCCCACGACGATGTTCCTCGCAAGAAATATCCCACAAGCGTACCAACTTTGGATTCGATGTTGTTAAAGTTCGAGTCCGCGTCTCCTCCAATTTACTTTGCAAACTGATTCGCGATATAAGGTTTACAGACATCGTCTTGAAAATAATTAATTTTGTTTACACGAAATATTCCTGATTTATTTTCAACGATCAAAATTGCGTTACACGTTTCATTAAGATTAAAATACCTTGCAGGATCGTGTAATCGATATCGGAGTTAATTACGATCTGAAAATGCAGCGAGATTTATTTGCTTCCGATAATTATCGCCGAAAGGTTCGACGTTTCAATGAAAACTTTGTCCTCGTTAATTTTGTATTTAACGAATCCAAGATTATATTTGCCGAGTGTTTATCGAATGGCCGTTAATTTTGTGGTGCTCGCGACGTAGAATATAACGAACGAGGGTCCTTGCTCGCAAATTAATCGCGTCTGTTTCGTGTAATTACGTTTTAATCGCGGCTGATTAATTCCTGCGCTAAACCGACGCGTCCCTTTCTGCCCAGCTACGTAACAATCCGTCGGATCGTGACGCGGCGATTTACGTTGTATAACAGCGGTGCATTCGCTGGAAATTTATGATCATTTAATTAAATAGACTCCCAATTACCCGGTCACATTTTTGTTTAAACATTCTATTATATTTTCTTATGTGTACGTTAAGAAAAACGATTGCTTTTCCCAGCAAGAATTATGAAGAAAATAGGGCGCATAGGACGTCATAGCGAAGCATGTCGTTTGCGAGGAACGGTCCTAAACGCGGCTAATAAACGAGAAACGTCCTTAGTAATATTTCCCAGAGACGAAGTTGGACGTGCGTTGGCTGTGTATCGTGAAATTTTGATTAAATCCGCGGGTTTAGCACACAGGGGTTTCTTTTTTATGCTCAAACGCTGAAGGTCAGGCTCCGGATACTCGTACATCTTCGTTCGAAGAATGCCGGCGTCCGTTCCTTCGCATTGAGATTCATAATTTAGCCGTCTAAAGGGCGAACAAAGGCAAAGAACTCCCTGCCTCTTTTTTGTTCGCTTATTCGCAAACTTCCTCTCGTTAAAATTGCAGGGTCGTCAAAGGAATACGCCAGGAAGAATAATTACTCGTAAATCCAGATTCGATATGAGACTTCTTTTTCAACCTGGTGTAAACATATTCCCGAAGCTCTGTAGGTAAAATTATAACAAATTTTCCCTTTCTTGGACAGCCACGGCACCAGGTGCGCCGGAGAGGTGGCGGCAGCCCGAGACAACGGAGTGTGCGGCGTCGGGGTCGCCTACGATTCGAAAGTCGCCGGGATCCGAATGTTGGATCAGCCTTACATGACCGACTTGATCGAGGCTAACAGCATGGGACATGAACCTGACCTAATAGACATTTATAGCGCCTCGTGGGGACCGACGGACGACGGGAAGACCGTCGACGGGCCGCGGAACGCGACGATGAGGGCCATCGTGCGCGGAGTTAACGAGGTACCTATCGGTGTCATGTTTTTTTCCCCTTACGCGACCGCGAGATCTTCTTACCGACCTTCGTTCAAGACGGTCTTAAGGGTAGGGATCAACCCTTGGTGCTTGAAACTCTCCCTGTACGGCTTCGCGAGCCAAACGGTCGAAGAATCTGCAACTTCGACTTCGGCTAATCACTCCATTCTACTTTAAAAAACTGTACTCGAGAGGCTTCGGTCGGTACAGAATTTCGCAAGTTTCGCGCGTATCGGTAGCATCTTCCGAACGAGTAAAAAATACAGATAGAGTGGAAAATCCCGACCAAGTCCCTGGACGATACGCGTCTCTCGGTATCTCTGGCTTCGTTTCAGTTTTTACGCGAAAACCGTGTCGGCTATTTTGCACAGCGCGTTCTGATTTCTCGCGAGAGCGAACCACGGCGTGCACCGGGACGAAACTTCTGCGAAAACAGCGGAAATTTTTCGCCGACAAACACGTACGTTCGGAGAAACGGAAAATCGAGTTTTCTTTAAACACGATCGAGTCACCGTACGTCAACTTGGAACACCGACGTGTATTCATGGTATGCGCGGCGCGATAACGCGAAAATTCCATCGATTTGTCTTTGTTACGACATCGATTTCCGATACGTCGGTCCATGGATTCGGTATCGTACGATTGCACGCTCGGAATCGAGGCGAAATGCCAGCGAAGGTTGTCGAAACAGCGTCAGGGTGCAGCTGCTGTCAGGATTTTATCGTTATCTACGGTCAACCGAGCGAATTTTCACAAAGTTTCGGAAATTCGTAATTATCGCGTCGCTGTTTGCCAAGATATAGACATCCGGATAATCGGATGATCGTTTTTCATTTGTTTCGATCCGCACAGCGGCTGGGTGCATCGATACCGAAAGAAACGAAGTAATTGCCGTTGATGCTATATTTAACCTGAATTCACCCACGCTTTCCCGAGGCAACGAACTTTAAGCGTTCAATGTCGTTTGCGTGTGTGACGCACGCGAGTTTTCCGAGCGTGGGCAAACCGAAGGGACGTAGTGCCGAATTCAGGAGGGTCCGGAAAGACCGTTTGCGAGGAGATCGATAGTCTTGAAGGGTGCTTTGTTTACGCACGACTTAAACGCCGCGTAAAACGATTTACCCAAACGTGACAGCAGGCGGAAACTTGTGGCGCAATTATCGAGTTAATTGCTACAACGATCGCCACTTTCCAAACGATTTAAAAAAAGGCCCTGCTTTCGAATTAATAAAGCTACTTAATTATATTACCGAAACAGAAGTTTCAAAGAGAATAAAATTGTGCGTGACCTTTGCGATTTAATTCGTTGGTGGAAAATGGCGCGATCAGGTTTTCGGAATTTTCACGAGCCGCGGAAGAGTAACCGATAATTCCGTCAAATCCAATCAGTGTGTACACTTCGTTCTAAATGAAAACGTTAATAATTCATCGCAGAGGCGATGGAGCCCGATAGATCTAATTACGGAGATAATTAGACCGGTCCGTGCAAAGGTCACGAATAATTATCAGCGTTTTTGTTACTCGTGTAACAAAGGTCCAGTGATAGAAACGACGCGCGTAATCGAAAAGAACGGTAGTTTTTCCGGGTTCGTTTGTTTGAAAATTTGAAAGCTTCCCGTCTTTACTGTCTAACCCTCGAAAGCTATCTCCTCCGTGCTTTTGAAGCGTCGCCGATAATCGTTATGACGCGAATGCTTTCACGGCCGTCTTGCGACCACGAATCGTCGTCTCCAGTTGCGAAATCTCCTTTAACAACCGGTCGTGCTGTACGCGCGAGTTATGGCAGGTCGTTACGTCGCAGAAACAGGCAATCAAGGCCAGGAGTCCTTCGGGAATGAGGGTGATAACGAGCGAACGAATTCGAGGTGCTGGAAACCGAGTTAGATTTTCGGTTAACAGCTACGCCATATTTTGGAACTGTTTTAAAACATCGAAACTTTAATTTTATATTATTGTAAATCGTGTAACTTAACGTTGGTAGATCCTATTGGGAATCTGTAAAGGAAGGATTGGCTGTTGAACTTTTTTAACGCCTGTTTCTGTCTTATAGGGGAGACGGGGGCTAGGGAATATTTATGTGTGGGCATCCGGGGACGGCGGGGAAGAGGATGACTGTAATTGCGATGGTTACGCAGCCAGCATGTGGACCGTCAGCATTAACAGCGCTATCAACGACGGTCAAAATGCTCATTACGACGAGAGCTGCTCGAGCACTCTAGCCTCCACGTTCAGCAACGGGGCCAAAGACCCCAACATAGGAGTGGTAAGTAGTCGAAGGTCTTCATATTCTACCATTTTTAACATCGCCCAGCAATTTAAGATCCCAATCGTCTGCCGAGCCACGCAAAATCAAACGCAACCTTGCATCGAAGAGTCAGAAATGTTTTAAATAACGGCGACTCTGCCTCTTTTGTATTTTAGAATACTTTCTGCAGTATTGTCGCAACTTTCGTGCCGTTTAACCTCCCAGTTCCACGACTTTCGCTACTCTCCAGGATTTATGGACTTTGAAGATTTCTTAAGAGATGGGTATTCGCGTCTCGAACAGTTGTCGAGAATCTTAATGTCAAGTTGCGTGAGAAGAGATTTAAAAGTTCGAAGCGTCTTTAATAGTAAACTTTAAAAACAACCGAAGTTAATATCTCGTTAATACTTCTTCGGCGAATCAACGATTAGCTCGTACTCTTAACCTTTGAGCTATTCTCGATCACAAAGGATGAATTAATTATGCTCCTGATTCTATCTTTCGAGTTGGAGATTATTGTTATCTCGTCAGTTCTCGAGGCAAGGTCTCGTGAATTATACAATATTATACAGGGCCCATTTTTCGGGGACTCTAGAGCTCCATTAATACGCATTGTTTGCATTTTGAAACATGGGAATCGTCCACCGAGTAGGATTTCGGGGGTATGTGTAATGACCAAAAATGATTGTAATTGGCCCCTGCAACTAAAAATAATTTTTTTAGAATGATTTGAACTTTTTTTTTTTCACCGAAAAATTTAGGCACCTACCCCCTGTCGATTTTTCGTAAAATTCGTTTTTCATTTTTAGTAATTTTGTTTGACGCTGTACGGAAATTTTGTCTAATACTTTTTTGTAGATACCCATGAGCTCTACTTCAGAAAAAAATTTCACTGAAATATATTCACTATTGTAAGAGTTATGGTTGTTTGAAAATTGGACCATTTTTATTGGGGTTTTCTCAGTTTACGGGGTTAAGGAACAATTTTTCGAAGATTTTTCGAATCTCTAAATATTCCCCACTAAAATACGCGTCGGTTGCCCTTTGAAACATTAAAATCGGCCGATCCGTTCAGGAGTTATGACATTTTAAAGATTCGCATGAAATTTTCGGGCAACATTTCTGGCCAGAAACTGTATTTTCGGTGAGGAATTTTTTTCTCGAAACTGAGTAAGATTTCGGGGGTATGTGTAATGACCAAAAATGATTGTAATTGACCCCTGCAACTAAAAATAATTTTTTTAGAATGATTTGAAATTTTTTAATTTTATCGAAAAAGTTGTCCACTTACTGAATTTTTTTCTCGAAAGTGTGTAGGATTTCGGGGGTATGTTTATTGACCAAACATGATTGTAATTGACCTCCGCAGCCGAAAATAATTTTTTTAGAACATTTTGAAATTTTTTTTTTTCGCCGGAAAATTTCACATTCCTCGAATTTTTTTCTCGAAAGTGGGTAGGATTTCGGGGGTATGTGTAATAACCAAAAATGATTGCAATTAACCCCCGCAGCCGAAAATAATTTTTCCAGAGTGATTTGAAATTTTTGAATAACTTTTTAACGAAGCCTCGATCAAGAAATTGATATTCTTGATTTCCGTCTTATTTTGGCCTCTAGAATCTGCCATTAAAATTTTCCCCAGGGGTGGCCGAACAACCTGTATACAATTTTAGATCTGTTCGCGGCACGGTCTGTCCGCCTACGCGGACTCGTTGATTTATTAAAAAGGACGCGCACGCGTACGTACAAGCGTATTGAACGAGCATCGTGTTCCGACTACAAATTATTAACAACGAACCTGTGGCGCAAGCCCCGAGGCGACCGGGGAAATATTTTAGCCATGTTCGAGAAAGATATCCCCGAACCTAATATTAGCTTTGCGTTAACGTGCAAATACTTCAGACGCAAGTTAACCTTTGTCCAGTGTTCGATGTATAACGATAGAGGATTGTTTATACCCGAAAAATCAGCGATAGGTCTCGCGTTATCGCCACGATTGGCCTTTCGAAGTATTCAGAATGCTCCTGGAGGAATATAACAGCATTAGGGAAATACGAGAAGGCGCAATTGCTCGGCAAAAAGCGTCTTTTACTACGAGGAAAGAAACAACACGGTTGGCGGTTCACGATGGGAATCGTCGCTAGGATGGATTTAATTTCGCATTAATTTTACGCGGGAGAGTCGTTGGATCGTACTGCGAGTGCATCGCGAAAGGAGAACGTCTGATGAAAGCACGAGGGGTGGCTAGATCCGCAAACTAACTAGAGTGAAATCCGCCCCCGCGATGGCTTCTTATTATTCGAGCACACAGAACGAGATTAGCTCGTGGCTGAGGACTGCCTCGTCGGGGCGCGTTGCTTCTCGTTATATTACGCCTCGTTTCGCATTGGGTATTTCTACGAACGAAAAGATCCTGAATCTTTCGCGTATCCTGAGACATAGATTATGTCGTAGAAGTTCTTTCATATAAGTACAGCGTAGGTTTGCAAACACGTCTGCTTTCCCACGCTGACACTCCTCCTGTCTCGATTACGGTAATCGACACTCGAGAGACACAAGGATTTTCCTCGAAAGTATCGACGTCGGTTTGTGAAAGCATTATTCCCATCAGTAGGGGATTATCGTCGACGAGTAACGTAGAATTCTCTTTCTCAGCTCACGAAAGCTTACCGGACGTTCGTAAACATTATAACGCAGCTTTGTGGACGCTTGGTCTTCCGATATGGAGGCTTCTACATATAGAAAGAGAGACAAAACAAAAAACTACTGTTGCTCCTTTTCTTTGCGGATTTAACATGCATCTATGGACGATATTCGAACAAAGTGTCTCAGGATATGCATAAATAAACTTAATATTCTTATAAGGAAATGCGGTAGGTCGTTTTTTGTCGCGAGCTTTTTAGAAAGGTTCTAGAAACGCGCCAGCACCGACCAGCTTTTACCACCGTATTTACTGGATGTAAGCACGGAGTCTGGCGGTTCATCCCTGGTAAAAAGCGATAAAAATACCGGCGGTAGAGCCGAGGAGAGTTATTTACCTGGACGCAGAATATATGCAGAGAAGGTTGCATCCGCGTTGTCGGGCGGAAAATGCAAAACCACCAAACGGGCCGAGGCTTCTTTCAATAACCTTTTATAAGCTGGTCGTTAACCGCATGCTATCTACAGTCGTGCACAATCTTCGCCCCGGACACGTCTCCGGATAGATTTTTCTTCGTTCCAGTCTTTGCGTCCGATAGTCGACGTTTTATGGACGGACACGAACGCCACGAGAATTTCACGCTCGAGCGCCGGAAGAAACGTGCAAAAAAGACAAGGGAATGCGAATCCACGTGGCGCGAATTACACGAAATTAACTAAAATGGAAGTTACTTCCGCTACGGTTGGTTAAGATTATTACGACGTTGCTTCAACTTCTGAGAATTCGTAAAACCGTGCACGGACACCTGCGCTACCTTTTTGTTTCGCGCGAGAAACGGTGTCTGTTCGTCGGGGTAGTTTTTGAAAAGCGCCGTCGCGTTTTATCGTCGTTTTATCACCGCTCCGCGCGACCAGAAACGAACTTTTAACGCGTAAACTTTTTTTTTATATACTAGGTTACCATCGAGGAGATTACATCGCCCGGAAGCGGAACGTTTTAACCGCCCCTGGGAGTTACAGCGTCCAATCGCGTTATTCGGCCCGATCAGCGTTATAGAGTTCGACTCGGATCTCCTCGTGCAAAGATCGATTACGCAAAGTGTTTCACGAACTTAGAATCGAGTTTGAAACGTTCCCGTGCTAATTGTCGGTCAGAGAATTGCCCTTTGTGAATTGAAGGCGCTAAGGGCGCGATATAGCGAGTGTACTAATGACTAACCACCATTAGTTGCGAGGATCGGTTACACGAGTAAGCGTTGGCAAACTCGTAACACTCGAAGAATGATACGACGTTTTAATCTTTCTGGTAAATGTTAAATATTTTACGATCGGTTACACTTTGAGAAAGTACATCGTCGTACTTTGTAGCGACCTATTTTAAAAATTGTTCGCAGTACGCGTAAAACGAAAAGTCATCCGCGAAGTTTCTGTCCATATTCTTCATCACTTCCGTACTTTTCAGTACACCGGGTTGTACTTACGTTCAGTAATAATAAAGAAGACTATACTCCCCGAAGACAGTACGAAACTTTAGGATTTCAGAGAGCTCGCCTTTGTCGTTTCCGCACGTAGGTGGATACACGGATAAATTTATTGGCCTGGGAGGATGTCCCTTAAGGACATTAAATAATATTAGTACGTAACGGTATGGCAGCGTGGAAAGCTATAATAACAGAAACAGAATGAATTAAACGACGTTGAAATAATACAGTAGAAACGTTAGGTTTTAAATTACATTTGAAAATAATATTATTCGAGATAACAAATATCACGGTCAACATCTAGGTACTCTGTACATGATAAATCGCGCGTTAAATATTCCTCGCATGTTTGCATATGTCTCAGGCATGCATGCATATTTTATGAGCACGAATGCCATACGTTTCTTGCATAAACATTCACTCTCTAACGATCATTAAAATGCAAACAGCGAGCATCCTCTCAATGCGAGGTATAACGCTTACCGGTTGAGAGGATTTCAGCAGAAAGGGCTTCCCGTTTGCAATTAATTGTACAAAAACTATCGTTTCTATTTTCAGGCCACCACCGATTTGTATGGCAAATGCACGAGGAAGCACAGCGGAACGTCCGCTGCTGCCCCGGAAGCCGCAGGAGTGTTTGCCCTCGCTCTCGAAGCTAAGTAAGTTTCCTATCGAATTATTAACAGCGAAGGGAGAAAGAAACCAAGCCGAATGCAGCTACGTTCCGACGAAGAACAAGCGCGAAGTTCGAAAGCTAGTTTTTATCTTAACGTCCTCCTAAAAGACGAGCGAGATTTTATTGTCGCGAAGAAACGGTTCCGCTGGCTTTCCAGCAGCGTCGAAGATCTTTCGAAAGCAATTCGATCGACCAGCTTACAAGAACGGGGACGTCGAAGCTTTTATCTCGTTCCATCGGCGCGCCGCGATAAAAATCGAATTACCGTGTGACCAGAAGCTCCGTGCTTTCGGCCGTTCGATCGTTCGGAAGCTTGAAAGCCAACAAATTCAATTTTTTTACACAGGCGGCAGCCTCGCCGTTGTTTTGCGACCCGGAAACGAAAAACACCGCCGTGCTTTTTGTTCACGCGACCGTTGGTTGCATTGTTCGACGCTCACAGGTTCGATCGAACCGTGCGGGAACAAAACCCGAAACAAAAATTGTTCTAATCGGATCGGGCTGCCGTGAAAGCGTTTTCGTCGGGAAAGAAAACACGGCAGGTCGGAGTGATTGATTAAAACATTGCGAGGTCGGCTCGCGTTATTTTTTAATCTATCACCTTTCGCGGATAAGCTTCTTTCCCGTGGAAATAAAATAAGCAAATTGGTTTGGTCGTTGAATTTTTAGAGATACTCCAGAAACCATTGATAACGCAGGAGAAATCGATCAGATTCGGTAAACTGCAAGTTGCGAGATACATACGTGTCCGTGCAAATTATAGCGCCATTTTCGCGACCCTATGGACATGGCTGCTCTGTATGCAACGTAAATCCTGCATTAATTCTCTATCCGCATCAGCGTGGATCATTCGATAGCTGGTAGTACCGGGAAAGTACCAGCTGCGTGGAGTACGCTCCAGCTTATACTTCACCGTTCGTTTAATATTAAATGATATTGTAATTCATGGGGGCAAAGGGAACGTGAGCGGAATGTTTTACACACTTTACTTCGGTCGTATAATCAAATTGGACAGCGGAAAGTCAGGTCTGACTTATCGTTGGACTTACTACTGAAGTTTGAATTAAATAATATTTAAATAGTTTTCTTCGATACCCGCGATGGTAGTTCCACTCAAATCTTCAATACCATCGAGAAGACTGTCGAATGATTAATTTTTCATCTCCTAGTCAATTATTATTGAGCGACGTCTGACTAGTCGTTGACTCGTATCACTTAAAAATCGCGAAAAACGTTTCGCGACAATCCGGTGTAGAATTTACAGTCTGAAACGCTACGAACGAATTGTAGTAATGTGAAACAATACTCATTGTTCGAATTCAGCGACGATTCGACTTATTCGAAGCTCGTAGAGGCGAAAAGCTGTCGATGGGGCTCGTCCCCGAGCTTTCGGACCGAATCACCGAAACGTGACCCAGAAACAAGGAATGTTTCGATCGTTGACCAACGGAAATATTGATCCCTGTGCGAATGCACGCGCGGTATCTCTCGTTCTTGTAGATTTTCCGAACGTTGGGTTCGTTTGGTTTCAGTCCCCAGCTGACCTGGCGCGACATCCAACATTTGACTGTCCTAACGTCGAAGAGGAACTCCTTGTTCGACGCCAAGGGAAGATTTCACTGGACGATGAACGGAGTCGGTCTGGAATTCAACCACCTCTTCGGTTACGGCGTATTGGACGCCGGTGCGATGGTCGCCCTGGCGAAAAAGTGGAAAACCGTGCCGCCACGGTATCACTGCGAGGCTGGCTCGGTTACCGAAATGCAGTGAGTGATTTTGGACATCGATTCCACTTAGGACCTTTTCCGCTTCCGCGTTGGAAAGTCGAAAACCATGTAAACACCAATAAACGTCCGCTGGGTTATTATTTGTGGATGACCGGAGTATCGATCTCTGGCTACCCCTACGAGAGAACGTTTAGCGTCGCTTTCCATTAGCGTTACAATCCCCAGCTACTTTTCTATGCTTCCGTCGATAGTCCATCGATTTCGTTTTTAGGAAAGTGACGAACGACCGATCGATCCTATTGAAAATAAAGACTGATGCCTGCGCCGGTACCGAGTACGCTGTAAACTATCTGGAACACGTGCAAGCCGTCATTTCTGTGAACGCCACGCGTCGAGGCGACCTGGAGTTGTTCCTAACTTCTCCCATGGGAACTAGGTACGTGAAACTGTAATGCTCGTACCAAACAGAGCTTTCCAAGTACCGGAAAGAATCGGATTAAAAGAAACTGATTCCAGGTCTATGATCCTGAGCCGGAGGGTGAACGACGACGACCACAGGGATGGCTTCATGAAATGGCCTTTCATGACGACTCACACCTGGGGAGAGTATCCGCAGGGGGTCTGGCTGTTGGAGGTAAACTTAGCTAAACGTTAGGTCTCCAAGAAATTTAATGTACGAGGTGTATCCAGAAAGTAAGTCTCGATTGATCATTTTCAAAGATCAGAAGAATGTTCCCTGAACAACTTTCCTACATAGTTTCCTACACAGTCGTAGCTGCAGTATTTTTCAACCAACAAAATTTCATGTATGTTCGAAGAAGCTGAGCACATGATTTTGCGAGCTGAAATGGTGTCCCGAGACCTTAACTCCAAGACAATCACTCCTTTATTCTTTCTGTCAAAATGCTTCCCTTCGCACCAGAGTGAAAAAACAACGCATCGCCAACTAGATCTACTGTTGGGATACGCCTCGTGTTTGTTTCGCGGGCGACCACGATCCACGGTCATCGACGTAAGTTTTTTCCACTTAATCAAGTTAGATATCTTTCAGGTGAGCTTCAATACCCAAACTCCGCAGCACGGATGGTTCCGGGAATGGACTCTGATGTTGCACGGCACCAGAGATCCACCTTACACCGGCCTCCCGGCGGCTGATCCGCACTCGAAACTGGCGATCGTTAAAAAAGCTCACGAGGAACGATCGGCCGCGATGTAACGAGTTTAATCGAAGGCATCTGGGGATGTTCATATCGAAAGATGTTTGCGCGACTAGTCTTATCGTTTAAGGATCATTTTTACAGACGACAAAGTTCGAGCGATTACTTTTCCGGCTGCTTCGCGTTCTCGAGGGTCCTGAATCTCGATCTCTATCGTCTAGGTTACGTTCGAATTTTTCCGTACGATCGGCTGCGTTTCTGTAAAGTCCCTGTGATATATTTGGATAGTTTCTTCGTTTAATTTATTGTTATTGTGTTGTATTCGTGTACGTGAAAAATCAAAAGTATTACCATCGGTAAATTTGGCGGATAGAGCAACGGGAATGGATGGTGAAGTACGAAACAAATTTATGTTTTCGCTTATTCGAGTATTTATGTGTCGACGATGTAATTGACGTTTTTCAATGATCTCTCGTTAGGCTATCGTCCAAAGTAACGGCACGTACAGTATTCTTTTAAACAGACGTCTAGTCACCGCGGAGTTGACGTTCGTAATTACGTTCCTTATTTATCTTGGAGGGTAAACGCTTGTTTAACGATTGAAAGAAACGTCGAAGATCTCGCTTCTGCTCAACGCGACGAGTCCTTTCGCCTACTCGATGGGAAGAGAAATATCGTTATTCGTGTCGATGCTAGACGGGAAAAGCTAATTCCAAAGTGTTTCGTTTGGAAATAAAGATTGAGTTGTCTTCCCAACTCGACCAGTCAGTCGATTCATTGCACATATTTTTATCAAAACCCGTCGTGTTGATGGTAACATTAAAATTAGGATATATATTCATATCGTTATATTAATCAAATTCAATAGAAATATTTATGTTTCTCTAATTTCAAGTATGGGATCTCAAATCGACGGGTTTCGTAAATATAGCGTTAACACGCTGACTGCCATGGTGGTCACTGGTGACCGGCATTTTAAATTTATAACGCGTCGCAATATTTATTACGATGAAATCCTAATACTTGTAAAATTGTAAATAACGCTATTTTCATTAGGAACGCTGTAAAATAACAGGTACACCATCGAATTATCGAATATTTCTATGCTTCACACTATTCTTTGAACAAGGGCATCTTTAGAGAGGAAGAACTGGCAGTGAACGTGTTAAAGTTAGCGTCGGGTTGGGAGGTGAACGAAAATCTGCAAGGAAGAAGAACAATTTCGGTCCATGCATGCCAACGTTTATACTTCTCGTAGACTGTTAGATGTTCGACTGTATATCAATAATTATATGCACCTACGAACGTATCGAATCTCTTGCTTCAAGTTTTTCGACTTTCACTTAGAAACAGAATTTTAAACGGGGATGAAACGAAAGAAAATTAGGTTCCTGTCGTTAGGGAACACTCTTAAACAGATTTAGATGCCGCACGTTTTCGTACTTTTGGATCTTCATGTTTTTATATAAACGACTTTCGGAATTGTTCCTATCGTCGTGAAATCTTCGGCACGCTTCAGACGTTTTTGGTGCCGCTAAAGAAGCCGTGTTTCAATGGTTACTTCTAATCGTTGGACGTTCGTGTCTCTAAACGCTCGCGTCGAGTACAAACTTCTTACACCGAACCGACATATCCACGCGTCTTGGGTCCTCCACGTTACGCACAATGTATTTCCGAGTATAACGATTTTTTACTAAATTCGTGAGAAAATATATCAGTAGCAACCGGGGTCGAAGACCTCGATGGTAGTCGAGATTTCTAATAAAAATAAATCTTGTTCGACGTTCGCACGCATGGACCGGTTCGACCGTAAAGGCACGCGATTTTGCACAGACAAGATTAGAGCGAATTATGCTTTATACAGACAATTTAAAACCCTTTCTTTTTCGCGCGACATCTTTGGATTTTCCTCTCGTGTTTCGCGTTCGTCGGGGCGGGAAACGAGATTAGTTCGGGAAGAGTCGTTCCACGGAGTTTGTTTATTTATTCGCCGAAGAACCGTCTTGTAACACAGAGAACTCCGAGCGATATTTCGTGGTTTTGGAGAGTCTCGGGACGTCCATCAGTATTAGGCGATCGGCCAACGATCGATCGCAACGATCGACCAAACTCTGAGAAGTTTCCGACGCCCGGCGTCGACCAGGCGACGCGTGAAATTAATTCGGCTTTGTCGTATAATGTATCGAGTCGAGAAAGGCCTCGATGGCGCCATTGGGATTGCACGCTTGGTCGATTTCGCGAATCCTCGCGATCGTCCTCGCGGAGGCTGGCCTCCCAGTTTCGCCGGAGAGCCTTTCGAGAGCAACGTTCCATGTATTTACACGATCTATGTGTGTGTGCTCGTATCAAAAGAAGCCCACCCGCCCTCCCCCATTCCTATTTTCCTCGAGGAACAATCCCGTGTGTAGAACGAGACTGAAAAAAAAACGATCATGATTTTACCATCGAGCGAATGTCTGCGAAAATGATGCGTTCCGCCCGTATCGTACCGATTGTACCTCGTGATTTGAGACGATTGCGGACGAAATTCTCGATTTTCCGATCGTGAACTGCGGTGGAAAGGGACGCGGAGTGCCGATAGGAAGCGAGAAAGAGAGTGTGCGTGACGTGGAGAAAGCGAGAGAGAAAAGTAACGAGAGCAAGTATGATGGAGAAGCAGAAAGTAATATAAGACAAAAAGAGACAAAAAAAAAAAACGTGTAGATACACTAGATATATAGCGGTCAGAGAGTTCGAAATTTATTGCATAAACAACATCAAGAACGAAACGAACAAATGAATACATATTATATATAAATATATATACAAATATATATATATAGTCGAAGTGAATTTAATCAACCTTATTCTGTACGTGATGTACGTGGATGAATAAAATCTTTATTTTTTGGCCTGCATTTTTTTCGTTTTTTATGTGCTATACCTGCGATCCATTGACGTCATCGCCTCCCCTTCGGGTTACGTTCGCGGGTGTATCGGAGCGGATCGAGGGATGATTGCGACTCTTTTCACCATTTTTCATCTTTTTTTCTTCCTTTTTTTTTCGTACAATCTACGCGCCGACGACGATTCCGGAACGAACGCACGTAAAATTACGATCGTTTCGGTCGTCCGTCCTTTACAATTTTACCCTCTCGCGACCGACGCGGACATTACAAAATAAGGTTGACTAAAGATAATGCGTTCTAACTGTATTAGAACTAAGTAGATATATTTGGTATCGAACACGGCCGAGTTTCGACGCGGCGTTGAAATCGTTTCTTCTCGAGCGTACGGCTTCTAAATCGACGTCGATTCGCGCGTCGCGTCTTCCGGAAGCTCCTCTGGCTCTCCGCGTAGGCGTATCGTCGTCTCGCTGGCGACATCCTTGATTGTAACGCTGTCGCTCGCTGGATTACCGAAGATCAATCTTCCGTCGACGAGACTGTGCGTCTCCTGTACCGCATCCTCGTAGAATTGATTAAATTATGTCGATTTTAATTGAATTCAGAACAGTCGATGGAAGGTTCCAAAGTTCGCAAACGATCGGGGAATTATAATGTAGCGGGTCTACAAATGATTTCGTATGAAAATAAAGATCTCTATATCCAACTGTGTACTAAATTTATTGGAATATCGGAATTAGAAATAGTAACTTTATCGTTTCCAGAGAAATAGGAGAATTGTCGTAAAAAGGTATGAAAATTCGAGAGAATTATCGTATCGTATGCCGTAACAAAGTCACAATTTCCATACGTTGCATAAAGTCGACGCTTCCTGATAATTTCATTGCCGGAACCGCGCGGTGGATCGCGGAAATAGGAAGTGAATTATCGTTCAAAGGCGGACGAGACGTATAAAAGCGTAAAAAATAGATGTCGCTACATCCTATACGTCGGGTGGATTTTGTTTCTCGCTGACAATGGTCCTTCGCGACTGGAAACGAGCTCGACCGTTTCTGCGTCTTTTTATTCGCGGGTAAAAATTCAGTGCACCGTTTAAAAGGATTGTAATCAACTTTCGGTTCCGCGTTTCAAAGTAAACGTTGTTTCGGAATTATCATCGGGTCGCAGGAGCACTATTTTCCTGACGTAATCAACGTCCGTCCTTTGGACGGCTCGTTGATCGATATCGCGAATATCGGTTCCTAATAACCGAACAAAATTCTAGAGAAACGTCGACGGCTTCGAACGCGACCGAATTCGGTCAAGAAGTTGGAATATTTTAATGGATTGTTTGCGCGGCGTTAAGGTCGTCGCGATCGCATCGGGGTTTCCTCTTTATTTTTTTTTTTGTTGTTTTGTTTTCATTCCTTTTTTTCCGTTGTTTTGAAATCGATACTTAAATACGGCCAACCGTGACCTAAAATAATTTTTAGCGATTCTGCCGCGTTCCACTTACCGCTGGGAATATGAATTTTCGCCGACACGGAATCGTTGTCTGTAGGTACGATCCGAACGTTTTCACGAAACATAGCTTTCCGTTACTTCCTCCTTTTCCTTTTGCGGACGAACGGGATGGCGTTTCGAGACGCGGGCTTGACAGATTGCCATCGATCCGCGTAATTAACTACGCCGTGAACGGATCGCGAGCACTGCCAATTTGCATAATTGGGTCGGCGTTGTTAAAACGTTATTTACGCAGCTTCGTAAATTCGACCCTGTCCTTCGACGATTAACGCTCGAGTCATCCGGGATCCATCGATCGAAGAGGAGACCGAACTATTTTAAACCCCTTCGATCGATTCGAAAGCGGAGTTATCGTTTTCACCCACTGCTCGGTATAGAATGCTAATTTTATCGTCGCGTCATTGTTATGTCACGATACCACGATGGTATATCGCAATGCCATAATAGCACGACATCGCATTATCGCCATGTCGTACTATCGTGACGTTATAACTTCACGGTGCCACGAAATTTCAATATTTCTTCTGCTCTCTATTTTCGATTCATCTGCATTCTTAAGTTGTTTGTTACTCGATCCAAGGATAATAATCGTATAATCCGAATCAAATTTTTCACCTCCGCTGCGCGTCTCGTAACAGTTTCGCCAAGGTCCTTTCGCAGAGCAGTTCGAAGCAGTTATTTCCGGAGGTAGTTTGAAAATCCGCTTCGAGTTTTGCATCGATCGGTGGTCGTAGATTATTTTTGGAGAGAGCGCAAGGTTAAGCGTTCGAGGACGAGATTCGGGGGTGTATCGAAAGGACTTTTATCCGCGAAATGACAATTATTTGCGACCGTTTCGACGACGTGCGTTGTTCGCGGGTTTTGAAGCGGTGCTCTCGCGCGTTCGTACAAATGGAAATACACGTTTCGCGAGCACGTACTCGGTCGTCGCGTAAACTCGCGATATTTACGCGACAGCCACGCTTTCCAGCGAGATTAGGATAACAAATATCCTCGTGGACGCGGTTTGAAAGGAGGATCGTGGGTAGAAAACGGTCAGTGGAAAAGTAAGATTTCACTGGCATTTCATTAACTCGACCTACATATACACGGACATGGCGGTCGTGCACGTGTGTATCCTCGACTTCGTTGAATATTGCCGCGAACCGATCGGCCCGCACGGAATACCGTTTCCCCGATGAGACTTTCGTAATTTTCGTCCATTTTATTTCGACGAAGGTTATGGCACACAGACCGGACCTCTGCTCCGAACTTTGTTCAGGGATTCCTTTTTTTGCTTCAGATTCGTAAATCACCGGAGGACCGATGCGAAGGCCCTGGACATAAAACAGCCATTTTTGGCACTCGTCGTAAAAGAAAGTATTCTGCAGAATTAATACTCGAACGATTTAACAAATACTACAGCATTTTCTTTTATCGAATTTCAGAATAGACGCAGAAGGCGGATATGTGCAAAAGCAACACAGGATATCAGATTTCTAATGTCCGCAAGCAAAGCACAGCAGGAAGTAGCAGAGTAGGCGAAAGAGCCTCGAAATTTTGATGAATGGTGGGCTGCAACAACAAGTTTAAAAGCATGTCTTGTTGTCGAGTGATCTATGTGAATTTGTGAGCGCTTCTCTGTGGAAGGATGGCGTTCCGAAAGCCAAAACTTTATAAGTTGGATCCAGCTTTATGGAAAATCATTCTGAGAGATGTAGAAACAAAGGTACGGTGTCCATAAAGAGGATTAATTTATTTGAATGGTATCGAGTTTTAAATGATAATCGATGAAACGAGATGACGTTGCAATTTGGAAATTAAAGGGCTCTTATACAAATTCGATCGAAAAAATCATAAAACTTTTTCGACGAGGGTTCTATTCATCTTTCGTTATGAAAGGAATTTGCAGAAAATTCAGCTGGTCTGAAGATCAGCGAAGCCAGTGTTCCAGGATATTTCAATCAAATTGAAAGAGGAACTCTTGCGCAGGCTGCGAATCTTGCAGGAATTAAACTTCTCCAACTTATCAATTATACTTTCCACGGTGTTTTTGAACAATTTCCTGAATAACTACTTCCGTTGTAATATTACTTTAATTCGAACGTCGAAACTAGGGTTTTTAAAAACATCATCAGTATCCAGTTTAGTTTATAGAGTCGCGCCTGCTATAATTTTCGATCGTTTCCTGATTCTCTGGGACGCCTTTAGGCCGCGAGAAATGGTCGCTTCTTCCCTTCGAAGAGTCGTTTCGTGGTTAATTTGCAAGGTTTGGTCGGGACCAGCAGATTTTAGGGGAGATCTACGAATTTATCGATAGAGGACAAGCGTATCGCGTAGATCTGGTCTCCCGCTAATCCTCGTTTCGCGAGCGTTCGCCAAATTTGTCCGCGGCGAGATCGTAAGTAGCGGCTGGCGTGTGGACACAATGACGTAGTTTCGTTATCTCCTGGAAACACGGCCTACGGACGAATTCGCGATGGCTTTAATGAGCTGACGTCAGAATCTCTGCCCTGTGGCGTTCCTTGAGATCGCGAGCACGGTTCAGCGTGGCCCACATTCGTCGGGCACCGCGTCGAGGACGATTTTCGGGGCTCTTTGAGCCCCAACCTTACGAACCGGAGATTTCGACAAACAGAGACGAATTTCTAAACACTCGAAGAACCCCGACGCGTCCGAAAAAATTCGGTAACGCGTGTCCTTCGATAAAACATCAGAATTATCGAGATCGTTCAAAGTGTTTATTCCGTTGTCAATCTTTCAACATACCCTTTTGATATTTTGTTACGAGAACCCCGATCATCAAGTACTCCTACGCTCGATACGTTCAAATGTTATTTCCTTTTATCATTCTACATTTTTCTCTGACAGAAAATGTTACCCTCGATTCTATTATCGTTCAGAATAACAGTTGGTTTCGTTACATCTTGTCTTGGATGCCTTGACCCCGATTCTGTTCGCGCATACGTCTTGTCCAAGATAAGTTGAATTTAGAAAGATGCCCCTATTGTCCTTACTTCGTAAAGATATCGTCGCTTAAATAGTCGGAATATTTCTATGGAATATGTTGTATGGATATGTCTAGTTTAAAATTTAATTTATATGTGATTCTGAAAGCAACAGAACATTTTTAATACACACGCGTATAGCAGAATAGGGGCAAAAATAATAGAACGCGTTGGCAATATTGTTCGTGGCGTAAAGGGTGAGATGCAGCAATATGCTGTTATTAAATCTAAGTCGGAGATGGGATGCAGTCGGGCATATACAGGGTTATATGTAAATACTACGGAAACAGACAGTGGACTATGCGGGGTAGTTGGATTTTTAAAGGCAGCATGCGACGACAAATTCCTGACGCCTGCAGGCAACTGGTTGCAGCAGTGCGCAATAAGAAAATATTGTTTCGTATAAATAATTCAGAACCCGGTATCGCGAGAACCGATAACGATCAGCGGTACATACCGAACGATAAGAGATCCTTTTTGCTATGCGAGCTTAGAGACTCATCGGTTCGCGCGATGATTCAGCAAATCCATCGACGCAAACGAGCGGTTTCCGCTGTTATCGAGCCAATCGAATCCCGTCCGCCTTTTAAGCGATCTCGATTATGTAGGATTAACTCTGCGCCACGATTCAACCGATCGCCTAGAAAATGTCCATTCAACCATGGCGGGTCGTATCGTTAACCGCTTGCTTCGTCGACTGGCATTAACGTTTATCTTTCTTCGCGTAGCACACATTCCGGGACAAAAAGACAGCACGTTTTATATTTTTTTCGTACACGCTGCATGGCTTGACTTACGTCGTTTCGTGCTTATGTCCATTCTAGCAGAGACACGGTAGACGTATCACGCTAAAATGGGTTTTAAAAAGGATTTCATGTTTCAGATTGCTATTTCTGTATGTAAATGAATCGTCCGAATACATTTGTCCGGCACTGCAGAGTTCTCCAAAGAATGATTTTGCAATATCGTAACGAGATTACAATTTTTTTAACGACATATGGAAGGGGGTAGTTGACGCAAGGGTTAACATTCTTTTTAAATCATCTTTTTGACGAACGTAGGGAACAAGGAGCCTCGTACCGGGCAAACGCGACGCGAGGTTCTCGTACGGCTAGAAAAAAAGACCATTATTTACGGTGTTGTCGGCGGGCTTACGAAGTTTCCGCGGCGAACAAAAGGAACGCACTCTCGTGGAGCACGCTCGCGACGTTTGAATATCGAGGGCTTGCGCGTTACGACCGCGAAATCACGGAGGCTGGACGGACGGAGACAGAGCAGAGGGTGGTTATTCGGATTAGGGGTGGGAGAGGAATAGAAAAATAGACGTCGAAACTGTGCACGGACCGAGAGAAACAGGAAGCGGAAGAGCGACGCGGAGGAAACGAGAGAGGGTGGAGAAGCGAAGCGTCGGACAGTTGGACAGAGAGGGTAGATGAGCGGGGAGGGGATGATAGGAGAAGGACGGAGCGTAAGTGGGGAAGGGACGAGTTGCAGAGGGGAGGGGGAAGAGAGAGGAGCGCGAGAGAGAGGGACGCGGCACGGTGGTTGAGTCTGGTCCGACAGTCCGCGTGTTACCCTCAGCCGTAAAGCAGGGCCGCCCGCGTTTTCTCGACTTCCGGTCAACCCCGTACCCGCCAGATTCTACGCAGAAACCGTTTCGAACGGTTCCGGCGAGATACGCGGGCCTCCGTTCCCGCGGACACTCAGTGAACCGGAAGTGACGGCGAACCACTCGGGAAATCTCAGTGACAATTCAACGGAGAAAATAATCGTTGCTTGACCGGGGTCGTTTCCTTGGATTTCGTGTAGGTAACGTATCCGACAATTTTTTTTCTTTCATGCAACTCAATATTTTGGCGACCGTGGAACACGAACACCCTCTCAACGATATTCCGTCAGTTTTGTTTATGTCTAATGTTCGAAAGATATTTTTAAGGCGAGCCTTAGATTCTACACCGAGCTTGTAGCAGTTCCTCGAGTTTACGCAATGTTCTTTTACGCTATAGATCATCCTCTTCCTTTATTTGCGTAGCATACGCGTCATAGTAATAATAATTGCACCGCTGTTGCGTGTCGTTAATTTATTCGTTGATTTTTGCGTGGGTTCCGTGGCAACATTATCGGGAAATTTTTTTTTAGAGAACATATCTAGATCGCGTAGCAGGAATTCTTTCGAGACACGACGCTTCTCTGATTTCGTTCGGTTGTTTACAAATAATGCTTAATACATCGTGCACCGAGGTTGTCAAGCGTGTCGAATCAGTTGTCGATGAAAATACGCGAAATAGAAGTCCGTTAGCCTTGAAAGCACTCGCGATGGAGAACGCGCGGAACCAAAATATCCTCTGACCGTCTTGGTATTCCGCCTTCGGTACGGTTACACCGAAAACATCGATGTCGAAACTTTTTCAATTCGAAAACGAATTCGTATCGATGCATTTCGCTAGGAGCAGAGTGACTGGCACTTTCGGTGCATACTGAATTCTCTTCCGTTTGAAAAGTTTTGGTCGGTGGCCGGGCAAAGTTTTCCGGGAGCAACGTTTCGGCGCGATATTCGGAACGAGGATCCTACAGGACGTTGCAAAATACGCTGCAAAGAGAATTCTGTATTATTATCTATAAAAACACTTTAAATAAAATGATAAACTTTATCGAATTTATTTGTTTACGAAGTATCGCGTTGGTAGAGTGGATAGTCGTGGTTCGAAAGTCGATTAGAAAGTCGTAAAAACGACGAGGACCGAGAAGCCAGGAAAAGGCGGGTAACGCGAAGAAAAAAGTGAAGGAGTTTCCGTCTTTTCTGGATCTACGTTTCGCGCGTCGATCCGACCTCGTCGGTTCGTTTGCATTTTTCTTCTCGCCGGTCGTTCCGAGGCCTCAATCACGTACTCCATTGACTGGAAAATGTAATCCCGCATCGGCCCTGAATATTTTTATCCCGCGGCAAAAAATAATCGGCGAATATATCATCGGCGTACGTGTCGTTCTATCAATAAACTGTGCCGACGTGTCTGCCGTCGGTTTCATAAATCTTGACGACCGATCGGTCCTTTATCGTGCGACGCGACATTAGCCTAAGCCGCTGATCAAAATCCTTCGATATAGAACGCGACGTTCTAGCCGCAAATCTCCGTGAACGATCGGCCATCCGTATCCTCTGGTTCCACGATCACCGACAGCAAATTCCCAAAGAGTTTCTACGGACGACAGAGAATTCCAGCTCGTCTCGTATTCCGATCGATGTGGGTAAAGGGTGTCGTCGATGAAGCGAGACGTCGGCAACGGCAACGAATTTATATTCGCGGCGAACTATGGAAGTCGCGATTCCGGAGTCACTTTGTCGAATTCCTCGTCAGAAGTTGAACGTCGTTGCGAGCACCGAGAAGAACTAGTTTGGCCCACATGCATGCACGCTCGTCCCCGAATTAGCGAATTTCTCGTCCCGGGAGGATAATTACCGCGACGCGATAGGGGCAGCTGGTTACCTAGGCTTCCTCTTTTTCCACGACGGTGTCTGCCTTTTTAATAACTCTGCCACGTGGCCGGACCGGTTGAATTAGTAAGCTGCGGGGGCTGTCGAGCGTGTAGCGGCATTTACGTTTCACGAAACGACGCTATCCCGGAGAGAATTCTCGTCCGACTTTGTCCCGTCACCGACCGCGTTTCGTTTGACATGGAAATTTTTCGGCTCGAGCCAAGAGAAAAAAAACGGAAGGCCTTGTTAAGCTAATCACAGCCGTTGTAGATAAATATGGTAGATAAAGCCACGTTTCGTGTGTGGTAAGCGCGGTATAGCCGATTATATCGTCGATCTCCGCGTAATTTGTTCATGCTACTTTGCACAGAGTGTTTTACGATCCCCTTCGACGCGGACGTCGGATATTATTTAAATTTTTCTCGGGATATATCACTGCGATCTACTGCATCTTCCATACAGCCGATACCATCGACTTTCCATTTCAGTCTTCCTATACGTTGTAAATGGTAATGGTCGAAGGATAGATACAAGGGCCTGAAACATCCCTCCAAAGTTTCAATACAGTACGGAGAGAAAGGCGTTTGAAGTTTTTCTCAAGTTTGAGAGTGGATAATTTCTTTACGTATTAACTTGCACTTAGTCTGAGAGTCTTGAATCATACGGTAGAGCTTCCTCTTCCGCACGGCACTCGTTCTGGGCTGCTAACTTACTCCGGCTGGCCATTCTGGCTTCTTGAGAAGATTTACTTCCTCGCATTTCTGCCCGTCTCGAGCGCTCGTCGTCTCCATTCGTAACAAATGTTTCTGTTCCTGGGCCGTTTGCGATCTTCATAAGGCGAAGAATTCGTAAAGTATGCTCGAATCCTTTGTTAAACGCACAGCAAGCCAAACACGTTGCGATCTCAATGAATTTGGGACCACAACGGTGCAATTTATTCCACGCTACTCTGAGAAAAGATTCTCGTTCTGGTCGCGGAGGCTGTTCGTTCCTCTGACGTTTAGGGCACTTAATTGCTCGCCTGTGTATCGGCAATAATAACCGGTTCCCGTTCTCGTCACGCTCGCGCTTCTGACAATGACGAATTACGCGCAGTTTATCGGAGGAATCATTAGCACGCGATTCCGAGCGCGACGCCTTGGCCGTTTAATTCAGACCGAGAGACGAGCCAACACATCGCACGCGTTGAACGACAGAGTAAGCGTAAGATCAAATAATAAGACACAGTTTCGCGAGACAAAAGAGGGACGCGTTATCTAAAACGATCCGACGGCGACAACACCAGAGAGACAGCCAACTTGTTTAAAAGCGTCCAAGATACGCCGGAACAAAGCCATTCTTATCACCGGTTTCGCTTTAAATCTACACTGTAACCCTTTGCGGTCGATCTATGGGTCGTATAGGCTGCCTTTTGTCATTCTTGACCTTTTATTTTAACTCACGACGCGTGTCCGACACTCTGTTTATATTGGAATTTTCTGTTGACAGATTTTGGGGCAGTCCGAGACACGGCTGATGCAGGGGCGGAAAAAAGATACGTGGGTCCCGTCCGGCTGATCCAACGAGCCATCGTGCGTCAGGGTGGGTGCTGTCGAGGGTGGCGGGGGGTGGGGTCGCGTGATCGCGAAGATCTCCGTGGGGAGGTTCGAGGTTGGCGGGCTTTAAGGAGCGGGCGTTCCGAGGGACCCGGCAAATGTGGCTCTGTGTACGGTGAGCCGGGGTTACGGGGGCCGCGGGCCCCGTGGCGGTGGTGGTAAATCTCGTGGAGAGGCAAGCGTGAGGCTACCCCTGAGTCCTCGCACTCTGTGCGCCCCTGGGGCCGGAGGAGGCGTACATGCGCACGCACAGGGCACTGGGCCCGCCGCAGCTGGGACTGCGGCGACCGGCCCTCCTACGACAGGGAACAATCCCGCGGGGCCAGCTGCCGACGAAGGATCCGGCCTTCCGGACGAGCCAATGGTACGAGCCCTGTATCCGGCGTTCGCTCGATGGTTACTATAGCCGCGGAAACGTTGATCGATGTTCCAGGTACACGTCGAGAGGGCCGTGCATCGCGGTACCTGGATATGTTGTATGCCGTGTTACTGGCTGCGAAGAAGCAAAGCCGTGCACAAGGCGTTGCTCACGTTCGCTATGCTGCTCGTCACCAGTCTGCTCGTCACCAGTCCTGTCCTCTTCCTCATCACCACGCTGCCGGAGGGAGAGCAGCCTCGTGAATGCGCACCCCTGGTGAGCGACGTCTCGTTTTAACCTCGGATACTTTTTGCGTCCGGCAAAAAGCTTCCGTCGCGGAGTTTCGCGGTGCTTCTTGTCCCGATCCCCCCCTTTTCCTTCTCGAATTAAGCAGTCAGGAAGCGAGCGTCTCGGTGCCGCGACGAGGTTAATGTCTCTCGAGAAGCTTAACGCGAGAAGGCGGTATTAAAAGTCACTCGTGGCCAAGCACGTCGACGCGGGGGTGGCGCAACGCCACCGTTCGACGAGAATAAAATCGCCGAGTTGGGGCGAGGCAACTGAAATTCCGTCGATGGATAGAACCGGCTTGCGTTCTCGATTCTCTCGTAAAGCAAAGGTCGAACTATAAAGCGGCGGTACGTTTTCTCGGAGGCCCTTCCGCGGTCGATCGGATATTGTTGCTTTTATCGTTGTTCTTTCGCGCGACGCGCCGATCTTATTGCACGGGCTCCCGGGATTTCGACTTCAGCGGCCGCGGTTCAGAAATATCACCGTTAATTCGTCGACGATGAACGGATATTCTTAGGATGTCGATATTTCTATCGCAGCGCAAACACGAGCCAATAAATTTAATCGCATTGTCTTGCTCGGCCACTTAACGTCGAGGGAGTCGTTTCGAAGGTTGCTTGGCAATCGTACGATAACATAATTACATCGCGGATGTTTATGCAAAGAACCCATGGCATATGAAATAGATCCAAAGTTCTCTCCATCCTTGAAAATAATTGTATCCATAGTATCGTGTCCCTTTCCTCTCCTTCTCGCGGTTTCCACCGAGCGAAATGAAACTTTGGTCTCGAACGTAAAATGTTATTGGCCAAGAGTGGGTGGTTAAACCACTATAAAGATACAAAACGATAGCCTTTGAAACGTTCGTGAGAGCTCGAGGAAAGTTACGACCGTAATATGCAATTGTTCGATTTCAGTTCGCGAATTAAAAGGCGTGTTCGACGAAGGGAAGGATTTGGAAATATCTTTCTCATATTGGGAATGACCCATATACTAAATAGGATGTTCCAAAGAGTCGATTATTCCGAGAGTTAACGTTATCGAAAGATCAATCGTATCAAGGTTTGCTTGGACAGGTTTATCGATTCGTCCACCCACGACGAGACGCGAATTTAGATGAAACCTCGGGGTTTCGCGACGTTGATACGCTGTCGAATTTGCTGTTTATCTCGCCGAGGAGGCACGAGGAATTTCCGCGACAGGGTGTTTCCCTTGTTCGGTTGAATTCTCGTATTTCGGTGGCCACTCCACGTCCACGGATTTAACGTGACCCAACAGAGGATGGTCCAGCCTGAACGCAACGGGACGATCTGTAAACTGGGGCTAGGTAGCGCGGTGTAACAGGTTTTGTCTGCGAGAGCTAGACCATGAAGTTTATGTCCTCGCTGGTCGTGTTCCCCAGATGCGTTATATCACGCGCATTCACGCCTGTAAAGCCAGACGTCGCGTGCAAAACGCGGAGCGGATCCGTCGGAAATTCTGTCCATAGATTAAGGCCGCGTATACGATCGCGATACAAACGCAAAATTGTTATTTCTTGGAGCGTCTGGCCGAGAATAACTCCTCCCCCGGCTGTTCCACCGTTTTAGAATCCGTTCCAACGATCACGTTTAACGGCAGAATAAACATTTTTGAGAATCCCCAAGGTAACGCGCGGGTACGATAAGAATTTCACGGAGATTTTTCGCGTTTCGCTCTTCGATTTCCGTCTCGTTTGAAGCGCCCTCGAGAGACTGGATGCGGACGAGATCAAATGCTTCCCCGACATCCGTTTTATGGAGACAACTTAGGGTTCATTGTTCCGCGAGTTGATATCCGCGCGATGAGATATGAAATTCAGATCCCGTCGAATCGTCGTAATGAAATTTTGATCCGACGGCTTGGAAAATTTCGATAAATCTGCATCGTTGAAAACCCTCAATAGCGTTAAACACGTTTTGCACCCTTGTTATTCTCGCACGAGTAATGGCCGTGTAATTGGTATCGGCTCCCAGTTATCCTCGTACGGCTTCCCAATTAACATTAGACAACTTGTAATTCAGTTAAAGGTCCTTGGGCGAAGATTCCGATTCGATGCACACACTCTGTTTGGTCGTTGATCGTTCGAGAATCGATCGTGGTTTAATCGATCCTTCCTTTTCAGGAATTTAGGCGTGTAAACGCTTGTAAAACGAACGTGTACTTTTTCTTGCACGTGGATAAAATTAAATGGTACACGTTTGTAAAATTAATTCTAACAAAATGTTTCGTGCAATCGAGAGTAATAATAGGAGCTGTTTATTCGCGTTCGCGTTTCAACGTTTCCCGATATTTATTTCTTGCGTAGACTATGTTCCATAATTAGCGCCGAAGAACAAGGATAACGTCTGAGCATTCTGGTTCCTCCTGGTGGCTATTTATTATCGGAAGCCGCGTTATTAAAATCACCCCGCTTCCCCAAAGTCAACATCAATCTCGCGGCAAGCTTTGTCCGTTGAAACGACGCAGTTTATATTCAACCATCATCGCAAAGTCAGGAATTCGTTCCCATGCACCGATCCGTGCCATCGAAACGAGCCACCAGGGTTGCTTTCCACCGGTGCTTGTGAATTTCAAAGAGACTTAACCCCTTAACGACACGCTCGAATACTCGTCGTCGCCGTCAGCGATTTCTTTGCTTCGGACTTTGATTCGTACGTTTCGCTTCGTCATATTTCGTACTAGAAAATATACATTGTACCGTTAAATTCTCTCGATGGATCGTACCGACTACCGTAGCTTTTGTACAATACTGGTATCTCCAACGATCGACCCAACAGGAGGTAGCAATTTTAATTTGTTGATATTATTGGAATTGTATAATCGTTTGCCTTTAAATCCCAATATTCCGTTATTAATGGACGAAGGAATTCTATAAATTATCTCACGTTTATCGAAACCGCGAAAACATTATGGAAAATACGGAGTAATTGGATTAGCAACGTGCACGCAAACGAAGCGGAATTCGTATTTGAATTTTGGACGCGGCACGACGACGACGCGTAACTGTCATGGACGCTCGAAATTCCCGGGACGACGTTATCAATTATGGTTTAATTATATCGCTGACAGAGACGGCGCCTGTTCCGTTACGCGAAGTTTGTAATCAATATATGTTTAGCAGGTTGCACCGGAAGCTTCCGTTAACGGATATCGATATCCGCGGACGCGTAACGCGTTTCGTGGTCTCTGTATCGAATCTGGAATCCCGTGGATTGATTCGTGGAAACCTTACTAGTCGCGGCGACGAAAGAATTATTGACTTATTTATTTATAGAGACCGAACAGCTCGGCGAGAACCTTATCGTCGCGTTTTGTACGCTTTTATTTAAATATTCGCCTTTCGATACATTATTTATATAAAGCATTTATAAATAGATCATTGGTGTTTGCAATACCGATTAAATCTGTGCTCTGGAGTCACGATGACGCGATCGCGAATAATAATAAATTATGCATCGAAATGATCAACAGTCGCTGTAGGTTATCGGCCACGGGAGACCCGGAATTTGTTTCTAGCACGCAGATCGAGCAGAAAGTTCGAAAAACGCGTGGCTCGTGTTCGGTTTCATCGAATGCGGGAATCTCGATCGTTTGTTCCGCGCGAGAAACGGACCGACCGAAAACGTATCGGCGAATTTATTTGCAGTATTCAACGGACGGTGCATCGAGCGACACGAAATCGACGCCGCGGGTTATAGATACACGTTCCAATTAAACAGTGGTTCAATTTGCCCGGTCAACCGTGTCATATAAAAATTCCTTTTCGTCGCGTCCGTTATAGATAGTTTTACGGTGCGGGAATTATTAGAATCGAGGCTGCCGCTTTTGGACGCTTTATTTTATTTAAAGAGAAGACACCCTCGTCCGCGACCGAAATACGAGGATCCGTTATAGAATTTCTTCCAACGAAATTACAAGCGCGAACAATCTAAAAGTTTTGTTTGATCATTGGAATTTCAACTGTTGTTTTCAATTTATTATTCGATCTAGAAACCACTGTTTCAAAGTGTACAATTATCGAAAAAATGTGTGTTGCAAAGTAAGAACTACAAATGGAAAATGGTTGGTAATCCTCCCTCGAAGGTTAAAAGTCAAAGAAAGGATCAAGTTCGGCGATTAACCGAGGTGAAAGGTTCAAAGGCACATAATCCCCGATTAATTAAGCGACTCTTTCCGGGTAGCAGTTCTCATCGGTTTCGAGCCTGTTAATAAGTTTGCAGTGATTAGTGCTCGAAAGTGCAGTCAGAGGGATCTCAATCGGTTCGCCGTGTAAATCTCCCGGCTAGAGTCCGAGGGACCGACGAATAATTCCTGTTACATTATGTTGCTGAAGCTCTAGAACAGTTAAATGTTCTCCTAATTACTTTAGTTAGGAGAGTGCACCATTTTGATGCCGAAGTTCGGACGTTTAACACGCGACGTTTGCGGAAACCTCACAACTGCATTTGTCAAGCATATTTGTCGGGGGCATTAGCTGCTCTAGAAAGCTTCGAATACCCTTCTTCGTCCCAAGTATTTGGTCACCGAACAAACTGCAGGTTCTTCTGTACAATTATTTCCCTCGATTCGTCCACCTGGCAACGAACACTGTTTTAAGGAAGATCCAGTTCGACGAACTCTCGAAAAATCAATTTGCGTTGCTCGTTAAACGATTCCCCGGTGATTTTGTTTGAGAAGGTATCGACGAAGAAACCGATCTCCGCGGACGTATCGAGAATACTTAGAGGTTCCGATGATTTATTCAATATCCAATATTCCCATCGCGGCGTACGATGGATTTGAAATGAAAGTCTTCGGTCGTTTGGTCAGAGAGGATCGCGACGTACAACGCTCTATCGGATCGTTAGGGCACGTGCTGCGCCGCGACGAAGCCATACACCGAGGTAAGGTTTCGAGACAAATGTCAACCCTACGCGGGGTCAGGGTTTTACCCTTCATCCTGACCTTTATCCTTCGCAGACGGACGTTAAAGTCTTTCCCGCCTCTTCTCGACTTGTTCGACGAATTTCCCGATAATAATTGTTGCGTTACGAGTACAGCAATGCAATTCGCCAAAATATTTTCAACCCTATTACTTTGCTCGCGAAATGAAAAGGAAAAAAGTACGATGCACGTGGACGAAGTAAACCGAGCAGAGTGGAAGGGCGAGTCGAGCGAGTAGGGCTGTTTTACAACCTAACCCAAATTCCTAGCGCCGGGAACATTTGTAGGAAACGACGCCTCCGCCGTGAAAACAAGTCCAAGCGTATGTGTGTGTGTGTGTGTGTGTGTATCTGCAAAGCGAGAATCTCCAGTGGGTTTACAAATTTTCCTAGAATATTATCGGAATATCCGCATCGAGACCAGCCGTACGTTTCGTAGAATTTGTTTATACGCGCCATTGCGTTCGACGTGTAGCAATCGTTTTCCCCGGAAACGAAAGATCCCGCGACGTATAAAATACAGGCGTAAAATGGAGTCGGAAGAGACAGTTTTCGTCGAAAGCGCCGCAGGGATTCCCGCGTCGCGATAAAATTTCATTTCTATCTCCGTCCTTTTTCCACCCCCGAACGCTTTCTTAGGTGTAACTAAAGCACAATTTCGAGTCGTGCTCCGCGTTCCTCCTCTTAACTCGTAGTGCGTGCCACGAGCGGAAACCGCTGGGAACACCCTAAACACACCGAAACGAGCTTTTCGTTCAGCCATATTCTCCTGGATGCGATTTAGATAGAGCGGAGTGTAGGCCGTGCCCGGAATATAAATTGAAAACCCGAGGGGTGTAATTTCATTCTCTTTAACCCGAGCTCACTTTTTCCATCGAGAGAACCCGAAAGAAATACTGTGCACGCTTTTCGATCAGCTATTTCACGGTTATGCGGGCCAGACATTCGCGATAAAAATCTTTGAAATACAAATAAATAGGAAAAAATGAGCGAAAGCCGATGGGTGGTTTGCAAGTTTTTCTTTTCACGCGAGAAAATTCTAATTTAATGGGAAACGACGGTGTTCTCGGCGTTGGTCGCGAAAGCATCCCTGGAAGCTGTAAATCCGAATAAATTCCGGCGGTTGGTAGCGAAACTCGTCTCGGGGGGGAAGCCTATAGGTCGTCGATTCTATTTCCATCTCCGCGATCGTTCTAGACGAATGCCTGATGAGGGTCGACGTCGCGGAGGAACTTCCATTAACACGAGGAACAGCGAACGCACGCGAGTTTCGCAAGTTCATCGCATAGTATACGAGCCGGCCCATAATTGAGCGGACAGCCACGACCGGGGGTTGTGGAAGGGTCGCGAAACTCGAAGAGGGATTTCTCGAGTTTCAAGGTCGTGCTTTCGGCCTCCTTTCCTAGATAACGGATCACCCGTCGATAACGCGTGTCCCGCGATGTTTACGAGCGACGCTGTTTTCGAGGGCGGACCCTGATCGGACGATTTGTGCCGGACGCGATTTAGTTTTTACGGTCGAAACGTTTGTTTCGCCTTGGAATTTCTATCCCGGCTTAATCTTCTCAGAATCGGTTACAATGCAATCCAATCGCGTTTGTTATTTGTAATTGCATGGTAATTAGATGGCCGTCGCACGATTCGAAGAGTTACAGCGATAATTACGCTACAATCGAACGGTAATTACTTGAGTAATTACATGCATTGATTTCGTGGTAAATGTAATCGGATTACATTTTGCTGGACTCTGATCGTAACTCGGATTCGAAGCAATTTTTCACCATTGTTTTGTTTATACAACAAAAAGTGGACAGTGGAGATCCGTCAGACACTAAACCGGATTATTGATCACATTGCAACGCGAGTCTGAAGCTTGTCTGGAAGAATTGGAGGGAAGTAGCTCCTTGCAATTATTTGTCGGTCACTCGGCAACATTTTAGACACACAATTGATATCTACTTCCGATGTTTTTCTCCCGTGGCTTTCATATTAGTCGGAGGATTTAACGTCGATGAGAGAAAAGGATGATCCGAAGTTCCAGAGCATCGTTCGTAGCTCGCGTCGAAATTAATTTTACTTGGTCGGTATCCGGTTGGCTCGCGAAGATCCGATAGGTGGAGAGCAGCCCTCTGGCGCGTTACGATTTTGCAGAGGATCATTCGTCTCTGTCAGAAAGACGCACGGCTATCTACTTCGCCAGAGAGCGATCGATGACAACGAAAACCGTTGACGTAGCTTCAACTGTCACGATCGTTTGGTCTTTGTACCTCGTGAAAATAAAAAATTATATATTTAGAGATGTACGCTATTTATCGTTGATTATCCACGAATTATTGTCCATCGAAATTCACGGGTCTTGGCTCGGGAGATGAATTTTTCCAACAATTCCTGGTATTTTTTCTTCGGCGTTTGTGTTCGTCGAACTTGTGGAAGTTCGCGAGGCGCCATTCGTCTCTTTCAAGGAAGACGTATGATTCTTGATTTCGCTCGAAAGAGTTCCGCGGTTTCTGACACATTAAACAGGAACAGAGGGGCCGGGGAGTGCCTGGGCGACCTTATACTCCGAGCGAATTGAATGAGCTGAAAGAAAAACATTCGTTTCTTCGCCGGTTTAAAGTTGAACCGCTGGGACGGCCGTAAGAAGACGAATAGCGGAAAGAAATCGCGGACAATGCTTTCAATGCAACGGTCACGGAATGCATTTCTTAACGAAAATACTTCGTAGACAACTTCTTTTTAATACCGAAATATGGACGTAACGCTGATAGTTCATTATTCGATGAATAATGCACCATCGGAATCCATTATGTGCCAGAAACCGTGTACCATACGTGAGTATGCAAGAACGCCTGGGCTTATGGCAGTAACTAGTCCGTGCACGTGTGCGTGCGAGCAACAAAACCTCTAGGTTGTGTGTCCTTTTCTTCTCCGTGTCGCCTGATTCCACAATCGACGATTGTTTTGGACGATCTAGCGCGTTCGCGGCGACCAAGAAACCTCTCTGCGATGTACCTCCGTACGATTCACGCGAATAGTTCGTGTATTCATTTGTCAAATATTTGCGTAATTTATTTATAAATTCCTCTCTGACTCGCCTTTCCGCGAAGGAGATCGTTGGATACCGTTAAAACTCAAAAAGAAAGATATTCATTTATTCATGGGAAAACCCTTTAGTAGAAAAAGAAGCGATATATAAGGAAAAAACGAAATAAAATATTATATCTGCGTAAACATCCGCGGTTCGGCGATAAGAACGCCGTTGCCGTGAAACTGGTTTTCGACGCGATCGGCGAAACGGGTGGCGCGAAAATAAAGGCACGCGATGGGGAGAAAAAAACCGATTTTCATTACAGGACGAAGCCTGCATCAGAGAGCGGGATGGTCCGGAGGGTGTTTGCGACTCGAAAGCCTGCGAGGAAGCCTCGAAGCGGATGGTGGCTTTCATGAAGAAGGGGGTGGATCCTTGCAAGGACTTTTATCAGTTCGCGTGCGGCGGTATTCGCGATCAGCAACCCTATCAGCCGAGCTCGAGCTTCAACATGCTTCAGGCGAGGATCGACGATCACCTACACAGTGAGCGAACGTTTTTTTTCTATTAAGATATATCGTTTCGACGGGAAAATATTTGCTCGGATTTCCTCGTCCAAAACGTCCACGGGGCTGTTTTAGATTTTCCACCGACGAAAGAATATTGCTTCGCGCTGTTAACAGAGTCGACGCTCTGATATTAATTAAAAAGAAGGGTAACGTTAGTGTATTTTTAACGAAGAAAATTTAACGACGCACGCGTACGGGATACTCGCCAAAAGAGAATTTATATCGCTGGTACAGAACGACGCTTAGACCCATCAAGCATCTGACATTAACTGGCGACAAACATCCCTTTATAGATGTTGTTTGTCGTCGCCGTGGCACTGTATCCATTTTGATACTCGCATGGTAATTAATGGCGGACGGGAGCTTCACTGTCATCCATTATAATGACAATAAATCTCGCGTTCAAAGCTCGTATTTACGACCGTGTATTCGCATTAACCTGCCGTGCAGGTGGGTACTTCCACTCTGACTAACGATGAAATAACCGAGACATTAAAGTTTTCGATATAGTAAATAGCTGTCGAATCGCTGAAATTCTCAAAGTCTGGCTCCATCATAATACAGCGTGACTTTAGTCTATTTAGAGGAACGTAAGTCATTTCTCAACCTGGAGTAATAATAATAATATTTTTGTACTAGGATTTAACAGACGTTTTGTTCGACGTGCGTCCCATCGACGTTCCTTTGAATTTGATCGTCACGACGAAGTTAGTCCGCAGCTTCCTTTCGTTTCCTTCGGTGACCTTAATCAATTCGCGGCGTGTCCTCCGCAGCCAGTATCAGGCAAAGGAGATCAAAAGGTCGCTTTTGTAAATTTCGTTCGTGCACTCTCAGCCTTTGAGTAATCCGTCCTTTTTGACGGCGAAGATCGCCCGGAGAAAATTTCAGCCCGTCCTTTCATGCCGTTTCCTCCGGGCCCTTTCCCGCAATCTGTTGCTCCGACCGCTGAGGTTTTTTTTTGATGGTCCCATTAACGAGCCGTGGATAAGTGAATAGCCAAGCCGGAGTTAATCAGGCTTTTATAGGTTTCCAACGAGGAACGCCGCGGCAGCGGCCAGATAATATTAAGCCCGATCGAAGTAGCCTGGAAATATTGTCAATTAAGGGGAGTTAAACGACTGTGCGTGTCGTTCTCGACTTTATACTGGCAATCTTACGATATTACGTCGCGTCGATAGATCTTATACGGGGTCAGTTCGAAATCGTGTCGCGCACCTCACTTTTTCAATCTTCTGAAAATCACGATCCGAGAAATTAAAGACGACACGTGGCTGTCCTTTTGTTTGGAAGGGCCATCGATCATCGAATTAGTTTAGGGACGTTCTGGGCGGAGTTATCGAAATTGCCAAGTGTGTTTAGCTGCAACGATGCCCGAGTAAACAGAAGACGAGCCAGGGGGTAAGTAGGTCATACGCGATTAAAAGTGCTGGACGCGCATACGTCACGGCGCGCTGACGCAGGGGTTGAAGAACAACTCGTCGCGGCGTCCACCCTACCGAAATAACCGACAAAAAGTTGCCCCGTTTCGACCGTTTCTGCACATCGTGATTTTTAGAAGCTACGGGACACTTTGCGTTGTTCTCTAGAAAAGGTTCACGTATCATCGAACGTGGTTAAATAATTTCGAGCAACAGCTGCGTCGCCTTTCTTCCTCCCGAGAAGTTCTCGCGTATCGTTTCGCTGGGAAAAGTTCGCTGACAACACCGAGAAACAACTGTGTGTTCGCAAACTCTTTAAAATTTTTGTACCTCCTCGCGATAAAATTGACAAACTCGGTTCTCTCTCCTTCGAGAAATTTTCTTCGTTTGGAATTGATTGCTTTTAAAATTGGAATTAAAAAACACCGACAATCGCGCGTTTCGATCGAGGAAGAAGCTTGGCGAGGGTTCGACGATTATTCAGTAGCCTCCCTTTTGCGCGAGGAAGGGTTTCGCGCCACAGTTTGTTTTCCAACGTCTCCTCTTTACGACGGAGGTCGAATGAAAAGAAAAAAAAAGGGTCGGGGAAGATGAAGATTTACAGGGCCGGAGTCTATGAAAAACATGTCGCATCCGCATGGACGCGTCGCGTAATAATTCATCGCTTTTCCTGCTCACTTTTTCGCGCGGACGCTCGTCATTCGACTTCCTAAATCGTTCGGACGCGGCTTCGGTTCCGAAAACGGAGATTAACGCGCGGGATCAGCGCGACGTGTATCGCGCAATGTGTCTTTCGATACGGAAATAAAAAAGACACCTGACATTTTAATTCGTTGAGGTATTGGGCAGCGTAGAAACAAATATAGAAACTAGAAAAAACAAATAAAAGAAACGCGTGGGAAATATTTTGTCACGAAAGTCCATAAATATTTTCATAGTTCCGGTTCTTTTCTCTTTTTAAACGAAGAACGTAGTTTCGAAGAATTTTTCTTTCGCCGAAAAGATAAACTCGTGGCTCGTAAAAATACGCGGATCGATCGTTTTCATTTTTCCTAAAAAAAAATTCCTGCAGTTTTATGCTCGGTTCGAGGAGCGTGAGTCGAAGGAAAACTATCGCAAGAGTCGCTGGCAAACAAGGGACGGGTTGGCAAAGGGTTAAAAAACCAGCTATCTTTGTTTCTGGCAGAGACATTTGGCGCCAAGATTTTTTTTTTTACGTCTTCTCGCTCGGAGAGATCTCATTGGTCACCGTTCACGGTGCAAACACACCCTTTTTCGTACAATCCGTCTTGCGGGGTTTACGTCGGATCAGCCTCGATGCCAGCTCGGGATTTGCTTCGCCAATTTCCTTCGAACTGTCTACCCTGAACCATCTGTTTCGAAGATTTTCGTCCTTCGAGAATGTTTTTCACCGAACCTCTTTATCATTTGGTTCAGCGTGCGACAGATTGTAAATCAACGGTATTGCATATACTATAAACATTAATTTCCTACAAGTAAATATTAATTCCGTCTCTGCGAGATACGAAAAAATAATGTGTGCAAGGAGGCGAGGCGCAGCTAAAGTGCCGTCTAATATATGCGTTACCTATGAATATACATAAGTTGAAATAAAAACTGTCTTAATAAGTCGTATCTTTTATTCATGGAGACGCTGGTAGTCGAGCATTTTTTGAATTATTACTTCGCGATTTGTATTTGAAATATTTTGCAGATGGAAGCGAAGAATCTAAGTAAGATTAATTATAGTCTGTCGATTCTTCGAGCAGCAGCTTTCGCGAAGAAAAATTGCACGTTAATGTATCTAGGCTCAATGCACGGAGCAAAGTCTTTTATTTTTTCCACTCCTGAAAGAGAAAATTTCACATAGAAAATACTTACGTACAAAGTCGTAAATGGGAGCACAAAAGACTCGGTGTTTTTATAAGCAACAGAGATATTTAGCGTTTCTATTTAAACTGTCCACTCGGCAGTACGGTGAGTTTTTTTAATATTGTTCCGACGAAACGTTAGCAGACCGGGATGCGTATCATTCCAGCGTAACGCGACGGTAATGTACGCAGACATAATGGCCGTGGCGTAATGCGTCGCGCGAAAAGGATGATATTAAAAACTGGCCGGACGTAAAATTTTTTAAATCCGGCCGGGTTAATCTTCCGTACCCTTTTCGCGGCTTCCTCCGACGGCTAATTAGCAGAATGTCACCTAACGACCTTGCAATTAAGACGTCACGCCCTGGAAATTACCTTATGGTACACTTATCCGATTGAAGAAGAGAGAAAGTGACTTTTAATGCGATCTTGATGGCCGTAAAGTGACTCGACGCTCGTGAAACGGTCGAGACCTTGCACGGAGATTATTGTCCGGCTGCCTTGAACAAGTTTCTAATTATTCGAAACACTTTGCTCCGCCGAGGAGAGCAAAGGAGAGATACAGGACTAGTTTTATATAACACCGGTGCGCCTAATACGTCGGGTTTAAAATTCAGCGCCGCGTTGCAGCGTCGTTTCTCAGGTTTTTAAACATCGCGATATCGCGCGACGACGAATGGACAAAAAAGACGATAGCGTAGCCAGCAGGTTTGCAACCCAGTTTCTTCGCGCGAACGCGTCCAAGCTCGCGTTTAAACGAAGCGCACCGATTTGAAAGCTTCGACCCTTTATTTCCCCAGCAGTTCTTAAACGCTTCTCTGTCTCACGGTGACTTTAATCTCTCCGTCCGCCGACGAACACGAACGATACAGTTTCGCCGGATGTTCTCTAAATATTCCACGCAGCCAATCGGTTTGCAAATTACTCGCCTCGGGCCGGAGCTAGGATCGAAGCCAATAGCCGATCCCAGTTCCGAGGAGGATACCGGTGACCAGTTACGTCCCATCAATAACGTTCGCGCTTCGACAAACATAGAACAATGGCACGGTGTCGAGCAGTTCCTTGACTCGATCCACACACGCGTCAGGACAATTAGCAAACTGACGCGGAGCCTGGATTCTCCCCTTGTGCACGGTGCCCTCTCGCTCGAGTATCGATGGATCGGATAATCTCTGTTGACGATGCAGATTGGTGAACAGCAAACGAGGTCGTGTTTCGTGTTCATGTTCCATTTCACCCTCAACATCTTTCCGCGTAATCACCCTTTGATCCGTGCAACCGACTTTTTATACCCTGCGATGGAAAATGCGTTACTCGGTCGCGCGATGTTTGCAAAACCACGGGACACCCTGTACGAAAAGCGAGGAGATCCGAGGATTATCAGGTGGCAAGGAGGTTCGCAGAAATCTAAAGAGAAATATCCCGCGGAGGTGGTGCAAACGGGCGTTCGTTTCGGTGGCCCAGCTTCGGGCAATGAAGAGAACTCCTCTAATTAGCCTCTCGTTCGATGGTCCTTGAAACTCACCTCGTCCCGAAGCCGGAGTCTTAATGGTTCGCAACAATAAATTTCTCGAATTACCGGGTAAAATTGTTCTCCCTCGAGTTACCCGTTTCCGTCGCGTCCCTTTCGACCACGCGACGTTGCGAAAATTTCCACCGCTCCGCCGTGTCCATTTTATTTCCCTTT